TGTCGGACCTGAACACGACGGCAAGGAGAAAGCTTACCTTGCGCGCAAACGCAGATAGCTAACAGCGCCCTTACAACACGTAAGATCGATTTGCGGACCATGTTCCTAAGTAGTTATACGGTCCCGACTTGCGCCAAGCACACGAATAACACCATACCAGTATGTTTTAATGCGGCATCGCTACCTGTAGAAACGAATGTCTACAAGCTCTTAACTGACAAAGTTTAGGCACCAGCACCCTTACAGAGGGGTTAGTGGCTTTGCGTACGGCATACTTCAGTTTTTCCGTATGGTGGGCGCGTGAGCCAAAGCCAGAGGGTTGGGCTGGCGTCAATTCACTGCGCAAAACAAGATGAGTAACGAGTTGCATTGCCTTTTTCGGCGGAGCCACCGCCGCGAAGCGGCTTCGGTGGGGCTCCGCCCCCCCTGCCCCTGTCCGTTATGTCCGTGTGTCCTTCCGTCCTTCCGTCCGTCCGGAACGGCAAAACATGCAAACTAGACAAGACTGTTATTTGCACCTAGTACATATATGTTATCTGTATTCAGCTCAAATAACGGCAAGCAAAACAATTTATTGACCAGCCTCATAAATTGACCACCGTGGCAACACCAATTAGCGCTCCTCTTTGGTGTGTCCTGGTACCCTAAACAGTATTTAATTTATTGGTAACCGGGGCGTGCCGGCAAAGGGCTACCTATGAAAGTTGGCGGGAGCATGCTTGCATCTATTCTGCTACTCAGAGCCCACACAATCCTTTGCGACGATGTTTCCAGCCTTTGCTGTTGGTTTGCGCGCCATAATGCCTATGAAATGTAACGCAAACGGGTACCTCGCCTATAAGCGATGTTACGGTGTATTGGCTGAAGACCTTCTGAGCACGATGCCGAGATTGCCGAGCCTGACCCCCTCATCATGTTAGTGATGTAGGTGAAACCTAAACGACCTGCGGGATCCTGAAAGCACTCCCATGTGGCAGTTATGCCGTCGACTTGGGTTCTGTAGCCTGATGCGTGGGTGTTATCAAGCATAAGACGTTACTGAGTACTCGATTGAACAGGTGTAACCTTACAATGTGTGCAATGAGTGAGGACATATGTTCGCCATGGGTGAACAAGGCGGCCGGCCTCGACTGGGCAAGGGGCTCTGAGCTTGTCTAGCCATGCAACGAACACTCAAACTGCAGTAAACAAGGGGGTTCAACGTCCGTACAACAATGTGTGTTGGGTCAACTGGTGCCGTGGAGTCACAGGAGCGCCATTCCAGTGGTAATACGTTCCTGTACTAAAGAGGAGAAGGTTCCGCCCTTTTCCAGCTTTGAGAAAGCTGAGCCCCCTTTTTATTCCTACGGCCGCAGTGTACACAAGTTAAATCCAACCTGCCGTAGTCCTTGCCTCTCCCACAACTTAGGCTCCGCAAAAAGGGTCCATATTTTTGGAAAGCGTACAAGCATAACTATATATAATATTTCACATAACTCTCGACAGTGGCCTATCTAGCTATGTTAATCAGATGTGGAAGTATGCTGTACCGTGCGAGTACTGGTAGCCCGACAGGAAGCCGCCTGGAAGGGTTCATTCCACAAGCGAATTTCAAAATGTGTTTTGCGTCCAGGCGGCAAACGTGTACTGGTCCCCATGCATAATTCGGTTCTGAAGCGATGGCCTGCAGACCACGTCTGGGTGCAGCAGCAATGCAGCCACTTCTCCCAAACACTACAATCATACATGCAGGACAGTACAATGCCTCCTTTCTGCACGCCTCTCGTCTTGTACGTATGCAAGGCATGGCAAGCCGTAACGGGAGTCCGAAGTAGCGCTCGCCCAGCAGTCAGAACTTGCCCTCCATCCATAGATCTTTTCCGATATACCTGTAACCAAAGTTGACCGCAGATAGAGGATTACACTGGAGGACCAACCAGTAAGGAGTCCGTACTGGCCAATCGTTAGACGTACATTCCAACAGGGCGTGGACCGCCCTACCCCAGGGGGCACACCAGGCCCGACAGGAAGGCCGCAAACCACCTACACCGAGCACGGTCAGCCAAAACACCGAGGACAGAGAGCCACAGGGCCCACGAATGAACTGGCACAACTTTTTTGAGATGTGGGTTTGCTGGAGACCTAGCTGGTCTAGGTGATTCGTAATTTGCATAGCAATGTCAGTGTTGTGTTGTAAAGCTAAAACCGACGTTTAGCCCATAAGCCAAGAATACGTTGTCTCTTGTTCTGCCTCCCTCTAGGCTGACTTGCCTTTTGCAAGAAACTAAACTTGTAAAGCTGCTATCTATGTTATAATGTAGAAAGTTTAGTTCCAAATCAATACAAACAGCTTAGCAAAGACTGCCGCTGCCTCGGCGGCCGCAGAGCCACAAAGTGGGCATCGACCCGCTACGTTCGCATTTACGTTCGTTCGCTCATTCATTTCGTTCGTTCAACGCCCACCGCTGAAAAGTGGTTCGCACGACCTGCTCGTTTGGCGTATTCGAGGCGTCCCTCGCCCGACATGGCCTTCGTCGCCATCCTGTTGGCTATCGCTCTGGCGATTGCTTCTTTGATGCATTTCGTTGGCTGTTGTTCCAGCAGCGCGGAATTGATGTGGGTGTATCAGCAGTGCGCCAAGCGGGGATTGGTGAATTTCGCCGGTGTTATGGCGATTTTGTGGAAGCCTGCGAACGAGCGCGCATGTTGGACCCAGACACGCCGCACGAAGAGCTTAGACATGGTTTCGCGCGCAGTTCCAAATCGACAATCCTCACGTGTCGCTGGCTGCAAATACAGCCACAGCCATTGCTAACGAGGCAAGATATGCACGCACAGCACCTTCAGAAAGCGCTGCTGTGGCTGCTTACTGCACAGACATGCTGTCACAAGGGGAAGGACCTGTCATCAGAGCGGCATGGGCGGATGAAAACATCGTACTTTGGGTGGCGGTTGCCTTTCAATTCAACCTCACCGTCTGGCATGCCGATGGCACTGGGTGTCGTGCCCTTTCTTACTCGTATGGCGGCAATAGCGAAGAAATGCACTTAGCCTTTTATGCGGGTCATTACGAACCAGTCGTACAAAGCACACCAGCACATCCACTGCCAGACCCCGCATCAAGCAGCCGCCAACATGCAAGCATCAAACGAACCCCAACCACTCCTCAATTGCCAATCCAACCCAAGCCTGGCCCCACAGCGTCGCTAAAGATGTGCGACCAGGTGTTGTTAGCCGCAGAGAGGCTGTGCATGCCAGAGCCAACAATAGCAGCGCAATGAAATGTCCCGCGAGCGTACGAACCCTTCTGATTCCCGCCCGCATGCAACACACCATTCCCCTGCTATACGCAACCCCCCTACTCCCGCCCCCGCCGCATGTGCCCTCCTGGCGGCAGGCCGATGACCAGGACGACGCGGACGCTCCCGGCGCCAACGCCACCAGCGGCAACCAGGACGACGACGAGGATGAGGACGGCCAGGTGGACAGCAGTTCCGCCTCGGACGACATGAGCTCGTAGCGGCCTCACCAGATAGACGTAAACTCAATCGTAAGGGCTGCCTATGTGGCTTCGTATCAGATCGTGTCTTTGCGAGGGCCTTTAGACACTATCATCTGACAGGAAGCTGCCACACACCAATCATATGCAATTGCACTGCATAGCACTGCAAGCTCTCGCTGTTAGTGTTTGTACACGTCATACTCGTGTTTTAGCTTTTTGGACCGTGTACGACGGCCTGTTGCTTGCTACTTTAAAGCGCATTTCGGCAAGCAACAGGATGACAATTGGCATTGCCTCGGTTGGCCGTGTCGGCACAGCATTCACGCATGGCACCTGCCATGCACCGCTTGCATCGTTGTGACATAGTCCGCTGTGACGTGGTGACAGTTAGTATGTTTTTTTTATAGGTGCACGTGCCATAGTCGCATGCTACATACAGGCAGGGCCTGTTGCGTCTGTGCGCTAGGAATCGCTCGTTTTCGTGTGTGCCTCTGGTGTAAACTCTAGTGTTCCCACAATGCAACGAAGCAAGGCACCCTCATTTATTGTTCAACTACATCATGGCTTGGGCGCTCTCATAAGGTTGCTCATCGGGCATCGACGTTGACGCAATGTCCTCTGGGTGTTAGATGCATGCATCACCAGTGCCTTATGGTAACATGTTTTTTGACCCGTGGGACGCCTCATTACGCGATTCATAGACACTGCGCGCTTCTCCAGCACGCTGTACCGGCTGCTTTGTGACTTTGGGTGTGGACATCAAATTTATAGTATACAATGGTTTGGACAATGTCGGTCTTTCGTAAAAGGCCCATGCTACAACTCTACGAACCGCCCGCGTATTTTGATGGTGGGCAAAATTAGCTTTCCAAGCATGGCGGACTGTTCCAGCGAATGCTCTGTGTGACGCAAGCATGCATACGTTGGGATAGAGGTGGCGGGCAGTGCAGCAAAGATCTAACTGTGTACGACCCTTGTTCATGTTTCCACTAGCTCTACTACTTGCAAGACCTCGAGTCCATTCCTGTGGGCTGTTTGACTGTTTGAATGGCGCGTGATAACTGGACTTGTGGACCTTTAGCCTGTTTTGAAGTTACCCACATCACAAATTGCTTTCGTACATGGGAAAAGGGCGGGTTGTCTTATGCATGCATGGACGGGGTAACGTGATGACGTGTTGTTTCGCCTGTGGGACAAGACTGCATGCTATGCATAGACGCTGCGCGTTTCGCCAGCACACATTACCTGCTGCTTCATGTCATTGGGTGTTTTGGTGCTGTTATTAGTTTAGCCCTGTGTGGGAAGTGTTGGACTTCCGGAATGCGTCACACGTTTTGGGGCAAGCCCTAAACTTTAGAATGTGTGCCAACCCAGCGCAACTGCGTTAGACAATTCGACATCATCTTGAGCATGATGCGAAAGATGGGACAACCGACCGCTCCTTGCTAGCAGGCTGATTGACTGTCTTTCAATGGCGCATGCTAACTGGACGCACTGTGCTAGCCTTTTGATGACGGTGGGCATACATAGATTGTCAAGCATGGCGGACTGTCCTAGATAATATGTCCTGTGGAGCGCCTGAATGCATTATTTGGGATAGAGGAGGCTGGCGGTGCAGCTAGGGTTTTGCTCTTGACGACCCTTGTTCCCGTTTCCACTAGCTCTACGCACCGCCAGACCTCGCGTCGAACCACGGGGAAGCAGGGTCACACAGGCACGCCCAAGGACCGCACTGGCGCGTCTACGCATACCACTGACATGTAATACGCATCCCAACTGTAATACCTCCCTCCACTACGCTCCGCTCCAACGAAGTCAGCTCCAATACATCCCGTGCAATACATGACAGCGAGATCGAGAATTTTGAAATGGGGGCGAGCCCCGGTGTCTGCGAAGCTGACGGGTTTCATGCGTTTGCGAGAACAAACCGCAGCCGTAGACAACACCGCCCTAGCGGCTCCCGAATGACCACACAACCTCTCACCGCGCCATTTAGCACGAGCAAGACAGCCTCCCTGGGTTGCCTCTCCGTCCCCTCTACTCCTTCATGGCTGCCTCGCTGCCGCCCAGCCCAGGTGCAGCTGGTCGCAGCGGCCGCCCTACCAGACCGGGGCAGCTGGGGCGCCGCCGACACGGCCCATGCTGTCATGCCCTTTCCAAACTCCTCTTCTTAGCCCACTGCCGGGGTCAGGTGGGCGCACAGCCGGGAACAACGCACTGCCTCCCCCCTGCGCCGCCGCCCCGCCCTACCACTTCTTATGTACTTTCCCCGCCCTAGGGTGCCGCCCCCGCCGCGGTGATGGCCTCCACCGCGTCCTCCCGCGTGTCGAAGAACGCCTGGTAGAGCTCGCCTGCGGGGTGGGGGGTGGTCAGTGGTGGGGCAGGGAGGGTAGAAGGAGTGAGTTGAGGGCGGGACAGCTGGGGAGGGAAGTGTGGAGGTGAGGGCGGTACGGCATGCGCTCCCGCCGCCCACTGACTCAGCTGCATGTGCTAGCACCCCCCCGATGTAGCACCCCCTTCCCCTCCCTGCATGAGTCGGGATATGGGATTGGGACTCGTTGCTTCACCTATAAAAACTTTTTTCCCCGGCCTGCCTGCCTCACCCGCCACATCCAGGGTTGCGGTCCAGCGGTTGTTGCGCGCCAGGGCCACCCCCAGCGGCACGGGGGCGGCGGGGGGCAGCACCAGCGCCTAGCAGGAGGAGGGGGAGAAGGAGGGGCGTGAGGGGAGGGGGAGCGCAGATGAGAAGGGACAAAGGGAGCTGAGCACGATGCATCCAGTAGCCTCACCCCATGTGTGCGCCCTACAATCACGGCCGCACCCTCACCCAGCTCACGGCCCCTGCGCTCACCCCGACCAACCCCTCCCCACCCTCCACCGCCCCCATCTACTCCAAACCCCGCCCGCTCCACCCCCCCCGCCGCCCCCGTCCCCACCCTGAACACCCCGTCCGAGGGCGCCTCCAGGTCCAGCACCGACAGCGACACCCCGTCATCCGCTCGGGCGCCACGGAACCGTGGGTCGGCCACCCCGCCTCCACCGCCAGCGCCCACACCAGGCGTCACAGCAGCAGCCTTCCGCTTGCGTCCCCCACCGCCCCCAACTGCTGCCGCCGCTGCCCCGCCCCCACTGCCCCTCCCCGCCTCCGCGCCCCCACCCCCACCAGGTGCTGCTCCTGCTGTTGGCAGCGGCGGCGGCGGCGGCTGGGACCTGGCGGGTGGCCGGCTGGTGCGCGGCTCCCTGCTCGCCCGCGACCCCGCCCCGCCCGCCGCCCCTGCACCTGCCCCCATGCTGCCGGCTGCTGCCGCTGCGGTGGGGCGCTTGGCGGGCGGCTTCTTGACCAGGTCGGACTGGTGGGGTGGTGGGGTTGGGGGGGAGGTAAGGTGTACCGCAAGCGGTACGTGCTCTTCGACGGTTAGGGCGACGGCTAGGGAAGTGGCAGCGCCGGGGTGAGCAGGCAGGACTGGAAGCGGGGGGCACATGCACAGAGGGCACGTCACGTGTTGGGGGCAACGCTGCGGAGATGTAGCTTGCGCGACCATGCATGCATGCATGACCGAGTGCAGGGTGGGGTGGGTGGGTCGAGGGGGACCGGCTGGGAACAGCCCCGGCAGCGAGCAGGGGACGCGACAGCCATCCCAGGTCTCTTAGGGTCCCTCTAATCCCCGCCCGCCCCCAGCCTTGGGCTTGGTCTATTCTTATCCCCACCTTGTTGCCGCTCCTGCCCGCCACCACCAGCGAGCCATCCGGCTTCTGAGCGAACACCATCACATCGCCCACCTGGGGGCAGAGGGAGGGGAGTGGGAGGGGCAGGATACCAGGATTGACATAGGTAGGGAAGAGGCCGAGAGCTCCTGCTTGGTGAGGTCGAGCAGAGGGGTAGGCTACCTCCCTGCAGCAGCTAGCTGCGGCGGGTGGCGGGCCCAGCAGCAAGCAGCAAGGCATGCACACCCGTGTCAACGACACCGGCATGATGGTGGGCCGCGGCGTATTGCAGCGCGTAGCAGCCCCAGCGGCCGCCCCCCCCCTCGCCCCCACCTCCAGTCCGTAGTTCCTGTGCAGCTCGCCCGCCCCCTCCAGCAGGTACATGCGGCTGCTGTTGTTCACCCAGAACCTGGCGGGCGGGGGCAGGGCGGAGAGGGGGGGTGGGCAGGCGGGGAGGTGGGGGAGGTGAGCCCGCATGCAGAAGGGGGAGGGATGGGGGGATTGGAGCCAGGCAGGGGTGGGGGGCTGGCCGGCAGGGGGGCAGCAGCGGCAGGCCTGCAGCGCGCATGCGCCTCTAGGCGCTTCCCTGCCGCTGTAGGGCGCAAGTCGTGCCACAGCCCTTCTTTAAAAAACGCCACCGACCCATCCCTGCCTGACCCCTGCGCATGGAGCGGCCTCCCGTTGCCCGCCCGCCCCTTTATGAGTCAACAGGGCAGCCAAGCCGCCCCGCCTGCCCCTTATGCCCCCCCACCCCTCCCCTTCCCCCACCTCCACTTGAATGTGTAGCCCCTGCCGTCCAGGTCGGATGCGGAGATGGTGACCCCGCTGGGCTGCTCCAGCCGGGGGAAGTACTGCTCCGCGATAGACTGGGGCGGGAGGTGCGGGGAGAGGGCCGGGGGAGAAGACCCAATGTGTTTAATGATGGTGGCAAACTAGGTGACAAGTAGGGGAGGGAGGGGGAAGGGGAAGAGGAGGGAGGAGGAGGTGGGGGGATGTTAAGTGGGTTGAGGGGACGGCGAGGAGCTGACATGTCAGAGTGAGCCGCACACGTGCCGACCAGGCAGGGCCAGGTAGCCGGGCTGTGCCGTCGCTGCCGCTTGCAGTGCCCCTGTGTGGCCCCGCCGCAGCAGGCAGCGGGCAGCGAGGCGGGCAAACAGGGCTGCACTGCTTCACCAGCACCAACACGAGAACCCTCGCCTCCTGCCCTCCTCCTGCTTCCCCCCTCCCCTTCCTAGCCTCCCAGCCAGTCGTTTCCTCTTTACCCTCCCCTCCGACCCGGGTTGGCACCCGTTGCCCCGCACCTTGGGCACCACCACCCGGCCCCCGCCGCTGACGTCACTGGCGGTCAGCGCCTTCTCAAAGATGATGGCGGCCCCCACGGCGGCCATGCGGGCGGACAGCGCAGCGGCCGCGGACTCGGAGGAGGCGGGGTCGGCAGGGGAGGCGGGGGCAGCAGCGGCTGGGGCTGGTTCCGCCTTCACGCCGACGGAGCCGGATCCAGGGCCGGGACCGGGCGGCTGCGGGGCCCCTTGTCGGGCCACTAGTGCCGCCGCGAGGGCTGCTGGATTGCTGAGGAGGTTGGGCTGGGGCTGCGACTGGGAGTGGGGCTGGCCGGCAGGGCGGGGCGCTGTCACTCCGGAGAGTAGGAGGGCGGCAGAGGGGTCCATTGGGAGGCCGCTGAGGGAAAGAGGAGAGAAGGGAGCTGCGGCGTTGGCTTCAGGAGGAAGTGAGAGGAGGCCAAGCGGCAACCCCGAGGCGAGGCCTTGCTGCCCGTCTGCAGCGTCTGCTGTCAGCGACTCCATGCGCGAAGCGCTTAGGACCTAGCGAATGCCAGTGCCGCTGAGGGACTGTTGGCACAAGTCATGGACAAGTCCCGAGCAAAGCCTAGCTTTGCTTTGTAAGCTATGGATTTAAGAAACAGCTGTTATATGGACATGCGGCGCTAGCCTATTGCTATCATCAACGTAAATAACATGAAGCAGGCCCTAGACGACCGGGACTATAGCCCTTTGTATGGCAACAAAGCTAAAGTACAGAAAAAAAGATGACAATTAACGTTTAGGCGCTGGGTAGCAGAGGAGATGGAGCGCTGCGGTGATGGGGCGCCATCGTTGCATTCACAGTTTGCTCGATCCAATCGGACTAACCACTTCTCAGCGTACTTCTGTAGCGTTTTACCCATTCGTTTAATCCCTTAGTCGTGCTGTGATTTTGGCATAACCAGGTGTGACGACTTCCCGCCCTGGTTTGGGAACAAACAGTATGGATATCCAGGCGCTTTTACCAGTTTTACAAGCTTGCCTAAGCCATGATCAGAACCACGTAAAAGAGGCAGAGCGGGTGCTTAAGCAGGTGTGCCTAAATTGAATTTAGCGCCGCCAACTGCCGCCAAGGAGCTTGCTCTCCTAGGCCCCTGCATATTCAATACTTGACATGTCGTTTTGCTTGCATAACACAGCATGAGCAGGTGCCAGGACAGGCCGTGCAGCTGCTGCGCGTGGCAGCAGAGGAATCAGTGGATGCGGGAGTTCGGCATATGGCGGCCATCAACTTTAAAAACTTTGTTAAGCGTAGCTGGGAGAAGCCAAACTCGCACGAGTCCTCCCAAGGTAGGCGATGTTGCGAAGCCTGAGAAGGCGCGTCCTATCCCACAGTTTTAAGGGCTGCTGCCCTTGTTATGGCTTGGTTTTTGAATCCCGCGACAAGCGTCGTAGGGCACAGAAGCCCGAAAGGGTAATCCTCCACCAGCGGCTCCTGAGGGGTGACCAACGGTTCGGGGACGTGGCCCACCTGCTCCCCCGTAGCTGCTGCACAAGCCTTCCCCAGCGGCGCATGCTCGCCACGCATCAGCCCCCCCCCCCTCCACCTTCCCCTTCCCACCCTCCCTTGCCCCTCCCGCTCCGCTCTGGCCCTCCCTCCAGGCCCCAGCACGGACTACCTGATCCCTGATGCGGACAAGGAGGTGGTGCGGCAAAACATCCTGGAGGCCATGATCAGGTGGCTGGGGAAAGAGAGACTAGCCTGTGTTGTTAGGACTGGGCAAGGTGATTCTTGAGGCGTTGTGTAACCGAAACACTGACCGTGACCATGGGTGGTTTGGGAGGGGGGACGGGGGCTGAGAAAGGAGTGGTGTTTGGAGGGCCGTATACTCAGCGGAGGCGTGCATCAGCACAGGGGTTGGGCCGTGGACGGTAGGATTGGTAGTTATGGTAATGGGTAGTTAATGGCTGGGGGCTGGGAGGGCAGTGGTAATGGGTGGGGTGATGGCTGGGGGCTGGGAGGGCAGTAGCAAGGAGGGGCCTGATGCTGAGGGCCCTACGTCAGGGCCTTGGTCTTGGCCGTGGTTCGCTATGTCGGACGTGAGGTGCTGCCCGGATCTTCCCGCCTCCCAGCGCCCCCTCCCCCAACAGACCCCAACGGCAGCTGCAAGTCCCCCCTGGCTAGCTGGCGCGCTACCTTGGGCCTTACCTAGCGCCCTAGTTCAGTCCAGTCAGCCGGCCGGCATCCTCCATGTGAATCCGCACCAACCCACTCACGTCCTGACCTCCCCCCCATCCCCCTCTTCTCATCTTGCCCCCACAGGGCCCCCCATGCCATCCAGTCCCAGCTGTCGGAGGTGTTCAAGATGATTGTGTACTGCGACTACCCGGAGCGCTGGCCGGGGCTCATGGAGGTGCTGTACGGCAACCTGTCCTCGCAGGTAGGGAGGGAGGGAAGGGGGGGGGGCAGCAGGGGGGGGTAGTAGGGGTGGAAAGCCGTAGGCAAGGGCTGCGGCGAGAGGCCGGTGTGGAGGTCTGAAAGGCGCGGGAGAGTTACCACTTGTTACCCAACGGTGCGCTTGGGGCTACTCTGAATTGTCCCGTTGCATGCGCCACAGCTAGCGCACCCCCACCCACTCCTCCCCTTCCCTCCCCCACCCTCGCTCCTCTCCCTCACCCTGCAGGACCAGGTTCGTGTGCACGGCGGCCTGCTGGCGCTGCGGCTGCTGACCCGCAAGTACGAGTTCCGTGACGAGGAGGAGCGCGCGCCGCTGGAGGGGGTCATTGCGGCCGCCTTCCCGCTGCTGCTGCACATCTTCAGGCAGCTGCTGCAGGCGCCGCCGAGTGCGCAGGTGGGGAAATGGGAAACGAACGAGCTGTATGACGAGGCTGGGGGGGTGGGGTGTGGGAGGTGGAGAGGGGAGTGACGGGAGAGGAGGCGAGCTGTCGTGGGGTGATGGGTTAGACAGGCAGGCAAGGAGGGACTCACTGATTCCAACCCTCACTGGCCCCCCATATCATGCCATTCCAGCATGAGCCGCCTCCCTTACCCTCTCCCCTCCGCCGCAGCTCCCACCTCCCCTCTCCCATCCTCTCACACCACTCCTCTCCCACCTCCCCTCCTCCCCGACCTCCCCTCCTCTCCCACCTCCCCTCCTCTCCCTTCCCCAGCTGTCCGGCTACATCAAGCTGGTTTGCAAGACCTTCTGGTCCTCCACCTACATGGGGGTGCCCGCTGCGTTGCTGGAGCGGGAGACCTTCACCGGCTGGATGGGCGCGCTGCACACGGCACTCACGCAGCAGGAGCCGCAGGTGGGGGCGGCGGGGGCGGGGCGGGGGTCAGGTTGGGCGGGGCGGGAGGCTGGTTGGGAAGGATAATTTGAACTATGGGACAAGGCTCCGGCCCGGTGGGGCGGGGAGCAAGGGAGGACGAGGGGTGTAGCCACCTGCGGTGCTGTCTCCCCTTGGTGACGCGTCACCGCACCTTGTCCGCCATCCCGCATCGTCCGTGTCGCCCATTTCACCCGCCTTCCTCCTGCCCTTGTGGCCACCTCTGTGTGGCCCCCACCTCGCCTCACATCCCCCTCCCCCACCCTCCCCTGGGTTCAATTAGCAACCCATGGAGAAGCCCCGTCTTTCAGTTCGTCAGTTTTCCTTATTTTTACTCTCCCACCTCACCGCACCTCCCCCCCTCTCCCCCCTGCCAGGATGTTGCCGCGCTGGACGCCGAGGAGCGCCCCGCCGCGCCCTGGTGGAAAGCCAGGAAGTGGGTGCTGCACATCACCTACCGCCTCTTCAACAGGTGGGGGGGGGGAGCGGGGGGCGGGGTAGCGTGCATAGGGGTGGCCGGAACCGGCTGGGGCGGGGATCATGCTGCGGACGATATTGGTAAAGCTTGGCAGGGCTGGGGTTTACCCAAATGAGCCGCTGGAGGTTTACCCAAAGGAGGCACTGACTGCGCTGACTGACGTAGGACGCGGGGTAGTAAGGCGGAGGGTGTCCAGGGACAGAGAGGCGGGTGAGAGGAAGGGGGGAAGGAGGGGAGATGGAGGGCGTTGAGGGGCACACGGGTGTGCTGTAGCAAACCTGGCGGCTCCGGCTGCATGACTTCCACCGACTGACCCGCGCGACCCCACCCCCGTTCCCCCTCACGGCCATCAGGTACGGCCAGCCCAAGCACTGCCGCGACGGCACTGAGAAGCAGTTTGGGGAGCTCTACGCGGTGAGGGCCGGGGCGGGGGGGGGAGGGGGGGAGGGGGACTGGGAGGGAGGGGCCGCTGCTCCCGCGCACATGCCAGTCCCCTAGCTCTTACCTCGGCAGCGCATGACTAGCAGCGGGGGGCCGCCACCCCGCCTGCAGGGGCCGGAGACCCCACACGTAACGCCCACCTGGCCCCGTTACCCTCCAACTGTCCCCTGAACCATACGTCATACCTCTTGATCTTCACCCCCACCCCAATTAGTTGTCTCCTCTTTACCCACCTCTTACCCTTTACCCCCTCCCGCCCCCCCCAGTCCGAGTGCATGCTTCACTTCCTGGACGCGCACTGCGGCCTCATGTCGCAGCTGGCGAGCGGGGCCTACTTCAGCCCGCGCTGCACCAACCTGCTCTTCCAGTACATGAGCCACGCCGTCACCATCCCCAGCTGCTACAAGCGGGTGGGGCCGGCGTGGGACCAGCTGCTGCACCACGTGGCCTTCCCGCTGATGGCGTTCAACGAGGAGGATGCGCGGCTGTGGCGGGAGGACCCGCAGGAGTACATTCGCAAGGTAACCTGCTGGGTGGGGGTAGGGGAAATCCCGCATCCCGGGTAGGGTAATGCAACCGAGAAGCAAGATGGGGCACAAGGAAACAGGAGTGTTTGCAAAACTCTCTCTTACGGCGCCCACATCATATTCCCCCCTCCCCTCCCCTCCGCTCCCCCCCAGGGCTACGACATCCTGGAGGACATGTACTCCCCCAAGACCGCCGCCGCCAACTTTGCGCACGACCTGTGCGGCAAGAAGCGCTCCCACCTGGACGCCTTCATGGGGCTGCTGGCGGGGGTGCTGGGCGGCTTTGCGCGGGGGGCGGGGGCGGCGGGCAGTGCGGAGGCGGCCACCCCGGCTGCGGCTGCGGAGGCGAGGCGGGTGGACGGGGCGCTGCTGGCGGTGGGCTGCCTGGCGCCGCTGCTCAAGGCAAAGGTGGGAGGCATGGCGACATGGCAGGGTTGAGTAAAGAGGAAACAAATAACTGAGGAAGCTGGAAGAAGGAGAAGGGGGAAGGGAAAGGTGTTGCATTGCGCTGCAGTTGTGGCATTGTAGGAGCTAGTTGGTCACATGGGCACTGGCGCCGGGAAATTATGGATCTTACAGAACCCCCTCCAACCCCTTCCTCCCTCCCCCTCTGCCTGCACGACTTCAGAAGCCGTACAAGGACCAGCTGGGCCCCATGATGGCGACCTACGTGATGCCCTGCTTCTCCTCGCCGCACCCGCACCTGCGGTCCAAGGCGGTGTGGGTCAGCGGGGTGTTTTGCGACACCACCTTCCCCGACGGAACCAACCAGGGACCTACCTACATGCGCTTCTTTGAGCAGGTGGGGCTGGGGAGGGGAATGGCGAGTGGGAAAAAAAAGGAGGCGGTGCGAAGGGGCGGGGGAGAGAGAGTGGAGGTAAAGGGAACGAGCGAGGATTTGGTTAGGTACACGGGACCGGGTCAAGGGCCTAATGGCAACGGGTTATCCCTCCGCGCTGTCGCCCGCCCTCCCCGCTCCTTCCAGCTTGTCTCACCTAGTATGCCACTAACCCTCAACGCATGGGCACTTCCTTCACTTCCCCCCACTCCTCCCCCTCCTTCCCTCCTGCCCGCAGGTGGTCCGCTGCCTGGGCGACCCCGAGTTGCCGGTGCGGGTGGACGCGGTGGTGTCGCTGCGGCACTTCCTGGAGGAGATGGAGGACGTGAGCCCGGTGGCGCCCGCGCTGCCGCAGCTGCTCAACTCCATCTTTGGCCTCATGAACCAGGTGGGGAGGAAGGGATCACGGTCAATGATTTCTTCTCGCGGCTCAGTTTATTCAATCCCACCTCCCTCCCCTCACCTTCCCCCATTGTTGTGCTCCAACATGTGGTTCCCCATGGTTTGGCCTTGTCCCACCTGACCCCCCCAGGTGGACCAGGAGGACCTGGTGTTCACGCTGGAGGTGCTGGTGGACAAGTTCGGGGACTGCATCGGGCCCTACGCCACGCAGATGGCGGCGCAGCTGGTGGGCGCGTTCTGGAAGTACTGCGCGGCGGCGGACGAGGACACGGAGGGGGATGAGGATGCGGGTGGGTGGGGGTGAGGGGTGGGAGGGCGGGCACAAAGGATGAAAAGCGTGAGGGGTGTGGGAGGGTGTGCTGGAGCGCTCTAGCTGCAGTGGGTCGGCACTGATACGCCGCGCAACAGAAGAGGGCATCCCCGCTGCGCATCCTCTACCTCTACCCTTACAGCTCGCTCCATACCTGTATCCACTCCATGCAATTAGTATGCGGACCCGCTCCCTACGCTAGTACACATGCGCGCTGTATTTCACTCCCCCCTTCCTTACCTCACCTGACCTCACCTCCTCCTCCTCCTCCTCCCCGCAGCCGGTATCGCCGCGTTCGGCTGCATGCGCGCCCTGAACACGCTGCTTGAGAGCTGCAGCGAGCAGCCGGCGCTGGTGGCGCAGCTGGAGGAGGTGCTGTACCCGCTGCTGAGGCGCATGCTGAGCACGGAGGGGCAGGACATTTTCGAGGAGGTGAGGGAGCAAGGCAGCTGGGGCATAGAGGAAAGAGGGCAGGGCAAGGCGCAGCGCGCTTAGCGGGAGGAGGGGGATGTTGTGCGCTCAGCGCGTAGGCTCCTGTTGGTCATGTGTACGTTGCTAGTGGTTGCGTTGCCTGATCGTTACATTGACCATTATAGAGCGTTGCTTTCCATGCGTTATGACCCGCCCCCCCGCTGACCGCGCCCTGCCTCCCCCCTCCCCCTGTTCCCCCCAGGTGTTGGAGATGCTGTCCTACCTGACCTACTACGGCACCGGCATCAGCGAGCGGCTGTGGGCGCTGTGGCCGCAGATTGAGGCGGCGGTGAACGAGTGGGCGGTGGATTACTGGGAGAACATCCTGGTAGGGCGGGTGTGGGTGTGGGTGTGGGTTGGGTGCGGGGTTGGGAGTGGTCCCGGGCTCGAGCTGCTGTGTTGGACGCCTCGCCAGCCTCATGTCGGCCGACCCTAAAACCCGAACCTCCCCAGGTTCCTCTGGACAACTACATCAGCAAGGACACGGAGCGCTTCCTCTCCTGCGCCGCCCCCGACTACCGCACCTCGCTATTCGGCATGGTCCGCGGCGCGCTGACGGGCGAGGGTTACGGCGAGCGTGACGTGGTTCCCGCCGCCAAGCTGCTGGAGGTGGTGCTACAGAACTGCCGGGGGCGGGTGGACGCCTGGGTGGGGCCCTACCTGCAGCTGGCGGTGGGGAAGCTGCAGAGCGCCACAAACCGCACACTCAAGGTGGGGGAGAGGGAAGGGTGTGCAGGAAGGTACCTGTTGGGAGGTACAGGGAGCGAGGGTAGCACTAGCCGCATGCTTCATGTGTCCAGGACAGCCCGGTAGAGCCTCTGCTCGGTTTCAGTCCCATGCACGGCCCTCCTTACCTCCCTCCCCTCTCCCTGCCTCCCCCACCTCCCTCCCCCTCCGGTCAGGACACGCTGGTGCTGGTGGTGGCAAACGCGCTGTACTACAACGCAACCCTCGCGCTGGGGGTGCTGGCGCAGATGGGCTGCGTGGGCTCCTTCTTCTCCGCCTGGTTCGCCGCCATCTTTGCCACCAAGAAGAGCGGCAAGCCCAAGCACTTCCGGCGGCAGCATGACAAGAAGGTGTGCGTGCTGGGACTGGTGTCGCTGCTGGCGGTACCTGAGGAGGCTCTGCCGGCGGAGGTGAAGGCGGGGCTGCCGCAGGTGCAGGCGGGCGTCATGCGGCTGCTGCTGGCGCTTAAGGAGCAGCAGGCGGAGGCGGAGGAGCTGGCAAAGGAGGAAGACGACGAGGAGGACGACGAGGAGGAGGAGGATGGGGACATTGAGGATGAGGAGGAGGACGATGACGAGGTAATCCGGGCTGCTCGGCGAGGCGCTCGGGACCTGCTGGGCGATGGAGACAGCGAGGGGGAGGATTCGGACGATGAGTTCACGGACGACGAGGAGGTGCACACGCCCATTGACCCGGTGGACCCCTACGTCTTCTTCGCGGATGCACTCAGCGGCCTGCAGCAGCACATGCCCGCCAGGTGAGAAGAGAGGGGAGAGCGGGAAGAGAGAGGGAGGAGCGGGACGCGTGTGTCCCAATGGGAAGTGCCTCGTTGCATGGACCGGGTGAGCTCTGTTGCAACCAAGCCGCATGCCGCTATGAGTCGCGGCAGCTGCGGATTGCGTTTCTGTCACCTTCCCATACTCCAACCGCACATTGCCATCTCACCCCGCCCCCGCCTCCCCCTCCCCCTCCCCCTTCTCAGGTACCAGCAGCTGCTGTCCGCGTGCGACGCCGGCACCCAGGCGGCGCTGGCGGGCATGATGGCGTACGCGGCGGAGCTGCGGAGCAAGCCGCAGAAGGAGACGGGGAAATGAGGGCGGGAGGGGCAGGGGGAGGAGAGGGAGAGCGAGAGGGTGTGGAGTAGTGGTCGTATAGGGGTTGCAGGGGTGAGAGTGGGAGTCGTAGCGCCGCAGGAGCGGTGGCTTTGATAGGGGCGGCTGGGAAGGGGCTTGCTCCGGGAGTGGGATGTGAAGGGGCATGCAGCGTATCATGTCGCAGGATGTAACTCTTGGGGTGGCTTCCGCTGGGGTTGAAGACCCATGAAGGGGCTGCAGGCGGGTGGGTTCTGCAGCAGGGGGTTGGGAAGCTGCATGAGGAGTGTCTCTTTCATTATGCCCCTTGCCTGCTTTCCGGCAGGACTATGCCTTCTAGCGGGGGTTTTGTGATGTACGCATGGGGCCGGGTGTGCGGGCGGGTGTAGATGTGGGGGCCCGGGGGTTTGTTACACGAGAGGGCACGTGTGACGAGGTCTGATGGCTTTGGGGGACTGGCAGGAGTGCGGGCGAGCGAAGGAAGAGCGGAATTGTGGGAGCAAGTGCTATTGGGAGCTATTGGTTGTGAGCAGCGTTAGGAAACCAGAGGCTATGGTTGCTGCGGTCATCAGGGGCTGTGCTGACCCCGATTTCCAGGTAGATGACATCTGTCGCAGGCCCCCCCGAACGTAAACGGGCCCTACTCTGCACCGCGGCTATTTGCCAAGGCAGCACGTCTAGATAACGTTTAAACATAGCCAGGCTGCCCCTCCGAGCTTGACCATGTCACCATCGGACATCCATCGTAACATCGAAAGTGCCCTACCCGACACAAGGCAACTATATTCAAGTATGTCAGTAAATGGAAACTCAGTAATGAAAAAACTACTTCTGCGCCCCGAGCGGGAGAGCGTTCGCAGAAGGCTTGATCTGTTAGCCACTTTCTCTAAGGTGCAGCCATTGGAAAGCCCGAACGTCCTTGTATTTATTGTGGTTTCACGTGTATTTGTACAACTAAGGTTTTTGTCAGGTGCCCTCCCTTGCGCGGAGTGTGCTACTTCCCTTTCGTACCGTACGGCGACTTTGGGCATTCGCGTTTAAGCCGCGGCCGCCACTTGGTTAATATTCACATATTGGTTTCTTCTATACAATGCCTGCATTTTAAGGTAGACACTAGTGCGGAAAGCTTTTTCAGCCCTAATAATAGACTGGAAAGTTGCTGGCTGCCAGCCGTCGAGGAATGCAAGGTAAAATGTCTTTGCATCTTGGAAGCTGAGGTGTTGGCATAACAACAGGACACAACCTCTGCCATTTGCTTCACGGAGTTTATGAAGCTCTTGCTAAACGCGCCGCAGGTGAACTTTTTTAAAACCCTATACTTCCATAACATGGAAGCATACGGATACTTCATTTTGCCAAGGTTAAAGGTGAGGCCTCGCAACAGGCGAAATTGCTTCTTGGTCCAAGCGGCTTCAAGGCTCCCTCAGCACAAAAGCAGCTAAGACGCTCTATAAGTTTAATAAATATTACACTTGTATTCATGAGCGAAAACTCGACGCAACGTACGCCTTGGGTCCATACCAATGGCCCTTACCAATTTGAGCGACTTTCCTACAGTTCTCCCATACATGCCCCTAACGATGATATCCTTGTTAACTATGTTACCTGCAGGCCAAAGCACGCGCAGTTTCCAATGCAGCACTCCATGGCTACTCACCAGCTACCTTCTGTGAAGACACGTGCTCAACTGAAGTCCAAGGCTTGAGACTACGCGACCAAGATCATAAGATTCCTACGCGGCCAAGGCGTCCACGAGCACATGCAACTGCCAGGCAAGTAGAACCCCGGTAGACGTCGTTTAGGTTTCGCCCACGCAGCTGGCTTAACGGACATGCCGCAAGCAGCGGCTGGCTACCGCTGCATGTGGCATGTCTGTTAGGCCGGGTGCGTGGGCAAGGCTTGTTTTGATGACGGTCCGTTGCATGGGTCAGGAAGTGCCTCCGGGTTCCTCGCTTGCTGCTTTCCTAACGTGCGCTTCTCTAGTGTCCCATCCGTTCTCCCATTCCCACCAACCCCTTTTGCCGAGATAGCTGGCGACAAGGTCAAAGGCACCCCATCATCGCCGTCCAAGAGCAACCAGATAAGTGCGGTTTAAGGGCCCCCCCAGGGGATTTTATGAAGGGGTCGGCCCGCATGGCCTAACCAGCCGAAGGGCCCCCCGAGGGGATTATATGAAGGGGTCGGCCCGCATGGCCTAACCAGCCGAAGGGCCCCCCGAGGGGATTATACGAAGGGGTCGGCCCGCATGGCCTAACCAGCCGAAGGGCCCCCCGAGGGGGTATACGAAGGGGTCGGCCCGCATGGCCTAACCAGCCGAAGGGCCCCCCGAGGGGATTAGGGGGACAGAGCGCCTGCTTAAGATCCTCTCTGCGACTCGACCGATAGAGTGCCTCCTTGCCATACCGGTATTGGAATGTGCTACTGCTATGTCCGCCTGACCCATGCGTTGCTTACATGCCTAATCCTTCGATAATTATTGTTACACCTGCATTCAGGACCTTGTACACGAGACCGGGGCATCTCAAGTCAAGATGGGCTTTGCACACGGAGCGGCGACGGCTTCCGACGCGGGAGCGCGAAGCCAGCGGCGTTGTGGCCCTGAGAAAGGGATTATATTGCAAGTAAGTAGCTAGGGGCCTACGTGATGGGATAGGGGCAGGGAGCGCACAGGGATGTGTAGCCGCATCCGAGAGCCGCCTTCCCGGCCCCAGCCGCAGCATCAGCCGTCAGCCTATCAGCCTGCCAGCCTACCAGCCAATCAGCATATCAGCTTCAGAGCGGGATCAGCCCCAGTCGCAGTCCTCAGCCACGCAGCCTCCAGCAGCATACCAGCCGACAGCAGCAGCAATAGCAGCAGCAGCGTTTTGGGGTTAGGGTGATGGGCGGCTTGTCTTGTGTAAACCAATGTCCAATGCACCCCTTGTTGTGCTGCTGAAATGGTCCCCCCTGCTCCCTCCTGCCCTCCTGCGACATGCCCGCCCTGCTTGCTTGCGGATGGGTGTTTGCAACTCATCTCGTCACACCACCACTGTTTCCATCCGAGCTACTTCCCGATACAAATACCTCCAGCTACAGAGATCGGTCCTCTCGTCCGATCACCTGCACTTAGTTACCGTATAGCGGCCTTCAGAGCAGCCTTAGAGCAGAAGTGGTCCGAGGGGATGAATACCGGTATCGGTCAAGATGGGGTCAAGATGCCGTGCACATGTCGGTAGGTAGCGCATGCAGGTGGTGGCAGCGGGTGGCATTACTAGCAAGAAGGCTTAAGAGACGGCGCTTTGCATGAGCCATACACAACCCCACTCTGAACCGTTCCCTACTCTACTGGTGCAGCCGAGCCGGGTGGGTGTTAGCTTATACACACACGTCCAGTTTTCTCAACACACAAACCTCCACTGGCGCCGGGTGTTCCCCGTTTCCCCGGCGAGTAGACGAATCTTCAGCCGCTGCGGTGGTACATTGCGGACAGCGGCTGCAGATTCGGTGTTGTGGCATGGAGTACGCAGTACGGTGCTGGGGGATTATGAACGACCATGTACGACAGCCCTTCTACTTAGGTCCGCAACCGTAAATGGACGCCAGTAAACGCTTTTCTCTGGCCCCGGCTGCGGTGAAGTGGAGGCTGTGCGAGGACCCCATCTGCTGCCGTCGCTGCGGGTGGTGGGTCAGCGCAGCGGAATTGCAAAGGGCGTTGCAAAGGGAGACAGCGGCTGCTCAGCAGCCAGCAGGCCGGAAGGTTCCGAAAGCGCTATAGCAACGCACAAAACACCGATCAAAAGCTCACCGTACAGAACGTTATTCGGCCACCAGAGCGGCGGCGCTCTCATGTCTTACTTGTGTGGTGCAGTCAAACAAGGCAACTCGGCGCCACCGCCCTTTTTCCAAGCTACATCAGAACACGCGACCTCTGTTCGATACCCGCGACAGAGGCTTCCCACCTGCCCGGCAGTCAACGGGTCAACGGCTTTTCCGAAAGGACCGCTCCGACAAGGAGCAGCGTGTCAACACCCAACGCAACACCCACCATTTGGGCGCAACAGCACACCACCAGAAAGGTAAAGAAAGGGCAGCCGTCGTCAAGGACCCGCCCTCAAGTCAAACGGCCACAACCACCGCAGGCAAGCAGGGCAGCCCCCCAGGGCCCCCATTCGCACAAGTCCCCCCGCCACCTCCCCCTGCCACCTCCCCTAGTGCCAGCCAGCTCTCCGTCGCCCCGCGCCCGCCCCCACCTCAACCCCAAATCCCCCAGCTCTAGGACACCAAGCGGTCATCTTATACCACTACTATTATCATTATCATCGTGCGATAATGTCTAGCACAACCAACCAACCCGGCGGGGCCCCTCCTCCATCCCCCGCCCCCCCCCCGCTATGCTCCATGCTGGTGCCCAGGCGGCAGGCAGGCCACAGCGGCGGCCAGCAGCCTCGCCGGCCCGCCCCCTCCCGTGCCACATGCTGCCCCACTGCCGGGCGGCGCTCCTCCGCGGTGCTGTCACAGTGGGTCGCGGCCCCCTCTGCCCCCTTAGAGCCCTCACACAATGCCCGCCGGCAGGCGCACCACCCCCGAACCCTCCGCGTAGGACTTGACGTAGTAGTAGCTGCGGATGGGAGGAAGTGCGGGGGCCAGGAGGGGTGGGAGGGGTGGATAGACATGCGGGGTTGGAGGGGCGTGCGTGCCCAGGTTGCCGCCCACCGTGAAGGTCGGAAGGATACAATGACAAAGCGTGAGAGCAAGCGAGCTGCGAGGGAACACGACATGTCGAAACACATCACAAGGCCATATCACGACCCTCTCCTCCCGCCCCCCTCCGCCCACCAAAAGTCCGCCAGGATGCAGGTCTGCACCACCTCTGAGGCCAGCACCATCACCGGCCACAGCCCGCTGCCCAGCGCCTGCAGCAGGTACTTGTTACCCTCCAGGATCTGACAGGGAGGGTGGGGGGTTAAAGACCATACCATGTAGGCGGGCGGAGGGCGGACAGGCGGCGGTAAGGGTGTGTGAGGGGGGGAGGGGAAGGCGGGCGGGCGGACGAGCCCCAGAGGAGTGGCCCCACCTCTCGACCCCACTCCTATGCGGCTCCATGCATGCTGCCGCACGGTCCTCCCGTCCCTCCTGTGCTGCCTTTCCCAGGCCCTCCTTCCCTCCCTCTCCTCCCTCCCCTCCCCAGGCCCCACCTGCAGGATCCAGTGCGCGCAGCTGAGGAAGCGCGACAGCCCCAGCGCGAACACGTAGTGCGCAGTGAACCGTTCCACAACCTGGGGGGGGAGGATGAGAGGGAAGCAGCGGAGGGGAGAAAAAATTAAATAAGTGAAACAACGAATCCCAATCCCATATCCCGACTCATGCAGTGAGCGCATGAGTCACTCCGGGAGGGGGCGGATAGGTCGGGGATGCGGGGAGGGACATCAGCCGCAGCAGAGGGGTCCAAGCACTGACCCGGCCGCTGTAGGGCAAGGGCAGCCTGTCATGCAAGGTCACCCCGACCCGCGGGTCGCTAACCTTTTGTGGAGCTAACTTCATCCACCTCACACTCGCACGTGCCGACCCCTTACCCCCACCACCCCCTTCCCGCTGGGCTGGCCTGCAGGACCAGGCGGCTCGCAGCAGGCGCCCCTCCTAGCCATGCAGCCCCTCTGGTCAGGACAGCCCACACGCCGTGTGTCCCGCTCTCCCCCTCCCTCCCCTGCACAAGGGACACACCAACCCCCCCTCCCCCTCCCTCGCGCCAACCCAAGTAACGCCCCCCCCCCACCTTGGCCTTCTGCATCATGCGCAGCTGCGGGAGCACGGACACTGCCTCCAGGTACACGCAGAAGGCCCAGAACACCTGGAGGGAGGGGGGGAGGGAGGAGGAGGGGGGAGGGGGTTGCCAACATGCGGCTAGGGACGTTCATGCACACGGCTCGCCCCCCGCACTGCCCTCTCCACGGACAGCTACCGCAGCGGGAGTCCGGCAACCCCTGCCTCCGGGTAACCCCCAGCCGCTGCAGTCCTCCTCCTGGCCCAGCCCTGTGCGGCTCCCTCCCTCCCTCCCTCCCCTGGCAGGAGCCCCGACCAGCAGGTCGCCTTCCGCCTTCTCGTCGCCACCTAGTCCCCGAGGGCGCCCCACCACTGCAAGACCTGACACACTGGAGCCCCCCCTCTTGGCTCCCGTTCCCCCCTCCTCCCCCTCCGCCTCTCCCCCTCCGCCCCTCACCCTGAACAGGTAGTAGTGGCTGGTGGAGGGCTTGGCGACGAGCGCCAGCACCGCGCAGGGAGCCAGCTGGGGGCGGGAGCGGGGGCGGGTGGGCAAGGTGAGGGCGGGTGAGGGCAAGGTGAGGGCGGGTGGGGGCAAGGTGAGGGCGGGTGGGGGCAAGGTGAGGGCGGGTGGGGGCAAGGTGAGGGCGGGTGGGGGCAAGGTGAGGGCGGGTGGGGGCGGGTTAGCGGGACGCTCGATACGTGGTGAACATGTGGCGCCCCAACAGCAGGGAGGGAGGGTGGGGAGGTGCGCAGGTAACTACAGACGTGGTGAACTCCTGTGCTGCCGGGTAGAGCGTGAAGAGGAGGCAGAGGCCGCACCGACCCTGTCCTGTGCACTGTGTAGTAGTCCTTCTGCAGTAGCCCCGTTCGCCTTCCCCTCCATCCACCTCCCCAACCTCCGCTCCCTTCCCCATTCCCTCCGCTCCCTTCCCTCTTCCCGCCTCCCTACCACGTAGTAGAACTTGACGATGTCCTGTTCTTTCTGGTAGGTGGCGCGCATGTCGGTGAGGGTCATATTGAGCACCACCCCCAGCGTGGCCAGCAGCGTCAGGCCGTCCAGCACAGTGTGGATGTCGTACTCCATCATGAAGCTGGCGGGGGGGGGAGCGGTAGGGAGGAGGAGGGCGATGGGAGGGAGGAGGAGGGGGAGACGAGTAGGCAGGGAGGAGGGCGGTAAGCAGGCAGGCAGGAAGGAGTGGAGACGGGAATAGGAAGGTTGAAGACGTGAGGGACCAAGTGGAAGATGTGCGGAGCAGATGGGAAGCGAACGCAAGGTGATGCAATTTGCCAAGGATATTGAACTGAGCTATGTACAACATTTTGACCCTTTGGTTAAGAACTTGGCAAGACAGTTGTCTAGTCTGGCGTGCTTGGAGCACCAGTCGACCATGCGCAACAGCCCAGGGTGAAGACCTAACCCGTCTCCCTGGATGAAAGACGAGACCGCCCTGATATATAAGGTACACGCACCTACAGAAGAGCCTTACAGCCAAAAACGTTGCCGTGAGCAACTGGGATTGGAGCGACAAGCCTGCAATCAAAAGTCAAGACTCCGTTAATAAGCTGCGGCTTTGCTTTTAAACTTCCTTACCCTAGACCCTTGCGTTAATCGGCAGGCAAAGGTTGGTTGCTTTCTTGGAGCTCACCCGCCACCGATTTCTTCTTTTGAAGCTTGTATCCAAGCACGCCGATGCCTAAGAAGTGTGCTATCTCCGCGAGCACAAATAGGGTGTCATGATCCTTAATGGTCCTCCAAAGCACCAGCAATAGCACCACTGCGCTCAACCCGCTGAGTCCAGCCTTCGTGCCAGCGGGTCTTGTCTTGACCCACTGGACCACCGCTATAAGCGGATCCTTAGCTTTGCCCATGGTATCGTCAGTGCCCATTCTAGTCAAGCTATCCGCAGAGACTTTGGCAGGTGATCGGATTGAAGCAACTCGTCGACGCTAAGGTTTTTCTGGGCAATGGCAGGTAATAATAGTATATGCTCAAACTAACATCGAAAACAGCCCTACGGTTGATCAGGCAAGGTTTGAAAGGTGGAAGCCTGCCGGACATGCATGCCGGACAAGGCACAAACCGACAGTGGCAAAAGCTGGGAATTCCCACCGAGAAAACATGCAGAGCTGCACAGATCACTTTTACTTAAACAGCGGACCTTCGTAAAGGTGCTTGCCATTGTTTTTCGTATAGGAGTGGTTGCATTAGCATGCGAGGTCTCGCCAGCATATGGACCAGGAGCATCGCTTGTCAGCAATATCGAGTATTAACACCGCTTGCTGCATCAGAGGTAGCAGAGAGGAGTAAATCTTGCGCGATTGCTGGCTTCGGGCTAATTGCACCACATCCCACGCCGCAACCCGCTTGCAGACCGCTCGCGCCTTGTGCCGGACACCACAATCACGACCCTCTCGTCATCACGGCCTTCGGCTTGGGGCTATGTCGACTAGTTCTCAGCAGCCCGCGACATCCAGCGGCCCTGATGCCTCATCCGGTGGCATTCGGCTGACGCAGCTGTCTCACGGCGGGGGCTGCGGCTGCAAAATCGCGCCCGCGAAGCTGCAAGAAATCCTGCGCGGCGTGCAGCTGGACTTCGGTGGGTAGCGCTGCAGGCTAAGATGGCGGAGGCCGGGCTGAGGCCGCGAGGCCGCGTGGGAGACGGCCTGTCCACCGTGATCAGCGGCCCCTCAGCAGCAGACACCCTTCCCGCCCTCAACCCCGCACTTTGTATCTGGCTCCGCCACCTAACCCCCATGAGGGCCATGACACCACCCCATGGCAACCGTAAACCCTCCCTCCTCCTCGTTGATGCATTTATCTATATTTCCCCTTCTCCTTCCTTCCTTCCTTCCTCTCTCCCTGCATGGGTTTCCTTCTCTCCCCCCCAGGCTCCCCCGACCTGCTGGTGGGCGCCTCCACCAGCGACGACGCCGCCGTGTACCGCCTCACCCCCGACCTGGCGCTCATCCTCACCACCGACTTCTTCATGCCCATCGTGGACGACCCACGGGACTTTGGGCGCGTGGCGGCAGCCAACGCTATCAGGTGGGGGCGGCCCGGGAGCGCACTGCTGCGCGCTTGGGTTCGGAACCCTGGGGCTGCTGCGCTTGGGTTCGAAGCCCTGAGGGGCAGGGCAGCGCAGGGAGGGAAGCAGGCAGGTCAGAAGTCCCCTTTTCTTCCTCCCTCCCACCCCGCCAGTCCGTCATGGCACTCCCATCCGACCCCAACCCCAGCCCGCTACCAGCAGCCCCCCAACCCGGCTGCCTCCCCTCCCTCCCCGCACACCATGCACGTCTACTCGCACCAGAGGGTTCCTAGCAACCCCACACTCGCGCGTCACCCCCAACCCTCCCATCCCCTCCCCCGCCCGCAGCGACGTGTATGCCATGGGCGGCCGGCCGGTGCTGGCGCTGAGCGTGTTGGGCGCCCCCGTGTCGGTGCTGCCGGCGGAGGTGATCGGAGCGGTGCTGGAGGGGGGCGCGGAGACGTGCAGGCGGGCGGGCATCCCGCTGGCGGGTAGGGGCGGGCGGGCGGGAAGATAGCTGGTGGGAGGACGGGAGGGGGCAACGGAGAGGACGGGGCTGGCAGGGAAGGGGCGAGAGAGAGGGATGGTACGGTTGGCGAAGCGATTCCTGCACATACCTGACATACGGTACGCAAGGACGATCCGTATATACGGCGCAGACCCTCAACTCCTTACCCCCTGTCCCCCTCCTCCCCGCCCCCCTCCCCCTGCCACCAGGCGGCCACTCCATCGACACCCCCGAGCCGCTGTTCGGGCTGGTGGTGGCGGGGGTGGCGCCCCCGCACCACATCCGCCGCAACAGCACCGCGCGCGCGGGGGACGTGCTGCTGCTGAGCAAGCCGCTGGGGGTGGGCGCCTGCACCACGGCGCTGAAGAAGGGGCGGCTGGACAGGCAGGGGTACGAGGAGGTGAGGTTTCTTGCTAGTTGCCCCAATCCTGCAGCCGCCTGCTCTCTTGCACGGGTTGCACCCTTCTGACAACTCCTGCACCCCTCCCATTCACCCCCTCCTCCTCCCCCAACTGCTCCCCCCCTCACAGGTGCTGGCCACCATGACGCGACTCAACACGCTGGGTCTGCGAGTGGCGACCGACCCACGGGTCCACGCCATGACGGATGTGACGGGTGCGGACGGGGGTGGGAAAAAAGATGAAGATAGGGCCAGAGGGGTGGGAGAGTGGAAGGGGGAGAGGGTGAGATGGAAGGGGAGGCTGCACGGACAGGGACTAGAGGACGTGGGCTTATCTCACCGCTTCTCACGGCGGCCCCCTGACAGCACCCGAGATGCGGGGTGCATGGAGCCAAAGGGCTCGTGAGTGTATCGCTTGTGAAGTATCTCTTCGCGCCCTTTGCCCTTCCTGGACCACTCGCAACGCATTACCCTAGCCACTCCTCGCCTCACCCGCGCCCCGCCCCGCGCCTCGCCCCGCCGCGGCCCCTTCCATTATTCTTGTCACACAGCTCGTCGGTTTCCTCTTTTTTGTCCCGGGCCCCACCTTGCCCTCGCCGAACCCCAGGCTTGTTTCGGGGCACCCTTCGCCTCCTCTCCCTACTGCCTGGCCCTAACAATCAACGTCCCGCTCCCTGCCCCCTCTTCCTGCCCCCCCCTCCCTGCCTCCCCCCTCCCTGCCTCCCCCTCCCTGCCTCCCCCTCCCTGCCCCCCCTCCCTGCTCCCCCTCCCTGCCTCCCCCCTCCCTGCCTCCCCCTCCCTGCCCCCCCTCCCTGCTCCCCCTCCCTGCCTCCCCCCTCCCTGCCTCCCCCCTCCCTGCCTCCCCCCTCCCTGCCTCCCCCCTCCCTGCCTCCCCCCTCCCTGCCTCCCCCCTCCCTGCCTCCCCCCTCCCTGCCTCCCCCCTCCCTGCCTCCCCCCTCCCTGCCTCCCCCCTCCCTGCCTCCCCCCCCAGGTTTCGGTCTGCTGGGTCACCTGCTGGAGGTGTGTCGGGGCAGCGGGCTGGCGGGGCGGCTGGCGGGCGGGGCGGTGCCGCTGCTGGGGCCGGCGGCCGAGCTGGCGCGGGCTGGGGTGCTGCCGGGCGCCGTGAAGCGCAACTGGGAGAGCTACGGGGGCAGCGTTAGGCTGCAGCCGGGGGTGCAGGTGGGGGGGGGGCGGGGGGTGCAGGTGGGGGGGGGGAGGTTGGGTGGGACGGGGGGGGGGTTTGAAGAGGAAACAACTAACGAGCCGTGTGGTAAGGCGGTGGCGGGGGGTGAGTGGCGGGGTTGGAGAGAAATACCGGAGGGGAAGGGGAGGCAGCGCTGCCTGCTGAGGGCGGTGGGGGCGGCTGGGAAGCAATGCTGCCGGTAAGCATGATGATAGATGCACTGCGGCTGGATTCCCCTCTCCACCTCATGCATCTCTAACCGCCCTCCCTCCTCCTCCCTCCCCCTTCCCTGCCATGCAGCCCTGGCTCCGGGACCTGCTGTGCGACCCGCAGACCAGCGGCGGGCTGCTGCTGGCGGCGGAGGAGAGCGCGGTGGCGGACCTGCAGCGGCTGGCGGAGGAGGAGGCGCGGGAGGCGGGGCAGGGGGGCGGGCGGCTGGTGGTGGTGGGGCGGCTGGAGGCGGCAGGGGAGGAGGCGGCGGGGGGGCTGCCGGCGGGGGTGGTGATGGTGGAGCCGTGAGGGGAGGTAGAGGGGAGGTAGAGGAGGGGAGAGGGGGTGGAGAGAAAGAGAGGCTGGCAAAACGACGAGAGTGTTGAGGCGCGGAGTAGAGATGCACGGGGAGGGCGTGGGTGAGGGCGGAGAAGGGGGGGGTCAGGGGCTGTTGACATTAGTTGTGTTGACATTAATTGTGTTGGAGGTCGGAAGGGCAGAAGTCGCGGATGTTCCGGTGTGCCAGCAGTACTAGGGGTGACAGAAGGGGGGCAGCCGTACGCGCTTGGTTGGACTGGGGGGGACGGGTGCGCCCATGTGCCCCTGCTAGCCCGCCGGACTGGGGCCCATGCAGGGTGTAGCTGCCGTACACCCGGCTGAGCTGGGCTGTGGGCTGAGGCGCAGCGGGAGGAAAGAGTGGCGAAGAGGATGGGCGAGGGAGAGAGCGGCGGGAGGCGCGGACCATGCGATGTTACGTTGTTGCACTCCAGTGCTCCAATGTCCTCAGAAGTAATGCGTACAATTAGCTTGCAGCAAATCAGCATTAAGTGCCTTAAGTAACAATATATACGACCCAGGGAAGAAAGTCGCCATTCTAGGAAATCACATTTTCTGCGAGTAGCTGGTATCATTGTTATCAGGCCCTGCAGTTGAGGCGGAACTAGTTGAGGATGTAAACGAAAGTGAGTACTATATTCGTTTCATACTTGTCCTATTACGGTGAAGCGACCCGCCACGCCCTGCCCGGCATGGGCGCATGACAATGAATTCCGATGACCTACGCCATTGTGTCACTTCCATCATTACAGTACCTCATATGGTGTATATAGATTATGAAATAAAAGTCGCCTAAGGTTAATGTGTTCAATTCGCACTTCAATTGGAGTAATTGCTTAAGGGCACCGACTACCTACCGGTTCCGGGTACATCTTCAACACTCGCCTATTATAAAGTCCTTACACGGTATTGCAGTATCAAATATAGCACCGAAGATGGTGCTCTGGAGTATGCTATAGGCTATTCCTGTAGAAAGATACAAGCTTCTGAAGTAATACGTCGAAGTGTTAACTCGGCGCTGAACTTTAAAGCACTTCTACACCTATGAATAGTCCTAATCAAATGCAGTGAAGCTGACGTAAGACATGCACGGAAGAACACTAATACCGACAAGCCTCGCTTACAAGCGATAATACATGGCTTTAGGAACAGTGCACGAAGCAAACCAAGCAAGTACTTCTTCTGGGCCAAGACTGCGATAGTGCCCCAATCTGTCCCCCGGGACCACATGCCGTGGATTGTACTCCCCCCGCAAGAGCTTTCCTTGCAAACGGAAGCTGGCACTGCTAAGCCCTGTACTTACTTACTTGGAGGATTAGGATGACCGGCGACTATAGCAGGTTTTGGTTGCACGCGCGTCGCTCAGTCGTCTGGCAAGGTCGCTGACCTGCATTGAAATATTTACATTACAATTGCCTTTTCGTTACGTTCCTCCTACGTGGCCAACTTGGTTTCGCGTCATTCTCTCGCGTCACCCTCTCGCGTCAGTGTCCGGCCAATGAGGAGGGTCGGGACTCTACTAGTCACGAAGGCTTCGCTGCGGACGAGATGTTCGCAGGTTGGCCTTCGGATTACCTCGGAGCGGGGCTTAGGGGGCTTCGTCGCAGCCTACTCGACCAGCGATGCAGCTGACAAGCTCCACATTTGTGTCGTGGGCTCAGGCCCCGCGGGCTTTTACACTGCTGATCAGGCAAGCACGCGCTGGTATTGGGCAACGGTGAAAGCAGGTTGGACATCTTGGGTAAATCGTGGACGTCTCATGGTTTTCACGGTTTTCATAGTTTTGTTGTCAGGGCTGCAGAAGATGCCAGGCCGGTTTGCATTGGATAGCTCTCCGTTCTCTGGAACATGGTACATATATAACCGGTTAACTTGCGATTATCGCATTTCGGCTTTCTTGGCAGTTGGAAGTCTGACTCATTCTAGCCTCCACTTTGAAGCACCTGTTTCCTTCCCTGTGCCCTCTCCTCCACAGCTGCTCAAGCGCTACGAGGACAAGGTGCACGTCTCCCTCTTGGTGGGTGGCAGGGAGGCTGGATGCCGTACAATTGCTGGCATGTTATTTAATTGTACGTGCCTTCCCTTCACATAGCTTAGCTGCGCTTTGCAGTGGCGCCAGTGACAGGCTCATCACATGCGCTCACGTCCACCTCGTGAAGTTCCTTCCTTCATACCGCTGTTCTTCCCCGTTCCCTGGTCTCATCCCGCTTCCCTACTCTCGGTGTCGCACCCCCAGGACCGGCTTCCCACACCCTTCGGTCTGGTTCGGTCGGGGGTGGCTCCTGACCAGCAGGACACCAAGGTGGGGTTGTGGAGGGGGGCTGATGGTGGAGGGGGTCTCTGGAGGGGGTCACAAGAACACAAGGGGTCAGTGCAGGAGGGCAGTGGGAGGGGCATGGATGGGGTTGACGCAGTCGAGGGGGGCTCTAGAGGGCGAGCAGGAGGGCCTGTGGCGAAAATGGCGGGACGACAGGCACGAGGGGTGAATCAAGGAATGGCAGGGTCAAAGACATGAGGTGACAGCGCTAGAGCAGTAGAGTGGATGGGAGCCATCAGCGGGTCAGCTGGGGTGCCTGCAGCTGGGAGGCAGTTTGGGAGCACGGGGGTGCGGGGCCTGGGGGTGACTGGGTGTGCGAGCCACCGCCGCCCCCCTGCTTTCCGAAGCGCTTCAGCTCGCTTCCTCACACATCTTTTCTGCCCATCCCAACACCCTCGCCTGCTGCTCCTCAGAACGTGATCAACCAGTTCAGCCAGGTGGCCTCCGACCCGCGGGTCAGCTTCCTGGGCAACGTGACTGTGGGGCAGGACGTGCAGCTGCGGGAGCTGCGGCAGCTGCACCACGCGGTGAGGGGAGGTCTGTTAGGAAAAGAAGGGGTAGAAGGGTGGGAGAAGGTATTAAAAGGTAGGGCGCTGAGGAGCGGTGGCCCTCGTGTTTACAGTGTTTGCAGTGAGCCGGAGCTTGTCCGCACACCGACTCAACCTTACCACCCGCGCACTGCCTCTCATCCCCTACGAGCTCCTCCTGACCACCTCCTCTCCCTTCTCATCGCCCCCCCCCTCCCCGCCGCCTCCGCCCCCCGCTCCCCAGGTTGTGTTGTCGTACGGCGCCGAGAGCGACCGGCGGCTGGGTATCCCCGGCGAGGAGGGCCCCGGTGTGCTGAGTGCGCGCGAGTTCGTGTGGTGGTACAACGGACACCCGGACGCCAGGGGGCTGAATCTGGACCTGCGCAAGGTGGGGGGAAAGGGGGAAAGGGTTGTGCTGCTTAGGTCGGGTGCATTGGGAAGTTGATGGGGTTTCCCCTCCCTCCCTCTTTCCTCACCCTGTCTTCCTCAAATTTTACCTCTCTCCCCTCCCCAGGTCCGCTCAGTCGCCGTATGCGGTCACGGCAACGTGGCACTGGACTGCTGCCGGACACTGCTGGCGCCGCCCACCCGCTTCCAGCCCACTGACATGGCAACACACGCGCTGGGGCGGTTGCAGCTGGGGACGGGGCCGAGGGAGGTGCATCTAATAGCCGGGAAGGGACCGGTGCAGGTGTGTAGCAGCGCGAAAAGGCTTACTCGAGATGGCAGGAACCCCCTAGGTCTTGGATATATTCTTGGGTATTCTGGGGCTGGGGCGGGTGTGCCCTGCTACAAGGTGAGAGACTTGTTTTCAACATCGTAGCCTAGTTTCCGCCCTCTCTTTGTTTCCTTTCCTTGTCGCCTTGCATGTTAGTCGGTTTAGGACTGCGGGCGGGTTGGGGATACGAACCTTGGGACGCTTACGAGGGAAGGGCCGGTTGGGAGCTCGGGTGCACGCAGCTGCACATAGCCAAGCAAGGAGGTCGGCGTTCAGGTTAGCAGCCGGCCTCCACTTCAGCTGCTTCTGGCGCCGTAGTTGGTTGGTTGCTGGTCTGGACTGTGTGTGCTGGACAGCCGATGATGCACATCGCATTCACTGACTCCATTCCTACAATGTTACAGCCCGTTGCGAAGAACCCTAAATGTATACCCACCACCACCACCAGGCCGCCTGCACGCCCAAGGAGCTTAAGGTGCTTCTCAGCGAGTGTGGATTGGAGGCGGGCATCGCAGCACCCGACCAGGTGGGAGCGGGAGGGGCCACGGGGGGTAGTTGGGGGGGACAGAGGTGAACACTACTGGGGCGGGTAGAGGCGATGGGCAGATGACGGCTCAAGACTGCTGAAGGCTGCTGCGCGTGCGATGATGTGTATGGGTGGCCGGGCCACGAGGAGAGGAGCTGTGGGTGCAGGAGCCGCCCCGCTGCTCACCGTAACAGTGGGGTGGTGATGCAGGGCGGAGGCGGCAAGCTGCCAGCCAGCCGGTCTGTGCTGCAGCACTGCCCCTCCCGCCGCACACCCACGAATAAGTGGGAATCGTGGCCGTCCAGGACTGCAAACATGCATGCATGCGTGCATGTGTGCATGCGTGTGCGCTCCTCGGCCCCTATCCACCACACCCGCCCCACTCCGCCTTTCGCTTCCCCCTGCTTACCTCCCCAGCTGGATGTGTCAGAGGCGGATACTGAGGAGATGAAGGCCAATCGACCCAAGCGGCGCATACACGAGCTGGCCAGCAAAGCGGTGGCGGACAGCCTGAAGCGGCAGCAGCAGGGCGGGGCGGGGGAGCGGCGGCTGTGGTTCCAGTTCTACCGCAACCCGGTGGAGGTGCTGCGCGGGCCGGATGGGGGAGTCACGGGTGAGGAGTGCGAGGTGGAGGGGGCTGTGGTGGGGCTGCCTCGGTTGGGGTGTCACAGGCGACGATGAGAAGACGGCTGTTGAGGGGATCCCGCGCATGGCTTCCGGTATGCCTGTACTCATGTGCTTACCGGTACTCTCATCCTCACCTTCTCTCTCCTTTCTTCCAACACCTCCCTCTCACCCTCCCCACTCCCCCACTTCCTTCCCCTGTACCGCCCCGCCCTGCCCTACAGGCCTCCGAGTGGAGCGCACCGCAGTCCGCCCCGGCCCCGAGGGCGGTCCTGCAGTAGCGGTGGGAACCGGGGAGTACGACACGCTCCCCTGCCAGCTGGTGGTCAGGAGCGTTGGGTACAAGGCGCTGCCGCTGCAGGTAGGTTGAAGTGAGGGGCAGGAGTGGCCGGTGGTGGGGGTTGCAAGCAACAGTTCAGGATCAGCAGCCGCTGAAAGCCGATTCCACACTTCTCATCCCGCCCTGTTCTGCGCTCCTCGAGCCTCATGTGCCACACCCGTCGTTCCTTCATGATGTCCCGCCTCTTTGCTCCTCTTCCGCCGTTGCCCCCCACTTCCTCCCTTCCCCAGGGGGTTGCATTCGACAACCGCCGCTGGGTGATACCCAATATGGAGGGGCGAGTGCTGCAGGTGGGGGCGGGGGGGGGAAGGACGGGTTGGAGGTCGCGAGGGCTGTGCGAGCTGTGCGGCCATGAGAACTGAAGCCAGGCTTAAGACGCCCAAGGGAACCCACCACTCGATAGCAGCAGCAACGTTTGCTCACTAATGGCGGATTTCGCCGCACCCCTGGCTCCTCGCTACAAACCTAAAGGTGCTGCCACCCCTTTGCTGGCCCCCAGGCGGTCCCCGACGCCTCCTCCACCGCTGTCCCTCCCCCGGTGGACCCGGGGCTCTATGTGGTGGGCTGGCTCAAGCGTCCCAACGGCGGCATTGGAACTATGCTGTTGGATGCGGAGGCAATGGTCGCAAGCCTGGTCTCAGACACGGAGCAGCTCAAGAAGGCGGCCGAGGTGACCCACGGGTCGGCGGGGCCGGCGGGGTTGGCGGGTCTGCGGTCGCTTCTGAGCGAGCGGGGCGTGCGGGTTGTGGATTGGGGGCACTGGCGGCGGCTGGACGAGCATGAGGTGGCTGTGGGGCAGGCGGCGGGGCGGGTGCGGGAGAAGGTGACGGATGTGGGGGATATGCTGCGGGTGTGCGGGCTGGCGGCGGAATGAGGGCTGAGGGGCGATATCGTTGGGTATACTCGCGACGGGCTGTAGTGCAGTTAAAGACAAGACAGGTACACATGTCCGCCGACATGGGAAGTTACAGAGTGGTAGTAGCAGTAGCAATGAATGCACAAACCGTTTTCGAGGGCAGCAGCAGTGATCAGGCTACAAACCATGATGAACGGCCCATTGGCCAGCGGCTGCTGTGATCTACGTGTGATGTGTTGGAGGATGGCTGGCTGGTGCTTGAGCTCCACCCTACTGCATATTGTGATCTCCGCCAATAGGCTGTTGTGCGGTTATGCGGCTGTGTGCACCTAAGCATCCCGCCCTGCCCAACATGCGCAAGTGACCCCTGGGTCTAGTAAAGCCCAGCCCTCCCACTAGTCTCAACCCGGCAAGTGAAGAGGGGTGGAAAGGGAGAATGAGGGGCTCGGGCTGGAGGTATTGAGGAGGCGAACCGCATTAGAAACACTTTTAAAGTAATATTGAAGGTAATGGGTAATGATGGTCTTAAGTTGAAATGAAGACTATAGAAAGCCGGACGGGTGGCGGTGGGTGGTGTGTGAGTTGACGGTGTGAGTGATACCGGGTGGTGGTGTATATTTCGCAGGTAGGGGGCGACAGGGATGCGGGTGAAGACGTGGGGCAGGTGCAGGGCTACAGCATCAACTGTGCTTCTCAACAATGCGCATCACACACGCATACACGGAAACAAACGCACCTGCAACGCGCATGTGGCCCCACAGGTGCGGGGCAGGTGCGTTCGTTCCCATGTATGCGTGTGTGATAAATTAACTGGCCGTGTTGAGACAAAGAAAGCACTATGGGTTTGCAGGGCAATCGTTTCTCTGAAGGTGAACGGGGATTCTCTTGCAGCAGCAATGAAGATGTACCAAGTATGGAGGTTTTCGTGCGAAGTACGGATTGTTTTTGGACTGCTGTGGACTGGTTCCTGCTTTCCTCATTGGGTGCTACCCAAACAAAGGCACATGGCTGCTTTCCCCGCAATGGGCATGTGCGACTCCATGTGTACGAATACTTCCCAAGTAATTCCAAGCGACATCGTACACCGCTATCAGCCTGGCAGGATCGACACGCGCTTGCTACACCCAGTATGGCATAGCACAGCGCACCCCCTCCCCAAACTCGTCGCCACCACCTTAATGTACCTGCGCCCTGCTGTTGCAGGTTTGAATTGTTGCTGTCAGGTGGTGCTGCCATGGTAAACACGGCATGTGCCGTTTCGCAAGCACGAGTAGTGACCTTGCTGCGCCCCATACGCCGAGCTGTTAGCTCTATTTTCATCAGTAGCCAAGTTGGTGTCTGTAGTGAGGATCTGTGAGCGCTATCGCTTTGCGCGGACGACTTGGGAGCTGACAAAGAAACGGTTATGCCGACAATCCTCGTTTATAAACATTACAATTATCGTCGTCATACACTTCAGGATAAGGGGAATGAAGTACCTCTCTTCTGGGCCAAGACTGTGATGGTGCCCCAATCTGTCCCCCGGGACCACATGCCGTGGCATACTTTCAATGTACTGCCGCAACAACGTCTTGCTTACCTTGCAAATAGGTGCTTGCGCTGGCACACTTTAGATTGCAAGGAGACTACGGATTGCCGGCGACTAGTACAGGTTTTGTTTCCACGCACGTCGCTCAGTCGGTTGGCTGACCAACATTGACTTTAGTTCAGTTTGTGGCCCAATTGCATAACTTCCCTCCATATAGCTAAACGATTATCGGCTTCTTTTTCTCTTACACGCTAGTATCCCGCCAATGAAGAGGTTCGGGATTCTATCAGTTACCGAGGCTTTATTGCGGACAAGATGTTCGCAAATTAGTCTTCGGAGTATCTCGGAGCGGGGCTTAGGCCGCTTCGTCGCAGCCTACTCGACCAGCGATGCAGCTGACAAGCTCCACATTTGCGTTGTGGGCTCAGGCCCTGCGGGCTTCTACACTGTTGATCGGGTGAGTATGCGCCCTTGCTTCCGCGGTGTAGTAGGTGAACTTAGGTTGGACAAAGCGGCCCAGCGCGACCGTTTCATACTCCTGTATGGCTTGCAGAAGCGGCCGACTGGTTCGGGTTACAAACTTCTCCACTTCCTTGAATATGACATATTTCAGAGTAACTTGTGGTCATCGTGTTTCGGCTTTCTTGGCAGTTGGAAGTCTGACTCATTCTAGCCTCCACTTTGAAGCACCTGTTTCCTTCCCTGTGCCCTCTTCAACACAGCTGCTCAAGCGCTACGGGGACAAGGTGCACGTCTCCCTCTTGGTGGGTGGCAGGGGAGCCGGCTGGATGTCGTGCAATTGCTCTGTGCCTTCACTTCCGGGATGTGGCTTCACTGCGCTCTGCGGTGGTTGCCAGGCTGGCTGAGTGTGCATGTCCGCGTCATTAGGTTTCTTCCAACACCGCTGCTTCTCACGGCCTTCCTTGCCTTTGTCCGCATTGGTCTTGCGTTTGAATTGGGCTGTCGGTATTCCTTCCCTACTCTCGGTGTCGCACCCCCAGGACCGACTGCCCACCCCCTTCGGTCTGGTTCGGTCCGGAGTCGCTCCCGACCACCAGGATACCAAGGTGGGAGACGGTGGGAGGGGAAGGGAAGGGGGGGGGGAGGGGCACAGCGGAGGGGCAGATGAGGGGATAGTGCAGGAGGGCAGTGGGAGGGTCAGGGACGGGGTTGACGCAGCCGAGGGGGGGGATATAGATAAATGTATCAACGGAGCCCCAATCCCGAAACCCGACTCATGCAGTGAGCCGAGGGGGGTTGTAGAGGGCGAGCAGGAGGGCGAAAAGGGCGGGCGCGTTGGCTGAACAATGGAATGGCAGAGTCAAAGACATGAGGTGACAGCGCTAGAGCAGTAGGGTGGATGGGAGCCATCAGCGGGTCAGCTGGGGTGCATGCAGCTGGGAGGCAGTTTGGGAGCACGGGGGTGCGGGGCCTAGGGGTGACTGGGTGTGTGCGACCCTGCGAAGCTTTCACCCGCTTTCCTTCTCGCTCCAACACAACAAGACTACCCGTATTCCACCTGCTCCCAAGAACGTGATCAACCAGTTCAGCCAGGTGGCCTCCGACCCGCGGGTCAGCTTCCTGGGCAACGTGACTGTGGGGCAGGACGTGCAGCTGCGGGAGCTGAGGCAGCTGCACCACGCGGTGAGGGGGTCATGCAAATGAGTGGGTAGGGAGGTGCCGCTGCGGGCGGGGTGCCGTCGTGCTCCTTGGGGGGCCAGGCTGCCCACACATCCCTGTAGGCTGCAGCTCTAGCACCATCAGAGACAGCCCCGGATGTAGACGGTGGCATCTGGGTCTGCTCCTCCTGACCACCTCCTCTCCCTTCTCAACCCCCCCCTCCCCGCTGCCTCCGCCCCCCGCTCCCCAGGTTGTGTTGTCGTACGGCGCCGAGAGCGACCGGCGGCTGGGTATCCCCGGCGAGGAGGGCCCGGGTGTGCTGAGTGCGCGCGAGTTCGTGTGGTGGTACAACGGACACCCGGACGCAAGGGGGCTGAATCTGGACCTGAGCAAGGTGGGGGGCAGGGGGGGGAGGAGGCGAGGGGCGGGGGATTGGAAAGAGGCGCTTATCGTTGTGTTGGTTAGGGCGGATGGCTGTGTAGGCTAATAGGGTTCTGTGGTGGCATAACCCTGGTTTCCCCAAGGATTCAGTGCCGTTCCCCTTCCTCCCTCTCTATGCTACCCGTTTTCCCACTCCCTCCCACTCCCTTTCCTCCGCTTTAACCCCCAGGTCCGCTCAGTTGCCATCTGCGGTATCGGCAACGTGGCCCTAGACTGCTGCCGGGCTCTGCTGGCCCCACCCACCCGCTTCCAGCCCACTGACATGGCGGCACACGCGCTGGGGCAGCTGCTGGGGGCGGGGGCGGGGCCGAGGGAGGTGCACCTGGTGGCTAGGAGGGGGCCGGTGCAGGTGAGAGGGAGGGAGGTGGGCTGAGATGGGAGGAGTATCGGGCTCCCCTCCTGGAGTTGCCGCAGCCTCTGCTGCGGGCTGCGGGTGTTAGGACGTGTGCGGGCCCACACACGGCCCCCACACGCCCTCCTACCTGCATGCATGCGATTACGGTGGCAGCTCCGTTTCCACGCCGGACCGTCCTAATCCCTCACCCGCTCCTTCCCTCCCCTCCTTCCCTCCCCACCTCCCACCAGGCCGCCTGCACGCCCAAGGAGCTCAAGGAGTTGCTCAGCGAGTGCGGAGTGGAGGCGGGCACTGCGGCACCCGACCAGGTGGGGTAAAGAGGAAATTGACGAGCTGTATGACGAAGACCAAGTGGGGGGCCAGGACCAGGGGGCATAGGTGGGGAAAGGGCGGGTGGAGCAGATGCCAGCTTAACATGGCAGAGCGTGCTGCGGGTGTGCGGTAAGATAACTGACCGCGAGTAGGAACGTGCCTGGGTGTGTGCGGCAGCAGCGGGACGGATTCAGGCCGGCGACCAGCTGCCAGCTGCCTCTCCTTTCGCCGCCCGACTGCTCCCAGCCGCTGCATGCGTCAACTGCATGCTCGGTCCTCATCCGCCTCAACCGCCTTCTGCGCCCCACGTCCCTTCTTTCACCCCGCACTTCCCTCCCCAGCTGGCTGTATCTGAGGCGGACGCAGCTGAGATGAAGGCCACTCGCCTCAAGCGGCGCGTGCATGAGCTGGTCAGCAAAGCGGTGGCAGACAGCCTGAAGCGGCAGCAGCAGGGCGGGGCGGGGGAGCGACGGCTGTGGTTCCAGTTCTACCGCAACCCGGTGGAGGTGCTGCGGGGGCCGGACGGGGGAGTCACGGGTGAGGAGTGCGAGGTGGAGGGGGCTGTGGTGGGGCTGCCTCGGTTGGGGTGTCACAGGCGACGATGAGAAGACGGCGGCTGAGGGGATCCTCGCGCATGGCTTCTGGATCTCGTGCACTCGTGCGCTTACTGGTACAGTACTCTCATCCTCGCCTTCTCTATCCCTTCTTCCCTCACCTCCCTCTCACCTTCCCCCCGCCCTTGCGTGTTTCTAGATTAGTGTCTCCGAATGCGCTCACTGCATGAGTCGGGATTCGGGATTGGGATTGCGTTGTTGCATCTATTTATAATTTTTCCCCCGCCCTTCCCCACTTTCCCCGCCCTACCCTGCAGGCCTCCGAGTGGAGCGCACCGCAGTCCGCCCCGGCCCCGAGGGCGGTCCTGCAGTAGCGGTGGGAACCGGGGAGTACGACACCCTCCCCTGCCAGCTGGTGCTCAAGAGCATTGGGTACAAGTCGCTGCCGCTGCAGGTAGGCCGGAAGGAGGGGCAAAGAAAGATAAGTGAAGCACTGGAGTCTCAACTCCATGGCTCAACTCATGCAGATGAGGGAAAAGACAATGTGCCCACTAGGGACAGGAAAGGCGGAGGTTCGGTGTGCGTGTCCAACCCTTCTCCTCGCTTGGGTTTCTCCTCGTTTGCGGCACCTTGCATAGCCCTACAAACCTTGTGCGTCGTCCCCTCGTTATACCCCTCACCTCACACTGCCTTCCCGCCGCTGCCCCTTCCCCAGGGGGTTGCGTTCGACAGCCGCCGCGGAGTGGTCCCCAACGTGGAGGGGCGGGTGCTGCAGGTGGGGGCGGGGCACCACCCCGACCCCGGGGGGGGGGGGGGGCGCAGGCGGGCTGGGGTGGATGTGCGAGGGATGCTCGGGACACTACTCAGGAGCAGCAGCAACGGCTATTAACTAGTGATAACTGGTTTCGATGTAACCCCTGATTCGCTGCCGCAAACAGTGCTGCTACCCACGTATCCCACTCCCATTCGCCACAACCTCACAGGCGGTCCCCGAAGCCTCCTCCACCGCTGCTCCTCCCCCAGTGGACCCGGGGCTCTATGTGGTGGGCTGGCTCAAGCGCGGCCCCACCGGCATTGTGGGAACAAACCTAGTGGACGCAGAGGAGACGGCTGCAAGCCTGGGCGCCGACACGGAGCAGCTCAAGAAGGCGGCTGAGGTGACCCACGGGTCGGCGGGGCCGGCGGGGTTGGCGGGGCTGCGGTCGCTTCTGAGCGAGCGGGGCGTGCGGGTGGTGAATTGGGGGCACTGGCGGCGGCTGGACGAGCATGAGGTGGCTGTGGGGCAGGCGGCGGGGCGGGTGCGGGAGAAGGTGACGGATGTGGGGGAGATGCTGCGGGTGTGCGGGCTGGCGGCGGAATGAGGGCTGAGGGGTCGGGGGAGTGAGTGACGGGGGAGTGCGTTAGGGTCCATGGAGGAGAAATACCGGTATTGGCAATGCAAACATTTTTGAGGTAGTAATCAAGATAATGGACAATGACTTCGACTTGATGTTTAAATAAGTACTGTCCAGCTGGGAATTGGTGGTGTGAGTGGTGACTTGAGCGGCACAGGGGGGGCACGTATGCAGGTGGGATGCGGGACAGGTGCAGGGCTGGAGCCACAGGTGCGGGGTTGGAGCCACAGGTGCGGGCCAGGTTTGTTCGTTCCTATGTATGCGTATGTGGTGCTTGTGAGATATGGGGATAAACAGCAAGAAGATGCAGTTAGGCGCGACTCTTGGAGGCGAACAGGGAGTCGTTGGCACTAGCAGTGCGAGTGGAGGTGGCAAATGTATCAACATTCGTGTATACTTATGGACTGTTACAAGCCGTTTACGGGTTCTCCGGCTGCCGCCGCCTCCTAAAGCTGCTGCTTTCCCGAAATGAAGGTACATAGTTCTCCTCCCCCACAGTCGACGTGTGCTGCTTTCCACATTTCCAGACATCCCAAGCACTCCCGCTAACCATGCAAATGACTACCGGTACACGCGACATCGTCGTATCACCCCGGCAGGACCACCAGTCCTCACCAGCATCGCAGCTGGCTTCCCTGCTGGGCCACACGTGCTCCACCGGCATGGGCACAGGACAGGACAATGTAGCCCAAGTACAACAACCTCTCAGCCGCCGGAGACTCCACCGCAACCGCACCGCTACCTGTGCTAACTAGCTAGCAACAGATGCCATAGCTCAAAGACACGTAGCTGGGTTGAAGGACGTACATAGTGTACTAACATACAATACGGTTCAAACACGATGCAATGATATGTTCACATGCCGCCAGCCCGCCCTCCTTAGCCCAAACCTTGACAACAGCACTAGGATCGCACTACCCCTCCTCACAAGTCGGCTGCAATCGTGCAGCAGCAGCAGCTATTATAAGGCAGGTATCAAATGAACAGACGCAAAAGCGCCGCATAAAGAAAAGCGCCACCATCCGAACTGTTGACAGTCACATTCCTGCTCCCAGCCCCACTGCAACGTCCAAGCCAAGATCTGTAACACATCAACCGGCCCGCCCCCTGCACCATGTCCCGCGTCCTGGCATGACGCGTCAAACTACATGCAACCTACCAGCCCACCCATTGACAGCCTCTATCGGAAACACAAGCAGCGGCGCACAACAAACGCCACCGGAGGCCCCTCGAAAGAGAGGGGTGCTGTCAGGCAGGAGGAGGAAGAGGAGAAGCGAAATAACTCAACCGATGAACCGCTCTACGGCAGCACGCCGTATGCTACCGACCTATGGTACTGCAATCCACCGAACAGCCAGGAGCCATAAGGACCATGGCATGGAGCAACCGACGTGCTTCCCAAAGCTGCGTGCAAACCAAGCAACCAAGCAATCCCTCCACCGTTTAGCTGCGCTACACATGTGGAGCGCCAAACACGCAGGGAAGGATGAATGCCCCGCGCATGCTGCCCTGCTCCCTTCTCCGCGATGCACAACTACCCGTATACATGCAAATTGCTATCCACCTCAACACGCCCGCCCCAACCACCAGCCATATGCGCATGCATGCTACCATGATGCCCACGCAACCCCCCCCCAAGCATGCGCTGCCCCCGTTCACGCCCTCCGCAGCCTGCCTCTCCCCCGCGGGTGCACCTCCTCCTCCGACTCCTCCGTCTCCTCCTCCTCGCCCGAGTGCTGCTGCCGCCGCCCCTCCTCGCTGCTCACCTCCTCCTCCTCCTCGCCCTCCGCCGCGTGCTGCCGGCTGGGCCGCTCCTGGTTGAAGTTGTTGCGCACATCGTCCGGCTGCATGCCTCCGCCTCCCCCGCTGCCTCCGCCTCCGCCGCCACCGCCACCGCCTGTACGCGATGCAAGGGCCAGGAAGCATGCAGGTGTCAAACAACCCGTTTTGGCAGCGGACAGGGGCAGGCAGGCGCGACCTGGCTTAACCGGGGCTCCACGCGGCGCCCCGGCTGACGCCCGTGAACCCCATGAACTGAGTGACCAGGCAGCGGCCCAGCGGCACCAGGGGTGTGATGCAGGGGTGGGATTAATGGCTAGAGCATAAGTAAGAACGCAGCCTGGACCTCCCCCGGGGCGCTGGGGGAGTGCCCTTGCCGGCTTACCTCCACCGCCTCCTCCTCCGCCACCGCCACCACCCCAGCCACCGAAGTTATCGCCGCCGTACCCCGTGACGAAGAAGTAGAGGCCGAGTACAAAGAGGTTGGGCGCCACGTTTCGAGCTGTGCGCTCCCAACCCCATCCGTCGCCGCCCCCACCCCCACCGCCACCCTGCAAGTACATGGATATCGCCACGACCGGTAGGGCGGTTACATAGGAACAGCACGCTAACGGCGATTTGACTCTTTAAGTAAAAGAATGCATCCTGGTGAAATAAGCAAGGTAGCTATCCCGGGCCAACTCCACTTTCGCCTGACGCATCCACATCCGACCTACATTGCTGTCAATTGGCGGAAGGTTCGGCGGTCCACTAAGTCGCCGTTTCGTTGCTGTATTCCCAGACTGTGCTTGACCGGCGGTAAGTACCAGCCGCCTCCTCGTTGATGCGACCTGCAGAGGGAAGGCGACCAATCGGGTCGCACAATCGGCTCAGTGGAGGCAACCTGGAGCGGAAAACTAGCAACGCGTAATTCATATGATACACGGTGTCCAATTCTGGCAGCCAATCCCTTTGTCGGCTCCAAACCTGGTAGCATCTACTAGAAGGCGCACCTGAGGCCGCAACACCGGACATAACCTCCGCTGTGGTGTCGTTCCGCAACAACACCCTCGTTGGAGAGTTCTTAACGCCATGAAAGCTTGGCGTAACTAGCTAGAGTTCCCTAGGCTCCCCTCAGTCACAAGTTGAACTAAAACGTCTTAAGGGAAAGCTTTCAGCTGCTTTTAGTATCTAAGTAAGTAGTATGCGACAAGTCTTTAACGTTACTGGCAATTCGAGGGGAATTGATAGGCTTCGCGGCGGAGTGGCCGTCGCGTTGCCGTACAATGACGTTGTGGAGGGTAAGGAGTCGATCTGGCTGGAAATTAATCGCTGACAATTCACGAGGTAAATATAGAGGTCGTGGGTGGCCACCAAAAAGTGCGCTTTTTCACCGAATCCCGGTTTGGTGTCGTTGGTCGAGCACGTGTAACCGGGGAAGACATCGAGCCTTAGCGCAGCAGCCATAAGATGCACGGAGAAAGCTATACAGATTTTGGACGTCTCTGGGTTATAAAAATCTCTGGCACACTGTAACGAAGAACTGTTTGTCGGACGCTCGGGGCCTCAGCTACTGTTTTCATTGCGCAGAAACCTCTGTGAGCTCTACGAATGGACTCTTGTAGTGATTACCAGGGGCGAGGCGCCCACATCCGCGAGCCCACATCCGTCACAACCCTAGGTGGAAAGGGGAGGGTCCGCCAGTCCCTAGCACCACCTAAGCCCCGATTGAACCGCCAACTGCACCGTAACACCATGTACGCCCCCCACCATACCCACCACACATTATTTGAGCATTGTGCTGCCATACCACCGCACCAACGGCCGTGAACCAACGCTGCATGAAGCTAGTTGACCCTCACGCGCCACGCCCCTTCAGAGTGAGCGACGATTCCGAAATCAACCTCTGCCTCTCGCCACATGTCAACACGTGCCGACCCTGCCCTCCCTGCCCTCAACCCCGCTGCTGCTGCCGCTGCTGCTGCTCCTGCGGCTGCTCCCAGCCGCCTCCTCCTCCCCCGCCCGCCCCCTCCCCTGCCGCCCCCCGGGCCAGCAGCCGGCACAGGCGGCGAGCCAGCTGCCGCTCCGGCTCCGACAGGGCGGCTGAGGGACCCTGCGGGCGCCCCTGCGGCCACCCCCGCGGGCGGCCCTCGGAGCCCCGCGGCAAGCACACACTCCCACCCTCCTCCCTTGCGTGCCGTGAAGCCAGGGCCAGCTTGCGCCTCAGTACCTGCATGGAAAGACATGCAGACAACGCAGTAGGAGTGCGCCTGGCGTAGACCCGATTGAGCTGCCCGCAGTAGCTTGCAAACGCACCCTGCCTGCCCCCACATAAACAATATCCCCTACCCAGCACCCTGATCCCGCACTAGCACGCTAGCTGCTTCCTCTTTACCCCCGCACCACCGTCACCCCCGCACCCGCAGCAGCTCCCGCGCCAGTGCCGCATCGCCGCCGTCCGCCCCCACACCCTCTGCCTCCCTCTGCTGCGGCCGCATGCGGAGGTGCGGCCGCTGCAAGCCAGGATGCTGCACCGGCTGCTGCTCCCGCATCTCTCCTTGCTGCTCCCGCATCTCTCCTTGCTGCTGCTGCAGCTGCTGCTGCAGCTGCTGCTGCCTCCGCCCCACCTCCACTTCCGCCCTCACGGCCCCCAGCGGACGCTGCAGCCGCAATCCCGCAACCAGCGCCGCCGCCTCCCGCACACTCAGCTCAACCAGCCGACGCCGTACGGCACTCCGCCACCTCGCCCGCCACTCCGCCGGCGCCGCCAGCCGCGCCTCCGCCACCACCGCAGCGGCGTACGACAGCGTGCCGCCGCGCGCCCGCGCCATGCCGTCACTGAACGCCTCCAGCCACGCATCCGCCACCCCCGGCGGCAGCTGCCTGCCCGCCGCCCTGCATGCCCGCACCATGCACCGCAGCAGCACCACCTGCTTGCGCGGGGTGAGCAGAGGCAGGGCGGCGGGCGCGGCGGCCGCCAGACAGGGGCCCCACAGCGCCGCCTCCCGGGGGGTCCGCAGCGCCAGCCGCCGCAGCGCCCAGACCAGCATGTAGGTGCTTAGGGGGCCGGGGGGGCGGCTGGCTGCGGCTGAGGTGCTGCGAAGTGCGTGCCGCCCGGGCCTATGCGAGCTGCTGCTGCTGCTGCTGCTGTGATACGGGTTTGGAGAACGAGCGCTGCTGGTGGTGCTGCTGGTGGTGCTGTTGGCCCCATAGTGGATGCGGGGTGCGGCTGTAGCAGTAGAGGCGGAGGAGGAGGGGGGAGGTGCGGGCCAAGCGCGGCATGCCGCCGCCAGCAGCGCCGTCAGCAAGGCGCGGCTCACCGGGGACCTGGTCGCTGGGTCCGCTGGGCCCGCCGGCTCCGCTGCTGCTGCCTCAGCTCCTGATGCTACAGTTGCAGTTACTGCAGGCGGTACGGAGGCCCTTTGCGACGCTAGCGCCTGCTGCCGTACCGCCAGCCGCACCCGCCGCTGCTGCCGGCTGCCCCCCTCGTCGCCTCGCCGCTGCCTGCCCCTCCCCCGCAGGTTGACCAGTCGGGCCAGGCTGTACAGCACGTCAGCAGCCTCGGCGGCGCTGAACCAGCAGGGGGGGCCCGGTGGGGAGGGGTGTAGCGGCCGGGAGGGTGAGAAGGAGGCGGCGCTGGAGGAGGGCACATGCAGCGGCCGTCCCTGCATGGCTAGCGCTGCAGCCGCTTCCGACCCTGCCGGCCCCCGCAGGTGATGAAGGCTGCTGGGACTAGGACTAGCACTAGCACTAGGACTAGCACTAGGACCCACGGGTCGCAGCTGCTGCGGCAGCGCCCCCCACGCCGCCGCCTCCCAGGCCGCCCACCAGCTGCCGGGCGGCAGCGCCCCCACCTCCGCGGCCCCCCGCACCACACACGCCACCTCACCCGGCCGTGGGGGCTGCGGCTGCGCACCCGGGGGGCAGGAGCTGCTGCTGCTGCTGCGGGCCGCCGCCGCCGCCAGCAGTACGGCAGCCCGCTGCAGCACCCGCTGGGCCGCCAGGCGGCCACGTGGGCCCAGCTGCCGTACACCGCTCCCCGCCAGCCAGCACCAGGACGTCTCGTCCGCCTCGCCCGCCTCCGGCACTCCTGCAGTTGCTCCCTGCGGGGTGCTGTCACTGCCCGCAGCCGCCTCAGGACGGCGGTTGCCCTCATCCCGGGCCCACTGCGGTACGGCAGCCTGCTGCCCCTCCTCCTCCTCCTCCCGCTCCTCCCGCCCCTCCTCCTCGCGCTCCTCCGGCCCCAGCACCCCCCGCCCCAGTGCCGCCAGCGCCATGCAGCAGTCCGCCAGCCCACCCATGTTCTCCGCCGCCGCCGCCAGCCCTCCCGCCACCGCCGCCGACTCGCCCGCCCGCAGCCGCAGCCCCAGGCCTGCCACCGCGTGCAGCGTGCTGACCAGCGTGCGAGCAGCCTCCCGCATGTCCTGCCCGCCTCCCCACGCCCGCCCCGCCTGCTCCTCCTCCTCTTCCTCCCGCAGCAGCACTACCCACCGCCTCAGCAGCGCCCGGATACCCTCATTCCACGCAGCCACACCGGCGACACCCCACGGCCGCTGCTGCTGCTGCTGCTGCGACAGCCCTTGCCGCCCTGCCGCCTCCAGCTGCTCCTGCCCTCCTCGCCCTCCGCCGCCGCCGCCCGTCCCACTCCCTCCCCGCCTCCTCTCCCCCGCCGCCGCCCTCATCCCCGCCAGCAGCCTCAGCGCCTCACACACGTCCCGCGGCCCCAGCTCCCGCGCATGCAGCCGCAGCGCCCGCAGCAGCCGGCTCACCAGCGGACCCCCCGCCCGCAGCCGCCCACTCCCCGGGTGCATGCAGCCGCGCAGGGCCGCCAGCAGCGCCCGACCCGTGCAGCCAGCACCCTCCCTTGCTGGTAGTGCGGGTCGTGCTGGTGGTGCTGGGGGCGTCGTGGGTGATGATGTGCTAGGCTGCCGCTGTGCCGCCGCCGCTGCCGCCGCCTGCTGCTGCTTCTGCTGCAGCTCCCTGCGCTGCCTGTCCGCTGCTGCCGCGCGCTGCTGCGCCCCCAGGCGGCCCAGCAGCGCCCGCAGCAGCTGGTCGGTCAGCAGCGGGCCCAGACCCTGCCAGCTGGGGGAGGCGGAGGAGGAGGTGCAGGCCTCCAGCAGGGCGGTCAGGTGAGGCAGGGAGAAGAAGCGCAGTCGCGACGAGCAGGCCTGTAGTGGGGGGGGGGAGGAACGGAAGGAGGAGTGGAGGGAAGGAGGGTGCAGGCATAGGGGTCGGGTGCGGGTGAACAGTGCCGCAGAGGTGTTCGGGGTTGCCCAACGTGGTGCAAAGTGCTCTCCCCGATGCTGCTGCCCCCACGCACCGCACGGCGCCCTACCGGTCCACCCACACGTACGGCCCAGAGCCCCTCATCCACCCGCCAACAACGCTCCCACCTCCCCCCTCCGCTCCCACCTCCCCACCTCCCTCCCTCCCTCGCCTTCACTCCCTCACCTGCTGCAGGAACTCCAGCCCCACCTCATCCAGCCGCGCTCCCGCCCTGGCCAGCGCACCCACCACCCCCACCACCTGCTCGCAACTCAAACCCTCCTCCCCTCCCTCCCCCCCCGCCCCCGCCCCGCCCTCGTAGCTGTCCAGCGCCTCCAGGAACCCGCCCGCATGCGCCCGCAGGTAGGCCGGCCGCAGCACCGAAACCGCATACAGCAGCAGACACACCTCACGAGACCGCATCACACCGCGGGGCACACACCGCCGCCGCCGCGGTGGGGGGAAGCCACCCGCCCCCGCCCCCGCTGCTGCCTGCTCTGCCTGCTCTCCGCCTCCCGCTCCTCCAACGCTGCTGCTGCTGCGGTGGTTGCTGCTGCTGAAGTCGCCGGTGGGTGCTGTGTTGGCGGCGGGGTCCGCGGGGTCCCACAGCCACAGCGCCTCCAGCGCCGGCTCCAGCGCCCCGGGCGGCAGGGCCAGCCGCAGCCGCGCAGCCGCCCAGCAGCAGGTGGCGAGCTCGGAGGGGTCGGCGTCCGCCAGCACCTCGGAGTGCGCGGACAGCAGGGCGGCCAGGCAGGCGGACTCGCTGCGACCCATGGGTCGGCAGGGACCCGGGGGCAGGCCGTGGGGCGGAGGGGCTTGCCTCCTCGCCAGGCGCTCGGCGGTGGTAAGGGCGGCACACAGCTGAGCGGAGTTGAGCAGGCGGGGCCGGGCGGGGGGCGGGCAGGGCGGGCAGGACGGCGGTGAGTCCGCGGCTGCTGGGGCGGCTGCAGGTCCCTGCTGCTGGCCCCAGGAGGTGGATGAGGGAGCTGCGGCGGCGGTGGTGGGGGTTGATGACGAAAAGATGACAACGCTGCTGCTGGTGGATGCCAGGGCTGCTGCTGCTGCTGAAACGGGGGCTGCAGGAGGGGGTGCTGGCGGTGGTGGTAGAGCTCCGCAGTCGCGCAGCAGCCGCAGCAGGTGCGGCAGGGAGGGGCTGCGAGTGATGGCGGCCGTCAGCTGGGCGGGAGGCAGGGAGCTGGGGCGGGGGCTGGCGGAGGACCTGGGAGGCAGTGGGGATCGGGGCCCCCTGCTGGGTTGGGTTTCGGAGCTTGAGGCGGCGACGTGTTTGAGGATGGGTTTGGGCTGCTGGGCTGCTGTTTGGCCCCGCCTTGAGCCGCCAATGCTTGCAGCGGTGGAGGTGGCAGCGGCGGCAGTGCCGTGACTGGCGTCCAGTCGGCTATCACCACCGGCCGTCGTCCTGTCGTTGTGCTTGCCATCAGGGGAGGCGGCGCCGCGGGGCCGCCTGCTGCTGCTGCCGCTTTTGCTGCTGCTGGGGAGTCCTCTCCCACCAAAGTGCTCTGCTTGAGCAGCTGCTGGCGAGGCCCTCCCAGCTGGGATCAGGCCGGCGGCGGCAGCCGCCAGGGCAGGCGGTGCTGGTGGTGGCGGCTTCGGAGCGGAGTCTGCCGTCACGCCGGCTTGCGGGAGCGCAGCTAGGGGTGTGGGGCAGCTGGCAGCAGCCAGGTTGGCGGGTGGGCTGGCTGTAGCAGCACAGCGCGGGCGGAAGGGCATGAGCGGTGGTGGCGGAGTGCTTTGGGAGTTGTGCCAGCCTGGTTGGGGGGACGACGCCGCGCGCACGAGGGCGGATGTTAGGAGAGCACGGACTCGCGTGGCATGACTCTGGCGGCCGTCGGTGCAGCGGGTGCCCCGGGTGCTGCTGGAGGTGAGGCGGCGCCTGATGCTGTTTGAGTAAGAAGTGAATGCTGGTACGCCACTAGGTGCTCTGCTTTGCGCCTCCGCTAGTGGCGCCGGCCCATGCAAGCTTTGGGGAGTTGAAACCAAGGGCATCATCGTGTACTGTTATATGGTCAGGGCATGTGTTTCTTCAGGATGGTAAGAGCCTCAGTAAATATCATGGCGAAGCGCTAGACAAACTGTGACGGCAACTACCTAGCTGATACAGATCAGGGTCCTAGCACCCAATCTCAAATAATGTAAAGCGAGCATATCATTATGTTGTTGCTCAATTGTCCACCCGCTGCTGACTACACTTTCTTGATGTACGGTCTACGGCGTCCACACTCGAAGCGTCGTCGCAGCACTTCGATATGCGGCATCTTATGCTATTTAACCTTTGTACCAAAAATGGCGCACAAATTACCTTTAGGCATTGATGCGTTAGTTCAGCTGAGCACATCAGGGAGCTTGCCCAGCCCTTAGTTCTTCGGGCTGAACATCACGACTCTACATAGAATACTGAAAACTTTGACTTGGAAATGGTGCGAACGTGGAACCGGGAGCCTAGCCCGGACCAAGCGAAAGCAAGTAGAGAAGGAAGTGCACGCCATTCCCCGGTAAGCAGCATGAGATGTGGAGTGTCAACATCAACTATTGTTATCGGGGGGAGGAGTCCTACCTCAATGTTCTTGCGGACGCCGGTCATCAGCCGTCGACAACAGCCATTGTGAGCCCGAACCCTAACTCTTATTACTGCATGCAGACGATCTATTTCCATAACTCCTCCCAGCGCTTTGGCTTCGATGGCAAAGTGCGGGTTTCCAACTTCCTCAACGGCTTCGACAGCCAGCTTGCCGAAGCGCGAGCCCGCATGTCTTCAGCCAACACAGCCACCCACACCCGTTACGACTTCTCAAACTCTGGAACGGGCAACCTCTCAATTAGCATGGCTGCTGAAATGGCAAAATCCATCAACTCCTGCTCGACCATGCGGTCTGGTCGCTCCAAATCCGCCACCGCTCGCAGCCTAGTAGCTAACGACACCCGCTACGCGCACCTAGATGAGCCCCACGCGGACCACGTGGGCCCGGGCGCCTACGATGTCAGCCGCGCGGCGCCGGGTGTGGGGCAGCTGCCTCTGGACTCGCACACATCCAGCGCCATGCCGCGCTGCGACCCCTATCGCGCCAGCGCGCCCTTCCAGGGTCCGGAGCGGCCCGGCAGTGCTGCTTGGGTGCGGCCGCAGGGGATGTGCGGGCCGGACGCGTTCTACATCTCACCCGAGTTCGTGGTAAGGCGTCAGTGGGTGCGCGTTGGATTAGGGAATTCCAATCAACACCTGGGAGCTTGGGAAGCTGCTTTCCAAGGGACTTAACCTTTGCTGCACCCCTGATAGGTTAACCCGATCCGCCGAGCCTTCCCACCGAACCGCCTCCCGTCCCTCTCCTCCCGCAGCCCGCCCCCGACCACGCGGCCCGCTGGGAGGTGGGCGGCGACCAGCGGTTCGACGCGGCGGAGTGGCGCCACGGCCACGCGCGCGTCATGGCGGCGGTGGTGGCGGGTGCGGCGGCGGCGGCGGCGGTGGGTGCGCCGCTGCCGGAGCGCCCCTTCAGCTCTGACCTGGCCACCGACGTGGCGGGGCGGCCGCTGGACATGTCGCTGCGGGCGACACTGAGGAACGGCTCGGGCGTGTCCTTCACCAGCAAGGAGGTGAGAGGATGTGGGGGGCACCGGTAGCATGGAGTGAGGCTGCGGGGGGGGTATTGGTATAGGGTGGGATGCAGGTAGGAGGAAGTGAAGCTGAACATGTGACATGAATGCGGGGTGGGGTGGGGTGGAGAACGCACAAGGTCGGGAGGGTGGGAGGAGGGTTGCGGCGGTTGGAAGGGGTGATGCTTTGGGCTTTCCTGGGTGTTGCTCTCCCTGCTTTGCGGAGTGGAGGGGTTGAGCAGCTTGGGTGCTGGCATGTATACGGCGGCACGTGGGTTCTGCTGCCAGGGGCTTGCATGGCGCTCCAAATGCTCGAGTAGTGTATTACCCTGCCTGATACCTTTGACCGAGCTCCCACCGCGAGAGCACGGGACGATAGGCTACGACTTACCCGTTCCTTCTCCGCCCCCTCTGCCACCCTGCCCCCCTCTCCCTCTCCCTCCCCCCCCGCAGCCCCGCCTCACCTCGCTGCCCCCCGAGCGCACCTCGGACATCCGCGCCTCCCGAGTGGTAGCGCTGCGCGGACCCGAGGAGACGGCGCACCTGGGCCCGGGCGCCTACTCGCGACCCATCTCCGTGGGAGGGCCGCGCCGCCGCACCTACCGCCTCTTCGTCGACCCCCTCACCAACCCGCAGCCCAGCGACAAGTTCGGACCCGGACCCGGCACGCAGGCGGATGCGGCGGCGGTGGTTGCCGCGCATGAGCATGGTACGGCGCGGGCGGCAGCAGCACGGGCGGCGGCGGTTGCGGCGGCGGCGACGGGGGGAAACCTGGGGCCGAGCGGGGCCAACAGCGGCAGCATGTCGATACGGAGTACGGCAAGTGGGACGAGCACGGGGACGGGTCCTGGCGGGCGGTTAGCGCCCAGTCCGGCGTTTAGCGGGCCGTTCAGATCGCACAAGGCGGGCGCGTTTGATTACCGGACGGATAGCAGCCTTGTGCGGTATTGACCCATGGGTCAACTGGTATTCGCCATTGATAAAGTACTGTTTTGTATGCGTATATGAGCATTCTTACAGGGGGGGCATAGACAGCGTGCAGAGAAATGTGTGTGTGCGTGCGATTTTTGTTTACTGCGAATCCCAATGTGTCTACAGTTAAGTTAGGGTTTGGACTGGCTTCATGTACGACATGGAGAGAGATCCGTGTCTGGATTCCATCATTGGGTTGAGCAAACTCGCTGTGAAGGGCATCACACCAATGGAACTCAAAGCTGTGTCTGCCTAGGGTTTAAAGCAGTTCACTTGCGGATGCCTAATAGGGGTGGCAGCGAGTATGGCGTGCATGATGACGGTGAGGACAGGAAATTCGCACGGCATGCTTCCGCCCGGCCTGCTTGCCTGCCTTTCGGATGCGGTAGCGGAGGTGCATGTCGTGCGCATGACGGCATGAGGCCAGGCTGCACCGTTGCAGGCTGTACGGTCCGTTGATGACAGCAAGCGGTCCCGATCCCAGCTGACCAGCGCTGGTCGGATGGAATATAGGTACCGGGGTGAGTGCTGCTGGGTGATGTCATACGGGTTTGTTGCTGTTGGCAGAGCACACGGATGGCAGGATGGGTTGCATGTAAGCAGGCAGGCTGCAACCATGCTTGCCGGCGGTGGCGGCGGGAAGCGCTAGGAAGCTGCCTAGGTGGTGTTAGATAAACTCAAGAGTAATGGCAAAGAGTAATAGCTCAGATTCATCTCTAAGACGGACTCGTATAGGATGGTTTTTTCGGCAGGTGTATGTTGCAGGGGTGATCTGCATGACTAACTGGTTGGCGCATTCGAACACGGCAGGCGTGCTCGTGCTGTGGCGCCTACACGAAAGCGTGCGCTTGGAGATTCTAGGCAAGTGTTAGGTTGCCAGAGGCAGTGCTAGGCGCTGTTTTCACGTGGTCGGGTTGCCATTTGCTCGTCGGGCTGATGCAGAGCAACGGGTTGCCTTGGCAGGATTGTTTTCAATACGGTAGGCACCAGGATGGCATCTGCCTGCTGAGCTAGGTCATGCAGGTAGCATCCCGATATGCGACCCACGGGTCATTGTTAACATGGTACAAGTCACGTCACGGCGTCAGTGTAGGTCCTTCTGTCTGGCCTGAAGATTCGGCCCTGGTAGGGCCCGTGAACACGCCTCCTGGACACACGAATACACCGGAGCCACAGCATGCATGTACGTCCGTATCCAAAATGTGTACGTGCCCATCATTGCTACATGCCCATGCAGCCTTGCTTACCACCACCACCCTGCTGCATGTAGCGGCTCACACACCCTCCCAATACATAGCGTTGACGACGTAAGCCTACCTGGTCTTGTCAGTCGTGCGTACGATCCCCAGCATACAACCACGCCCGCCGCTGAGCTGCAGTGGCGGGAGATAACCCTTACGTCGCGTCCAAGCTCGTGTGCAGCTCACCACCAGCCACTACGAAGGTTGCCGTTCGACGCAAGATAGCGTTCCAACGTCCACAGTGTCATGCGCACACGTCAATTATATAGTACACTGGTCTCACGAGGTCACGACTGCCTAGATAGATACACTTGCGAGCACACCTCAGTAGCTGCCGTACAGTTACCCTTCTCTCCTCGCACGCCAGCAGAGTCCACGGGTCACAGGAGCTCACAAGCGTTGTTTCAAATTGCCCAGTCGCCACTCTCCCGTTGCGCCGCTCACCGCCGCCGTACCTTCTTCCCCTCACCCACTACCGCCTCTACCTCCACCTCCTCCGCGCTGTCCTCGTCCTCTGCTGCCGCGCGCCCCCTCCCCTTCGCCCCCTTCCTCCCCCCAGCCGCCTTCGCACCCGCCTTGCCCTTGGACCTCCCAGCCCCGGCGCCGCTCGCCTTCCCACCCCTCTTAGCTCCCTTCCCGCCCCCTGCACCCGCCTCTTCCTCCCCCTCCCCCTCCTGCTCCCCTCGCTCCTGCCGCAGCATCTCCTCCCGGCTCCAACCCGTCATGCTCTTGATGGGCTCAAAGCTGCGTCGGTGTACGGCACTCGGTCCGTGTGTACGGATGGCCTCCATGTGCGCCGGCACGCCGTACCCCTTGTGTTGCGCGAAGCCGTACTGCGGGTACTGCTTGTCCAGCTCCAACATCAGCCGGTCTCGAGTGACCTGCGCGGAGGGAAGTGGGGAGGCGGCAGCAGCGGAGCGGGGTGGCAGCAGGATCAGTTGAGGGTCAGCTTTAGCAGCAGGAAGGTGCCTCTGCTGAGGACATGGGACACGGTGTGGTATATGGCTACAAGTCGATCACTCTCCTAATGTGCCCTAGCGCCTCACATCCTCCCCACCCCCCCCACCCCACATCGCTCACTGCATGAGTCGGGATATGGGATTGGGACTCGCTTTTTCACCCCATACCGCCTGCTACCTTACTTTTGCGATGCAGCTGGCCGCGGCGATGCAGCTGCACGTGGCGTCGCCCTTGACCACCGTGCGAGCGGGCACCGGCAGGTCCTTGGGCATCCTGGGGGAGGGGAGGGGGGGAAGAGGGGGAAGCAGGTGAGTTGAGGTGAAGGGAGAGGAGGGAGAGAGACATGGGAGGTGTTAATAGGTTCTTCAGGGGGCAGGGCTGCCCAGCGCTCTTACCGGTATAGCTCATACCCACGTTCTCGGGTATCAGCATCCACTTCTCTATCATGCACGCACATCAGCAACCGGTGCCCTGCCCGCCCCCTTCCCTCCCTCCCCCACCACCCAACCCGTGGTGGGGGTGGGCCTTGTCATACAGCTCGTCAGTTTTATCTTTTCCCCTCCCTCGCCACCCGCCCCACCTGTTGCCGTCCACCAGGAGGAAGTCCAGCACTCCCGCCCGACCCCCGGAGCCAGCAGCGCCGCCGCCTCCTTCCCCCTCACCCGCTGCACCCGCCCCCGCTGCGTCAGCCCCCCCTGGCGAGTGCTGTTGCAGCAGCTGTACGGCGGACCTCCGCATGGCGCCCAGTGCGGCCTGCAGGATGTTGATGCGGTCGATCTCCTGGTGGTCGATCACCGACCTGCGAACACGAGTAGCGAAACCAGCAGCAGCAGCAGCAGCAGCAACAACAACAGCAACCATAGCAAGCTTAGCAGACGATACCGCGCCCGCGACAGTATCAACAAGGGCGGCCCGGAGGAGAAAAGGCTTAAAACGCCCCCTCCATACCGCATCATGCAGTAATCCCCCACACCCTGCAACAGCACCACACGCACTCACACGGCCCACTTGACCCGTGGGTCGGTCGTGAGGCTCTCGTAGATTGCCTCACGCTCCTCCTCGCTGATGGCCTTGCTGTCGTTCAGGCCGGGCGGGGGGCGCCAGGAGGCGTCCGAGGGCGGCGGCAGCACCACCACTGCCGCCACCACTGGACCGGCCAGGGGACCGCGACCCGCCTCGTCAGCACCACCCACTGCGGTGTAGCCTGAGGCCTGAGGGAGGGGATTAACAGGGATAAAATATTCCGCATTAGGCTGGATTATAGGATTGCGTATAGTATACTTGAGGGAGGGGAGGGGGTGGAGGGGCGGTGGTTGGGAGGGAGGGAGGGAAGGGTGTATGTGAGGGTGGGTGGGAGGGGAGTGGCGCTGGGCAGACTTGGTGTCGGAAGGAAGCCCCCTCCCACACAGCCCCCTCTATCAGCCCTCTTCCCACCTCTCTCCCCGTCCCCCCCACCCCCTCACCATGAGCTGCAGCTCCATGTCACGAGTGGGACCCGACTTGGCGGCGCCCCCGCCCCCGCCCCCAGGGCGCTTGGCAGCCGGGCCGCGGGCCTGCAAGCGGGGTGAGGGTTAGGGGGCAGCAGGGGAGTTGGAGGTGTGGAACTGGGGGGGAGATCTGTTGTGACGTACAGCGCACGATTTGCAACGGAAGGTGCAGAGAAGCCCATTAGGGTGACACACGTGCAACATAAGCCCGCCCTAAGCCGTGTCGCAAACACAGCTTCCAAGCCGTGTAGACCCCAGCCCGCACTGCCCTCTCCCCTCCACCCACCCACCCACCCGCTTTGGCAGCCGCGACTTGGCGCCCGCGTCCCCGCCCTCCTGCTCCGCCACCTCCCCCTCCCCCTCCTCCGCTCCCTTGGCTGCCGCCTCCTCGCCTGCACCACCCTGCTTGTCCTCCCGCGGCACCTCCACTGCACTCCCACCCGCAGCTGCGGTCCGCCGCTGGCGCTTCTGAGTGGGAGCTGCGATGGGAGCTGCGGCGCCCTGCGCCACTTGCTCCGCCTGCTGGCCAGCAGCTGGCTCTTGGCCGGCAGCTGCGGCGTCCGGTGCCGTCCGCTGCTCCTTCTGAGACCTGCTTTAGTGCGTGAGCAGTCGGAAGGAGGGCAGGCAGGGAAGAAGGGAGGAGTCAAGGGTAAGAGGAGGAGGTAGGTTGTGAGAATGGGGCGGACGCCGAGGCGGACGCGGGGAGGAATGTTAAGAGGGGAGCCTTGAATGTGGAAGGAGCAGAAATGGCACAGGGACGCACCTGCTAGCGCCTCGCTTCGGTCCGTACTGCGGCAGCTGGGCCTCCGGCTTCGTGTCGGCGTCCGTGAGGTCCTCGTTTCCCTTGGCTGCAGGCTGCTGGTGCGCTTCCTGCGCGGCGAAGCGAGCAGAGCGCCGGACGCCTCCGCGTTGTCGCATAGGAGAACTCATTTTTGCAACCGTTTGCTGCTGGCTAATTTGCGGTCAATTCGGGTTCCGATAGGTAGGCCCTTCCTCTCTAGCAATTGATGCCAAATGTAGGCTCGGGGCGAAAGTTGGCTAATTGAGACGATATCACTGGAGTGCTGTATACAATGGTAAGACGATGCTCAGTTCTGGTAAAGGAGCAGCCGCTTGCAGGCGAGGTCGATAGCCTGCTAACAGGTAGGCTCGCGATGAAGTTTAAACAGGCTTCTGCACAGTGCACCTTTCAGAAGACAGCTTGACACATTGCTTCTTTGCTTCTGGTTGTTTTCCTTTCCAGCGCAATGATTGGAAATTTTAAAATCCAGTCGTCAACCGATGTACCGATTCCAATTGGCAGGGCAACTGGGTCGGCAATGGAACTCCGAATGTAGACCCGTATGCATATAGAACAACGCATCATCTTCTCATGCACAGTAGGCGTCCTGTTTAGCCCTGCCACCGAAACCCACTGATCAGTTCTTCACGCGAACATTCCCTGTCGTGCCGGTACACGTATTGTAGTTTTTTCCTTTTGTTGTCTGTTACCTATTGCTAAGACGGTAGGATTTTAGTCAGATGTTGTTAGCCGGAGCGAACCATGGGCGCAGCGGTGCCTCTCTGAGCCACTGTGGATCTCAGTCGCGCATTGCTAATATAAAACGTTTCACCGTACCTGCGCGAACTGCATACTTGGCTGGCCGTAGCCGCTGTGCGCAGCTGTGCGTCCGGGCAGATGCCGCGCAATCGTCCGCACCTCAAGCTAACGGCAGTGCACCTGGCAAGGTTCTCTGCATTGGAGAGGCCCTATTCGGTGAGATAAAGTTGGGAAGTACCGATGTTGCGAGTCGCCTGCAAAGGGGTCTATGCTGTCGACATCCCAGTATGAATGGGTCGCCTAGCGCACGATAACTCATACCTTTGCCAATCTGCGCACTAATTCTGAACACACAAGCTATCGCTTGAAATTGCTTCCTAGCCCCTGCTAATTATGCAAGGGCTTTTCCCGTCACGTCATCGCGGCATCCATTGTGCCTACTTCACACCCTGCGCCGCTCTCCGCCTTGGCCTTTACTCGCAGACCTTATCGCCGATCAGAAGGGCGTCCCGCGCGAGGAGGTGACTTCCTGGACGCCTCACGCGGGCGGCGCGCCCTGCAATGTCGCCACCGCATGTGCGCAGCTGGGGCTGGACGTCACCTTCGTGACGGCGCTGGGAGACGACCCGCGCGGGGAGCAGCTGCTGGCGGTGTGCAAGGGTGAGCAGCAGGGTTGGATTTGGAGGGGGCAGAAAGGGGGACAAAAGCCAACTGGGACAACTGACAGTGGTGGACTTTTCCGCAGGCTAAAGGTACTCTTCTCCAGGCTACTATCCGAGGATCTCGCCATCCTGCCCCTAAGACAGAACCCTGACCGCTGTCGCCGCATCTGCCGCCCCCTTCCCCGTCCCCCCTTCCCCGTCTCCTTTCCCCGTCCAGGTCGCGGTGTGAAGCTGCATGCGGTTCAGCGACCCGTGGGTCGGCCCACTCGCGACGTGTACGTGACCCGCGACGCCAGCGGCGACCGGGAGTTCGCGGGGTTCGGCCTGCCTGGTGTGGGTGGGGGCTACGCGGACGCCTTCATCCGGGAGGAGGAGCTGCCGCTGGGCGAGCTGGGGGTAGGGGGGGGGCGTAGAGGGGGGGGGGGTAGGGAGGATAGGGTAAGGAGGGAAAGATGCGTGATGTTTCGCCCTCTTTCAGTCCCTTCCAGCACCCTATCGCCCGCCTTCCTCCTCCATGAGTCGGGCCATGGGATTGGAATTCCAGTGCTCCACTTCTCCCCCCTTCCTCTCCGATACCCCGTTCACCCTACTTCACCTCCCCTTCCTCCCCCAAACCCGCCACCTTCCTCCCCCCCTCCCCTCCCTCAAACCCCCCAGCCCGGCAGTGTGCTGGTGACCGGCACGCTGGGGCTGTCCTACCCGGTGACCGCTGCTGCGCTGCGGCGAGCGGTGGCGGCTGCGCGGGGGGCGGGGGCGGTGGTGCTGGTGGACGTCAACTGGCGGCCCGTGTTCTGGGAGGACAGGGAGGTGGGCGGGGGGCGGAGGGGGAACAACTTATGAAGTGGGGGGCGGTGGACAGGGGGGTCAAAGACCATACCAAACCATAGGGGGGGGAAGGGGGGGGAGAGGCAGAAGAGGTGGGGTTGAGGAGAGCAGAGGAAGGAAGCGGGCGTGTTGTAGTAGGGTGTCGAGGACTGTCGAGGTTGCAGTGGCCTTCGACGTGCTCCAGCACCTTTCCTGGGTTGTCTCGCTCCACCCATCCGGTACTCCGGAGCACCCCCCCGTTCTGAACCCTCCCCGCCCCTGCCCTGTCCTCCGCTCCCCTCCCCCCAGGCCGCCAAGCCCCTCATCCTGGAGTACCTGCAGGTGAGGGGGTGTGTGGGGGGGGCCGAGGTTGTGGGGCGAAGGGGTGGAGGTGCGAACAGCGAGTGGGAGGGCGGGGAAGAGGGGCTGGGTGCGTGAACCCAAGTCTCCTTCGACCCCTGCTGCCGGCTGCCGCCCTCCTGCGCCGCTGTCCCCACTGCCCGTCTCTGACGTCTCGCAACCGATCACGCCTCATCCCCCTCTCCCTTCTCCTCCCCCCCAGGCAGCCGACCTGATCAAGCTGAGCGACGCCGACCTGGAGGCGCTGCTGGGGCTGCGGCTGGAGCAGGCGTTCGGGAACCCGGGGGCGGTGGGGGAGGAGAAGGCGGGGGGGAGAGGGAGGGAGAGGGAGAGGGCCAGGGGGCAAAACTTAACTGAGATCTTTACGACGAGTATTGAGGGGGAGGGAGGGAGGGAGGCGGTGGCTCATGGGAGCCCTCTGGCAGGTAGCTGGTTGGGGCCGAACTCCGCTGAGGTGCGCTCGTCCACGCTGCTGGACACAACTCCTTTTTGCACGCTCTTTCCCCCATCTCTGCCCCACCCCCTGTACTCTCCTTGCCCAGGTTTCGGAGCGCTTCCCCGGCGCTCGCGGCGTGCTGGTGACCGCGGGCCAGGAGGGCGCCGCGTACTGCTTCCGGGGGGCCACCAAGGCGGAGCACTGCGGCATGGTGCCGGCTTTCGATGTGAGCAGCAGCAGCAGCAGCACCGCCCGGCTTTGTCTCCTCCTGTTCCCTCCGTCCTCGTCATGTTTGTTACTTTGCATGCTGTGGTGCCCCCCACCCGCTGCCCCCACCTGCGATTGCCCCTCCGCTGCCACCTGACCCACCTGCTAAGTGAAGGGCCCACCCACCTATCGTCGCTCCTCACACGGTGCCATCACCCCACCTGCTGCTGCCCCACCTGGCCACCTTGCCGCTGCCCTGCCCCCATCGCGTGCTGTGGTGCCGCTGCTGCCATGTGCTGCTGGCGCAGGTGGAGGTGAGCGACACGACGGGTGCGGGCGACGCCTTCACGGCGGGATTCATATACAAGATGATAAAGGTGGGTGGGCGGGAGGGAGGGAGACGGGACGGGAGACAGGTGGGGGAATGGGAAGGTGGGGGAGTGGGGAGTGGGGGGGAATGGGAAGGAAGGCGTGCAGCCCGGGGGGGCGGCGAGGTGGGTGCAGGGTCATGCGGAGGCGTGTGGGTGGCGCGTGGTGGTTGTTCCGCCTCTGCGGTTTCCCTGTTATGGTGAGCTCCGGGTAGGGAAGGGGGCCCCACGGTGTGCTGTTCCCCGCACTCTCGACTTCCCTGCCAGCCAGCCAGCCAGCCAGCCAGACAGACAGCACGTGACCTCACACACACACACACACACACACACACACACACACACACACACACACACACACAACCCTTCACAATGCGGTCCTGCCCGCGGTCAGCTTCCTTGATTGACACTACGGTACCCCACCCCACCACCCCACTTCATCCCACGGTTCGTTAGTCGTTTCCTCTTTACCCCACCCGCCCCGCCATCTTTACCCCATCACCACCCCCCACCCACCCACCCACCCCAGGCTGGCGGTCTGGACACGCTGGCCGCCAACCCGAACCTGCTCAAGGTGCGCTAGGGGGGGGGCGGGTAGAATTGGGTGGGAGACCGGGCACACATTCGATGATGCAACCCCAGGTTTTTGATACGGTAGCCTGCTGCTGGGGGAAGATGCTTGCAGCGGCAGGGCTTCTCGCGTATGGGGTGGTGGGGTGGGGTGGAGTGGTGGGGTGGTGGGGTGGTGGGGTGGTGGGGTGGTGGGGTGGTGGGGTGGTCCGGGGTGGTGGGGTGGTGGGGTGCACCGGGGTGGTGGGGGGGTGGGGTGGAGCGGGGTGGTGGGGTGGTGGGGTGGTGGGGTGGTGGGGTGGTGGGGTGGTGGGGTGGGGTGGGGGGTGGGGGGTGGTGGGGTGGTGGGGTGCTCCGGGGTGGTGGGGTGGTGGGGTGGTGGGGTGGTGGGGTGGTGGGGTGGTGGGGTGGTGGGGTGGTGGGGTGGTGGGGTGGTGGGGTGGTGGGTGGTGGGTGGTGGGGTGGTGGGGTGGTGGGGTGGTGGGGTGGTGGGGTGGTGGGGTGGTGGGGTGGTGGGGTGGTGGGGTGGTGGGGTGGTGGGGTGGTGGGGTGGTGGGGTGGTGGGGTGGTGGGGTGGTGGGGTGGTGGGGTGGTGGGGTGGTGGGGGGTGGTGGGGGGTGGTGGGGGGTGGTGGGGGGTGGTGGGGGGTGGTGGGGGGTGGTGGGGTGGTGGGGTGGTGGGGTGGTGGGGTGGTGGGGTGGGGTGGTGGGGTGGTGGGGTGGTGGGGTGGTGGGGTGGTGGGGTGGTGGGGTGGTGGGGTGGTGGGGTGGTGGGGTGGTGGGGTGGTGGGGTGGTGGGGTGGTGGGGTGGTGGGGTGGTGGGGTGGTGGGGTGGTGGGGTGGTGGGGTGGTGGGGTGGTGGGGTGGTGGGGTGGTGGGGTGGTGGGGTGGTGGGGTGGTGGGGTGGTGGGGTGGTGGGGTGGTGGGGTGGGGTGGGGTGGGGGGGTGGTGGGGTGGTGGGGTGGGGTGGGGTGTGTGTTGCGCTGCCCTGATGCCCAGGCAGGACCCAACCCCAGTGCACCTGCCTCTGCTTTCCTTACCCCCGGTGCTGGTGCCTCTTCCCTGGTGTCCTGCTCCCACCCGGCCTGCTACTTTGCTTCGTTGTACCCTGCCGCTGCTGATCCCCGTTGCTTTGCCCTAACTTGTGGTTTCCTATGGTTTGGTACCGGTATGGTCTCTGAGACTCAACCGACCCAACCCTGGTGGTTTCCTTTTCCTTATCCTTACCCGCCCCCACCCCCCAGGAGGCTGTAGTGTTCGCCAGTGCCGCGGGCGCCAGCACCTGCACCCGCTTCGGGGCCATCGAGGCGCAGCCCGACCTGCGCATGGTGCAGCAGCTGTACGACACGAGCAAGAACTGGAGCAACTTTTGGTAGTAGGGGTGGTAGGGGTAGGGGTGGTGGTGGTGGTGAGGAGGAGGAGGGCCCGAGTACGGCAGTATGTACGGCAGTGGGTAGTGAGGGGGAGGAGGAAGACAAGGTGTACGGCAGGATGCTGCAGCTGCTGCCGGAGTGTTGTTTGCTGTTTGGTGGGGCCGGCTGCTGCTGCTGTGCAGCTCCGGGCTGCTGGTCTGGCGTACTGGGATGAGGGGGGGGGGAATATAGATAAGTGCATGCATCAACGGAGGATGAGGGTGGGGGGGTGCACATTGCAAAAGGATGCGGGAGGGAGGTGGAAACAGGAGGAAGAGAACTAGTTTGCGGGGAAGAGAGGCATGGGGTGGGCACTGATTGAAGATGCATGGGGGGGATGCGCTGCAAGGGGTCAGAGTTGCGGGGCGGTGTGAGGCCCGCTGAGGCGATCTCACCACCACCGCGGGCATGGTCGCGGTGCATTGTGTGTTATGGCATTCAATAAACTGTGTGCGGCATGGGGAGGTTTGGTTAGGCATGGTTGAGCGGTTGAGAGCGGCAAGCCGCTGGAGTCCCCGCAGCGGCAGCAGCAGCACTGTTGGGAAGTCGTTACTCGCTGGTGCGGGATGCCTTGCCGGTGTGTGTCCGTTTCTAGACGTGTGTATTTGTAGCAGGGTGGGAAACGCGCCTGCTGCAGGATGGGAAAGTTGCAGTCAGCAGGGGTGCATTCGGCAATATCGTACGTACCGGTACTAGCTGTTGTTGGATGTAGTTGTTAGGAGGATGAAGTGTGGTCGGTCAGGCTGCACCAGGCTGCAAACCAGCAGAGCATGACTGGTGGCGTGTGTGTACAGTAGGGTCCAAGGTTCCCTCGACCTGGGAATGGCTGGCATGAAGGGTCTCTGGGCGTTTCCCGATGAGGACAGTTCTGAGGACGGTTGTAGGAGGGAGAAAGGGAAAGCCACGTGCATCAGCATGAACAGCAGCAGGGGCTGCGACTGCCCCTAGACAGACGGTGCATCTGGGCAGACAAGCTGCATGGTGGTGGGCTTTGTGCGGACTTTGCGTGTATGCTCCCCATGCGTCCCTTTCCTTGCCTGCTGGACGCTATCTGCTGCCGTACCTGAGGGTAGGGTGGACAGAGTAGGGGCGATTAATCCTGGAGAGATAGGGGTTGATGGGGGCAGCACCTGTTGGGGTACAAGGCCGTACCTCCCAGCAACTTTGAAGGCACGTTCCAGGCTGAACCAGGCTGACCAGGCTGTTGCTTGCAAACGAGAGGTACAGCCCGTCCCGTGATGCGCGGCGGTACGGCGTTCAGCACATGACGTTCAGGCATGCATGTCCCCTCCATGCGCCTGTTCGTATTGCCTTCCATGAACCCCACGCGTGCGACATGAGTGCCTACGTGAGTGCCTACTGCGTCAACATATCCAGCCGACCTAAATAGCTGGTTCCCCGCCCCTTCACTACCGGTACTAAAACAATTTGAGTGGATGATACCCAGGGTGGTTAAAGAGGTGAACCCAACCCCACACACAATCCGGGAAACACGTGAAGCAGGCCCTTGACGGGCAACCACGGAACAAGCCGCAGCGAACTAAAATGTAAGACAGGCGGACCAAGAAGCGCCGAGTGAAGGACCGCCTTTGAATGGACTCGCGGATTGCCGAATGGAAACTAAAGCAGAACCTCTCTGCCCCTTACAACATTCATCACCCTGTGTGTGTACCATATTCACGGGAACCTCTGTAATAGACATACCGTAAATGGCCTTTGGGCGTCAGTGTCGTCCTACTGTCCTAAGTCAAGCGGGCTTCCCATCTCGCACCTCCCATGCAACACCAAAGGAAACGTCCACGTCAAACACACACCACTTGCCCAGCAGTTGTTTGGCCAGCACCTATGAGTACCACCGTATCAGGAGCGCCCCAAGGAGCAGTCCGCGAGGGGCCTGACCTGAACTGGCATGGTATCCCCTCGTGTGTCCTTGGCCCCCCAGGCTCGTCGTACAACAGACACACTACCGGTGTACAGGCGTAGAGGCCGTCAATGTCAGCGTAATTACGCTGACTACGACTGCTTGCAAGCGAGTGCAGCTGTGTTCTAGATACTGTTGTTTCCGCAGCTGCCACAAACACCAGCCATCCACATGTACGTACCGTAACCTACACGCGTTTTCCCTGAAAGCCGCAACCTGCCGTCGCCTTCACGCATGTGGCTGCCAAGCCTCGCTCCTGCCCACCACACTCCCCTCGCTCCACATTCCTCCCGACACCCCATCCCCATCACGCACCCAACTCTTGAAGGCATGCATGTGGCCAGCAACCACGGCGCTACACACCCACACTCTGTGGGGACTTCCTCTTCCGGCAATCACAGTACGTTCCGACCCGCGGCCAGTGTTCTTAACACACCTCCGTTGGCGTTCTGGTGGTGACATCATCTTCCGGCAATCACTGTACGTTCCTCTCCACGGCCGGCTTCTCTTCACCCTCTCCACAACACCACACGCGCTGCCTCCCCCTTCCTGCTCCCCATCTAGGGCCTCAGCGGCGGCAGCTGCCCGCCCTTGTTCCACGCATCCAGCCAGCGGTTGCGCTTCCGGCCCGCAGCGCTGTACGCGCCCAGCTCCTCCGTCAGCTCGCGAGCTAGGCGCCGCAGCAGGCGGGGCTGCGAGCCGTCCCGGCGTGCTGTCATTACCTGGGGGGGTGGGTGGGTGGGTGACGGTGGAGGAAGGTGACGGGAGGCGGGACAGTACCGGTATGGCGGAAGGCTGGGTAGCAGTGAGTGGAGCGGGCTGACTGGCCGGGACTGGGCGGCGGGGCAGGCAGGAGCAGTGGGAAAAGCTGGGCTGCCGATGCGCAGGAGCGGCACGGTTGCAGGACAGGAGAGGGCTAGGGATAGGCCACGCTAGCTGTTCCTGTGAGAGACAAGCAGGGTGCTCGCTGCGACACAACAAAGTTCGCAACACGTGATCAGCCATACACACGCAATGCATCCGGGCTCGGTCCAAACCATTGTTAAATTGTGACAAACAATTCAATCCTTGTACTCACCGTGCGTGCCTCGGTGGGTTTCAGCGCGTATATCATCTCGCTCGCAAGCTCCGAAGCAGCCGCCAGGGCCTTGTTGGTGTTGTTGGAGCGACCCGCGGGTCGGAGCACCGCCGCCGTCTCCGCCACAGCCGCCTCCAGCAGCAGCACGCAGCTGAGCACGTCGCGAGACGCCTGGTAACGCTCACATAGGGCCTGGGCGGATTGGGGCATGGCGTGATGTTCGGGACGATTGGAGACATGTACTAGAAAGCGATGTTCAGGTGTGTTACAGATGCAGAATGTAAACCACTGGAATATGGATGTGTGAAGAATGGTAAAGCGAATGGAGGGTTTCCCAGCGCCTAGTTTCCGAGCGACAGCAGCGCATGGAGAAGCGGTCCAAAACATTGCCTCAAAGAGAGGCGGATGCACGTCCACATGCCCCACACAATTGTAAACTGGTGCACCCGGGTTCCTGATGGCACCCGCAGTCACGCCTTTCCCTTATCTGCGCTCATACCCTGCCACATTGCTGCCCACCTGCACAATGGCTAGGACCTCCTCCGCCACCCTCCCTCTCCGAGCCGCCACTGACGCCACCGCCGACTGCTGCCCCGGCGCTGCCGCTCCTGCCTCCGCCCCTGCCTCCACCGCCCCTCCTCCTCCTCCTCCTCCTGGAGTAACCGAGGGTGTTGCCTGCTGCTGCTGCTGCTGCTCCTGCTCCAAGGCCGCGGCCTTCCCAAACGCGTCCATCAGGTCTAGCAGCACAGCCAGCTGGCAGGGGTGATGCGGCCCGTAGTGCCGGTCCGCCAGGGACACTGCGGTTGCGACGGCGGCAGGGGGGAGCGGGGTTTCAGGTGGTGGAGTGAGAGGGCGGGCTGGTCAGAGAATTGAGGAATGCGGTAATGGGGAATGAAGACATGGCACGCCACTCTGGAGTGCAGTATTGACACACAGAAAGCCGCGCCCCTATGTGTGAATGAGTCACAGCCGGCAGCAGACCATCCATTACAGCAGCCAACGCGCTTTGAAACCCTGCCATCCATCCCTCTTCTCTCCCCCCCACCTGCCTCCTCCAGCATGCCCACCGCCTCCCCCACCGCCATGGGCTCTCCGAACTGAAGCAGGTTGTTGGCCACATTGCGGGAGGCCCACAGCCGCTCAGGCACCGGGGTGAGGGAGCCCCTGGAGGGGAGCAGGAGGGAGCGGGCGGGGGCAAAAGGGCTAATATCGGTGCCTATCAGGCGTGGGAAGAAGGAGGGGGAAAGAGGAGGGGAGGGAGGGGCAACAACGCCAGCACCCAGCAGCCAGTACCCAGCACCGGCACAACAGGGCAGCTGACCCGCTGCCACCGCACACACACCAGTCCCACCTCCCCCGACCCCCTGTGTTGCCACTACCGGTGCCACTACGGATATCATTCCAGTCATGCTGTATTCCTCGTCTTTTTCCCTACTAGCTACTACCCCCGTGCCTCCCCCCCCCTGCCGCGCCTGTTTGCCTCCGCCGCGCCTCCCGGCCCCACCACCAGTCCCCCGCCCGCCCCCGCGCCGCCCCGCTGCGACTCCAGCACCGCAGCCGCCTGCGCCTCCAGAGCCGCACGCTGCTGCCGAATCTGGAAGGGAGGAAAAAAAGAAATTCCAATGTGTGGTGTGACAATGATACAAGTTGCTGACAGGGGCAGGGATGGGAGGTCGTGTGCGAGCAACCGGTGCAAGGGTGTTAGGGGGACACCTACAGGTGGGGTATGCCGGCTGGGAGGATATAGATTCAACACATGCAAGTCCCTTGAAGCAAACCTTGGAGGGATACACAGGGGCACGCACGCACGCACCTGCATCTGCTGCCGCACGCCGGGGCTCATGTTCGTTTCTGCCAGCCTGACCAGCAGCGAGGATAGCACGTGACGTGGACCCCCGGGCAGCACCAGCCGCAGCATCTGTGGAAGCAAGCGGGGATGGTATGGCAGATTTCAGGAGAAGCTTGTTTCAGGTAGTCGTAGGGGACTTCAAGGACTCACATATGAGCAATCGAAGAGGAAGAAGGGTGGATAAGGAATAACCCGTGCCCAAAGGTAGGTAAACAACGGCGGGTAATGAAAGGTGGATTACCATCTTATTAAATACCTCACAGGCTACAAAAGGCCACGACTACGACGAGAGCTCTTTTTGTGCCGTACAGTCACATGGACGGCAAACTCTAGTACCGGGTACCTCTCCAGTGCACAGCAACAAGACGCAGCAGCCCCGCACCTGAGCAGTGGCGGTCAAGCTATCAGGCGGCGCCTTCCGAGCCCTTTCCGTGAGCTGGTACCTTGCCAGCCGCTCCAAGCTAGCAAGCACTCCGCCGCTAGCTGCGTCGCTGCTGCTACTACCGCCTTCCGACACAGCCGACGCTGCCGCAGCTGCTGCTGCATCCTCGCCGGCGCTGCCGCCGCTGGCTGCCTGATCCTCCGCCGTCAGCTCCGCCACCGGCAGAGGCGGAGGCAGGTATCCCGCCGTCTCTAAAAGCTCGCCGTACAGAAGCGCCGCCACAGCCAGCGGCGGCAGCGGAGCGCCGTTGGCGGCGCCGTCGCGGCCTGCCGCCGCCGCCGCTTCCTCTCGTGCGATGACGTAATCAATGACGTCCACTGCCGTCTGAAGCTGCCCAGCGGCGGCGGCGGCGGCAGCGCGCGCCAGTGAGGGGGCGACGGCGGGCGCCGTGACGCCGGCGGCGGAGGCGCCTCCGACGCCGGCGGTGGCGGAGGCGACGATGGTGGCCATGGCTGCTGGCGGCGGAGGCACCTGACGGCTGATGCGGCACTGCGAGGAAGGGGGCGTTGAGGAGGGAGGCGTTTGGGTTTCAGATGCTTGTTGGGATGTGTTGACGCAGGAAGTGGCTATCACCATGGTAAACGCAAGGCGACGGAGGGAAGAACAGCCGACATTCAGACAACACCTCGTAAGACCAGCATATCAGTTACTTTCGTTAATGGTGAACTTTCACCCTCAACCATGCACTCGCATCACCATCTCAAGGGCCACACGGCCCGGCTCCACATGCTCATAGCGGTTGGCTGCCCCCCCCCCCTCGCTCACCTCGAAGATCTGCCCCAGCTGCTCCCCCGGCCCCAGCAGCGGCGCCAGCTGCGCCACCAGCTGGCGGCTGCTGGACAGCAGCTGCAGGTGCGCCAGGCGGGCCCAGTGCCGCAACTCAGCACCCAGCAGCTGCTGCTGACCTGGCCAGGCAGAGGGAGAGGAAGGTGAAGAGGAGGAGGAGGAGGACAGCGACGGAGGCTCCGCAACAGCCTCAGCGGCGGCTGCGCTGGCTGGTAACCCAGCCGTTCCCTCTCCCGCTGGTGTTGTGGTTGTCGTCGTTGCGGTGGCGGTGGCGGTTGCTGCTGCCGCCCCCGAGGCGCCCAGCAGTTCCCCCCAGGACACCCGCAGCGCCTCCCGCGGCGGCGGCTGCAATGGCAGCTCCCCCAGCCAGTCCGGCGAGGAAAGCAGGCGGGATAGGGGCGCGGCGGCGGCACCTGGGCAGCAGCAGGACAGGGGGGAGGTCAGGGCGAGGGGGAGTGTTGTGCGCTCTGGTCAGCAGTAAGGCACTTGGGGCAGGCAGCAGGGTCCTCTTGAAATTTGGGGGAGGGCTAGCCGCCTGAGGAGACCAGCCTCAGCAGTTACGCGACATGAGTCACAGCTCCTTCACACCATCCCGCAGTCAGGCCCGCATCAGCAATGCCGCCTTTGGGGAAGAGCAACATACATGGCCCGCCCCCTCGTCCCGCTGGCCGGTGCCCTAATCTCAGCCAAGCTAAGCAACCCGGCCCGACGATAAAAAGCTCCGGGGGTGCCCCACCCACCCGCCAGCTCCACCGCGCCCTCCACCGCGGCAGCCGACGACTCATACGGGCGCTCGCTCGACGCTACAGCCGCTACCTGCGCCACTGGCGCCGCGTCCTCCCCGCCTGCACCTGTCCTCGGCGCCACCAACTCCGACACCGCCACCCTCAGCGTCGCCGCCGCCGCTGCTACCTCCGATGCCGTCTCCGCCACCGCCGCCGACGCCGTGCCTGCGTCCGCAGCGGCGCCTGTCGCCGCCTCCGCCGCCACTGGCTCCAGCGCCGCTACCTCCAATGTCGGAGCCGTACGAGCGACTTCCAACAGCTCTAACGAACACTCCAGCATCAAGCGCGCCGCCATCGGCCCGCGCAATAAGCTTACGCCGCCGCCGCCGCCGCCGTCATTGTACTGCGGTACGGTCGTTCCCGGCGGCGCCGGCCGACCGCTCACTCGGCCTCGGAAGGTAACGGTATACCAACTGCTCGCGAGTCGCAGTCGCCGCTCGGCCTCGCGACGCGCCTCCGCCTCCGCCGCCTTCCGCGCCGCCTCCGCTGCTGCCGCCGCCGCCCTCTGCTCCGCGGCTCGCTGCGCCGCCTCTGCCTCCGCTCGCCTGGTGGGCGTTACAGGTAAACCGATTGCGTGCGTTATTAGCAAGGTTAGGACCACGCTTTTAGCTACCGCTTGGCTATGCAGGGAGTTCAGAAAGGCAGGCGTCAAGGGGAGCGTGAGGAGGAGGAATAAGGGAAAGGGTACCGCCCAGCCGAAAAATATCCGTAACAGAGCTGCATGCAACATGCTACAAGGCAAGGCGCTGATCCCCTCGCAGCAAACCAGCCTCTCAGCGTTCCAGGTACCCATTCCGCAACACATACGCAGTACGGAGACGCGTACGGACTGTAACGGTAACTGTCAACATGCATTGTCTTCCCACCCTGCCTCCCCCCCTCCCTCACTTCCTGGCCTCCGCCTCCTCCCTCCTGCGCGCCTCCGCCTCCTCCCGCAGCCTCCGTTCCACCTCCGCCCGCGCCGCCAGCTCCCCCGCCAGCCGGGCCTCCCGCTCCTCGTACACGCGCCGGGCAGCCGCTTGGGCCTCCTGCGGGGTGTGAGGGATGAACCGAGGTGAGGGATGAACAGAGGAAACTGATGAGCTGAATGACGAGGCTTCACCAGGTGGGAGAGGTGAGGGAGAGGTGAGGGAGAGGTGAGGGAGAGGCGAAGGGGCTGGCTATGGGTTTGGGTCCAAGACATGACAAAGCAGTCGTGCCGCAGAGGGCTCACTCACTCCATTGGGGTTGTTGTCGATCTGTTGTGAGGCACGTCTTTGAGGATATGTGAGGCCCCAAAACCCGCTGGCCATATGCCAGTCCTAGCGCAGCGCTGGTCAACCTGCCACCCCACCAAGACACACCCCTCCCCGCCCCCAGCCCCCCACCCCTCCATGCCTGCATGCGCTGCGCCTCCCTCGCCGCCTCCTCCTGCCACTGCCGCTGCCGCTCCGCAGTAGCGCGCGCCTCCTCCTCCTGCCGCGCCTTGGCCTCAGCAACCCTGGAGAGGACAGGGTTGCGGCCAGGCGATGTGTAACAAAACGTAAAGCATGGGGGCGGCATGGAAACGTGGAAACCTCCCCCACCCACACACACCCCACCTGCGCGCCGCCTCCTCCTCCAGCCGCCGCTGCTGCTCCGCCAGGTAGGCTCGCCGCTTCGCCCGCAGCTGCGCATCCAGCTGCCGACCCTCCGACTGCCGGGCCTGGGGGCGGGGGAGGTGAGGGGTGAGGGGTTTAAGTGGATGGATGATCTCTTCCTCTTCAGTCTTCACCCTAATTCCCCCCCAAACACAACCCACCTCCAGCGCCTGCAGGTCTGCTCGCTCCGCATCCGCTGTGAGGCGACTCAGCCGGATGGCCAGCAGCAGTGCGGCGGCCACCGCCCAGCCGCCCACACCGCCGTGGGCCCACAGCGGCCCGGCTGGCAGGCCGGCAGCGGGGGGGCTGCTGGTGGTGCTGAGGTGGGGGTACTGCTGGTGGGGGTGGTGTTGATGAGGGGAGCTGCTGGTCGGGGGCGCCGAGGGCACCAACGCCTGCGTGGGAGGGAGAGATGGGGCATATGCGCATTGGGCGTAGCGAGGTACGAGACAATAAGGTGTGTAACGTTCGGATACAAGTAAGTACGTTGCAGGCAGGATTCGGAGGAGCCTTATTCGAAGCCAGTTGCTGGCTGCAACTGCTTGCGGCAGGAGCCGAGGAGTCCACCCGCCGCCGCCTCCGCCTCCCCCCGCCCAACAGCACAGCTGCCCACCTCCTGTCCGCTTCTCAACGTTGCCGTACCAGCTGCTGTCGTACCCGCCTCCGCCTCCGCCAGCGAGCTGCCCACCAGCGCCGCCTCCGCCTCAGCTGGGCTGATGCCTTTGACCCCGACGCCGCCACCGTCGCCGTCAACACGTTCCTCTGACTCCGTTTCGTACACTGTTTCGTACTCCTCAACATACTCCGATTGCCCCTCACCACCACCACCACCACCATCTGCGGCCCGGACAACATCGGTCCCGACGGCAGAGGCGGCTGCTTCCATGGCAACGGCGGCGTCAACGTTGGCCTTGGCGGAGGAGGAACGTGCCGCGTCAGCTGCACCCCTGGTGCCAGAAGCGGCGGCGTCTTCCAACACGGCTGTCGTACCAGGTTGTACGACAGCATTGCTTCTGACGTCAGCGTCGGCGCCCGCGGTGGCTTCCGCTCCCAACCCCTCGTCAGCTTGCTGTCGCTGTTCTTCTTGCTGCTGCTGTTGCTGGCTGTGTGGTTGCTGCTGTCGTACACTGTCGCTGTCGCCGTCGCTTGGGGAGCCTCGGGGGCCTGATGATGCTGCGACCACCACAGCTGTCGCTAGCCGTCTGCTGACGCCGATAGACGAGGGCGCCAGGGATACCCTGGGAAGGCAGCTGGCAGCAGCGGCGTAGGGGGAGAGCGCCGCAACGCAGTTAGTGCTGGCGGCGCAGAAGGCAGGAGTGCCGCCGCTGGAGCTGTGGTCATGGCTGCATGGTTCGACGTCCGGACGGAAGGATTTGCGACTTGCGAAAAGCATATGGCACTGTCGATATGTAGTGGCAGTGGAGTCAGCTGGGAAGTGTGGGGTACGGCGGCGACGTCGAGCGGGCAATGTGGGCGAGCATAGTGACCGCGATGGCGATGGTCCGCTGGTGGTGGAGAACGACGTCGCCGACGCCGCCAACGAAGTCACGGAACCGGTGTAAGTTGGATGCATTCGTGGGGTTTAATGGTAAGTCTGGCGGGCTCAGTACGCCGTGTACTTGCTGCAAGCGATGTGCGGATGAACTCCACCGACACGTGCGTCTTTGCTTACGCAATGATGTTATAGGTATAAGGTCTGTACACTTGATCCTAACGCGTTTCCCTAAGAAAGGTCTACGTGCGCTGCTGCATGCGTGCAAACATTGCACATTTGGTGATCACTGTCACTGTTTTCACCCACTCATGAAGCATGAAAAATCAAAACGAAGTGCTTATAGAGCCGGTTTAAACACACTAGTCGTCGTAACAATAGGAACGCTGTGCACAGAAACACGGCATTATTCGGAGACGCCCGACAGATGGCGCACCCATGACGCGTACTCTGCTCCATAGCCTTCCATACAAGCTAAAACACTTGTTGAAACAAAGAATGGAATTGGGCACTTGCAGTTACTTTCTTTGGCTGGCCTTCTCGGCCAACAAACCCTACGCACACGTAGCTGTGACCACTAATCCTGCGGCGAAGAAGCAGCGCTACATCAGGAGCTTCCCTTAATTGGTTCACTTATCCGCGTGATATCTAAAGAGACATTCATTCTGCGTAGCGCGCATACCTAGCGACGTCTGTCACCATGCTTCGCGAGGCTGGCATGGCGCCTGGACGAGCGTCGCCCCTTCACAGAACCTCCAGGATATACCCAGGCTATGCTACTTGCCTATCCCGCCTGCCAAGTCGCGTGTCCCCTGGGTGGCTCCTCAGCTCGCCATCATCCCACCCATCTCCACAGCCATCGGCAGCAGCTGCAGCTCCTGTCCCAGCACGCTTTCGCGCCTCGCGCCTGAAGTGCGGAGCGGCTGCGGCGCTCTCCTTACCCCTGCCGCCTGACCCCTCATCAGCCCCGGCGTCCGGCGACAGTGCGGTTCCCAACCCAACAAGCAGTAGCAACAGCAATGGCAACAGCAACGCCGCTCACATTCCTACCAACGGCAGCAGTAACAACGACATGGCCCACACCTCTCCCACCACCGGGACCAGCAATAGCAGCACCAGCAGCGGCAACGCAGGGGGTACGTCCACGCAAGCGACGACCATCTACGGGCGGCAGCGGCTCAATGCCGACAACGGCGGCGCCCCCTCCCAGCACACCGCTAGTACCGGCGGGGGCGACGAGGGCGCCACCACCACCGCTGCCAGCAGTGCTGCCATCGCCTCGCTGTACCCCGCAGTGCCCCAGCTGCCCACCCCGCCCAGCAGCGGCACCCTGTACGACGTCGTGCCGTACCTGTGAGTGGTACGACGCCATTGTATGTACGGCTTGGTGCTAGCTACGAGAACTGGCACACGGGTTGTCGTACATGCTCGTACGTCGCTTCGACCGCTGCCCTCCTCCTCTCCTGCTGGCCCTCCCCACTCCCCTGATAGCCCCCATCTCCCCCGCTGCACTGCCCTCCTCACACGACCCACGCCTCTGCCCCTCCCTCTGCCCCTCCCTATGCCCCTCACACGACCCCTCACACGACCCCTCACACGACCCCTCCCTCTGGCCCCCACCCCTCTCCCCCCCTCCCTGCCCTCTCAGCCTGCGTCTAGCGCTGCAGGAGCGGCACCTGGTGTGGCGGCTGGGGGCGGCCATGTGCTGCATGGTGGTGGCCAAGATGGCAGGTGTGTGGGGGGGGGGAGAGAAATGTAGGATGGGGGGGGCGGGGCCTTATGAGCCGCCATGCGTGTTTGGGGAGTGTGGATGCGGGTGGCAGGGGCATCCACACTCCCACTGCACGCATGACTCGTGAGGCCCCGGGGGACCGGATCAGCGGCGGCGGGGTTGGCGGCGGGACCAGGTGCGCTGGAGTGGTGCGCGAGAGGACCCGGGGGCGTCAGCCACCTGGGTGGGGGGGTGCGGTGGTGATGAGGGAGGTGCAGAGAGAGAAGGAGCTCCTGCTGCTGATGCTGCTCTCGCAATCCGCGCCATCCAAACCCACCACCTCGGCCCCCTCCTACCTCACTCCACGCAACCCCCCTCCTCTCTCCTCCCCCACCCACCCCCTCAGGAGTGCTGCTGCCCATGGCCTTCAAAGACGCAGTGGACGCGCTGGCGGTGAGGGGGGTGGGGGGAGGGGGAGGGGGCGGCGGAAGGGGGGGCAGGGAACAACAGAAGAAGACCATGCCGGGCCGGGGCGACAGGTCAGCGCTCTTGGATATCGTACCAGGCTGGAATGGAGCAGGGGGGTGTCTATGAGGGTGGGTGGGGTGGGGTGGGGTGAAGTCAGCAGTAATCCGCTTCCCAAGGAGCCCTTCTCCTCCCCCGCAACACCCCCCGTTCCGCAACACTGTGCTCTTTTGGCGGCCTCCATGTGACCCCACTCGCCCACCACTGCTTCACTCACGACCCACCGGCCCCCCTCCCGCCCCGGCCCCCCTCCCGCCCCGGCCCCCCCCCCCCAGGCTGCCGGTCTGGCCCCCCTCGCGCTGCGCGCCGCCTGCCTGGCCGCGGTGCGGTACGGCGCGCTGGATTGCGTGCGCGTGCTGGCGAAGGAGGCGCAGGTGGGGGGGGTGGTTGTTGCTTGGCAGGGTGGGTACCGGCAGTAGTCGGGCAGTACAGGGAGGGGCAGCGGAGGCCCGGGCAGGGCTATTACGGTATGTACAGCAGGTGCTGGCTGGGGAGCAGCTGGGTGCACTGCACCGCCCCCTCCTCCTCGCCTCGCCGTTGTCCGTTCTCTCCGCACCACCAACTTCTCCCCTCTCAACGATCCTCCTGAAGACCCTGCTTTCCCGCCCCTCCCTTCGGCCCCCCCCCGCCCGCCCCCAGTCCCCCCTGTTCGCCCCTGTCAGCCAGGCCGTCACCCGGCGAGTGGCCTACCACACCTTCGCGCACGTGCTGGGGCTGGACAGCGCCTTCCATCTGGACCGCCGCACGGGGCGGGTGTCGCGCATTCTGGAGAGGGGTGAGGGGGTGGGAGGGGGAGGGAGGAGTAGGGAGGAGTCCAATGGAAGCATCCCAGCGGGGTTCTCACCCCTCGTCCCCCTTTCCCCTCCTCCGCCATTCACATTTCACATTCTTTTCTCCTCACCCATCTTCCCCCTCTTCACCCCCCCTCCCCGCAGGCACCCGCTCCATCGGTGTGCTCTACCGCGCCCTCATCTTCACCTTCCTGCCCACCGGCATCGAGCTGTGGGCCGTGGCGGGGTTGCTGGCGGGCAGGTGGGGCAGGGTGAGGCGAAGAGGGGTGCTGCTGTTGCTGTAGCTTGACGCCTCTGACAGCCACCCTTCTCTGCGCGTGCCCTAAGCCCTAACGCTTGCCGTCTTTCGCCTCCCTTTGCTTCCTCCCTTCCTGTCCTCCTGCCTCCCTCCCTCCTTCCTCGCGGCTCAGTGTACCTAGTCCCTCCCTCGCTCCCGCTCCTCCCTGTATGCCCCCTCCCCCCCGCTTCCCCCCAGGTTCGGCCCCTCCCTGGCGCTGCTGCTGGCCGCCACCTTCGCCGCCTACGTGGGGTGGACGGTGTGGATGACGCAGCGGGCCACGGAAGTGCGCAAGGTGGGGAGGGAGGGAGGGGGGGAGGGAGGGGAGGGGGAGGCGGGTAGGCGGGTGGGGGTTGGTAGTGGGAGGCATGGGGGCTGTGCGGGATGGGGTAACGCGGGGGCTGCACAGCGAGCCCAGGGGGGCATGTCCGTCCCTGCTGGCGCTCATGCCGTACCCCACTCTCTTCCCCCTGCCCTCCTCTTGCCCCCCCTCCCCCCCTCCCCTACCCGGGAATCTTCATCCTATTAATCCCTTCCCCCTCCCCTCCCCCACTCCCTCCCCCTCCCTCCCTCCCCCTCCCTCCCTCCCTCCCCTCCCTCCCCAGGAGGTGAACCAGCTGGACAACCTGAGCAGCAGCAAGGCGGTGGACGCGCTGCTGGCGGTGGAGACAGTCACCCTCTTCGGCAACCAGAAGCTGGAGGTGAGCAGCAGCGGAGGGGGAGAAGGGGGGGGTACCGCTGCACCGGGAGTAGTAGCGCACTGCACAAACCCTCTCTCTTTCACATCAGCAGTGTACCACCCCATGCCATCGCCCCTGCTCACATGCGCCTTGCAGCCCCCGCATACTGGTACCCCCACGCCGCCCCCACGCAAACACAAATACCGGTTCTTCAGAGCCCTGTGCGGAAATACCCCGGCATCTACTCTCCCTCCCCTCTTACCCCAAACCATCACCCCCCCACCCCCCACCCACGCCACCATCCTCGCCGCTACCGGTATCAATCACAGCATCAGGTACCGGTACTTCCTTCTTTGTGTTTCACCTCCCGCTCTCCCCGCCCCCCCGCATCCCCCCCCGCCCCCAGGTGGGGTTGTACGACCGGCTGCTGCGCCGCTACCAGTCCGCCTCCCGCCGTACGGAGCTGCTGTCCGCTGGGCTGAACGCGGGGCAGGGGCTCATCCTGGCGCTGGGGCTGGCGGCCATACTGCAGGCCATCATTGCGGGGGGAGGGGGCAGCGCGGGAGGAGGAGGAGGGGGCTGGGGAGGAGGCTGGGGAGCAGGGGCAGCGGGCGCAGCAGCAACAGGGGGAGCGGTGGCAGCAGGGGCAGGGGCAGGCGGTGGGGGCAGTGTGTTGGTGGCTAGCGGGGGCGACCTGGTGTTGGCGAGTGGGCTGATTGCGCAGCTGTGGGCGCCGCTGCAGTACCTGGGCTGGTTCTACAGGTGGGGCAGCGGGGGGGAGGTTGGGGGGGATAAAAAATAGACTAATAAGTGCAGCAACTGGAGGGGGGGTCAAAGACCATACCAAACTATAGGAGACCAGAGGTTAGGGCAAAGCAATGGGGGTAGGAGGCGGCAGGGTGCCACAAGACAAACTGGAGGGGGTGGAAAAAAAGAAATTCTGGTGGGGGGGTAGGAGGGGATAAGAGGGGAGGGGATATGCCGCACTATGTGTCTGGGCTGGAAATTTGGATTGCGTGTAGTGTATTGGGGAAGAGGTGGAGGTTGGGAGGTGGGGTAGCATGTATGGGGTTACTCGCAACTGGCTGCAACGTGGCGAAAGGGCACAGCGGGGATAAGGGTGGTAGGAGGGGACGAGGGGGATGAGGAATACTCACGGCTTTGGTGTTACTTCCCCCGCCCCCCGCCCTTACCCCTCCCTAACCCCTCCCTAACCCCTCCCTAACCCCTCCCTTACCCCTCCCTCCCTCCCTCCCCGCTCCTCCCCGCCCCCTCCCCCACCCCAGGGAGCTGCGTGCCGCGCTGGTGGACATGGAGGAGTTCTTCCAGGTGCTGCGGACTCCCTCGGGCATCACGGACGGCAGCAAACACCTGCCACCCACTCCACCATCAACAACAACAGCAACAACGGCAGCAGCAGCAGCAGCAGCAAGAACAACAACGCTATCACAGTCGCAGCAGCTGCAGGCGGACCGACAGGATGTACCAGCCGATGTTAACTGCCGCCGAACTGCTGCCGGTGCTGCTGACTGTTGCAGCAGCAGCAGCAGTTGGGCCGCTAATGCAAGCACAAGCACGTGTGGAAGCAGCAGCAGCGGCAGCAGCAGCAGCAGCAACGAGGTCTGTTGCGACACAGCCAGCAGCAACTGCGGCAGTAGCAACCAAAGCAGCAAGAGCAGTAGCAGCTTGGTTTCAACCGTCCATAACAGTCGCGGTGTAAAAAGCGATGGAGGCGGTGGTAGAGGAGAAAGCGATGGCAGCAGTAGCGGCCGTGCCAGCGCAGGTGTGGGCAGTAGCAGCAGCCGCGCCGGCGTGGGGCGACCCGTGGGTCAGGGGCTGCTGGTGGAGCTGGTGGATGTGTCGTTCGGATACACACCGGACCGGCAGGTGGGGGTGGGGCACACGTGGCAAGTCGTTGTGAGGCACACGTTTAGGGGTACTTGGGAATTACGTTCCAGAGGCATTAGTACGGTGCGATGGCAGGGTTCATACCGGTACCCTGCGTTAGCATGCATGTGGATTCATCAACTGGCCGCAACACTGACATCAACCATGGGAGCACCGGGGGAAGAGAAGGTGCTGACACAGCCTGTGTATAGTTGAGTAGGACAAGAGCAAGCAATTGGGAAAGGTTCGCATGTGAACCGCGAGTACAGGCAAAACAGAGGTGACCAAACCGTAATTCAGTATATATATTCATATATGCGCAGTGGAAGGGCACGCAGGGCCCTGCAGCAGCATCCACACTTCGCACCCCATTCCTCATCCCTCGTACGTCCCGACTCGCGGCAAGTTTTATTAACACCCTAAAGCCCCATTGTCGTACTTCCTTGCCGCCCAGATCCTGAAGGGCGTGACCCTGCGCATCAACCCCGGCGAGTCCGTAGCGGTGGTTGGCTCCAGCGGCAGCGGCAAGTCCACCATCCTCAAGCTCCTCACACGGCTGTACGACGTCTGGGGGCCCTCCGCCTGCAGTGCGGGTGGCAATGCCGGTAGCAGCAGCAGCAGCAGCAGCAGCAGCGGCAGCTGTGGCAGCAGTGGGGACAGCAGGTGTGGCAGCAGTGGAGGGAGCAGCAGCGGTGGCGGTAGCAGCAGCAGCAACGGCAATGCCGCTACTTGCAGTGGTGACGGGGCGGTGCCAGTACATGTGGATGCGCAAAACAGCAGCAGGAACGGTAACGGCACTGTTAGCGCTTGCAGCAGCAGTACGAACGGTACCAACGGAAACCAACGCACCAACGGTAACGGTTGTAACGGCCAGAGCTACAGCCACCCACACCAGCCTTACCACACCGCGTACGTCAACACCAACGGCAGCAGCAACGGCCGAAGCGACAGCAGCATTGGCGTGACTGTTCCAGTCGTCAGCAACGGTATCGGCAGCAGTGAACTCCCTACCACCCAGGAAACAGGGGACACTGACGCCGGTGTCATCCGCAGTAGAACCCTCAGCCCCAGCCCTCTACCTCCCGCCAGCCTCCTACCACCTCCCAGCCCCAGCCCCAGCCCCAGTCCCCGGCGGAGCAGTGGGGTGTACGTCAACGGAGTGGATGTACGGGAGCTGAGGTTGGAGGAGCTGCGGGGGGCCATTGCGGTGGTGCCGCAGGTGCGTGCGGGGGTGTTACCGGTATGGCTGGTCGGGGCAAACGAAGCTGCTGCGCGTTCAGGGTCTTTGCTTTAGGAGACGTGTCTATTTCGCTCTCTGTATTGCATTTACATTGCACGGAAGCGGGTTTCCTTAAGACACGCGCATGCTAGGTCGGCAAAGCGCCGTACAATCATCGTACATGCCGTTACATTCATAGTCCGTACGGCGCAATGTGCGGCATTGTGTCCTAACGTACAAACGGAATTACGGATGTACGGCCGCCCGCAGGATACGGTTCTTAACTACGACAGCATCCTAGAGAACATCCGCTACGGTCGCCCGGATGCGAGTGACGAGGAGGTGGTGGCGGCGGCTCGCATGGCTCGACTGCACGACACAGTCATGTCCCTACCCGACAAGTACGACACAGTGGTGAGTATTCACGAACCTGCCGTACTTAGGCCGTATGTACTTTGATGCCGTACACAACGTGCACGTGCAGACCAGCCCATGTGCCATTCTATCCAATAGCCACCCGCCCCCCACGTCCCGTGCGGGGGCCATATGCCCCCAGGGACGCTGCACCGCCCCCTACCCTCACACCCATTCCACCCATGGTGGAGCCTTGCCACACGGGGTTGTAGTTCCTTCCTCCACTTTGCACCCTGTGCCTCCCCCTTCCACCCCACCTGCCAGGTGGGTGAGCGGGGTCTGAAGCTGAGCGGCGGAGAGAAGCAGCGAGTGGCCATCGCCCGAGCCTTCCTGCGCGCTCCCAGACTGCTCATCTGCGGTGCGTAGGCAGGAAGGGGAGAGGAGAGAGGGGCGTCAGGTTAGGGCGAGCGGGAGCGGGGAAGCTTTCTCCATGCATGTATGTGCCCATCTTGGTACCGCTACCTTCCTCTGCCCTCCTGGCGTACGGTTACACCCCTGCCTTCCCCACCTGCACCCCTCTCCCCCCCTCCGCCCCCCTCCCCTCTCCAACCCTGCCAGACGAGGCCACCAGTGCCCTGGACAGCGCCACCGAGGCCGCCATTATGACCAGCCTAGCGGAGCTGGCGGAGGGTAAGCGGCTGACCCGTGGGTCGGGGCGGGGAAGCGGAGACCTACTACCGGTGCTATCCCCGCCGATGCCCGGTCCACGACCCCTGGCTGCCAAGCTGCTGACCCCACCTGCCCGTGTGTACGAAAGGTTGATCCTTAGATCCTATACATTCGCAGTTAACGCCCGCTATCGGTTACCCTTCTGCCCGTTCACAGTGCACTCCCAGCAGGCTCCTGACACTGACCCCGCCCCACCCCCTTTCCAGGCCGCTCCGCGCTGTTCGTGGCTCACCGGCTGAGCACTGTACGGCAGTGCGACCGCATTGTCGTACTGCGGGGTGGGCGGGTGGTGGAGCAGGGCAGCCACGAGCAGCTGATGGAGAAGGGGTGAGAGGGCCCATGACGGGGGGGGGAATGGGGGTCAAAGAAGTAGCCAATGGTTGTTGTGGGGAGAAGGGAGGTGCCTTGGCTGCGCTTCTTGATGATGGAGAAGTGCAAGGTCGCCGTTGTGCAGGAGAAGCGGATGCGGATGGTCCTTGGAGCGCTCCCTCTTTCTGCCCACTCGCCCTGACACACGTCTCCCTAATTAACACATCTTTCAGAAGCTTTCCTGACACTCCGCGCCTTCCATCCCTTCTCCCTGCACTTCCCCTTCCTCCCCTTGTCATCCTCCCCAGGGGTGAGTATGCGGCCATGTGGGCCCTGCAGGCACACCAGCGGGCCACTGCAGCAGCGCTGGCAGCAGCGGGGGGTCGGGAGGGGGAGGAGGGCCGTGAACGAATGGGTGATCGGGATGCGAATATGGATGAGGAGGAGGAGGAGGGTGTCACGGACAGTGATGCAGAGGGTGGGCAGGTAGAGGAGGACCTCGCTGTGGCTGTGCAGGAGCGAGGGGAGGAGGAGGAGGAGCAGCAACAAGGGGGAAGCTAGGGCAGCTCAGTTCCGGATCTGACATTGCATGTCCATGTACCTTCGTTAGTGAACTGAGGACTGGATGAGACCACACATGCACTCCTGGTAGGGTCCCGCAGAGGGACGGGGCGGGGCGAGCGAGCGCAGTGTCATTGTTGTCTTCTGAGGCGGGGCATGTGCGGTGGTGTTAGTGCAACATGGTTGCATGCATGGCTGGAACAGCAGAATGGCGAAAAAGAACTACAATAGCATGTGTGGATAGGACCATGACGTGATCGCTGTTACGGGTGTTGTTGTTACGCGAAATTACTGGGCCGCAGGGTAGGAGGGTGAGGATAGCCGGGTAGCACCCCTGCAGGGTAGGTAGGACCCTCGCAACCCTTCCTTCACCTCCGCAAATCGTGGATGTGGGACCTTTGGTGTTGCATGGGAGGTGCGAGATGGGAGGCCCTGCTTGGCTTAGGATAGTAGGACGACACTGGCGCACAAAGGCCATCCAATGAATGCCTGTTACAGAGGTTCCCGTGAAGAGGGTACACATGGGCGATGGCCCCAACCGTTCATTACACGAGTTACTAAACCTTCCACGTACGCTTCGTTGCAACGTACGCCTATCAATAATAATTAACAACATACGTCCATCCCCTACAGGCTACTACAGGTCTATCTCAAGGGACGGCATTTCGCAGTCCAGCACGCCATGGCTCATTCTAGCCTTAAGCGCACCTGCTACTTACGAATATCTAGGTTTGGTTGCGGCAAGTGGTTGGAAGGCAACCCCGCATGGCAACCTGGGCAGCGTAGACAGCAGCAGTAATTAATAACGAATGCAGGCCGAAAGCAATATAACATACGCAACCCATCCGGATGACGAAGGCAACATGGCAAAGGCAACCTAGGAAGGGAGCATCTATAACGCTACAAAATGACATGCCTAACGCAACCCTGCAGCATAAGGTACGCACATGCTTAATGCAAGCCTGGCTGGCTGCATACAAGTATTCGCAAACTAACAATTCATTTGGTATCAAGCTACTACATCCCGCGCTGTCTGCCATGTCACAGGTACTAAACCAACAGCAGCCATCTTACTAAGCTACCGCCAGCAGTCATCTTACTAGGCCAACTGCCGCCATGCTACAAAGCCAACTGCAGCTATGCTACTAAGCCAACTGCTGCAGCAATCTTACTGAGCCAACAGCATCCATCTTACTAAGGCAGCAGCAGCCATTTTACTAGGCCATACCGGTAATTGAAATCGTTTACTAAGCCAACTGCAGGCCAATAGCTGCTATGTTAGGAAGTTGCGTCTTGACATCGACGGCTTGGCCGTTGATGTAGACCCGGACCGCCAGCGCCACTGCATTGTTGAAGGCGTCTGCTGCCATCGCCGGTTTGAGGTTCTTAACCGAAACCGGGAACTTGTTGAGGCCGGGGCAAGCCAGCGTCTCCAGGTTGCTTCCCGTGTAGACGGTCACCCACTGGGGTGTACTCTGCAAGTTGCATGTCAGGGGGCAGCAAACGGGGCTTGAGCTTACAGCAGAAAACAACCGTTTGCTTGGAAGGCCTTGCAACCAACGAGAACGCAGGTATATGTGCCGGCGGGTGGCTGTTTTGCTCTCATCATCAACGAGGGAGCGGTCGGGGTGGGTAATGGATGGACCAGTGGATTCAAGGGGCAATGAGCATGGCAGACAGTACTACGCTACTACCATCATGCGCAGCAGATACGGCAACTCGTACTGCATCGCATTGCTGGACATGTGCCTGTGTGGTCATCACCTGTACGTACGTACGTATGTTTGTTACTTAGAAGCGGCAGGAGAGCAGCGACTATAGCTCTCTAAGTTAGATTCTATACGGCAGTCGTACAGCTCGTCCTTCTCGCTGTCTCTTAAGGTCTGACAGCTCCATAGTTCGGCATTCTGCCTTCACTATTGGAGCTTTGTTGCTCGTGACTTCCCCCCGCCCTCCCTGACCAGTGTCTTCCGCGTTAAGCCATGCTCGGCCCAGGTTCAATGGCGCGACAGCACACGAGAGGCTGGGGAGCAGTGGCGGGCAACATGAGTGTAGCGTCATCCACGCCGCCTATGGAGGCGGCGGGAGCTATGAACGCTTGTTAGGCGGGGCCTGGGTTGTCACATGGGCTGTAGGGCTTGAGCGCCGCTGGCATGCTTCGGGTTTCCCTTTGGGAATGGCTGGGATTTCAGCGTGTCGGGTTTAGTTTGCTTGCGCCTGGGGGTTGTTATCAACGGCCGGGTGGCCGTTTTAGACAGCGCTTTGGCGCTTACTACGCCCGCGGGCGTCTTTGTTTTCCGTTGTGCTGCGGGTGCAGGTGCACGCCGCTGCACTGAGCCGTGTGCTGTCGCGAGCAGCAGCTCCACCAATAGTGTGTAAGGCCCAATCCAATCCATTGCCGTGTCTCCTGCCCCAAACGCAATTCAGCTTTTGACTAGCTCCCCGGCTGCCGACCGCAAGAGCTGTTAAGACTATAGTATAGAATCGTAATAAGCGCATCCCAAACATACGCACGCTAGCACCCGCACGCACCTCTCCTGGAACCTGCAGCTGCAACTCGATAAAGGCAATCGGCGGGTTCAGGATGCCGTAGTTGATGAGGTAGACATTCACGCTAGCCAGACGGCCGCCCGTTGCAACAGGGATCTGGTTGAAGTAGGCGATAACCCAACGAGGGGGCTGATGGGCGAGGGGGGAACAAGAGGACGCACGCGGAATTGTTGGATCTGAGTATGGAAGTTTGGGAAGGGTGCGGAAGCAGCAGCTTGAGGGATTGGGCGGTGGTAGAGCTGATGGTCAGGGTTATTCCAAATTGAACGAGCTCAAGCAGTGTGTGCAAGGCGTTCAAGCAAGGACAGAGACATGGGTAACCAGAGCCGCTACCAGGCATGCATGTCGCCGCAACATCATCAGTGTCATGCCAAAGTACACATGAGTCCTGCCAATCGGGAGTTGGGTAGACGCCTACACAGTCGTATCAACGCCTGCTGGAGTCAAAAGCGAGTGGCTGCTGCAGCTCACGTTCTTGGGGGGGCTCCAGGCCACGTCAAGGTTGGCCTTGCAGCGCCTGACGGCTAGCACCTCCGCACTGGGGGGCCCCACAAGCTTAGACACAGTTCCTGGGTCGGTACTGGTCCCCGTGGGGTCCTGCATGTACGGCAGCATTTCAGCGGATCTCAGTTTGGCGGAAGCATGCATGCAGAACTACAGCGGTGGAAGAGACCCGTGGGTCACCATCCCCACATGTTATGTTCTCGGAGCCTTCCTGCATTACGACAACTAGCAAAGCATTATTGTATGTGTAAACAGCAATACAGAGGTAGCAGTAAGAGTTAATGTAGTTACAGCTATGTTTGAATCGACATGTACAGAAAGTCTTTGCCACAAATCATTGAACTTAAAAGTACTCACATTCTTGCTACCCGCCGATGTGGCCCAATAGACAGCTGCTTGCTGCGGGGGTGGTGAGGGCTGTGGAGATGGGGGCGAAGGTGACGGGCTGGGTGGCGGCGATGGCGATGGAGGTGGGGGCGAATGTACAGGAGGCATGCGAGGTGGAAAGGGTGTTGGCGGCTTAGGAGATGGTGAGGGGGGCGGAATCTGAGGAGGCGGCGGTGAGGGGGGCAGTGGACTGGGCGGGGAAGGAGGACGAGGGCTTGGAGCTGGGGAAGGAGGCAACGGGGAGGGGGCCGGGCTTGGGGGTAAAACGCTTGCGGGTAGCGGGCGGGGTTGAGGTGACGGAGGGGAGGGAGATGGCGGCAGTGGCGTGTTTGAACTGAGCTGAGGAGACTGCAGCCTAGGGGGCGCTAGCGGGCGTGGAGGCCGGGGTGGAGGCGGAGGGGGGGGTGGGGAAGGAGGCCGTGGAGAGGGAGGTAGAGGAGAGGGCGGCAGTGGAGAAGGAGGGCTTGGGGAGGGAGGAAGCGGCGAAGGAGGGCTTGGGGAGGGAGGAAGCGGCGAAGGAGGGCTTGGGGAGGGAGGAAGCGGCGAAGGAGGGCTTGGGGAGGGAGGAAGCGGCGAAGGAGGGCTCGGGGAGGGAGGCGGCGGCGAAGGAGGTAAAGGAGAGGGCGGTCGTGGCGAAGGCGGCGCCGGAGAGGGAGGCAAAGGCGAGGGCGGCGACGGTGAGGGAGGAAGGGGTGGGAACGGTGACGGGAAGGGCGACGGCGGCGGACCTGCACATGTAGATCAGAGGTTGGTAAGGACCATGGACGTCGTACCGGCACACAACGAGGCGTACAAGCGAAGAACTTCAGGGGACATCAGCACAGCCATGTTCCCTGATCCGCTTCCCTAGTGGGCCATGCATGGACGTGAGGTGTCTTACCAGGCAGGCAGGCAGATATCCACAACGAAGACCCCTAAAGCGTAAACCATGTGGCACGGTAACAATGCGTACCCTCCCCACCCAACAAACAGCTCTGCATCATGTAAATTGTTCGTGTAATGTTACTAGATGCACTTTTCACATGCATGTGCAGCCCGCCACGGGGCATTTAAATCGTGGATGATATATGGAGTCCGTTCCCCATGTGCTTCGTCAATGCGGTGTACTCATACATGCACCCTGCATGTCCTTAGCACACCTGTTGCAGGGCAGACGTTGTAGACCTGGAGCTCGAGGAGTTGGAGGCCGCACTCTTCACCCGAACACCCAGTGTTGTGGTTTTGCATGGTAACCCACCGGCCAACCACCGGTGTTGAAAGCGAAACGGTGACAACCGAGCAATCGGTCATAGCACCGCTCTGGGTCCATACCAGGGTGTTGCTTCCAATGCTGCCGGTGTTCGATGTCGACGTGATGGCGGTTGTGCCGACACGTATTTCGGCGCCCTTCATGCGATTTGTGCAGCAGTCGCAGCGGTTCCAGATGACAATGCAGCTGATGCTGTTCACAGCTCCAAGGTCGACAGAGAACCATGGGTTGGCATCACCGGAGGCTGTGTGGAAGATGTTGAGCACGGCCTGGTTCGTGACTCCGTCGACTGCGTAGGAGGGACTCAGTGCGCTGCCCCAAGTCATGGTGGAGGAGGAGTACGCTTGCTTGTTCAGAGCAAAGTTCGTCGGCACGGCTGCAAGGTAGGGGACCAAAAGGGCAGCGGCGGTATGGTTTCGGACATCTTGCTCAGATACCGAGAAGCGGGATGGCGGCATGCATGCATGCATGGAAGATGTCTAGGAAGGTGCTGAGGGTAGGCATGCAGTGCCAGCAGCCTGCCTTTCGCCCATGTCCTAGCCTGGGAAACCGGGCAGCGGCAGGCAACATAGGGCAAGAAAGAGGACAAAGGCGGAAGGAACAACAGCACACGGCAGCCTGCATTGGATGGGCAACCGCGGCACGGGGGCTTGGGACTGACCTGGCGGCGGCAGAGGTGTCGGTGACGGGGGTGGGAGGCTGGGCGGCGACGGAGGTGATTCTGTGGAGTGCAGATGGGGAACAAAGGTAACGTCAGGCCAGCAGGTAAGCAGCTGTAGGCTAGGCGATCCAGTTGTGTAGGCGCAGGGCATAGGGAGTTCCGAAACGCTAGTGGGAAACAAAGCATCCCTCTGCTGCCGACGCTCTGAAGCAGGTGCGGAACCGGCAAACATTGGATACGTTCCAGGGCGGCTCGCATGGGTTGCAAGAGCCCCCTTCGTGCCTGTCCAACTTGGCTAGCCTAATGTGGCTATCATTCACATCTACTGCTTGTGACCGCAGCGGGCGTTTGCGTCCAGGGTTATGTAACGGCCCATACATACAGTGATGGGGTGCTTATGTTGAATGACCTCATCACTGTGGTGTGGTCAACTGCTATACACAGAAACACCGGGCAAGTAGGAAGAAGAAAACATACGTACGGTTGGCGTGAACTCGACCTCACGCTTGTTGTGAGCTTGCAGGCGTACAACACCTTATTGCGTTATCATTTTGTTTGATGAGGCCACTAACGGCAGCAGGAGGTACACTGGATTACGCCTACGTATACCCATGCAAGTTTCAGACCCCTGTGATGTTTCCTAGGAAGACATCGACTATTCGGCGTATACTGGCACTGCACGGCTAAGGTACCCATGTACCCGTACCCGCATCGCAGACTGACCTGCCCCAGGGCACGTGCTGTAGACCTGGAGCTCCAGGAGTTGGAGGGCGCAATCCACACCCGAACACCCAGTGTTGTGGTTTTGCATGGTAACCCAGCGGCCAGCCACCGGCGTTGCAAGCGAAACGGTGACAACCGAGCAATCGGTCATAGCACCGCTCTGGGTCCACACCAGGGTGTTGCTTCCAATGGTGTCCGATGTCGACGTGATGGATGTGGTGCCGACACGTATTTCGGCGCCCTTCATGCGGTTTGTGCAACAGTCGCAGCGATTCCAGATGACAATGCAGCTGATGCTGCTCGCAGCTCCAAGGTCGACAGAGAACCATGGGTCGGCATCACCGGAGGCTGTGTGGAAGATGTTGAGCCCGGTCTGGTTCACGACTCCATCAACTGCGTAGGAGGGACTCAGTGCGCCGCCCCAAGACATGGTGGAGGAGGAGTACGCTTGCTTGTTCAGGGCCAGGTTGGGTGGGTTTACACCTGCGAGTGCATTCACAGCCACGTTGGAAGTTGAAGGCGGGGTTTCGGGCTTGGTCATTTGCTGCGTTGTAGCAACTGGGCTGCAATGAATTTCGTAGGCAGCAATGTAATTTGTGCCGCAGCGATAGGCATAAGCGGATCAGTATAAGAATGCAAAGGCCAAAGGAGTAGTTAGAACCGGGTTGGCCCATTCGTCACGTCCTCAGGCGACATTTGCTGCACCAAATTCACGTACTGTTGGGCACACGATACTGGGATGGCCAACGCAAGTAAGTTAGCAGCTGTTAAGCACAACCTACTAGCAGCAGGTCGGAAGGTGAAGGCCGCGAAGATAAGTAGGACCAGCACGGATGGGCGGCAGCCCGACTTGCCATCCTTGAAGGCGCCAGCGTCCCTCGAAACCATCGCAACGGTAGGTTGAGATTAATAGTTAGGGCTCCTCTTGTTGGTTGATCATGAAGCCCTTACACGTCGTTAATTACTCCCTTGTCGTAATTACGAAGTCTCCAAGCCAGTACAACCCTGGACGATGTAGGAGGGAACGGCGCAGACGAGGAACCGTTCCCTGAACAGCTGAAGGAAGGATATTGGATAAAGGACGCTAGCTAAAGCTCAAATCAGTTTTTATGCAATTTTCGAGTACGGCCATCAATTTAGCAATTCGCCGTATTACGCAATATACCGCATGTCGCAAGCACTTCCGAGGTATGCCCCCAACCAATGAAGTTGCAAGTAGTGAACAGTCTAAATACATCGACTGCACAAGGATGCTCGAGCCGGGGTAGCAGCGCATTGTATGACTAATACCGGTACCAGCAGCCGTCTGCGATAGCCTCAGGGTAATGTGATCACAGGCAGCATAGGGCGGTAATCCTGCTTAGTGGATTCCACTGTATGGCGCTTGTACGCAAAGCAGGACCGCATAGGCCTTGCATTAAATTGTACCGGTTTGTTGAAACAAACGAGTTCTTTCTGGCATTCCCTTCTCGCAATTTCTCTATACTGCGGCGTTCATGAAAGGAAGCCAGTTCGGCGGTTAGCGACAGATGCAAGGTTTCACCATCGTTACAACGTTGCGCAGTTCCCCTGCCTCTGAAACTCGATCGCTAATCACCGATAACAGCTGAGTTTACTTCAGCTGATGTCCTGACTGCCGCCCTTACCAGAGTGAACATAACAGACACAGTAGCCAATCTATGCGAGTACGGGTACATGTGAAGGATATATAGATTGCGACAATTTTGTCGTACTTCGCAACATCCTCGTAGTTCTGCCAGCAAGGTCGCGGACCATTCTGGCTTTGAGAAGGAAAATCCGGGATTCTGGGCTCTGACAAGGCTCTGAGCGTGCTCGCAGTGTTGGCCAAGAAACTGAGCATATATACATACATGAAAGGAACTTGTTCGGCAAAAAGTGACGCAATATATGTTACATGGTTGCTGACACTTTAAATTTATTCGACGACTGTGGCAACGTTAGACCGTTCTTCATAGGGAAACCCGTTGAGCATGCTTACTTTGAGCGGCTGAGTTGTCCCAAGACGGAGCGGTGAATTTTCATAAGCAGGGGATTCCACTTTCTGCAACATGGAATGGCAGGCATACCATTTCCGTAGTGCCCCCAAAATGTTGCTCTCCTGAGTGTGATGTCTGCGGCTGAAGGATCACTGTAGCGACAGTAATCATACCTGTAGTGGACATGGAAGCGAATGCATGGGCAAGATGAGCGGAAATGTGGCCAGGCTTTCAGACCAAGGGCTACGGCGTCCTCAAGGGCAAGGTGAACCATGCATGCCTGGATGAGGTCGGAGAAGTGGTTGGAGTGGATGTTTGAACCAACCTAGCCATAGTTGTGGTCGTTAAACACAAGGTGGAGGACATGCTAAAGAGCTGTGAAGGCGTGCAAATTATGTTGCATTCTTTTGTTTCGGTAATCTGAAACGGTGGCGGGTCTCAACGAAGCTCACACAATGTTTGTGTGTCGCCTAGTTTTGCATAGGCGCTCTATTCCTCCTTTACGGAATATCCACCCCCTTATACAAGCTGGAAGCGGTGAACCATAGAGGGCATAGACGTACAGTTGCCCTATGAGTGTACGGCGGACTGTTATTGCATATACCGCTGCCCTGCTGACACGCATGCACTCATAATGGGCAGAAGACCAGGACGACATAGCAAATGTATCAAGGTGTCATGGACCATGCCACAGTGTTGCATATTACTGCCGCATGCAGTCCATGCACCAGATAATGAGATTGCTTCTCCCGACGTCTCCCTTAGATTGGGTTGCCCAAATCGCAAGGCACGTCAATGTCTACCACACACCAAGCCAAGCCCGAAACCCCAGGCAACATGCAAATGCCAGGTTGCACCTAACAAAGTGTAACGAAAACCCCGGCCTCCATTACAAGTGTCATCTTCACCAACGGGCGAGATCCAGGGTCCCATCATACCGGAGCTGTCTGTCAAGGGGTGGTGGGGGGTCACACATACACATGCCCACCCTTGCCGGCCAAGAAGCCGCCTTTTGTCCTCGATCCAACCTCTTGTCCTAGAGCCAACCAACCTCCGATCCGTACATAGAGAAAGTGCGTTAGCCGTTTCTACATACCTGTGTGGTCAAGTCCATACCGTGCCTAGCCAGCCACACCCAGTGCAATCCATCAAGGCACTGAGAGGCGCCTGCCACGTCATGTCGAATAGCTCTCAGACAACCCCAACTGCGTCAATGCACTGCATGACATTCCCAGGCTGAGGGCACTCGCTATGAGACACTTGAGGCTGATGGTACCGGCAACACATGACAGCCCTCGTCTCCAGCGGACTGTGGCACAAGCACACAATCTTCCCTGGCGGTCTAGCAAACATGCGGCATTTACTTGCATCACCATCAAAACCCGGCCACCTGCCCAGCGGCCCAGCCGTGTTGCCCACCTTGCTGCGAGTCGATTACCAGGTGGCGCAGTGCGGTGTAAAACGCACGGGTATACTTCACAGCAGCACCAAACCGCCCGTCATCGTTAATAGCCAGCCACGGGCCAGAAACTTCCCTGCACCAGCGCTGCCCCAGAGTGGCGTGGCTCCTCGCCAACGCGTGCTAAGCCCGAGTGAGGGAGTTTAGAAAAAAAAGAATCTCCGCCGCTTCTTCTGCTGCGCACCATTCTCTGCTCCTGGCGCTGGCGCCGCTGCTACATCCCCAGTCGCCTCTGCCGGCGCTGCTGCCGCGGGTGAGGGAGTGGCTGCAGCCCCAGCAGCCGATCCGGCTGCGGCCTTGCGGTTGCACTCCTCGCACTCCTCGCCATGGATGACCTTGCCATCTACCACCTTGGGCACCGCTTGCACCGGCATGAGGCTGCGCGGCTTTACCATTCCCCCAGCCTGGGGGGCCATGGCGCTGCAGTCGAGGACCTTCCACTCTCCACTTGTCAGGTTGTAAAGGGCGGTGGAAGATACACCCGGTCGCCGTACGGCACGCACGCTCACGTCTGTGATTTGACTGCTGCCCTTCAGCGGGAAAGTGACAGCAGCAATGTGTCCTGTTTGCGTGAAGCCAATGCTGGCGTTGTACCAAGGGCCGTCTACGTAGGGCTTGCCGATTTGAGCCTCGAGCTGCTCATCTTTGTTGGCGATAGCCAGTGCGTGGTCGCGAAGAATACAGTAGGTCGTGTACTCCCCTACCACGTCTTGACCAACATAAAAGCTTACACCAAGCAGCGCGCCGGCGGCTGCGGTACGTAGCAGTGGCTTGCTCATCGCGACTGTCGGAGGTGGGGACGCGCAAATCACTTTAAACGCAACTAAAGGGCTACAGAGCAGATAATATTGATGCGCAAAATAAGAGAGCAACTGTGCGACGAAGGTTGGCAATGTGGTAGAAGGGACGAAATGTTCCCCTGTCTCTTCGTAGTGTCAAGACTTCTTTATGATTAATAGAAGATAACATTAGACAGATTTATATAGGAAATCTTGTGTGCCAACTATTGAAATCTACGCATCTACGCGGGTAGCGGAACCACGTACTGCAGAGCTAATCCTCGATTTTCTTACGTTATGAGTACCAGCATGTAAAAATTGAGCATGTGCACCAAGATATATTTATGTTTTTGTTAGTTCGAGTTGTGTATTTGGTATGCCTTGCACAGTCCCAAGGTTCCATTATCCAGCGCCATGGTCGTGGCTTTTCCGGGGCAACGCCCTCTCATTTATTAGCAAATTGGACATGCAAGCGATCGTGGCCAAGCCTGTTTGGCTGAGTTACGAAGTGCACGCTTACCCCTGCTATCACTCCTCCATTCCTTTATGAAAAAGGTGTTTGAGAATAAGTCAGGATAAATGCCTTATGTGCGGGACCGCATGGGGGGTCGGGCTAAGCTTCGAGCACCGCGACCCTCTAGAAGCTCAAACATTATTTGGCGCCACGCTGGGATAGTGTTGAACAGGGGATATGGGCATTAATGAAAAGATAGGAAGCCATGAGCAACCCAGATTGCCATTGCCATTGCCAAGGGAATTTGCATTGGGCAGCATTGCCACGTCCTGTACGACCTTGCCGTAGAGGTTGACCACAATGCAGATTTGCCTCTTCCAGCCATCCAAGGATTCGGTGGTCCTTGGCGCTGTCGTCAAAGGTGCTCAGTTATTTGATCGTATACAGCCGCGGTGACAGGTTGTTACTTAGCCGGGACCGGCCAGCGCTGGAACCTCGTGATCTAAGGTTGGCATACAACTATACCTTTTCAGCATTTTTCAGTAGTAGCTCTACACCATGGCTGCCACCAAGCAGTATCGGACAGAGCAGGATCGCATCGATTCCCTCACCATGGCGATAACGGTAAGCTCGCTGGCCCAGAAACGTTTAGCCCAGGAACGATGCCTTCACTTGCCAACTGGGGAAAGATTGGCGGAAGGTTTCGACTGATAAACGTGGCGCGCTTAAATCGATGCAGAACCCGAACGTTGTGGGCTCTGGCTATATCCATTTCCCACCTCAGCGGCCGTTTGAGAAGCCTGTTGTCTTCCAGCCGCCCACTGTTGCGGTAAGGTCTTCGCTTTCAGCAAGGTATGGTGGATGTTTCTCTCACATGATTTCCTTGCACGCAGCACCTTGAGTTTCCCTCCGAGTACCAGGAATATATCCGGGCGACAGGCCAGCAGCCCCCTGCTGGGGCTCCGCAGGCCACTCCTGCGAGCACAGCTGTTCGGCCACCACCAGCTGTCGCGCCGCGCTCTCCCGGCCCAGTAAGAGCTCGCGCAATTCTCCGTATATTTATCTCCCCATGCCCGCGCATTCTATGGCTTACTCCTGGTACAAGTAGGAGAATATAAGCTTCAATTGTCCTTGTCTTTGCAGGTTGCACCGGCACCTGCACCGCAGTCCCGGCCGCAAGGCCCCCCTCCTCCGCAGTACCAGCAGCAGCAGTACAGGCCGCCCCAGCAGGGCTACCAGGGGCCCCCGCCCGCCCGGCCCCAGGCTCCTCAGGTGCGGACCACAGCCTTAGTTAGAGCCTAGAAACCCTAAACCAAGGTGCTCCAGACCAGTGCACATAATGTTGTGTCGTCAGTTTTATGGGTTTGAGCCACCACATTACTCGCTGCATGCCGGGATTTGGAAAGCTCGCGTAATTGGACGCAACGTTGCTATCCGGATGCATAATATGCTGTTACTCGGCTAGCGTGTCCGTCCATAGCGCTGCACTCTCCATGCATCTCCTGGGCGTCTGGAGCCCCTTTGGTCACGACCCAGATCACTGTTAGCATTACCCCCGACCCACATTACTCGTCATCGTCGCCTACGACCCACATCAGTGGTAAGCGCATTTAATCCAACACCTTCTTCCAACGCCCTGCAGGCCGCTGCGCCGCAAAGGCCTCCTCACGGCCCTCCGCCTGCTCGCCCCGCCGCTCCGCCCCAGCAGTACGGCGCGCGCCCCGCAGCCCCTCCTGCACACCCGCAGCCCCAGTACGGCATCCGCCCGGCAGCACCGCCTCCTGCAGCGCAGCGCCCCATGTCCGCCGCACCCTCGCCTGCGGTCCACCCGGCGCACCCCGTGCCGCGGCCGGCGGCACCCGTGCCCGCGCGTGCTCCTGCGCAGGCCCCTCCCGCGAGGCCTCCGGCTGCTGCCGTGCACCAGCCGCCGGCCCCTAGGCCCCAGCCCGTCGCTCCTGCTCCGGCGCCGGTGCCGGTGCAGGCGCTGGCTCAGAAGGTGCAGGCTGTGAACTTGAACCACGACGAGGACGACAGCGATGACGACGACGAGGGAGGAAAGGGCGGCATGAGCAAGTCGCAGAAGAAGCGCCTTCGCAAGAAGCTCCGCGAGCAGGCGGCGGGCAAGTAAGCGCAGAGCAGGGAAGGCTGGTCGTTTGTCGTACATGCGGGTGCTAGGCCACCTTCTACGCCCTCCTCTTCTCTCCTGTACATGCTGCGGAGTCGGTCGCTTAGGGTCTGCGCGTGCTCTTGTGTGGTGGGTAGGACGGGGTATGTTTTAAGGGCTGCGTGCGAGAGTCTCGGGTGTAGGCAATAGGGCAGCTCGTCAGGCCTTCGAGGAGGCTTGTTGGAAAGAGATGGTGAGCAGAGTGTGTGGTGTTACTTGGGTGCTGGTTCTGTGTGTCTCTCCATGTGACTGGGTGAGACATGAGTGCATGCAACGTGAAATCGACGCTTCAGTCCGAGGATTTGGTCCTGGGGTCGGTCGCGTTGTGATTCATCCTCTTGAGACTGTCATGCTGGTCACGCTTGCTTGGTAAGATGACTAAGGCATGGGGAGCATGCAGGAGCGCGGTTGGCGCCGGGCGGGTCGCCTTGTGGTAGGTGTCGTCGACTGGGAAGTGCATGCAAGTGGCATCAGGTCGATAAGGGTGGCGTGGGGTGCAGGATGACGCTCGGAGGGTGGATGGCGGGTGGCTATCAGCGCTCGACAAGTCAACATGCTCGGAGTATCGCGCAGACTCCATTTGCGGATATCTGCATATGCGGGTAAGGGGTGAGGACGGAGATGCGGGCAGGGGTAGCACCCAAAGAACCATGGTGGCAGAAGGCATCATGCATCCGCTCTGTTAGGTGCTATGTGCTGGGTGGCAGTTACCCCGATTGGTTCCAGGCCGCCCTTTGTAATGCTTCTTTGTGTCTTCGAGCATCAGATCGGCGCTCCTCGCTCCTTTTAGAGGTATGAGGGCTTACAGATACGGAAAAGCATGGACCAGTTGCGGTTCTTGCTCGCAGCTACTCACGCAAAGCCAAGCCTCAGGGCTCACGACTTTCAACGTCATACCCAAGTAAGATGGGATCAACTGCCGAGTACGACTCTTAAAGAGACGCAGCCTCTTATCATGCCGGAGCCATGCGCAAACCTCAAGGGCGGCTACGGGCCCCAACCCCCAAGGACACAACCAGGACAGGATCCACCTGCACGAGCATCCGGTATACCAGTAATGAAAAGCAAGCGGTGTCAGAGACCTGGACCCCATAGACCTCCAGCACGCACCCGTATCACGGTTTCGTTCATTAACGTCAAGAGATGTCAGGAGGCAAAACTGCATATGCTGTGCACGCACTGCACGCGTCCCGAGGGTCACAAAAACACAGTTAAGACACACGCCATGTAGCGCTGTGTAGTTGAGCGGAAACAAGAGCAAGCACGCCGTGTAGCGCTGTGTGTAAGCGCGAAATTGTAGCACCAAAGAAAATTGGCCAATCGACCCATTTCGTCCCGATCTTCAACCACCCGATCAGATATCTTGTAATACGCTCGCCTGGCATAACACCATACAACCTACCTACGACATGCCCCTCACAGCGCACCCCTCCCTGCTAGGTTACGCACACGCACGAGATCAAGCCCACGAACGAAGCACCCCTTCTTCACCCTTTCCTCCTCCTCTTCCCTTCCCCCTTGCTCCTCTACTCTGCCGGTCGCAGCACAAACACCTTGTCATCGTGGGACACCACGTCCTCCCACGCGGGGTTGGTGGACACAAAGTGCAGCCGCCACGCGGGGTTCTCCGGCTTGCTGCGGTACAGACCCAGCGGCACGCAGCCCTCCGAAACCAGCTCCTCGAACAGCTCGCGGTAGGGTCGACCCGCCAGGTGGCGCGGCACGGGGCGCAGGCGCAGGGGGGTGCCGCCGCGGCGGCCGTTCTCTCCGCACAGATCGGCCATCAGGTCTAGCAGCAGGTTCTGTATAGGGAGCAGCAGGGTGAGGGGATGAGGATGAGGGAGGGTGAGGGAGGGTGAGGGAGTGGGGTAGGAGCGCACGAAGGGAGGAGCGCAAGGGAAGGAAGGGGGTTTGGAAGCCTAGTGGCTGTTTTGCGTAGCTGAACTGTGCTTTGGTTTGGGTTCCTAAAAGGCTGCCTGGCACACGTTGTTAGTACGCGGTGTATGTGGGGGTCACCAAGCAGCCAATGACAAGGCAAACTGGGGCAGAGAGCAGTTGGCCCAGCTGGGGGACCCTTCCGGGCGTAGCCTAGCATGGCCCTTACCTCCCTCCTTCCCCCCTCTCCACCTCCCTCCCACCCGCCCTCCTCACCCGCTTAGCAAACGCCTGCATGGTGAACGTGTCGATCAGCGCCGGCACCAGCACCCTGCCCGCTCCGTAGTAGATGTTGGTCTGCCACTGCACCAGCCCTTGCTGGTCCGCGGCCTGGTCGGCCTCCCGCCGCTGCCGCCAGCTGCGGCGGGGCAGGGCAGCGGAGCCGCCGATGCTGCAGGAGGCGTCCCACACGCTGTTGCCCTGAGGGGGGGGAGAGGGGAGGGACGAGACGGTAAGAAGCGGGTAAAAAGTAGGTAACAACAGGTAAGTACTAGATAAGAAGAGGGTAACAGGGGTACCGTAACGAGTGGGGGCGGATGAGGGTCGGGAAAGGGTGTACAGGAGAAGCGGCGAGGAGGGTAGAGAGGTGGGGAGGGTAGGTGGTGTATAGCATGAGAGCGCGCGGGGCAGCGGCGTGTAGGGCAGCAGCGGCATGGAGGGAACGGAGGTGAGCCCCTCGCGACGGCGATTACCTGCAGCAGCAACCCGGGTTGCAGGAATCGAACCGAGGACGTGAAGGACAGCTCCACGACGCTGTGTCCGCGAACCCCGAATGCGCCGCTGGCATCCCAATCCTCGCCGCTACGAGTGGTGGAGGAACCGCCAGCGCCACCACCACCACCCGCCGGCGCTGGTGGTGTCGACGACGATGGCGACGGTGACGTTGCACCACTGCCGACGTCCCATGCGCCGCTGGTGCTGCAGGTATCCGCACTGGCCTCCGCCACTGCAACTGCTGTGGTGGCCTCCTCACCCACTCCGTAGCAGGTGAGCAGCGCCTCAGCATCCGCCTGCACACGGGAGGCGCACAGGGACACACACTCCTCGGCTCCCGCGGCAGCATCGCTGGGGACACACCATCTTCTGACTGACATTGCAGTAAGTTCCTACTCGCGGCCAGTTTTCTTAACACACAGTTTGCCAGGCGGAAAGAGGTGGGGCACTGCGAGTGTGCCGCACACACGACACGCACACAAGTACACCCCGGTCACCGCGCGACTAGCTACACACAACACCCTCTGCTTCTCCACGCACCTGCACACCGCCTGCCCCTTCCTCCCTACTCCCCTACATCCCACCTCCCGCCCCTCACCTGCACCCCAGCCCGGCTCGTGGTCCCATAATCCAGCGGCGAGTACGAGGGCGCGGAGGCGTCCGCCGGGCCATCACTCGGACCCGCGGGTCGCTCGCTAGGTCCCAAGTACACCAGGCACCTGGCCCGGGGCGCGCCCGCCTGCTCCAGGGCCTGCGGGTCCGCGGGGCTGCCTCGCACCACCCGCACCGGCCCCATGGAGCCCAGCGACAGCACGGTGGCCTCGGGCGGGTTGGGGTGCAGCACCACCAGCTCTAGACTGCTGATGCCGCTGTCGGGGTCTGGGTGGAGGGGGAAGGAGGGGGAGAGGGAGGGAGAGGGAGTAAAAAGGAGGAAGACTGACGAACTGGATGACGGGGGAGGGGGAGGGGGAGGGGAAGGTGGGTAGGGGTGTGGAGGAAAGGAGGATGTGGCGACAGAGGGAGGAGTAAGGCAGTGGGGTGTGTGGAAAGAGAGGCACCGCCCGCCCGCACCCTCACCCTTCATGCCCGCGCAGCTGTGCAGCACCCGCGCGAACTCCACGAAGCTCTCGATGGCGCCCGCCAGTATGATGTGGCCCCGCCGCCCGCCGTAGGGCCCCTTGAGCTGCCGCCAGGGGGCGTCCTGCAGCCGCATGGCAGGGGGGGCAGGGGAGCAGGTGGGCAGGCAGGTGGCAGGTATAGTAGGCAAGCATGCGGGCAGGGATGGTAGGAGAGGGAGTTAGGAGTCAAGCATGCCGGTAGGGTACTATGGGGTTGGATTTTTGAAAGGGAGAAGCAGCAGGTATACAGTGTGAAGTCAGCGAGAGCTCACCGCGAGGGCGTACGGCCGACCCGTGGGTGCAGGGGGGCTGTGGCCGACTGCCTGTACGGCAGCTGCTGTGGCGGCGCTGACGTAAGCCGGACTGGCGCCGCCTGCCGCCTTCTTCACCCCATTGTTGTTGCTGCTACTGCTGTTGCTAACGGTGCTAGTAAAAGCCCGGTTGCCGTTGCTACCACCGTTGTTGTTGTTACTATAACTGCTACTCGAGCTCATGCCGTTAGCATTCCCACCACTGCCGCTGGCATTGCCTCCATTGGCTTGATGGTGGCTGCTGCTGTTGCTAGAGTTCGTTGTGCTGCTAGCAACTCGAGAGTGAATACCGTTGCTGCTGTTGTGGCCGCCACCGTTGTGACCGTTGGTTACGGAACTCATTGGAGAGCTAGTCGTTGTCGTACCGCTATTGCTGCTGACGCTGCTGCTGACAACGCCGCCGTACAGTATACGTGAGCCTGTCGTACTCACACCCGTCAGAGATGACGGGGTATGTACGGCACCAATATCAGCCTCAAACCGTACGGGAGAAGAGGCGATAGCGGTCGCGGCAGCTGTGACGGCGGCCGCAGCAGGCGGAGGAATGCCGGCAATGATTGCCGGCATGGTGGCAGGAGGAGACGAAAGGGAGCTGGCAACAACTGCTCCTTCCACAGGTACGTCCAAGGAACTAAGGGACGTAAAACTGCTGTAGCTGTCCGTCAAACTTCCTCCAGCAATGCCCCCGGCGGTCAAATTGCCAGTCAAACTGCCCCTACTGCTGCTCTCCCTGTCACCCTCAATGCCGCCATCCCAACTGCTAGTTGTCACCGCCGGAGGAGCGGTGGCGGCGGCGGCAGCCTCCGCTTCAGCTGCCTCCACGGCCGCTTCCTCCGCCTCCGCCGCTTCCCACTCCGCCTGCGCCTCGTCGCCTCCCCAGTGCCAATGCCGTACGACAGCGCTGCTCGTACTGCGACCGCCGCCGCCGCCAACCTCCTCCTCCTCCTCCTCCTCGTCGTCCTCATCCCCGGAGGATGTCGTACCTCGGTACCAATCCGTGGTGGTGTGGGTGACATCTGGGTCGGAGTTGCAGTCCGGCAGCAGATCTTCATCCCAGGAGGCGAGGGCCGGTAGGTAGTGCTTCACGCGCGGGCACACGGCGCTCTCGGACATAGGGTACGACGGAGGTGGCGCCGCCGCCGCCACCGCCGCCACTGCCGCCAGCGGCGCTGGTGGCGGGGCGGCCGCGGCGGCGTAGCCGAACGTCCCGCCGGTGACTGCCGCCGCCCCGCCGCTGCCTGCTAGCACCTGAGCCTCTGCGTCACTGCAGCTGCCGCCGTCCATGCATGCCACGGTGGAGCCGCCGCCAATGACGGCGTCAGCCTCACGCGCCGCTGCCGCCGCCGCCGCGGCAGCGGCAGAGGCCGTATCGTCCACCGCCGTAAAATCCGGCAAGGGCGCAGCGGCCGCCGCCGCGGCAGCAGCTGCTGCTGCCGCCGCCCTTGCCGCCCTGGCGTCTGCCGCTGCCGCCTCCGCCGCCACGTCCGGATCCCGCACAATGGACTCCGCATGCGTCTCACTGTGCGCGATGACGATGAGCTGATCGGAGGCCGCTAGACGGCGGTGGTGCGGCGGGTTGAGGACCACGCGGCCGAAACCATCCGCCGTCAGCAGCCCGATGACCAGCACGTGCTGCTGCAGGAACGCAGCACGCACCACTGCACCAAAGGAGCTGCCCGCAAGCCGGGCGCGGTTCATGCCGCCCTCCCAGCTGCCCCCACGCGCCGCCTCCACGGCTGTTTGTACGGCTGGGTCCACGGTGGACGGTCGTACGGAAATGAAGTACAGATCTTGACCGCAGCCCCGGACGTATTCGGCGAACCAGGTGCGACCCGCCAGACGAGGAGGGGGGCAGCCCGGGGTGCGAAACACACTGTCCTGTACGACGGAAGAATGGATGTACGACAAAACGTTGAAAAGCATGCATGTTGCGTGATCTGTCGTAATGTCTTTGTTATCTTCAGCAGGGCACCGGTACTCAGCAACCTTTTTTACATGCCCTGCCTACCCCTGCTTCCCCTCCTTCCTCCTCCCTTCCTCCCTACCCTCGATTCCATTCACCAGGAGCTTGTCCTCGTCTGTTTTGCCATTCTCACTCAACACAATGGGCAAACTTCTTTCTCCCCTCTCCCTCCCCCTCCCCGGCACCTGCAGCGCCCGCCCCAGTCCCGAGGTGTGCAGCAGGTTGCCCAGCAGCGTGGAGGCCCCGGGGCACAGCGCCGACAGCGCCAGCAGCCGGTGCCGCATGAGCTCCACACTCATGATGACGTCCTGGTGCGGGTCCAGGAAGGGGGACACCTTGGCCAGCGCGGAGGCGCGCAGGACCTGGGGGGGGGGAGCGAGGGGGAGGGGAGGGAGAGGGGAGGAGGAGGGAGGGAGAGGGAGGGAGAGGGGAGGGGAGGGGAGGGGGGAGAGGGGAGGGAGGGATTATATAAAACGGAGCCGCGGAAACAGGGCGGATAGGGGCAGACGCGCGAGGAGGTCCGTGTAGGTGGTACGCGGGCTGTGCGGATGTGTGTAACCCCACCCATCCCCGCCCACCCAACCCTTCCCCGCCCCCAACCCCGCCCCCCCCCCCGCACCTGCACTGTGAGCGGCACGCACTTGGTGTAGCTCTTGACGGCCCACACGCGGAACAGCACATCCAGGTCCTCAGAGGCGGCGTCGTGGGCGAACCTGGGGAGGGGGGAAGAGGGGGTGAGGAGGGGGGGTAAGGGGGTGAGATGGGGGAGCGTAAAGGATCGAAAATGGCGTTTTGGGGCGCAGGATGATAAGGGGTCGTCGGGTCTCCCCACTCCGCGCGGATCCTAGCCCATATTTGACTCTGTGTCATCCTAACCCCCACCCCGCACCCACCCCGCACCCTGCACCCTCCCCCCCCCCGCCCACCTGTCCCCCAGCACCAGTATCGCCGCCGCCTCCTCCGCGCGGCACCGCACCAGGTCCCCCGCACTCAGCACCGTCCCCTCCACCAGCGTGATGCGCTGGTCGTGCAGCTCCTGGGGGGGGGAGGAGGGAGGGGGGCGTTATGCGGGGGTCGTAGCTCGTAGGCGGGAAGAAGGGAAGTGTGCAGCTGTAGCCCGGTATACGACACATACCACTGTTAGTGGGGGTAATGGCGCAGCAGTAGGCACCCCCCACCCACCCGCGCGGCGAGCTGCCCGCACACAGTTCTCGTCCCGCCCCTGCCCCTTGTCACACGGTTTGGCTCTTCCTCCTAACCCCCCCTCCCTCCCTCCCCCTACCTCCCTCCCGCCCGCCCGCCCCCACCTGGAACGCCAGGAACTCGTAGGAGGGTTTGCTGCCCAGCACCGTGAGGTGCACATCGCGGGGGATGAAGCGCTGGTGGCGGACCTGTAGGGGGGGGAGGGGAGGGAGGAGGGGGGGAGGGAGGAGGGGAGGGGAAGGAGGAGAGGGGAGGGCAGTGTTGGGTTAAGAGACTGGGCTAAGAGGCCTGCAAATGGGTGGGGGGCGTCGCTTAACGCGTGCCTTGCTCTTTCTATCCCTCGCCTTATCCCACCCTCACCCTGAACCCCAGCCCAGCCCTGCACTCCATGTCGTACATGTGCGCACATCCAGGTCACACACACTGGCGCCTAGATGCACACCCAAACCTCACCCTTCCCAGGCTTCCCTCCATGCTCTAATACCGTAGTACCGTAACGCCTTACTCCCGCCCGCCCACCCTCCACCATCCTCATCGCCCTTCCGGGTTTGGTCTCTCTCTCTTCCCCCCTTCTCCCTTCCTCCCCATGCTGAAGCCCCGTCATCCGTATCTCCCCCACCTCCCACCTCCCACCTCCCACCTCCCCCCTGGGATTGGGACTCCAGTTCTGCACTTCTCATTTGTCATTTATCATTTCCCCCCACCTCCCCCCCCCCCCCCCCCCCCCCCACCTCCCCCCCCCCCAGCCCCACCTGGTGGAAGAACTCCTCGCTGAGGTCCGCGAAGCCGCGCACCTCCGACAACTTGGTGCTCAACAGAACCACGGGTCGGCCGGGACTCAACGTGCCCACCGTGAGCCGCCTGGAGGCGAGCTGCGTCCAAAGCTGCCCCGCACGCACCGGGATGAGCACCACACCCACCGCCATGAACACCAGCACGATGAGGCGACCTGACACGAGGGGAGCAGGGGGAGGAGGGGGATAAGAGTTGACCAAACCATAGGAGGGGGAGGGGGAGAGAGGGAGGGGAGGCGTTTCCCATCCTTTCGCCTCAAACCCTCGCGGCTCAGGCTATCTGATGATCCCCGTATCTCCTATCCCCCTCACATGCAACCCCCCCCCCACCCCTAACCCCCCTCCTCCCCCCCCTCTCACCCGCCGTGGTGTGTACGACCACGTCTCCGTACCCCACGGTGGTTAGGGTGGTTGTTACGAAGTACAGCGCGTCGTGCCAGGGCAGCCGCTCCACCGCATGCACCAGGGAGGCGGCGGTGAACAGCAGGGCCAGCACGCTAGCGACGAGCTGGGGGGGAGGGGGGTAAAGAGGAAACAACTAACTGACTGAGGGATAAGGCGGGAACATGGGTTGCAACATGTGAGCCAGCCCGACCCGCCCAGCGGGGATCATATGTAAGGCTACACACGGGTAGGGCTACACTAACTGAGGGGCGGTGCCGTGTAACGATTCCGGGTTGGTTCTTTCCAGTTGGTTCTTCCCCCACCCACCTCCCCATCCAACCCATCCTGCTGCCTCTCTCTCGCACATATGCACCGTACGTTCCGCCTCGCGGCCAGTTATCTTCACACACACTCACACGTGCGCCGTACGAACCTGCATCAGCCTCACGTTGACTGCCCCGCTGAGCAGCGCGGAGCGGCTGAGCTTCATGAGCGGCATGTTGCCCATCAGCAGGCACAGCCGCAGCAGCCGCAGCGCGCGGAAGATGCGGAACCAGCGCAGGTCCACTCCCACCCCCGCCAGCCCCTCGCCCAGCCAGCTGGCCCCGCACAGCTCCAGGGCGCCCGGCAGGAAGGACAGCGCGTCCAGGGAGGCCAGCGGGGTGAACAGCACGCGGGGCCAGCAGTCGCCCGCAGCCTAGGGGGGGGAAGGCGGGGAGATGCGGGAGGGGGCAGCGGAGTGGGGGAGACGCGAAGGAGATGGGGAGGGTTAGGACTTAGGAGGGAGAGCGTTGCGAGGACGTGTAGGCGGCTAGCGGAGGGAACGCAAAGTGACGACGACAAGGAGGAGAAGGGGAGGGCACTTGGCAGCATAATGCCTTTCACATGCAAATCCGACCCCATCCGACTTCACGCCATCATAACCTCCATGTCTACACGCCCCGGTAACACGCCCCTGCAACACGCACCCGTAACCGTGCCATCAGGTCGGCCGCGAACGCCGCACTGAGCACCAGGTCCGCCGTGTGGCGCCACGACCCACGGGTCACTGGCTCGTAGGTGCTCCAGATGTAGAGCCCCACGAACGCCAGACTGGCAGCCACTTGGGCTATCTGGGAGGGGTGCGGGGCGGGGTGTGCAGGTGGGCAGGGGGGCGAGTGGGGAGGGGGAGAGGGGTGAAGGGGTGTGTTGGCCATCCACCCAGCGAGGAAGGAGGAGGAGCCGGCGGTGTTGGCGTGAAGCGGCCAAGGAAGGAGGGATGTGTAGGAGAGGTGCCGGCGAGGGGCAAGGCCTCCTTATCCACCCTGCCATAGGCCGAGTGGCGTGTACCCGCCATGTCGCCCGGTTCCTAGGCCAAGTGGCGTCCTTAGGCAGCCCAGCCTGGCAGTCCTCCCATCTCCACCCCACCCTATCCCTCTGCCCTGTCCTGCCCACCCTGCCCTGCTGCCACCCCCACCTGCAGCAGGAAGCGCAGCTCGATTCCCTTGAAGGAGGCCACCTGCAGGCGAGACACGCCATCCTCCACCGCCTAGGGAGGGGCCAGGGGTGCAGCAGGTGGGGTTGGGGGCAGGGGTGGAGTGCATGCGGCAGAGGGTGCATGGGGTGCAGGGAGGAGAGGCACTGCAAACATGGAGGGCGTCCTGTGTTGGGATGCGGGCGGGCGGTAAGGGAGGGTGGCGACCCATAAAGACGTGAGGGTAGCGGGCAAAGGAGGGGGATAAAGAATAAGAAACTAGGGAACTAGGGAGAGGGGAGTGGAAGGCAGCATAGGGGCCTTGGGGGGTGGTCGGCAGCGCTGTGGGGGCCTGCTAGCCCTGTGGCCCCCTCCCTCTACCCGTGTTCGTGCCGGCAGCTTTCTTTACCAGCTCTCTCTACCAAAGTTCATACGTTGCGTGGTGTACGATATTGTTGCAAGGCTTGCTGGACGTCATGAAACCAGTAACAGCTGCTCATATACGCACCAACCATAGCCCACAGCCCCTTGTTTACTAGTAGCTGTGCGAAATGACCAGGGGTGTTCCAACATTGCGCATGACAGTTGCAGTCAAAGGGCCGTCCCGATGAGAGACGAACGTGGCAGCGTACTAGTATGCGAGGAACTTCATGTCCATGTTTTGCCGCGTCCTGGCAGCCATTGACCAAAGTTTGCGTACCGGTAGTGCGCATGAAAAAGACTTCCAAGAAAATACGCAGAGGGTAACCGGTTTATTTGCTAAATATACTCACCAACATTACATCCGATATTGCTTCATCGAAAAACTCCTTCAAGGTGGGCGGCTTGCCGTCGGCGTGTCGGAAAGCCGAGACAACCGACGGGGACGGTGTGGTAAGGCGGCATCTCCTGACACTGCGGACGTATTTGTTTCCAGGAGAAATGATTTGTGTCCGTTGTCTGGGAGCCTGGCCCAACCCACGTATTCGAGCCAACATGTCTGCAAGCCCTTGTCCTGAACACCAGCCTCTGACGTTGCAACGTGGATAAAGCTTAGTTATGGCATTTTGCCTTTTTCGGTTACCTCCCCTCTATAGATAGATACCTCTAACAAAAGCGTTCGTTAGGACGGTGTGCATATTAAGTACAGCGGGTACCAGATAGATTTACGAGATTGTTAAGCTTACACGATATGCTAGTCGCATATGCCTGCGCTCCAAGCATGCTTATAGACGTATTGCCGTATCTAGCCTCACTCATCAAGTTTCGTCGAGCTGCATGAAGCGATGGGCCGGAACACTTGTCCGGTTGCTACGCTCAATTTCCCAAACCCAAGCAACGACATAAACACGCGGCTGCAGCGCAACCAACTACCCCCACGCAGAAGTGCAAGCTGCGTATCCTGTGCACAGTCAAGTGTATGTCTACCCTGCTCCCCAACCCAAACACACGGGCAACATTACCCGGCTCCCAACTAGCCCCCAGCCCAACGGGCATAAAGAAAACATCAGGGCAACACGTCCAGGGGGGAGGACGTCGTCCCCGCCGTTTGTTCATGTCGAGCCCTTCATCACGTGCATGCCCACGTATCATTTCAAGCTAATCCTACTTTGTAAGCAAATGAACACGAACGCGTGCCGCCTGCCTTCGCGCAAAAGCGCGCCCTCGTCTACGCCCCAAGACACATCCAGCAGCAGGTGAAAAGCGTGCCTTCCTGCAGAGCTCGCCATCCAGCAGCTTAGAAGCACTTCCGGTGCACAATCGAGGGGCCGCTCTCGTCGTACTCGCTCTTGGCGATCCACATTTGCTGGAAGGTGGACAGCGAGGCCAGGATGGAGCCACCGATCCAGACCGAGTACTTGCGCTCGGGCGGGGCAACCACCTTGATCTTCATCGCCGAGGGCGCAAGCGCCGTGATCTCCTTGCTCATGCGGTCCGCAATGCCTGTGCATTTGGGGTGTGGCAACGGCACCAATGGGTCGGTACAACGCCAAAAACAGGTTGGCAACGCTATATGGACATGCATGCAACCCTTCCCTGTCCTGGTCCCTGTTGCAAGGATAGTGGCATAATGGCAGGAACGGCGGAAGAAGCACCGAGCATTGAGACGCACCTGGGAACATGGTCGTGCCTCCCGAGAGCACAATGTTGTTGTAGAGGTCCTTGCGGATGTCGACGTCGCACTTCATGATGCTGTTGAAGGTGGTGTCGTGCACGCCAACGGCCTCCATGCCCACCAGGTTGGGGTTGAAGAGCACCTCGGGGCAGCGGAACCGCTCGTTGCCAATGGTGATCATCTGCAACATGGTTCAAGAGGTAGGCACCCATGCATTCATCAGCCAGGGCTTACGGACAAACATCAACATTAGGCAGCAGCAACGGTAATACCCTCATAGCAGGCGGCATGCGCCCATGGGTGTGCATGTAGTGACCCACCTGGCCATCGGGCAGCTCGTACGTCTTCTCGAGCGCTGAGCTGGACTGCGCGGTGGCCATCTCCTGCTCGAAATCCAACGCAACGTAGCAAAGCTTCTCCTTCATGTCACGCACGATTTCGCGCTCGGCCGTGGTGGTGAACGAGTAGCCACGCTCTGCGTGTCAAGACGTTGGAGGAGGGGCAAACCGTGGTGAGGGAGAGGCGGGAGCATGTTGTGCATCCAATTGTGGCGCATGCCGGTTATGCAAGTGTATGGTCCGGCGGATGAAGTAGATACTCAACTTCACAAGACCCAAAGAGCTCACCAAAGGGGGAATCAGGGGCACAAACTCTTGCCCTTACCCTCTGCTCCCCTTCTAAGGCTAGGACTCACCCGTCAGGATCTTCATGAGGTAGTCCGTCAGGTCGCGGCCAGCCAGGTCCAGCCTCAGGATGGCGTGGGGCAGCGCATAGCCCTCGTAGATGGGCACAGTGTGGGTGACACCATCACCAGAGTCCAGCACGATACCGGTGGTGCGGCCACTGGCGTACAGGGACAGCACGGCCTACAGGGGAAAGGGAAGGGAGAAAGGGGTTAGTAATAGTAAAACAAAGGATGCATGGACTGGGTATTTAGGTACTACATTGCGTTCCTACTCTGTGTGGTAGGCATGCGCGAACAACAGCTTTTGTGCAGAAGACAAGTGCTGCTCGTGTAAATGGGGGTTAGTAATCTACAAGGGGGGTCAAAAGCCCCTCTCCATACCTGGATGGCCACGTACATGGCTGGTACGTTGAACATCTCGAACATGATCTGCATGTATCAATGAGGGGAAACGTCAAGAGAGTCCTACATTCCACGGGGGCTGAAAGTTAACTGAACTACAAGTGTGTACCTGCGTCATCTTCTCCCTGTTCGCCTTCGGGTTCAGGGGTGCCTCTGTAAGCAGAACGGGGTGCTCCTACGAGGGGAAGATCGCAAAGAACGAGTTAGCCTCAAATTTGCTACAAGGCTTCTCAACGTTTCAGGCGCACCTCCGGAGCTACGCGCAGCTCATTGAAGAAGGTGTGGTGCCAGATCTTCTCCATATCGTCCCAGTTGGTAACAATACCGTGCTCAATCGGGTAGCGCAGCGTTAGGATACCGCGCTTGGATTGAGCCTCGTCACCCACATATGAATCCTGTCAAGGCAGAGGCGAAGAAAACAAAGATAAGAACAAGACAAAGGTAATCAACCGCCCTGTGAGAATAATTAGCCGTTATGTTGGGACTGGACGCACCTTCTGCCCCATCCCGACCATCACGCCGGTGTGGCGGGGCCGGCCTACAATGCTGGGAAACACCGCGCGAGGAGCATCATCACCAGCAAAGCCCGCCTGCATTAGTTAGCAAATCGGTATAAGTGATCGGGCCACAGAAGACGACTGTAGCCCTTCTCAGGGCGCGCTGGCAGAAGCCAAGCTGAAGGAGCTACGCACCTTCACCATGCCCGAACCGTTGTCGCACACCAGAGCAGAAACCTCGCCATCCTCGGCCATTTTCGCGAGCCTGCAACAAAATGGAGGCAAAACGGCACTTGGTGCCTGAAGGTCCCGCGATCGGCACCGAAAGCGACCACTCCTGGGCGCTTGGATACTACGGATGCGTTCAATGGCTCAGGAGATTCCTCTAGAGCATTTAGACATGTTCCCGCCTGTGCAGAAGCAGCACAAGATAGCGCCATGTGGCATTGCTCCTACCTTGTGTAGTTACAGGGAGGTGGTGATGAGGCACTGGAGGCTAAAGACTGACTATATTAAGCGCGGTCTGGTGGCAACTTATCTAATCGCCGCGTTAGTACAACATGTTCAAAAGTACTGCGGCGTTCAAAAGGAGGGAGTCAAGCAGCCGCCATAATCCACCACCGTTTGCTGGTATGCCAACGTCATCCTATTCCTTTAAGCATTTTCTAACCTTAGAGAACATGTCCTTACCACGGTTTCCGGCCCGCCACTCTGGTGTCCCAAGGGGCGCGGTCGCGACGTTGCGAACAGGCGGCCTTACATATTCGCTGGCGTCTTCATAAATTCTATATAATTTGACCACCAGCTTCTATAAAATACCGGCTGATCTTGCTCTTTCAACCTGACAGACGACAGGCACGGACGACAGGTTGCATGGACATGCCCCCTACTGCTAATTACTGGTATGCTGGTTTCTTCGTCCCCCCTCGTGTCCACTGCCCCAGTGACTCCCCTAAACCGTCGCCGGAGCTGTGAACTCATAGTAGAACGACTAGGCAGACCACACGTCACGCGGCAGTGGCAACATGTCCCACTGTTGACGGTGAACCCCCCACCGCCAACCACCCAAATCAACCCGTGAAACCCTCCGACCTACACATCGCTCGCCAGCCTCGACGTGTGATCGGTTTAGGCTAGGACGCGGCGCGTTTCTGCTACCCTTGACCACCGCGGGAGCTGCATGCCATGCTTCCATTTACCATTAACCGAGGCCCCACGTCCCCGCTGAAGGACTGCAGCCCACCCAAATAACTGCCAGAACCGAGGATGCCAAAAAGCAAATTCATTCTTCATGATATCGGAGATGAAGTCGGTTGCTAACCAGCCTGCATTCTTGCGTACCGGTTGGTATACCGGCGGTTAGCACGGAGGGGCTTCCATCTGCTCGGGGGCATAGACCTATCTGATCGTCTGATGCTTCGTATACACCCACATACTGCTTGCGTGCTCTCATGGATTGCAGAGAAGATAGCGGGAGGGTGATTCTGCCAAAGACTTGATCTTGGGAGTTGTTTAGACGCATAAGGGCTCAACCCGTATGCTGCATGGACGCCCAGTCCGTACCGGGGCCTACTGGCTCAACCTTTTACAGCCCAGACTAGGTGACAGCCGTTTGCTGCGAGCAACGATATGCACCAACCGACACGTGTCACTACCGTTATGACGGGGACGCCTCCAGTGCCTGTACCGAAGGTATCTGCGTTGGGGCCAGGATACCGATGACAAACCCAGTGCATTGCTCCCTGCGTTTCCCTTTGCGTTGTAAGAGAGAGCCATGGTCCAAGGCTGTCGCGCACTGTTCCTGCAAGTGTGGGGCGAAGCCTGAACGTACGTAATCCAGGATGTCGGGGAGGGTATGGCGCGCAGCTATTGCTTTCCGCAAGGTCCGAATGCATTACCGTATGCTTGCCTTGGGTTGGCGAACGCATGCCTATCCTTGCTAGGCGAACTCAAGGACAGGGGAGACGACCTTAGGGGCAATGGGCAATGGACGGGTTGCACCTTGCAGCGGTTGCAGCATGTCGGGTCCCCGCTCGTGTCGCCGGGTGTTGTAAAGCTGCAGGTAGCAAAGGCTAACCCATCACGAAGCACTGTGTAAAGGGAGCTGTTAAGAATCGAACAAAGATGGGGCAGCTGATTTCCGATCCCAAAATAGGTTTTATCCGCTCGGGGTCGTTTCTACAATCACTTGCCACCCGTTCCCTAATCTTTAGTAGTTTCTTTACTACATACAATTGTAGATTTACCAATTTTGTGACAGTATGAATCTCACTGCTCGCTCCCTTACCACCACGCCTGCGAGGATAGGAAATGAGCCGCGTCAGCTAGCACCAGTGGCCGTTCCCACTGGCCGAAGACATTTTAAACTTGCAAATCCAGCTTTTGTCGGCCCAGCGCGACCTTTAAGGGTTGTTCGCGCAAATGGTAGGAATACGTTGCGGCGCCGGCGAAGGACGCCGTTATACCATTACCTTACCGTGCGATGCTGGTATTCCATGACAGCTTGCCTGGCTCGGTTCAGCGTACTCCTGACACTTGCTCCGATCCCGCGATGACCCGGCCAACGGCTTGCTGTGTGGATTCTGCAAACAGGCGCCCAGGACAACAGCTATTTGGAGACCCAGAAGAAGACAAACAACGATGTAAGGCCGGATTGGCAGTTGCGGGTGCCCAACGGTTGCAAATGAAGAGATGGGATGGACACAGCGATAGCGCTGTTGGCCCGCAAGGGGCCAGCAACACGCAGCCGCGGGTTCCCGCGCGCCAGGGGGACACCAGTCAACCTGGGGATGCACGGCTGGGGACCCAGGGTGATCATAGGGGTGCCCAGGATGACGGGTGCACTTGCAGAGCCGCAAGCCACAGCTTGCCCTGGCCACAGCTCTCTCCCATCTGCAACCTTAAGCCCCCCCCATCCCTGATCTTCCCCCCACTCCCCATCCCTGATCTTCCCCCCATCCCCTTACCTTCCCCAGGTCAACTCGGTGCGGGAGGAGGTGAAGGCCACCCTGGAGCGGCTCATGTCGGGGCTGCAGGGGGCGCAGGCGGGCGGGGACGGCGCGGGCGGGGGGGCAGCAGCGGCGGGGGGCGGTGCCGCGGGTCGCGCTGCGGAGGTGGAGCGGCTGCGGACGAAGCTGCGCCATGCCGTCGGCGCCATGCAGGAGGGGCTGGTGGAGAGGGACGCAGAGGTAGGTCAAGAGGAAACAACCAACGGACCTTGTGATAATGCGTCAGCATGGTTTGCAACATGCGAGGCAGCTCTACCCGCCCAGCCCGAATGAGCCAAGCCAGAACATGTAAAAATAAGGAGGGGCTTAGGGGGGAGGGTGTGGTGGTGGTGATGTGATGGTGGTGGGAAGTTGTGGGATGAGCTCTCACGCAAGCCCCTTGCAGACACGCAACCCGCAGCGCGGGGTTCCTCCCCCTTCCCAGCCCCTAATAGAAGTAATAGTACCGGTACCTCCTCACCTCGCTGCCCCCTCCTCTCCCCCTCTCTCTTTCTGCCCTCTCCCTCCCTCTCCACCTGCCCACCTCCCTCCCCACCCCCGGCCAGGTGCGCCTGCTGCTGCTGGCCGCCATGGCGGGCGAGCACATCCTGCTGATCGGGCCGCCCGGCACCGCCAAGTCCGAGGTGGGCCGCCGCCTCAACACGCTTATAGACGGCACCTACTTTGAGCGCCTGCTCACGCGCTTCTCGGTGCCGGAGGTGGGAGCGGCGGGGTAGGGGGGGCGGGGTTTACGACGCATGGGTTGGGCGGGGCGGGGCTGTGCGGGGCTGTGTAAAAGGGGAATGGAAATGCCGAGTGCCTGGGCAAGAGGTGTGTAGGGCTAGGAGAGAAGAGGAATTTGGCCACAGGGGTGGGTGGGTGGCAAGCAGGGGGAGTAGAGGTCTCCTCGCTTTCCCCCTTCCTGACCTTCCTTCCCTCCCTCCCTCCCTCTCTCCGGGGGGTGCCAACAAGTAGGCCTCCCGTATCCCCTCCCATCAGCATTCAACACATTGGGTCTTCTTCTCCCCCCTCCCCCCCCCTCAGGAGCTGTTCGGGCCGCTGTCCATGCGCGCCCTGGAAGAGGACCGCTACGTGCGCCAGGTGGGGGCGGGAGGGGCGGGGAGGGAGGGGGACGGAGGGGGGCGACCCACGGGTCGGGGGATGGGGGGATGTAGGTGCGGAACGAACAGTGAGGAGGAGGCGTGGAGAGGAGGGCCTAGGGGAGGACTGTGCTTCATTCGCCAGAGGGGAGGTGGAGAGGAAGCGGGGAGGGTAAGGGGGATGGTGCATGGGAAGGGAGCGAGGAGGGGAGCGGTCCTAGCGTGTGCAGCAAGGCGCGGGATGGGGCGTATGTGGGGGGAGGGCTCGCAGCAGGTGGTACCGATAGGGCGGCTGCGGCAGCCGGGAGGGCCAGTCTCCTCCTTCCTTGGAGATACAAGGGAGGCAGGAACAGCGGTGTAGCCCACCTCATGGGGAGCCTCTCCCTCGGGCTCCCCACCTGATGACCTGATGAACTCCGGAGCGCTCTCCCTCCCTCTCCCCACGCGGCCCCCCCGCCCCCGCCCCCCCCCCCAGGTGGACGGCTACCTGCCCACGGCTGAGGTGGCCTTCATTGATGAGATCTTCAAGGTGGGGAGGAATAGGGATGCATATCCCGCATTAGGCTGGATGCAGGATTGCGTGTAGTCAAGGTGGGGAGCGCCCGTGTGGATGCGCGGGAGCCCAATGCGGGTCACTGCACTAGTGCGTTGGACGGCAACTCCTCGCTGGTTGCTGGTCATAGCGACCCAGCCCCAATGACATTTCGCCGTCTGGACGTCCCACACGCCACATCCACCCAGGTCAACGCGGCTCTCCGTGGTCCCACCAAACTCTGAAACCTAACGCATCCCTCTTCTTCCTTTGTTTCGTGGCAAACTGCTTCCCGCTATCCCCGTTGCTTTGCCCTATCCTGTGGTTAATCCCACCTCACATGCCCCTCCCCGCCCCCGCCCTCCAGGCCAACTCCGCCATCCTCAACACGCTGCTCACCCTGATCAACGAGCGCCTCTTCGACAACGGCAACCTGCGGGTGCCCGTGCCGCTCATTAGCATGGTGGGGGAGGGGGGGAGGAGGGGGAGGGGGGGGGAAAACAGGGCGGGTGGTACCTTAGGACAGCAGGGTAGGGCGGGTGTGTGTTAAGAAGACTGGCCGCGAGTAGGAAAGGGGGGTATCATGGTTATGGCACTTATGGGGTTCACGCTGGCTGGACTTGTTGACGTTTAGCGGGTGCCGATCAGCAGGGTGGGCAGCTTAACAGCAGCAAGAGAAGGAAGTGAGGCACTGCAATCCCAAACCCATGGCGGGCCCGATGAGGCAGCTGTACTGTGCTATAAATCCATGCCATGAACCCCCCTCACACCCCTCACACCCCTCACACCCCTCACACCCCCCCCCTCACCCCCAGGTGGGCGCCTCCAACGAGCTGCCCGAGAGCGAGGAGCTGGATGCCCTGTACGACCGCTTCCTCATCCGCCGGCAAGTACGACAAGTCACACCCGCCGGCGTCGCACAGATGCTGTCATACTACTCCAGTGCCGCCGCCGTCACCGCCGCCACCCCCCCATCCAACGACGGCCGCAGCTCCTCCCCCTCCTCCTCCCCCTCCTCCCCCTCCTCCTCCTTCTCCGAGAGGACGCGGGCCGCAGTGTCTGCGGACTTGCGGCTGACGCGGGGGGACATCGTGCGGTGCAAGGCGGCGGCGGTGGCGGCGGTGCGGGTGCCGCCGGGGGTCATACAGCTGGTGACGGACCTTCGCTCCTACCTGCAGGTGGGGGGGAGGGGAGGGAGGGAGAGGGGAGGGAGGGAGGGGGTCAGGCACGGGGCCGACGTTTCCTGCCATCTTGGGTAAGGCTGGCTCCTTTGGCTTTCGCTTGGTTCAGCGGGGGTACTGACGGTGCCGCACAGCGTTTGCCCCCACCTGCCTGCCTGCCTGCTGCTCCGCGCAGCAACACCCACCCGCCCCAACATGGAACCCCAGTGGCGCCCTCATGCCGTCCTCATGCCGCCATGTGCTCATGTGCCTTTCACTCCCCTGCAGGAGAAAATCGAGCCGCCTGTGTATGTGTCGGATCGCCGCCTGGTCAAGTCCATACAGCTGCTACAGGTGCGGGATGGGAGCGAGGGGGGCTGCGGGGGGCCCCGGGGGACGGGGCTGCGGGGCCGGCTGTCCGCATGGCGCTGGTCCGTGATGCGCTGCGTCGTGCTCCCCGTGTGTGGACTCTGGCTGCCCACGCAAAAACACCCCCCTGGCTGGAGTTTGTGATTGCTGCGCGGACTTCAATGTACGATACCCGCTTTCTCATGCATCCCTTCGCAAGCCATGCTATACACCGGATGCACCGCCCTACCGCTGCGCCCTCCCTCTCCTCCCCTCCCCTCCCTCCCCTCCAACCTAATTAACATACTACTACGGACCCAGACCACTGCGGTTGGCCCTGTACAACACCCCACCCCACCCTCCCCCGGCAATTTTTTTTGTCGTCTTCTCCTGTGTGCCCTCCCCCCAGGTGGCAGCCTACTGCAACGGCCGCGACAGTGTGTCGGAGTTCGACTGCCTGCTGCTGCAGCACGTGCTGTGGCAGCGGCCCGAGCAGGCGGACCGCATACACGACTGGATCATCGGCCAGCTCAGCGTGGATGACGGGGCCAAGCAGGTGAGGGGGGAGGGGGGTTAGAGTGCCGGTAGACCAAACCATATGAAATCACAAAATGGCATAAGCGCGGGGAGGTCAAAGACCATACCGAACCATAGGAAGCCACAGGTTGGGGGGGTGAAGCGGAAACAAGTACCGGCATATAACCGCATGAGAAGGCTTCATCATGGTTTGGTGGGGAGGTGGGTGATGGGTCGAGGATGTTGAAAAGGCAAGGGGTGTGCTTGTGGTGGTGGGTGGGTGGGTGCACCCGCTTTAGCAGTACCCGCTACCCCTATGAGCGGCTCCTGCCGTGGGAATGCTTCACTTGCTTCGGGTGCATTTCTCTACACCCCCGCACGCAACAGGTTCAGTACCTGCTGCAAGGCCTGTTCAGCCGCGCTTGCCGGAGCCTGGGGAACATGGAGAAGGTGGCGGCAATCCAGGTGCGCTGGGGTGCGCTCGGGTTCGCAGGGGTATGTGCTTTACCAACGAGCTGAGAGCCCACACCTCGTGGAGTCGGGTTGGCCATCGAGGGCTAGTGAGGGGTGGGGGGGGGGTGCCGGTGGGTGCAAGTCCATGGTCTTCTTCGGATGCAGGCACCGAGCCCCTTACCTGGTCCCTTTTTTACCTGGTTTGGTTTCCCTCCGACTCCACTCCCTCCCCTCCCCTCCCCTGCCCAGACCGAGGTTCAAGAGTTGGTCAAGGTGCTGGCGGACAAGTACCAACACGTGGCATCCAGTCTGAGCGGTGGGAGGCCGGGGGGTGAGGGGGGGAAAGCCTGGTGGTGCCCACATGGTGGGGTGGGGCTCATGGCATGCTTTGGGTTGCGCTTTGAGGAACAGTTGGCGCAGTTTAGGTAGTTACGGTAGTTACGACATGTAGGAGATGGTTTTCTGTGACTTTGGAAGCGTTCGGTGTTGGGCATCGGCCGAATGTTCAGGGCTTGATGCTGCACTGGGTTTCCGTCTCTTTCCGCAGTAATTATATGCCTTTTGTCCTTAACGCCGTCGTCCCAACCTCCCAGCATGCGCATGACTCTTCCCTGTTCCGCCCCGGGGCTCTACGATCACCTCCTCCGCTCACTTCCTCCCCAGGCGGTTTCCCGGTTGTGCTGGACAACTTGTGGCTGGGCACCGATGAAAGTGAGGCGGTGGCGACGGCGCTGCAGCCACGACTGGTCAAGACACGAGCGGCGGTGGAGCAGGTGGGGGCAGCACGTGCATGGCGTGTCAGTGTGCTGCTCCCACCGTGAAATCGGCGGCTCAACCTTCCAATTGCCCCTGTGTCATGCGCGCCAAACAGGCTTAACTGCTACCACCACCTGCTATCACCCCAGTCCACCCCTAACCCTACTCCGTCCCCTCCCCTGCTTTCTCCTGTCGTACACCCCTCCCCACCCCTGATCCCCCCGCCGTACACCCCCCCCCTCCCCCTCCCCTCTCCATTGTTTTTAGCTGTCATTTCACTGACACCGCACGTTTTGCACCCTCTGCATATCTAGATCATAATACCCATACTGCGCTTGCGCTTAATTAAGCATGCTCGTCCCATGCCGTACTTCGCATCGCCGTCTTTCGCATAAATACTAACTTTCGGCATAGTCCTGTCTCTTTAATCATGATAAGCCAGCCATCTTCATTGTCATACAGCCTGCGTCGATATACAGCGCAGCTCGCAGCACCAGCACAGCACAGGGACGCATGCCTGCTTTCTGTTCGCTCGTCGCGCCGCCTTCTTGTGTCTCTGGACGCTTTTCGCTCACTATTAACGAAATTTGGTACGTCTTCGTTGCGCAAATTCCCCTTGCTACGCAGGTTAGTCAGGGTTCGGGCTAGTGGGTGGGCTGGGCTTTGTTAGACCCATGGGTCATTTGCGAGGGTCGGGCAGGGTGGGATGCTTTGGTGCACACAGCCGCATGACAGCCCCAGCTAAGCAGCGGAGCTTACATACGTTATGCTGCCGACAGCATTGCAGCAGAGACATCAGGTGTAGCGCAGTGGAGCCAGTTATCACAGTAGCAGCCGCCTTTTATTCGCCAATGCAGACTGATCTCAGATCACCCCAGCCGCCACGGAGCTGACAATACGGTTTGTTACTGATTGATGCTACTAACTATACAACAACCACAATTATATGCTAACCCAAATATCCAGCCTAATTCGGATTCTTGTTTCCAAATTACCCCCTCCCCTCCCCTTCTCCCCCGCCAGGTGCTGCTCGACGTGGTCACCCTGGATGCCGCCCTCCGGCGGGGTGCAGACCCGGTGACGCTGGCCAACCTGATGCCGCGCTACTGGGCGGACTTCATCCGCAACTCCGACATCACGGAGGTGAAGCCGCTGGGGACAACACCGCTGGCGGGAGCCGCCAGGAGGATCTGAGCAGCTGTGGGGGTGCGCAGGTGCCGCCTGTGAGAGGTGTGGAGCTTTGCGGGTGATGGTGTGGGAGGCGGGAGGGGGGAGACGGGCGGGAAGGGAGGTAGTGAGGGGCGTGGAGGGAAGGGAGAAGGGGTGTGTGAAAAGGCGGGTACGGTTGCGTGGGGTACGGTGGGCTGAGAGGCGGGGGGAAAGGATGCAGGTCGGGTGGGAGGCAGGCGGCCGCCGGAGCGCGTGTGTGTGGAAATGGGAAGACGTTGTGTGTGACCTGGTGGATACGGCGGTGCACAATGATAGGTAGGGGGTCCAGAGATAGGATTGCCGGTGGCTTCCTGCCTTGCTGGAGTTGACAAGCCGTCGGCGCTGTAGGGGCAGGGCTGTGGCATATGCACGCCGGGGACGTTGCATGGCGATACGGGAGGAGGTGGCTGGCAGGAGAAGAATGAGTGCCGCCGGGCCGGGGTGCGGTGCTTGCGCACATGCAGTCGTGCATGTCTGCGAAGGCGCATGTGTTGTGCTGCAATGCGCCCCTGCTACTACTGCTATGCGGTTGGGACAGGGTTGGGAGACAGAACAAAGGCGTGGACATTAATCGCCGTTGTCTTGATGCTGCTACGGTATGTTGTGCAGGTATAGTAATGGTGGGTACACTGCTTAAGAATTAATGATACGCAGGTGTAGGGAAGCTAGTAGGGTTCAGGATGGGGAGGATAAAAGGTATTCTTGAAGGGCGGGTGAGACCACCCGTGGGTCTGTGCTTGGATATGCGGAGGCGGGGTGAACGCGTGCAGCTATGAAGAGTCAAGATAAGTGAAACTCTTTGATACTAATGCCAGTTCGTTAAGAGGTAGGACAAGGTAGAGAGTCACGGTAGTAGACGAGAGTATGTTCTTTCTTGGTGCTTTCTGAGCTCGGGTTGAATCAGGCTCCGTACGATGAGAGCACGGTACGGCACCCCGCTAGCTTCATGCTGTCACGCATGCGTAGGCTATGCGCTGGGTTGACGAATACACGATGTAAACCCCATCAGCTGAGCAGTGACCCACGGGTCTGTCAGCGCAAGCAGCTCCATGTGCGCATCTAAGACCACCGTCTCGTCCCTTAGCCCGGGTTGCGGCCCATGCGGCATCCGCACCGCCATCACCCATCAGTATCTGCTGCGCCGCCAACATCGCCTCATCCGGGGCCTCAACCGCGCTGGAATCCCCAACCTATGCTCTTTACTAAGGCTCTTCCATTTGTCCTCCAGACCGGGTAACGAACTGTTGAATGTCCCTTGGTACGCACGATAGCCAAGCTACCGTCACAGCCAGCCTGCGTACCAAGGTGCTGCTCACATCTCCGCCCTCATTTAGGCACGGCCCACCACTGAAGACAGGAGATATCTGGGGATTGACAGAGCGGTGCCAACAGCGGTACATTGCTTCATCCCCCGCCTGAACCGCATTGGAATCCCCAACCTTGGGCGCGGTACTGCTTCTTGGGGTTTCCGGGTTACCGGGTACGACTGACGACGAGTACGACAATTCCACATGGCGACAGACGACCTCACGAAGCGCCCTGCCCTGTGCCCTGTGCCCTGCCTTGTCGGCCTTGTAGGCATTCAGTCATGCAACAGCAGAATAACCACCGAGGTACTTCCACCGTTGCACACCTGCAACGTTTTGCACATCAACTTACACGCAGCGCTTAGCACCATCGCACGCGAATCACTCCCACCCTCCCTACCCTTGCGCAGTGATAACCGGAACCCTGCACATGGTGTTGCAGCGCAGATCTGCAATCCCACTTACGAGGGTGTCCTAGGGCGCCGCTCAGACGCCGCCTCCACCACCCGGACATCTCGCGCGGCTGTGTCACAGCATGCTACTGATACCATGCTAGATGTCTCATGGGGTCCAAGTCTTCTAACCGCCATTACCCGTGCCCCCTGGTGGCCCCCAGTACATGCGCGCAGCAACACATGCTCGCATAAGATTAGTACCGGTACCAACACTGGCGCCCTGGATCTATCCACATGTGTTTGTCGTTCCCTTTGCTCCGCTCTGCCTGTGTGCCACGCACCCACTTTTGCGTCACCACACATGCCCCTTTCGGAGACAACATAGGCCCGGCTGATTGCTCCCGTTCCCTCTGAAGCAACCAACCAGCAGTGCACGTGTACTCACACATAGTACACAAGGGTATGACTCTTCTTGGTGCTTCATCGGCTTGGGTTGAAGTGGACTTGGTACGCTGCGAGTAGCCCGAGTACGTAGGTATGCGCTGGGGTTGACATTTACACGGCATATTAATGCACGGGCCCGTAGACAGGATAGGCGAGGCTACGAAAGCTTGTAACCTGGAACAACCCTAGTCAAAATCATGCAAGGTACGGCTATCACAGTCGCACGGTCGTGCGGATGTTAAGGCTGAGCCACGGAAGCTACGGTTGCCGCCACGCAAACTGTTGTCCATGGAGCATGGCTCTCAGCCCCCCTCCCCCCATGATTTCTCGCCCCGAGGTCAAGCTCATCCAGTTGTCCATGGTACCCATGCTAAGGCGCGACCCTTCAGGTCAACGTCATGTCCACTGAAGACATCTCGTTGCATTGCACAATGTTTATTGTAGCACGAGTAAGTTGCACAACGTAAGCATGATGAAGGCAGCACAAAGTTCTGTCATAAAGCCGTACGTTCAGGTTTCTCCTATAGTTATGCAACCTCTACATTCTTTATGCGCTCAACTGTCACTGAGTTTACAGCTTTTGTTTGCATTCGAAATACAACATAACGTGAGAAAGCCACGCGCACATTCACATGCTCACTTAAGACCGGTTAGCTGTACACGGTGCAGCCATGGCGGAGCACCTTGCTAGCATCTTCGGTACAGAAAAGGATCGTGTGAACTGTCCGTTCTATTTTAAAATCGGGGCGTGCCGCCATGGAGATCGGTGCTCACGTCTACATAACCGGCCGACCATTAGTCCAACCATACTTATGGCTAACATGTACCAAAATCCACTTTTGAATGCGCCCCTGGGGCCAGATGGGCTCCCAATTCGGGTTGACCCCAAAGCCGCTCAAGAGCACTTTGAGGACTTCTACGAGGACGTCTTCGAGGAGCTGGCCGCGCACGGAGAGCTGGAGAACCTAAACGTTTGCGATAACTTCGCTGACCATATGGTCGGCAACGTCTATGCCAAATTCCGTGATGAGGAGGCGGCAGCACGCGCACTGCAGGCCCTTCAGGGCCGCTACTACGACGGGCGGCCCATCGTCGTTGAGTTCAGCCCAGTCACGGACTTCCGCGAGGCGACCTGCCGGCAGTACGAGGAGAACACCTGCAACCGCGGTGGCTACTGCAACTTCATGCACTTGAAGCCGATCAGCAGGGACCTGCGGAAGAAGCTCTTTGGCCGCTACAAGCGCCGCGAGCGCAGCCGGTCGCCACGGCGTGACCGCGAGCGTGAACGGGACCGGGATCGGGAACGGCGCCGCAGCAGGAGCCGGGACCGGGGGCGGGGTCGCAGTCGCAGCGCAGAGCGGGGAGGCGACCGCCGGCGCGAGTCGTCGGAGGAGCGCAGAGCGAGGATTGCGGCTTGGAACACGGAAAGGGACGACCGGGGGGGAGGCGGTGGTGGAGGGGGATACGCCTATCCGCCACCACCCAGCGGCTACGAAGGCGGCGGGTATGGTGGTGGTGGAGCCTGGTAAGGAGCGTTTTTACTTTCGGGGTTAGGAGCTTCTGGGTTCAGTTGCTATGCATGTGCGACTTGATGGCAGTGTGCTGGGTTGCTAGGCTTTTGCATAGGCACACAGGCTCAGTCCCTGGGGACGGGATTGGAGGACCCTTGGGACACCAGAGCACCCACAGCGGCTCGGTGCCGTGGAATGGCTTGTTAACGAGCTTCTAAGGTTGTACGGTTTAAGAGTGTGCCGGAATGGATTCGAGGTACAGCGGAATGGGATGGTATGATCACCAACATGTGGATAGAGCGGCCCTGCTGGACTGGGGTTTGAGAATGGGGCATTCTTTTCCGCTTTTGTAGTTTGGTCGGTGTATGCTTAGTTGGCTGTTTGAGGTAAGCGTGTTGTTAGGTGGGAGGAGGAATCACGGCTCTTTTGTGGAGGATTTGTGGCGTTTAAAGCAGCAAGACGGTGGCAGGGGTAGCCAGCATAGCAACGCAGTCACGTGGACGAAGGTGAGGTTGCGTTGCTTTCGGAACGGCACATGCTTTCAAACCAACGCAGAGTCTGGTTGGCTTTGGTTATGCCCGTACGGTGTTAGGCACTGCACTGCACAGGGCGTTTCTTGGCGGCGAAGCCCGTATCTGATTTGGGGAAACACTCCTGGTGTCGTACGTTTCGTCGTTGCATGCTGCCGCTTTGCAGGGCGGAGGTGCTAAGCTATTCATGGGCGTACGCCCCTTGCGTGGCCTCCACGTGCTCCTCAGCCTGTAAAGCAAAAAAATGGATAGTGTTGCCTCGTTGTCGGCACCTAACAATTGCGTACTCATAGCTGGGCTTTACTGTGCCTGCGCCAAGAACATGTCTATAGGCTATGTTTAGGCCTATGGTTTAGGCTATGTTAAAAAAAAAAAAAGATGCCCGTGGCATCGGTGGTTGTAGCACGGCTTGGACAGTCCGATACATCAAACGCACGGCAGCATTCCCGAAAGCAGGCAGCATAAATGACGTCCAGGGTAATGCATGAAATAATATAAGGAGCACGCTAGCAGCACGACATAGCTTATAAGCGCTCTACTGCTACAACTCTTAGCGTACAGCTGTACACCCATTTCGAGCATACTGCATACAAGGGGCCCTCAACTCGTCGACCCGGACCCTATTAAGGAAGCCGCATTCGCTGCCGCCATGGCCGCTGCCAAGCTGTCTGCTGCGAGTTTGCGAGCTGCGGCAAGCTGTGCAGCCACGCCGCTGTCAATGCCGCCCCTTGCACCGCTGCCACCTTCCTCCTCTCCTGCTGCTGTACAGCTCGCCGCATCGCCACCATGAGTCGACAACTGCATCAAATCAACAGCCGCCACCGCGGCCTTGATGGCGGCCTCCTCCTCTCCTGCCGTACTGCCCCCGTTCACAACTGGGTCGCCGTCAGCAGCGCCGTCAAACAGCCGCCCGCCGGCAGACGGTACGGCAGGCGAGGAAGGAGGCCTTGCTGCCGTTGCAAGCCCAGAAGAGGTTCGCCGTTGCCTGAAGCTTCCCTGCCTCCTATCAGCGGAGCCGGCTGGCGATGCAGCATCTGCCGGAGCATCCGCAGCCTCCACCGCCCCCGCGTCTGCCGCCTCCGCTGCGAGTGCGCGCACAGCGCTGACGCCGCTGCCACCCCCGGTGCGGCGACCCTTGAGAGGCGAGGGCTTGACGGCAGCAGCGGCGGCGGCGGCGCTGGTGGGGGCTGTTGAGCCTGTTCCCATGGGCGAGATGTCGGCACCGGACATGGAGGGTAGGGCGGAGCCTGAGGCCTTGGCCTTGGTGTCCCGGGCCAGCCATGCCTGCGCAGCAATTGGGGGTTTGGCAATCAAGCACAAGCACTTTGCAGAGTGGTGCATACACCACATCCATGGGAAAAGCATCATGTTAAGCGCAGGGCATCGCATGCCAGATACTAGCGCAACCCCAGTACGCGGGGACGCCAGGCCGGTCTTACGAGCCTTCAATTGTCACATCAGTATACCCCCACCCACCTGCAATCCCTCCTCTAGCGCCTGCAGCCCCGCAGTGATGCTGGAAATGCACGGGCAATCAGCACCTCCACCACCGCCGCCGTCTGTTATCGCTGCAGCCGCCGCCACCGCTTGCGACGCCTGTCTTGCGGCGGCTCCGGTCGGCCGGTGCGTCCCAGCTCCGCCCTGCCGCGCCAGGTTGCGGAGGAACGCGGGTGGCGGCAAGCCCTCTTCTGCCGTACTGTCCTCAGCCCCGGAGAATCGCCCTGCCGTAGCCCGCGATGACGTCGGCGTCGACGGTTGACTATCGTACGGCGTCGTGAGCGACGACGCAGACGTTAACGAACCGCTACCGCCGCCGCTGCCGTCACCACGACCGGGCGGCGGGTTCCAGACGTCTTCGGGCATGTTGCGCCCGCATCGGAAGCGGTATCGGAGGCCCTCGCAACAGAGGTAAAGCTCCAGAGTGTGAGTTGCGGAAACGAAGCGAATGCCCAGGTGAGGGTCGAGTTGCATGTCGATGTGCGCTGGCGGCGGCGGCGGTGGCGGCGGCGGCGAGGAGGCTCCGGCTAGCGGGAAGGGTAGCGCAATGGTGATTGGCTGCGGCGAGGCGTCCGCATCGGCGTCCCGCCACCGCCGGGTGATGTCTCCGGAGGGGCTGTAGCAGGTGCCTGGGGGTTGCGGAAGGGTAGCATTCACGTACGACAGGGAACAGGAGCAGGACAGGACAGGAGCATTGTAAGATGGGGCGTACGGTGGTTGGGGGCTCGAGTTTGTAAGGGTAGATACCAAACCAGCTCGATGAGTGTGTGGAGGCAGGCATTTCACTTGGCGGAAATTGTGGAGGATACTACGTTTATAACAGCACACTTTGGAATTGGGTATACCCATCACTTGGCTACAGCCGGCGGCATGTTATCTAAAGATGAAAACACATGGCGGGCCGACAAGCCCCTAACCAGGCAGTCGTCCGCACCCTCCATGCCAACACAGCTACCCCAAACACAGCTGCTGCACCCCCACGCACCTGACCCCGTCGTGCGGCTGTACATGAGCATCAGCCCCCCACTCGGGTACTGCACGAAGCCGCCTGCCGCGTCCCAAGACACCGCAATGCCGCCAGCGCGATACATCACCATCATCTTGTACGACAAAGGCGTCGTCGCCGCCGCCGCTGATGCCATGGGGCTGCCGCCGCCGCCGCCGCCGCCGCTGGCGTCCCCGACGTCGCCACTTCCTCTACTCCCCAACGCAACCTCCGCCGCCGCCGCTGTTGTCATGCCGTATTCCGCATCCACGGTGACGGCCATGTCGCCGCCGGGCCAGAAGGCCGCCGCCGAGCCGTCACGCCGTACCACAACCGCCCGGCCGCCGCCGCGCTGTGCCGGGTACTTGGTTTCGTAGTCCACGAGTTGCGCCTCAGGCGGGGGTTTGACGGGGGCGGGCGCGCGGGACCTGGGCACCTGAGCGCCGCTGTAGCGACTGGGTAACTTGGTCTCGTCGAACCGGGGCAGCGCGTCCAGCACGGCCTGCAGTTGCGGGGAATACCGTAGCAAGCCCATCGATGGATGTGGCGATCTGGCGAAGCCCGGTGCTAGAGGAGAGAGACCCCACCCAGCAGCCGCGGCGCTCCCCCGCCCGTTCATCCAGACCCCCAAGCCCCACCGCACCTGGAACTGCGTGCCGGCCAGTTGTGCCGCAGGTTTCAGCCCGCCGCCCCCGGGCAGCGGCGGCCGCCGGCCCCGCAGCGCTGCACCCCTAGAGGAGCCGCTCCCAGCTGCCCCCGCGGAGGCGGTGGAGGAGGAGGCGGTGGAGGAGAAGGACGTCATGGACTCCAGCGCCGGGGCGGCTTGTGTGCCGGCAGACCCGCATCCGCCGCCACTGCCACCGTACTCGTTGTCGTTGGGGTCAGCGGCGCCACCGGTGGATCCCCCTGACGGGTGCAAGCCGTAGGGGTGAGGGGCTATGCGGAGTTAGGGGAGAGGATGCGGGCACGTGAACTAATGAGAGTAAACTGCTGCGAGCGGATAGGATGGGGCCTACATGTTTGGCCTTTGATCCCGCCATGCGATGGCAATCTCGCAGTGTGCCTTGAAGCCCACATGACAACCTAAACGTCAAACATGGCACCGCAAGCCGCACCTGCAGTGAACGAGCTGCACCGCTGCCGCCGCCGGGCCCGTGACGCCGGCAGCTGCGAGTCCGGGGTACCCGCGCCGGCAGAGCGTTGGGAGCTGTTACTGAGAGGACGATCCACCGTTCGACTCCTGCCGGACCCAACCGCTGCAGCGGCAGCAGCACCGCCGGCTGCAGCACGGGGTGGCAACACCTCTCCCACACCGCTGTAAGACGGCGCCCGACCACCAACACCTGCACGGATGTCACGCGCAGGGTGTTTCCGGGACGGCATACCGTAGTTGGCACGTCAGACCTTTGGCGAGCATTCGGAAATGACCCTCAAATGGGCTGAGAACTGATGTGGGTCACATGGCGATAGTAGCAGCAGCAGTAGCAGCAGCAGTAGCAGTAGCAGTAGCAGGCAGCATGAGGGCCTGGTCCGTTGGCGTACCTGTTCGGCTGCTGCCTAGGGACCCCAGTGACCCAAGGGTCGGTGTGGCTGCGGGGGCGCTGCCCGGGGCAGCTGGCCGAGCCGCCAGCAGGACGTCAATGTCCAGCCGCTCACTGGCCTGAATGGAAGGGAGCATTGGGGAGTGACGAGAGGGAGAGTGCGAGCGCAGAAGCGGGGCGGATGGGGTTAAGAGGACGGCAGGAGGAGCGCTATACAAGGATAAGGTGTAAAGTGGGTTACTGGCAGAATGACAGTTCGAGACAGGCCCATGCATGTCGAGCAAAGACACCTGCTGGGGCCGTCAGCTCTCCTGCTCTCTCCGACACCTCAGACCCCACCTCAGACCCCACTCCTCTCCCACCCCACCTCTCTCTCCGCTGCCTCCACGGGCCGTCCGTCTATGAGCTTCAGTCCCGGACATAGCCGCAGCGCCACCAGCCGGAGGTGGTCCGCGGGGAGGGCCTGGGCGGGCGGGTGCAGGGGGGGCAGGACGCGGCAGGTGACTGGGGTGGTAAGGAGGGGGTAGCCCAACTGAGCCGCGATGAGACACTGTGACCATAGTTGGAGCAGTAAGGAGGGAGGGAGGGAGCCGTAGAAGATGAGGAGGCGGCGAGAGGGAGGAGCATATGCACAGCAGCAGCAGCGTCACAAGGGCGGGATGTGCTGCAACAGCTGCACGCATGGGATGGGGCATAAGGCTGCATGGGAGGGGCGTGTTTCCTCTCTACCGGGATGCCCCCAGCCCGCACCTTGGCCACTGAGTTGTTGGCTATGGCCAGTCGCTGCAGCCCCGGCAGTGTCCCCAACACTCGCAGCTCGCCGGGCGCTGACACGGCGTTGTTCTGCAGCCACAGGTCGGCCAGGCTGGTGAGGCCGGACAGGGGGGCCAGGGAGACGATCTGGTGGGGGAGGTGGGGGAAGGGAGCGGTACTAGGGGCTTGGATAAACGCCGGAAGGGTACGAGGGGTTGGTGGGTTAAGAAAACTGGCCGCGAGGAAAAACATACTGTGCTTGGTGTGTGTATGTGTGTGGGGGGTGGGGGTAGGGAACACCAAACACGCTAGGTGCACGCTGTAAGGTGTATGGGAGGAGGGTGGGTGCGGCAGGGTGCAAGGAGTGGCGGCCCGCTTCCCCTCCTGGTGATGGTGCGCATTCCCACAGTAACACGCGCACAGCGACGCCTTGCTTAACCCTGCTGAGCCCCAACCCGATCACACCTTGTTGTGGCTGGCATTGAGGTTAACGAGGCTCGACAGCGCCTGCAGGCCCTGTGTGAGGTACGGCAGTCACGGCAGCAGGCGGGGTTTCGGAGGGGCAGCGACACAGCATCAGCAGCGCGACGTTACCGGTGCCAGCAGCGTGCAGCACAACAACAACAGAACAACAACAACGACCACAGCTGGGGAAGGTGATCACGTTCACAACCGTGGCGCCCAAGTGGCACCATCCTCAGCCCAACCCTCCAGCAGGCTTCGTTGCTTCCTATCCTGGGCAACTGGTGCGGGTCTCCAGAGCTTCCCGGCATACGGCCACTTTGGGACGTGACCACATCCCGGCAGGACGCCGCTTGCATGCCGCTTTACCCGCTTTATATACAATGCCCGACCACCCAGCCTGACACCCAATGTCACCCCACATCAGCCGTCACCAGCACCAGCACCAGAACACCACCACCTGACACCCCTCCAACACACACGCCGCCCCCCAGCGACCCTCCGTCACGCTCACCTTGAGACTGGCCAATTGGTTGTGGCTAACATTGAGCGACTGCAGCTGCAGCAGCGGCGCTAGGCCCGACAGGGAGGACAGCGAGTTGAAGGCGAGCGAGAGGGAGCGCAGGTTGACCGCCTGGCTGAGAGAACCCACGTCGGTGGCGCCCTGGGCGGGTGATGGGAGGGGGAGACAGGGTAAGGTGAGCCACAAGGGGTTTGCAAGCTTTGGTGCGGGCCGATGCAACAAACACATGGGCTGGCGGATACGCGGGGTTAAGCGGTCCCCGCGGTCCCAGGTCTCCATTCAGGACGCCACACCCACCTTGTTGGTGAGGATGAGCTCCTCAACTTCTTTTATGTCCGACGAAAAGGCTGCCTCCTTAATGTCCTGCCGTCATGGACACGGGAAGTGTAGCCGATGAGTTGTCGACAACGCGTAGACGCATGTGAATGCCATGTGGACATACCCAGGCGGTAATTGACATTCGTCCGGCGTGTTTGGTGGAGGCACGCCGCGGTTAGCCTCCTATACATTGTCGTCCGGATTAGCTGCTGTCAAGCGTTAATCTACTGTTAATTAAAGAGCACGTATTTAAAGGATAGTAAGTCCAACCGGACTAAATAGAAAGCGACGCGCAAGGTATTGCATGTAGTTGATGTAGGGACCCTCTGCGTTGACCATTATGGCATAACATTGTTTGGTTGCGGCGATGGATATAGTTGCATGTACTTTTACAATATTTGCAAGGAGTTCCGATCGTGATCCGGTTTCTGTGCTCTTTGCCCGTCTCCCAGTCATTATCGTGCAAGACCAGAACGTGCTCACGCTTTTGACTTGTTTTTTTTTGGAAGTGTTCTAATTGTTACATAAGCTTTAGTATTAGAACTATTATGCGACACTTCCGAGAACGCCTTGGCACATCACCTCAGCGCCCCTGTTCTGACATGCATCCTGTCCGATCGGGCTAGGACTATATTCGTTACATGCATGATTAGCCTGCAACGCGGTGCTCCTCTGGGGTGTCTCGCAACAGCTATCTGGACCGCAGACCTGGCCCATAGCGGGTCAAGGACGGGGCCAGCATACCTTGATCATGGCTACTAACGCTGATGGTTGCCATGTAACGGATCAAGCAGTCCAGGACGTTGGCTATGATGATGAGGAGCTTCTTGACTATGAGAATGACCAGGACGCAGCCGTGTTGGAGGAGGAAAACAAGGCATACGGCGATTATGACAGCGAGGAGTTAGCTGTGAAGCTCGCGGACGGGGCTCAGGTCTCAGGTTCGTTATCTCCTGCCGCCGACCGCATGGAAGGCGATAGCCAAGAGGACAAGCAGCGGCGCCAGCACCAAATTGAATCCTCGCAGCCTGGTGGCAACACACAGCATGATCATGGCAATACTGGTTACGCTCCTTCCGCGGGTGCTGACATACACCCTGCGCCTCGACATGACGATCGGATGGACAGTTCACCGCGCGAAGATCGCGGTCGCGACTGTGACCATGCTGTGCCCAGTCGTGATGTTGGGGGTCACCATGAGCATGGTAGCCTTGGTCCGGTGGATAAGGGCCGTGAACAGAGTTTTGACCGTGGGCGGGGTGAGCGCTTACCATACCCCTCGTCACAGCGTCCCACGGAACCCGTGCGTGATGATCGCAACGCTCTTCAAACTCAGCGTGGCTCCCAGCGGGATGATCGTGGCTACAGTCGTGAGGATCGTGACCGCTACTGGAACGAACAAGGCCGGGGGGAGCCCTACGATCATGGCAGGGTGCGGCGGCGAGAATGGGATCAGGATCGTCCACGCGACGCGTCGGGGCGGTATGAGCAGCGTGATCAGCAGCCCGGCGGTGCACGCGATGTCCCTGATGATAATCGCGGAGGAGGAGCAGCAGTTGGAGCTGGCAGCAGGCCTCAGTCCAGACCAACGACTCCTTCGCAACTCCCTGCCGGCACTCCACCACGTGATGCAGCTGATCCCGCGGCACCCCGTGAGGAGCAGCGCGCACGAGCGCCGTACGGCCCCCCCAACATGCGCCGGGACGACCCCCAGCCACCGCACTGGAAGCACCAAGGCCAAAGCGGATCGCCCTTAGTGGTCGCCACAGGAGCCCCGGAGCGCGACGCGATGGAACTCGAGGTGGAGCCGGAGCGGGAGAGGGAACGCGAGCGGGAGAGGGAAAGGGAGCGAGAGAGGGAGCGGGAACGGGGCCGTGAGCGGGAACGGCCACGTGAGCGTGACGCAGCGCGCGGAGGAAGCTTCAGCATGCCGCCCGAGCCGGACATTATGGGCTCACGCGCTCGTGAACGCGATCCGGTAGTTAGGAGCTCTGGCATGCCACCTGACCCTGATACCTTTGCCGATCGCCGGGGACGGGACCGTGAGCGGGAGGAGGGCCCGCCGCCATCGCAGCGGCCCTGGGGCGGCGGGCCGCCGCCGCCTATGGACATCGGGGTCAGGCGGCCGCCTCCCATCGCCCCCGGTGCCGGCAGGGAACCCGCCCGGGCTGGCGGCGGCAGTGGCCGTGACGAGCGCATGGGTTACGGCGGCGGCGGGGGCAGCAGGCCGTACGACAGGCATGGTGGCGGCAGTGGCGGCGGCGGCAGCGAGCGGGTGCAGCTTGAGCGGCCTGGAGGCGCTGGCGGCAGCAACAGCCGGGAGCCCGAGTGGTCGGCAAGCTCAAGCAGGCCCTACGACCGTCGCCCTGGCCCTGGCCCTGCCAGAGACGATCGTGGAGGTGAGCGGGCGTCTTATCCGAGCAGCGACCACCGTGGACGCCTCCCCCCTCCTAGGGATGACCGTGTCGTCCCGCAGCCGCCACCGCGAGACGACCGCGGGTACTACGCTTCCCGTGATGACCGGGACCGCGGCCCGCAGCCGCCGGCTCGAGATGATCGGCGTCCTCTGCCGCCAAGAGACGACCGCCGGCCACCGCATCCGCCGCTGCAGCCACCACCGCCGCGTGATGACCGCGGCCCTCCTCCTGCACGTGAGGACCGCGCCGCCATGCCGCCGCGGGATAACCGTGGTTCGGGCCCTGCCAGGGATGAGCGCGCAGCCGGCAGCGGGAGGGGTGAGCCCCAGCCTGCTCGCGGCCGGGAGGGCTCACCGCGCGCTCGCCGGCAGGACCGCGACTGGGAGGGCGACCGAGGCGCCTACCGGGGCGCTGGTAGCGGCGGCGCCGGAGCAATGCCTGCAGAGGAGCGTAGGGGTGCAGGGCTGCAAGGCTATCCTCAAACAGAAGACGCTGGGGGCTGGCGGGATCGTGATCGCGACGTGGAGCGCGGCCGGGAGCGGGAGCGCAGCAGCGGCGCACGGGAGGACTACGGGCCAGCTGGCTGGGGTCGCTCCAGGGATGCGCATGGTGGTGAGTGGCGGCGTCCTGACAGCGCTGCATCGCCCGCACCAGCTGCCATTGGGCGCACGCCGCCTGGCGATACCGCCATGATGCGCAATGGCAGCAATGGCAGCGGTGGTGCTGCGGACGGGAGGCGTAGGGAGCGAGAGCCATCACCGTTTAACTGTGAGGCGCAGCGGCATGTGCCTGAGCGGCAGGGGGGCAACGGCGCCGAGGCGGCTGCTGCCGCTGCTCCCGCAGCATCAGGTGCTGCTGCTGCTGAAGCTGCTCAAGAAGCGGCGGCGCAGCAGCAGCAGCAGCAGCCGGTGGTGGCAGCGGCACCGAGGGCGCGGGCTCCGCTGTTTGTAGGCGGCTGCCGTCCGCCTTTTCCCAACGACGGAGCGCGCCCCTCAGCGGCGGCCAGACAGCAGCAGCAGCAGCAGTCACCGGAGGCGCGGCTGGGGCGTTCCCGCAGCGCCGCCGACGTCACGACCAGCGCCGCCGGCAACAGCGCAGGGGGCGCAGGCGAGGGTGAGGCTGCTGCCCATGCAGCCGGCTGTGCAGGCGGCGCTTCCTCCGCCGCACGCAGCGGCGAAGGGTTGGGCTCTGACAATGCCCCTGCAACGCAAGCGGCGAATGCCATGGATGTGGACGAGGCTGCGGGTGGCGTTGCACCCAGTCACCAACAACCTTCCTCCTCACCCGCCGCGAAGCAGCCGGAGCCTAGCCGGCAGCGGGATCCCTCACCGCGGCCGCAGCTGCAGCAGCGGGAGGAGGAGTACGATGTCATGGATGCTACGGAGCCCGATGCACCCGCCGGTATCATCCCCGTTCTTCCTCCTAGCGCCGCGGCCCCGGCTGCTAGGCCCGTCTTCCTCCTAGGTGGTGCGTCAGGAGCAGCACCGCAGCTGCTGCGGGAGCGAGGGGACGCCGCGGCGGAGGAGGCGCGTCCCATGGAGTGCGATGATGGTGTTGGCGCTTGGGGCCGGTCGCAGCAGCAGCAGCAGCCGTACAGTGGAGCGTGCGATGTGCGTGAGGCGGCGGGGAACGTCACGCCTGTGGAAGAGGGGCAGATTGCCGAAAGCATGGGGGGAGCAACTGACATGGAGCTTGACGGGTGGCGGCGAGGCAGCAGCGCCGGTGGCGGGGGCGGGAGCGCAGCCCCCATGGGCGGCGTCGAGGTGAACGTCGTACGTGAGCGAATGGATTCGGGGCGCTACATTGGCGGAGATGGCCGGCATGAGAGGGGCGGGGCGGGGGCGGGCGACGGCAGCTGGCGGCGACAGCAGCTGCCGCCGCCGCGGGAGGGCGAGGAGCAGCAGCGCGGGTACGGTCGTAATGGTGCTGTGCAGCCGTATGTTGAGCAGCGAGGGACCGAGCCCAGGCGCAATGTCGCTCCTGTGTATGATGCACGGGACCGGCAGCCGGCATCACTGTCGCAACCCTACCCTGGCCGCCGGGAACGTGACTCGCGGGCGACGCCGCCACCGCCAAGTGGCGGCGGCGGCCGGAGGGACGCCTACGAGGACGATAGGAGGCCCCGAGATCCGTACAACAATGACGACAGGAGGCCGCGGGCGGCGCCGCCGGAAGGCCGCCGAGACGAAGGGAGCTACGCCGACCGTAGGGCCCAGCCGCCGTCGCAGGGCCCAGGCGGCGAGCCCCGTCGGGACGAGCATGATGACCGACGCCGGGCGGCTCCGCCGCCGCCTGGGGCGCCGCGTGGCGCTCGCCGTGATCCGTACGAAGATTCGCGACAGCAGCAGCCCGCCCGTCGTGATGAGTACGACGACCGCCGTACGCAGGACCGTCGCAGGGATGATCCGTACAACGATTGGCGGCAGCGGCCACAACAGCCGCCGCCGCCACCTCGGCGTGATGAGCACGACGATCGCCGACAGGTGGAAGGCCCTGGCCGCGGCGTAAGCGGTGGCGGCGGGGGCAGGGATGACTATCCAGACCGCCGGCAGCCGCCCCCGCCGGCTGGCGGCCGCCGCGGAGACGTGTACGACGATCGCCGTCCACCGCCGCTTCAACTTCCGGAGCGACGTGGGCCTGACGTCGGCAGGGGGGAGCAACGCAGCTGGGGCGACCGAGGCGGCGCTAGCGGAGGCGGCAGGAGCTACGCCGCAGGCGGCGGCGGCGGACCGGCCCCCAGGCGTGACGGCTCGCATACAGAGCGCGGCCCGTGGGAGCGAGGTCGGGAGCGGGAGCGGGAGCGCGTGGTGGAGGGCGGCCGGGGGCGGTCCGCGGAGCCTCCGGGCTACAGGGAGGGCGGACCGGGAGGCAGGTGGGTTGGGAGTGGAAAGCGGGGGTGAGGGGGTAAAATTATATAAGAAATGCAAACAACTAAGTCCCAATCCCATATCCCGACTCATGCAGTGAGTGCATGAGTGAGGGGGTGGGGAGCTGCGGGGCAGAGGAGGAGTTGACCTGTGGTTTCATGGATCTGGGTTGTGATGGAGCCCTTGCTCTAACATAATTACAAACGCCGCAACCACCATTACCTCCTCACAACTGTGTCGATGCTTGCAGGCGTGAAGGCGGGCCGCCGCCTCCTGCCAAGCGCCAGCGCCTGTCTCCCATTCGCGGTGAAGAGGAGCCCTGGTCCCGTCAGCAGCAGCAGCAGCCCTACCAGCAGCCCGCTCGGCAGCCGCCGCCTGCGCAAGCGGCCCAAAGCAGTGCCGACATTGGTAAGCATGCAGGCTGTCTTCCCAACGCCGCTTGCAGCCCTTTACTGCAGCTAGTGCTATCTTGTTGTGTACAACGACTCTTGTCAGTAATGTGGTGGTTCAGTTGCTTGTCCAGCGGTTTCGTCCCCTCCGGCTTTTTCTGCTGCCCAATTCCTGCTCCTGCTGGGCTTTCTTGTTGCCTCACCTTTCCCGTTGTCGGCCCGTCCTCTGCCAAACCCCGACCAGTCCGAGCCATGATGTCCGCACCGCCGCCTTCTAGCGGTCCTGGCGGTGGCGGTGGCGGTGCCGGCATGGGCAACAGCGGCCCTGGCAGCGGGTCAGCAGCAGCGCCACCCGTGGTTCCGCCGCTAGCGCTGGGAGCGGCGCTGGCGGGCTGCCAGGTTGGGGCGCCCGCGAGCTGCGGGTCCATGACCGCGGAGCAGAAGAGGAAGCTGCTGTGGGGCCATAAAAAGGCGGAAGCGGTGGAGCAGCAGGTATGGGAGACGTGGTGGTGCAGGGAAAAGAGCTGCGGAGGAACGTGGTTTGTTAAGACAGGAGAATGCGCATGCTGCTGCTGCTGCTGGGTCCTGGCGGGGAATACCGTGGCCTGGGTTGTGCGGTGTGTTGGGAGGTGTACTGGCGCGGATCGTAGGCCTGGGCTGGGCTGGCGTTGTTGGCTGGTGCTGTTTGCCACATGCGAAACCAACTTGGCTCGTGTCCTGTACCGACCTCTGTCCCTGCCCCCCTTGTCCCTTTCATCTTCCCCACTCCACGCGCACATGCGACGGCGACAGGAACCCACGTGCGAACAGGCGCGTCGCGACACGGGGGGAACTCTCTAGTTCGCCCACCGCTTCCTTGCTATATCATATACTCCGCAGCCTACTCCACATCTTCGGCCTTGCCATGTCATTGTTGACTTCCCACCGCTGCTGCGTTTGTCGTCCCTCCTCTTGCAGGTCCCTGTCTTCATGCTTCCACTTTCCCTTTACGTCCTTCGCATCGGCTGCCATTGTTTGTCCTTAACCTGTTGTACAGCTCCCATTAACTACTAACCACTTCCTAACCGTTTCCCGCCTTCCTGCCTCTCCTCTTCCATGCCCCTTGTTTGCCCCCTCTCCCTCTCCTCTTTCTTCTTTCTGCTTCCTCAGGGCGTGGAGTCGTTGTTCGGAGCCAACCGCTGGGATCGTGCTGCCGAGGTGCGAGGAAGGTCTCAAAAGCAAGCACGCAGGAACAGGAGAACGGGAACACGCAGGAACAAGACATACGGAAAGCGCAGGAGCAGGACTTGCAGGAAAAATGAGGAGGAGCGGCGGATCAAAACCTATAATGAATCTCCTCTTTTTTCTCTTTCGTTAACGTTGCCTGTCTCCCTGCTATTTGCTGTGTGCCTGCTGCGCCTTCCTTGTATGCCTTATCGGTAATCGTGTCAACGACACCTGCCAACGTCTCTCCGCTTAACTCCCTTTTCCCGTCCTCCGGCCATACCGCTCACAACCGCCTCCCTTCGCCTTCTTCCCTTCTCCCGCCTCCCCTCCTTGGTGCCTCTCCACGACAGGTGCTAGAAACGGACCGCGATAAGGAGCGATTCCAACGGCTCATGGTAAGAACGGCCCCTGGGGGTCGGCATGAGAACACAGCGTGCATGGGGGCCAAAGACACGCTCGCGCGACCCATGGGTCATCCTGCCTGGGCCCTATGCTGACGGTCCCCGCCTTTGCTTCCTTGGCCTATTCTTGCTGCCCCCTCCCCGCTCAGGGTCTGAAGGGCGACCTGACTCACCGCGGTCCCCACCCGCAGCAAGAGCCGCGACCGCCCTCGCCGGGCGCGGAGGCGCATCTCGCTATGACTCGTGAGTGGTTCCTGGGGAGGGAGCGGCGGAGGAAGTGGAGAGAGGCGGATGTCACCTCATGCCTCCTGGGACCCTGGACCTGCGCCTGCTGCTCTGTATGCTTTGTTCCTGGTGCCGCCTCAAGAGCCGCTGTCACTCTGCGCCTCATCTCGTCGGAGCCGCATCGCATCCGGCATAATTCTTGCATGCTCCTCACCCCTCCCTAGAGGTGGGGTGTGTCTTCCATGACATGATGGGTTGCCTCCTCAACCCCTCCCCCGCCACCTCCTCCCTCTGCCTCCCCCCATGCAGGCGAGCAGCAGGACCGTGTTCTGTCCGGTGTGGAGCAGCAGTACATGGCCGGCCTGCGTCGCAAGGACGGCAGGACTGTGGGGCTGGGCTTGTGAGGCCCAGGCCTAGCAGGAGGTGGATGAGGTTGGTGGAGGGGAGATGGAGAGGAAGAGGACGGTGGAATGGGAGGCCTAGCGGATGGAGGGGGAGGATAAGGAAGGCGAGGAGGCGGGGAAGGAGGGAGAAGGAGGCTGCCGTCTAGGCTATTCATCAGCCGAGGAGGCGGAGGGCATGCAGCCATGTCCGGGCTCCCCACGTCAGGCCAGGCGCCATGTTCACCAAATGAGCTTGTACGGTTGTGCGCACCCTGCGGAATATGAGAATTAGAAGGCCACAAGTAGCAAGAGGTTGTGGTGGTGGCGGCGGTGGTGGTGGTGCGATGGTGGTGGTGGTTGTGCAATGATGGTTGGTGGAGGTGAGGAAGGAGATACGTTAGCATGGAAAGGGAAGGAGGCGGGCGCCATGCATGGATGTGCGGATGGTGCCCGAGGGGTGCGGTGGGCGGTTCTAGGCCTGATTCATGATTGAGATGTCAGGTCGGACTCGCAATTATTGGATTGATTGTCAGCTAGGGAGGGATGTAAAGGAAGGGTGGTGAATGTCCTTTGGCATGTGGTGCTGTGGGGATTGGGTTGTGGAGGATGGCGATTTCAGAAAGTGCAATTAGAGAGAAAGGCTGGCTTTCCCCTCGTGGGAAGAAGAGGAGGACGTAATAGGTTGCTTGCTGAAAGGATGGCTGCAAGCTGTCGGGTTATGGAGGATTGGACTGGTGTGTTCATGCGGTTTGTGCTCTTGGAGCGTGCATTAGGCTTGCATGCAAGCCCACGGGGAAAGGACATGCACTGGGTGTTTGTGCCGATGCGCGCATGCAGGGAAATTGCCCTTTAGAACACGTTATACAAAACGTCAAGCGGGTTCATGTGCTTCTTTTGCCTCTTTTGTCCGTGTTTGGTTGGATACCGGTATAGCCTTTAAAAGCGCGTGCGCTTTGTGTCTCTTAATCATTCCACAGGCGCTCGTTCGATGTGCATGTGCAGCTTTTGCTATTGTCGCCAAGACGCGATTATCGAACGTGGGCCAGGGCATTTCGAGCGGGTCTTGCTGAGTATTTTGCGGCTATTGAGAGGGCGTCGCCAGGAGTCCGGACGCACGGTAAATGTGTATCCTTGGTTATTGTTCTGATGACAACGCTCTTGTTTGGAGCGCTGTTGTTGTACGGCAGTACGTCAGCAGCAATCGTATTCGTATTACAGGGAAATGACAAGCTTTGTGCTTTCGTGGAATGTGTGGCGAGACCTGACCTTATTAAGTTAGGTTTGTCTGGCTATTATTACGTGTAAGTAGCACCCCATACAAGACAGACTCGGTTTATTCTTCTTTAGGCCGAGTGGCCGCCCAGCCAATTCTCACCAGGCTGAAGGCTGACTGCACTCCCCAAGGCAGTGGTTACAAACCGTAGTCCGCCGCCTTGGCTCTTAGCCGCTAGCCGAAGGGCTTGCAGTCCCCTTATGACAGCCCGGACTTCAAACTCGCCCCGCAAACCAAGATCTCCGTGTGGCGTACAACTGAGCAGCACGTGCTGGCGACAGCGAGGGCCCTGGCACGCGGCACCAGCGGTTCGGTAGGTGCGATTCACTCAGCTGTTACTCGCTGAGGGAGAGACCCTTTCACACGCTTAAAGGACTTCAGTGTTATTTAAGACCGTCTCCGCAACACGCAACTGCCGACTCGGAACCATTCGCACATCCCCCCGGAGCACGCACGTGATGTTGCCATGCGACACACGCACAACAAAGCAGCGCGCCTTGTCGTCCCCAACTGCGCTACATACACAACGAAAACCGGAAAGCCCAACAACCCAGTGTGCACATGTCAAGAAGCGAGGGCGGGTGCAACCTAAACACTTGGTGCTTGGTCCATAATTGCAAATTCGAAAGCACTCGCGCCAAACCCGACTCGACTCATCGTCCTTCGCCCCCCACGTTGACACATGCACCCCAATACACCGCCCAACGTCAAGAACCTACTACTACCATTCCGCTCCTCCTGCCGCAAACCACCGCAATACACTCCCCCGCCCCGAATCCAGAGGGCCCCTCGCGCAGCCGACCACGCACCGCATGTGCACTCAGCGCCACATCACGGGCTCCTCATGTCAACCTGCCACAGACAAACCAACGCGCGATTGGCCCATAATGTGGATTTGATTGCCGTGCAGGTCCGCACAGCCGCCTATCCAGGAAAGCAGCTCCTCTCCTCCGAATGAGAAGGCTCTTAAGCGTCGGCGGCGGGCGCGGCGGCGGCGGCCTTGTCCTGTGAGGGACGCATTCGGAGGGGGAAGTTTAGCGTGACTCGGCTTGGAAAAGGTCGGGTTGGGACACCTGCCCACCTCCTTCGTGAGGTTCACAACTGCACATGCAACCTCTCACCACCCGAGCACACCCAGCCCGCAACTCCTCCGCGTGGCTTCCATCAACCCCCACACCAACATGGACCCCCCTTTCCCACACCTCCCCCCTCCCTTCCCTTCTCACCTTGTTCTTCTTCTTCTTGGCGCTCTTGGCGCTCACGGGGGTGGCCAGCAGATCCAGGATCTCCTTGTCCTCCACCTTCTTCTCGCTAGCAACCGGCTGGCGCGGCGCGGACGTCACGATGCTGGAGCCGTTGGGCATGAGCAACACAGTGCCCTTGATCTGAGCCACCAGCTCGCCGCCCTTCTCGTGCAGCACCGGGTAGGGGTGCAGCAGCCCGTGGTTTAGGCACTCAACCAGGCCCAGCTTGAGCTGCCCCACCTTCAGCTCGGTCTTCTGGCTGGCGGCTTCGTCCATGAGCGCGCGGAGGGTGAAGGGCATGGTGGCGAAGTTGGCGTTGACCAGGGAGAAGACGGTGCGGGAGGCCTGCATTTTGAGCTGGTAGGCCACCTCCAGGGCGCGCTTGTAGACGGTGGTCTCCTTCTCGTCCAGGACCTGAGCAGGGGATGAGGAAAGGAGGATGGGAAGGGTTAGGAGACCGCGGCGGTGGTGGGCTGCGGGCGGTGGAAAGTGGGACAGTAAATGAAAAGTGAAGCAACGGAGTCCCAGTGTGGAAGCAGGGACGGGGCTGGGGAGCCGGTGCACGTGGGGAAGAGGGACGGAGTTGTTTGGATGAGAGCTACGCCCCCCAGGCTGCGTGTGAAAGCACCTGGGGCGCGTGAGCCAGCAACCGCGGCAACAGTGGGGAAACGCACCCCAGGAAGGAAACCCAGGTTGTCCTGCCCCAATGTGAAGAGGCGGCGCCAACCCCATCGTCCGTCCCTTCCCCGGTGCTGGGTGTGTGCTTCGAGGGGTGCTCATATGTCCCACTGTTCTACACGCCCTCCCATTAACCATTGGAAAGCACTCCCTTGCAACAACCCCGACCCTGACCATCCAGCCTCCCCGCGTGGCCGCGTCCACGCCATGAGTATGTGAAGTACCCACACTCCGTTTATGCACTTATCTATATTCCCCCCCGTCGCTCCTGCCAGCCCCCATGTGCCCTTGTGCGCATCAGGCAACCCGGCGGGGGAGGAGCATGGGGACCCGAAAGCATGGGAACGGTGAGATACGCCGTCTAACTAACCCACAAAGGCAACGGGCAATGCCCTGAAGCCGCGAACGCTGTCCCTGCGCCGGCCGCCCCCATGCTTCACTGCGAACAGGGCTGTCCGCATCTGCCCCCTGTCAGGACCCCACCCTCTCTAAATACCACGCCAGAACCCAGGCTTTTCAGGCCCTCTCTTTCGCTCGCCATGTCCGCTGTATGCTATAGAGTGCTGCTGTTCGGGTGGCCTGCTTGCTGTTGGAGGCTGCACTGCCCCGCATGCCCCCGCTGCTGTTGCGCTGTCCTGTCCCGCACCGGACGTACATGCGGGCTCATCCAGTGTTGGCAATTCCAGAGCAACCCCCCCCATCCAGCTGTTTTGTTCTATTATACTGTTCTATTGTTTTGCAACCACTGCACTCCATGGCACAACCATATCAGCCCAAGGCCTAAAGGCTCCTTCCCGGCACAGCGTACACTCCCTGAGCCCCAAGACCTGTGTATTGCCCACCCACCCCTCCCCGCACCCGCCACAAACCCGTTTCCCCGTCACACACCCACGTCCCCGTACCCAGCCCCGACCCCCAAGCTGCCCGACCGCACTTACTCGGGGCTTGCCCTCGCCAGTGCTGACCACAATGTCGATGGCATACACCTCGTTCTCCTCAAAGTCCGCATCCTCCACCTTCTGGTCCGGCGTCGGCTTGTTCAGGATGCACTTGCTGCCGTCGATCACAAACTGCTTCATTTCGTGCGACATCACGCCCTCAACCAAGTTGCAGCCGTACGCCTCCGCGATCTTCTGTAGGGGCGCTGCCACGTCGGAAATGTGCTTGCCGGGGCGTATCAAGCGCACTGCGGCATCGAAGGCGGTGCGGGCAGCGGCGATGACATCCGCGGCGCGGCCGGTAATGGGCTCGGTGCCGGCCTGGACGACCACGGTGGTGGCTTGCGTGGCAATGAAGCCGTCGATGTGGCAGCCCAGGTCACTGGGCATTGGATGTGCAAAGGGATGGGGAACATAAGCATTTCACGTCAGCTTAGCGCTGAGAGTTGTTGAGCCCGGGGGAATGATTGTCTTGCCAAGCACGAGTGGGAGACCAAGAGGACTGGCCGTATGCTAGGTCCCGGCTAAGGGGAGCACTTTGTCCCGGGGATCCCACACCCGGATGGAAGGGGTTCCCAAAGCACCCGGGTATACTCACATCTTGACGACATCTCCGGATTTAAGAGCAGTGGAGTCATCGCCGTTGGGCGAGAAGTGGCCAACAACGCTGTGGGCACGTAATGGGGTCGTTAGTTAGGGCCGAACTATTCCGGCCGGAAGCGACATCCCAGCAATCGTCACATCCTACCAAACAAAAGTACGTATAGTACAACATTTGGACAATCGGAGTTATCGGGCTAGTAAGCAGCCCTGACGCGAGGCACACCTGTTGACGGACACGCAAGTCGGGAAGGCCACGCCCTTCTCAATTTCCTTTCCCTTATAGATGTTAGCGCACTCCCTGCACAATTTATCAGAAGCCAGAAGATTTAGCGAATGAGGTGTCTTCAATTGCTGACGTGCTGCGCCTACTTGTTGATAAAGGTGTCGCCGCTGCGGCACAGATCCAGAATCTTGGCGCCGTCCTTGCATCCGTCAATCACAGCTTGCAAAGCACCTGCAGACAGACCGGCAGCGTGTCACACCTGCGGGACACTCCAGCGCCGACAATTTGCGCAACTCACGGTTGCAGATGTCCGCCGCCGCCTTGTATTTCGTTACCACCTCCGGCTGCAAGGAATTGGATTAAATAACCCATCAGTAAACAATGTATAGCCTAGGAAAAGGGTCACAAAAGAGGCTAAGCAAGATGTGCTGCGCACCACGCTCAGGTTGGGCTCCACCTCGCCCTGAATAGAGCCGTCGTCCGACATGTTTGTATACTAACACGCAAAATGTGCAACAAAGTTGGAAAGAGGCTTCACAAGGCAAACCGTGTGGACAAGAACACTAGATCGGACTACCAGTACTGCACCAACGCCAACTCGACCATGTCGCATTCACGCAAAGCACAGAGTTTTTCCTTACACAATATTATTTCAGCTACGGAGGTTAATAAAGGATGTTCGCTCCTGTAGTCTCGCCAGCAGAATAAAGATGCCCTACATGTAACACCTACTTTTTGCAAACATTCCGCACGTTATTACCGCAGAGTTGTGCCATGGGCCTGAGGTATGATATTGATCGTGCAACAGCGGCTTCACGTCGACTTGCCAAGTATGTCTCTACCATCCGCCGGGACAAAGGGTATCCAAGGGCACTCTCACTATTAATTGGAAATGTACCAGAAGATAAGGTCTCTTCATTAAGCGGTTTGGGCCGTGGATATCGGCCATTTTACGGGTGCAGGGGCCAGGCGCCCGGGTCTACCTCCCTGCGGAACCATGGGGCCGTTGCTGGTGACCTACGGGACGCCATGGAACATGGTATGCTGAAATCCGAATGGTGCGGGTCGACGGGCGTCTTGCTTGTCATAGAAAGCCGCCGGAAGCAACTTTCTCAAAAGTATTGCGTCTGTATAACCAAGGTGGCTAGGGCATGTGCATGTCGACCTGTGGCTTCATACTTTTGACCCCCTCCCCGTGATTTCACGCCGAGTACGCAGGTCAGAGTAACTAATTCATCCGGAAAATGCCGTGTCATTCTACAAGGCAGGCAGTCGCACCAGAAAGTGCATTGCGACTAGTGTTTCGCGACACCATTCCAACAAAGGCCTAGCCCAACATAAAACCTTCGTTCTGTAACGGCTATAGCGTTTCGCCAGTCGTTCGAAATTTCGAGCACAGGTCATTGTTGGTAACTAACGTGGCCTCTGCGTGGCCCTGTTTTTCATCCGGCGCTGCAATAAGCACCTTCGATCGCGTCTTGCAGTGTCATCCAATACCCCGGATGGAAAGCGTCTTAACAGTTCAAACAGGACTGTACCAATAGGGTACAGCCTAGCTACGACCTGGTACCGTACAGTTATAAGCACTCCAGCCGTCTAGCAAAATATTTCGCGCCACAACTCCTGCGATCACCTTGCACCCATTCTCTGGAACATGGATGCTGCCGGCAATGCTTCGTTGGGCAAGGGGCTGAGCCTGCCTATGCCCGTGTCCGAGCTGTGGACCGCGCTGAGCATGGTGCTTCTTCTTATACCGATTACCATCATCGTCACAAAGCTGATTGGCTCGCGTATGCCTCCCGTCCGCGTGGAGAAGCAGGATTAGGCGCGAAGGTGTTTTGTAGCAGTCGTTACACTGATTCCGAGTTATATTCTCTAAAGCTTAGCTGGAACTAGCCACTACTACTTCATACAACGATATACAAGACAGCTACCCTTCAATGGCAAGTACGCATCAGGCGCGCCATCTGCTTCAACGTCTTGCTTCAGCCAGTACCTGTGGCGCTGCGTGCGGGGAGAATGCATTGACACAACGCGCCTGGCTGCAGCTAGAATGTTCAGAAGCCCCAATTGGACTGGAGACGGCGCTCTCCAACACTCCTGCGTCTTCAGCCTTGGCTTCCCCAGGAACTGCAGCAATATCAAGGCCACAGCAGCAACTATTAACCGTTCAGTCAGGATGGGATCGACAGTCAACTTCTTCGCGCGGCGCACATCTCGGCCCCCATGGCATGCATCCGACCAAGCCACCCGCCAACAGCCGTATCTCAGTTGCCGGTTTCCTAGTAAGGAACATGACCTCACTGGCAAACCCTTACAGCAACTCGTTACCGCTTCTACGGCCGCGCCCGAACACCCCAGCAGCTGTAGCCGCAGCCACAGCGTTGCAACGCTCGCTTAGTACCTCCCGCGCCCCGTGCGACGCCCCCAACTCGCCTTCCCCTTCTCCTTCCTCACAATCAAGTTTAGAGCAGCAGCAGCAACAGTCTCTAGGCAGCGGAACTTCCTCCCCGGCAGCTCCCAAGGCAGCGGCCCCGGCTGTCCCAGCGGACCCAATCTACAACCTGCCGAACGCGGTATCTGCGGCCCGCCTGGTCTCGGGGCCCGTCATTGCGGTTTGGCTGCTGCAGGGGCAATACGAGGTGGCAACCGTCGCCTTGGCAATATCCGGGGTAGGTGCTGATGCAGGGGACCTCGCATGCTGATTAACCTATTCCGGCGGGCTGTGGTGGAGACGGAGGGGCATGGGACTGGAGGGCCTTGGGAAGGGCTTGGGCGCGGTTTGTGGGATGGCAGGGGACCAAAGGAACATGCGCATGCGTGCGTTATGCATGTGGCTACAGCACTAAGCCAAGCCGTGGTGGTAAGCCATTGTTGGTGTGGCCGGCCCGGCCCTGCCCTGCCGTATTCCGCCACCAGTCCCCCACATCCGCTCACCTCCCGCGCCCCCCTCCGCATGTGGCCCTCCCTCACTGCTCCTCCCCTTCCACCAGGCGAGCGACTGGCTGGATGGCTACCTGGCGCGCCGCATGAACGCCACCTCAGTGTTCGGATCCTACCTGGACCCGCTGGCTGATAAGGTACGGCACGGTATAGGGAATAGCCGTACACACACGGTGCTCGTTGTCGTACACACACGGTGATCATTGTCGTACATACACGGTGCGGACCTTGGTGGCATGATGACGTCCCCGTGGTTCAAAACGTACATCTTGTCTCACCTTGTGACGTTCGACATGCTGCATGCGCGAGCATGGACGCATGCCCGTTGTCAAGTTGTTAGTAAGAATCAGGGAGCGCCCGCACCCGCCGTCCCTACACGTCCATGCTCGGGCCCATCCTCACACCCGAACCGCACATGCACAAATACGTCACCGTTGTTGACCTCCACCGCTATCCCCTCCTTGCTTCCCTCCATACCATGTTACCTCCGGCCCTACAGGTGCTCATCGCGTGCGTGGCCAGTGCGCTGCTTGCGAACGGCTCCATGCCGCTCTGGCTGGGCTGCGTGGTGGTGGGTCGCGATGCGCTGCTGGTGGCCGGCTCCTTTGCGTTCCGACTGGGCAGCTTCGGCTGGAAGTGGCCCGGCAGGGAGGCGTTCTTCCGCACTGCCGACACGGCTTCCCCGCATGCATCTGCTCCCGTTTCCCCTCCCGCCGCATCGTCTGCGGGCGCCGGCGAAGCTACCGGAAGTGCTGGCAGCGGCGGCGGGTGTGTGTCGTACATGAGGCCGCTGCTGATCAGCAAGGCGAACACGGTGCTGCAGCTGGTGCTAATGGGTGGGTACTTGACACGGGGGATGTACGGCTGGCCGGAGGGAGATCCGGTCACGGCCCTGGAGGTGGCTACGGCGACTACGACAGTGGCTTCGTTGGTGGCGTACGGTAGGATGGCTGCACAGGGGGAGCTGTTCAAGTGATGGGGATGTAGACGGAGAGTACCTAACAATGTGGAAAGGCTGTAAGCGGGGATGAGGGTGAACTCGATAATGATGGGAGGCATCTGATGTGGTGGCGAGTACTAGACAACGCTAACAACTGCGTACGTCAGTTCAAAACCGTAAGGAACGTTGGGGCTACGCGGTGTTGGTGTTGCTATTGCTTTGGTTGTGCTGGCTCGCACAATGGGAGTTGGTGGTGTGTGGTCACCTTGTGGGTCGATTGCTTCGACTGCCGGTGGCAACTAGAGAGAAACTAGAACATATCATTTCGCTGGATCCTCAGGTTGCAAAGTGTTCGACTGTGACAATCACGTGGGCATCCGGCCCCCAACAAACAACAACAATGTCGGGCTGCATGTCCACACACCTCACAGCGCATCCAAACATCCTCTAAAGGTCTCCGTCATGTGAACCGGCCTGCACCAGCGCTCACATAACCTCCCATCACCAAGCACCACTTTGATAGTCGCAATCGTCCAGCACTGCCGAAGGCTTGCATGCCTTCCACATATGCAAGCACGTGCGCTTGTCACGCATTCCAGCTGAAACCACGTGACAAAGGTACTTGACACTCGCAGAAACGTCAAGCTATGGTACAGGGGCGCTTCTTTCCCGAAGCATCCACACACACACACGTGTCACAACACCAGGGGCCTAGCCGCCCACAGAGATGAACCCCCAGCACGCGAGATAAAGGCATCATGATTCCAGGTATACCGGCCAGCCACGCCCTGCACTGGCCGCATATCCTGCGGTTGCCGACCGCACCACATGGCGCCATCCACGCCTAGGCGCACCGCGGTTGCAGGTGCCCAAGTTGTGAGCTCCAACGCTCCAGCACAAAACAGATAAATGTGAGGCGTGTAAGCAACACCAACGATACAAACGCTACCTGCCCTTGCGCTTCCTACCTAAAATTAAAGTGTCTTAAACCCCCTGCTGACTAGAACCGCAGCTGTCCACGCTTGTGGCAAGATGGCAACAATGCATCCGATACTGTACACTTGGCCCCTTCGTACGACTGCTGTTGACAGCCGCCGAGCAGGAGCCCCCCCCGCAGTGCAATACGCTCCTAGACATGCGCTAGCTAGGAAATCAACCATATTCCATGAAGCAACAGGACAGCAACCACCGCTGATCGCAGCGGGGTGCAAAAAACAAAACCAAACCCTAGCATGCTGTTATCTGGCATCCCGTAGAATGAATGCCACGAGATTGGCAAGCATGTTGCCACCTCACAGCTCAAAGTCCAGGTCAGCTGCGGCACGGCGGGCGTTGCGCTTGGCCCTGCGACCCTGACCCTTGCCAGCGTGCGACGAGCCCTCGCCGGCACCGACGGAGGAGGTGGAGGGACCCGCCGCGCTGCCACCGCTGCTGGCGCCTGCCGCTCCGGATCCATTTGCGCCTGCAGCATCGCTGCCACCCGCCTTGGCGCCCGGCGTGCGGCCCTTACCCGCCTTGCCAATGCCGCCACTGCTGCTGGCCTGGTTGCCGTTGTTGTTATTCGCTGGGCGCGCGTACATGCGACCGGCGCGCATGTAGCCGTTCTCGCCCAGTCGGCGGTTCCCCAGGACGACACGAGCACGACCTAAGCAGGGGCAGGGCGGCGGTGGAAGCGGAGGGGATCGTGTGATGTCTCGCACGCATGGGGGTGGCAAATAAGGAAGCGCACCCTACATGTATTCATAACACGCGCATGAGGCTGCTTGCCACAACCCAAAAAGTATCCAGTACCCAGACAGTACTGGGAGGTGGGAGGTAATTAAGGCAAGGAATCAGAGTCCGCCATACCTGCCGCGCTCGAGAAGTAGTATTTCTCGATCTGTTCATCCTCGTCATAACCGTCGTCCTCATCGTCATAGTACTGGTAAGGGTCAGTCCACTCGGGCGGTATCTCCTCGGCAGCCATGGCAGCCGACACGGCCTTGCCCTTCTCCAGCGTCTGTGATGAGGATGCATGCAATAAGGCAGCAGACCCGAACAGAATACCCAATGGGTCAGTGGCGAAGAGTGCATGGGAATGCTGGGAGCCGACACAAGGGACTCCCATGGGAGAAAGGTCGGGGTTAGGGCCGCTGCACAGCCGCTTCGGTCTAAAACCTTCCCTGACTCCTGTCGATTGCAATCTCTGGACGCCACCACCCCTATGCATGAAAAGGCGGAAATGATGGACACACCTTGACGTGCTCGACGAACCAGGAGGCCCGCTTCAGGAGGCACACGCTCTCCTCAACGGGGATATCGCTGAGGTTGCCGTCCAGAAGGCGATGGCAGTATAGATAGTTAAATGGCTTCTTGCATTGGGGGCACCAGGGGGCCTCCTTGCACAGGGCCCACTGCAGGATGCAGTTCACTGGAGGGAGGTAGAATGGGAGGGAGGGATAATCGTAAGAAGAATGGGAGGGGGGGATAATCGTAAGTCAAACGGGGTCAGCATGTGCTCGGCGAATGTGCAAAGCCATGCTGCCTGTTAGCTGCTTGTGCTGTTTACTTCTTACCGCAGTACTCGTGCTCGCAGCCCTTAATGATGGCAAGATCCACGGGCTCAATTGCGTTGAGGCAGATCGCGCAAACCTCGCAATTGCTATCCACGCAGGTGGTATCATCGTCAACCTCGCGAGGCAGTTCGGGCACGGGCGTTGAAGCCCCTTCGTAGCCATCGTAGCCTTCGTAGGCCTCCTGAATAACAGAAGCCAGAAAGGCAGGGCGAATTCGTTAAGAGCCACCGGCTGGTGACAAGCTCCACGCCAGCCCAACTCTTACATCCTCCTCCCAATAGCTGTCCTCGTCCTCCAGAGACAGGTCTGCAAGTGCCCTGCCGACTGACTTCCTCATGATGCACGGTTCTAAAAACAATTGGTGTTGTGTGGAAAGACGACGAGGCGTGGAAACCGTTGCGGCCGCAAGGCCTTTTGCTGGCAAGTCCTAACACATGTTTGTAGAAATATACAGCAAGAAGCGGCTGGGCTGGTTGAAGGGCCCGAAACCGACTTCCGCGTTCAGTTGCGCACGAGGGCGCAGTATGTGGGCTCCTGCCCTGTCAAAGTGTGCTGCCAGGGCACGAGGCCCGCTGCAGCATAAACAGTCTCAGGTTGTCGGTCTCCCACAGATAGGTCAACGCAATGTAGAGGCGCTTGTCACCAGGTCACGTCGATTGCCAATTACAAAAAATGGAATGTATATATACTTATTCCATCTCTGCTAACATGGCTCCCTGTATATGCCGGGTATCCACAAGCGCGTAAGGCCCTTCTGATCCAAAAATTTAAAGGCCAAACGGCCTTCAGCCAGACTGTAGCAAACTTAGCCTCCTAACGCATGAGAAATGGATTTGAGGCAACCCTAGTAAAGGGACTGCCAGGGTGTCCTCAGACGCATGGTCCATGACAGCTGGCCGCTTACTCAGCGATACCGCTCCGGCAGCCCGTACACAACACGAGCGTGCGACTTGTAAGCTATCGTTGCGACTGCGTCCGCCGGAGGGGAGTAGGGGCTCAGCGTTGTCGGCCTTCAACATCATATCCATCAAAGTCGTGGTGCAGACGGAAGACAGCCGTATTGACAAGGACGCAATGGGGTTCATAAGCGGCGGCAAGGGGAGGGGAAGGGGAAGGGGAACACAAAGGCAGCAAATTAATGAGAAGGAGCCAGTGAAATCCTCCTAAACAAACCGCTCCCCTTAAGAGGAGCGACTGCCCCCTGCCAGCATAAACCCAGCAAATCCTACCAACCACCCGGCCCCGTGCACGTTTCCCTCCACACCGTTATCTCCAAGCGCCCAAGCTAACTATTGGCCAAAGTAATTTCCATACACCTCCCAACCCCTCCATGAACGCATAGTCATCAGCCGCACAGCCCAACAGCTCAACCCAATGCCCCCACCACCCCTGCAAAACCCCCCACCTGGACGCCTCCTGCTCCATGCGCAAGCCCAGCACCCACATCGCCGGCGTGCGGCGGCGCCTGCCGAGCGCCAAGCCCACCAGCGCCCCCACCGCCCCCAGCCCCAGGCTGCCCGCCGCCAGGGCCACCTCCAGCAGCACTGCAGCGGGGAACCGGGGGCAGGGGAACAACCGCCCAAAGCATGATAATGAGCAGTTGCAAGGGGCAGCCAGGGGGCGCATGTACGACACATAGGGACGACAGACATACCCGTAGGTACCACGCGTGGCATGCAGTCCCAGCCCTGGGCTGCCCTAGCTCCCAACCCTCCCCCCCCCCCCCCGGCACCCACCTAGTGACAGGTGGGAGCCGAGTCCCGCCAGGCTCTCCCAGGCGTTGCCGTACTGCTGCTGCTCCTCCTGCCCCCGCTGCTGCTGCTGCTCCTCCTCCTCCTCCCCCCGCTGCCCCCCGCCCCCGCCCCCGCTGCTGCTGCTGCTGTTGTCGTACACGAGGTACACCCGGGTGGCGCGGGCGAGCAGGCTGGTGTGGCCGGAGGCGGCCAGCCACAGCTTGAGGCCCAGCCAGGCCAGCAGCGGACCCAACCTACGGCGTGTCGGTGTAAGCATCGCAATGCGGCACGGTAACGATATGGCTAGGAGGGGTGGTGACTGCCGAGGACGGGAAGCGTGTAAATGGTACCCATGCATGGCTTCCGCCTACTGGCCAACAAGCAGGTCCAATGACGTGGACATGCCAGGCCTCTGGCATGCATGTCAACTTTAAGATACCGTTACCGTGCAACACAAGCTACCACGAACCTCTTCCTCTCCCGGGCCCCCACCCGACCCTCCACCCGCCCGCACTGCTTACATGAGCAGCTGCTGCACCGACAGCGCCCCCGCTGCTGCTTCCTCCCCGCCTGCATCACCACCATCGCCAGCCGCCCCAGCCCCCTGCTGGCTGCTCCCGCTCCCGCTCCCTGCACTGCTCCCCCCACCGGCGCTCCAACTGCCGCCCCCGCTGCTGGCCCACCATGCTGCCGCCAGCCCCGCCGGCAGCAGCAGCACCTCCACCAGGTACTCCACCACCGCCAGCGCCAGGGGGGGCGGACGCACCTCGTACGACTGCAAGAGGGGGGGTTGGATCCATGTCGCCAGAACCATGGGCCAGAGCGCCAAAAGCAGGACCGCATACACATGACTCAGCCTACTTCCAGCAATCACAGTACGTTCCGACTCGCGGCCAGTTTTCTTAACACACGACTCACCCGGATGTCGGTTCGCGACAGCAGCCTCCGGAAGGCATCCGGGTCCATCCGCCGCAGGTCCTGCACCCGCAAACAGGCAACTGGTCAACAACTTCAGAAGCTCCCCAGGGCAAGACTCTTCATGTCACAGTCAATACACGCTGAAAGAGCAAGACCTGCCTTCCTTCCGTCATCCCCGTTTGGCCCCGGTTAGGTACTGTCCCCCATCCCCGCCTCCCCGGGGCTTCCTGCTGTGTATTCCCGCTTCCCGCCTCCCCCCTATTACCCCCGCCTGCATGCGCCCCGGCCCCACCTTGTACAGCTGCACTTTGGCCAGCGACTGTTCCTGCTCCAGCTGAGGGGAGCGGCGCCGGGTGTTCCTGGGGAGGGGCAGCAGGGGGCCTTGTAACTGAGCCGCGATGTGTCTGTGGCAACCCTGATGCCGGGTACCTCTATAGGCGATAGTCCGGTTGCAATGGGGCGGTGTTGCCCCATCTGGGTCGCCCCATGCAATCACCCGTCACGCCAATCCGGCCCCGCCGCTGGCCCCACCCCACCCCATCGCCCCCCCTCCGCCCTCGGGATACGAAATTGTGACTCCAGTTGCTTCGCTTCTCACTTAATTTGCCCCGCCCACCTCATGTGTTGCTGGAACTCCGGTGAGGCCAGCAGCCCCTCCACGCTGCTGATGCAGGGCAGCAGCGCGGACTGGCGGCTCAGCAACCCGCGGTCCCAGCCGACCGGGCCGCGGCGCCTGACACGGCTGCCGCCCGGGGGTGAGGCGCCGCTGGGACCAGCTGCTGGGGGTGGGGTGGGGTGGGGTTGTGGGACAGGCAGAGGAGGACATGGATGTTTGTGAAAATGTTGCTTCGCCTTTGATGGCAAGAAGTTTCAAGCTGGACTGGGGTGGGGTTTTAAGGATAGCCGTACACACGCTTTAGACGTCACCTCGTTCCGTCACCGGCCTTCGCTACGGGTAATGCTACCTGTACTACCGGTGTCCTTTACACCATGCCTCTCCATACCAAGGTATCCCCATCACCTCCCGCATGCACAAGCCCCACCTCCCTCACTCACAAGACATGCCTATGCCGCTAACAGCAGCATTGCCAGCGCCAGCGCCGCCCAGCACAGGCGGGTAGTACGGCACAGCCCCTGCTGGCGTCCCCATGCCGCCGTACCCTCCCAACGCAGGTTGAGGCTGCGGCGGTTGCGGGCTGACGGAGAAGAGCAGCTGCTCAACCGGCGGCGACGGCGTGTACGGTGTGTACGACACAGGGGCAGCAGCGGCGGCGGCGGGGTCGGCGTCACGCAGCCAGGTCACCGGCGGGGGCGTCGGAGGGCTGCCGTACGGTAACCCTGCTGTTGCTCCTGCTGCTGCTGCGGAGGCTAAGCCAGGAACGCCACCCTCCTGGGTTGCCAAACCGAACCTGGGTGGCGTGACGCGGAGGGGGTAAGAGCACCGGGTGAGACATGGCTATATGGGGGTACATATTGAGGAAGTAAGGCATGGAGGGGTTTGGCGTTTGGCGCTTGTGCTTTGGCAAAACGCGAGGTGGCAGGAGGGCGGCCCCTTTCCAAGTGAAAGAGAATAGAGAGCCGTGCCCTGCCGTGCCATCACATTGTTGTCAAGCTGCAACACCGCATCCGCCCCAGCCTGTCCTCACCCGTAAAAGCGGCCGGGCCTCCGAAGCCTCCTAATTGTAGCCCTTGCTAGGATCCATAGTAATAGAGTTGAGCCAAAAGCGAATGCGATAGCATTAAGCAGAGGCACCAACGGAAGGTCCGCGGAACCGCTTTCGTCAGCGCCATCAGAGGCAGGGCAGTCCAGGTCACACTGTTGGCTTTTAACATGAAAAGGGCTCCAAGTATCCTTCTCAGCAAGGGACAGCCCCATAGGGATGCCGGCGCTTCTAACGGTAGTTGCACAAAAGGCGCCTGGGTAACCCAACTGAATTATATCGAAGTCGAAAAGCGTATTATAGAGAAGGCCATCAGGTGTATGTATGCCTGTTCGATCATGCTCCCGCCTTTCGCGCCTGTTGTCGTCGTACACTTTTGACAGTGCTCCTAGCCAGAAAGAGTGACCTATGCATATACCCTAGGATTGGACGTAGTTGTGGCCTTGCCCACGAATGTCCACGCCTTTGGATTTGCATTCGCAAGGATACTGCCAATTCTCCTCTAGGGGACGACCCAAATCAACATAGCATGCAGTGTGTCTAAAGAAAGTTTGTGACGACTTTCTGCATTATTTAAGGGCTGCAAAAGCGATATGGATAAGGCTCAGCCATGGAAGCCGGGCGACGACCGGCCAAAGTACTATCCCGAAACAGTTGTCTTCGCCCTCGACGCTTGCGAGGATCCGGGCGTTGACCCAAACAAGCACTATGGGCGCTTCGAGCTGCTTAAGCAGTGTATATGCATGTTCGCGCAGGCTAAGGCAGGTGGACGTGACGGGTCGCGTGACTCTTCACGGCAACCGTCGTAGCATTCGGACACCGGATCCAGGCCACAAATATGTCTCCCGCTGCGCATCCGGCACTACTTCAAGCGCGCAATCGTACACCTTGCTGCCAAACATTACTTAATCATACCACTTGCCACACCGTATGTGCAACCCTTAAGCTCTCAACTCGGGCCGCGCGGGGCTGTTGTGGCCACTCCCCGTGTGTTCCTTGCATCGCATCCTCCCTCGCAGAGCCGCGTCAATGCACACCACAAGTACGGTCTGGTCGTCATACGGGTAGGCCCATCGCTGCGCCTTCTCCTTGATCCCAGCTTCCCAGGCCACGCCCCCAGCCTCCCTCCGCAATGCATGGCGTAGCACGCGCAGGGCATGCATGCGGCCGCATACGTCTAGTCGTAGGATGCACGGCCCACCTCCATGGCCAGGTCCTCGTGCCTCATGCACACCCACATGTCATGCATGCATACCCACAACTCGTGCGCAATTCGACGCCATGAAAGCTGGAACCCACAGCCCCACCCAGACGGATCCGCAAGCCACCCCAAACCACCCTAAGACACTAGAACTTCCCCACCCTCACCCCCCCGACCATCAAACGCCCATGCTCCTGCCTGCTCCCCCACCCCCGCCTCCCCTGCAGGACACGGTGCGGTGGGAGGGCGCCGGCGTCACCGCCTCCCCAGAAGGTCTGGCGGCGGCGCTGCGGGGCGTGCAACCGGCAGCGCCTGGGGGGGCGGGGCGCCCCGGAGGAGTCCCGCCGCCGCCGCCGCCGCCGCTGGAGCTGGGATCGCTGCTGGGACTGGTGCAGCCGCTAGCGGTGGCGGAGGAGGCGGACGGAGGGAAGGTGGGGCCGGGAGCTGGGGACATGTGGGGGCCCCGGTGACCTCGGGCGCTGGAAGGGTATGAAGGGTATGATGCCCATGGCACGCAGCCTCGCACTCGGCCTGGGGTTCCCAAATCTAGCCATCGGTTGGTTTCCTAACCCCAACCGCCGCCCGCAACGACCAAACCGCCCCCTCAACACCCCCAACCGCCCCCGCAGGTGCGTGTGGTCCTGCTGTACTGCCGCTCCACGGTGCCCCCGGTGTGGACCACACACCGGCACCCCGGGGAGGGCGTTGCCATGGATGTGGTGAGTGAGCCTGCGGGACAGCGGGACAGCGGGCAAGGAGAGGCGGGGTGTGACCCACGGGTCGGTGCACACGGGGTGGGTGTGGGTCGCCGCAGTCGCGCCTCAGCGCCATTTACACAAGCGTGGCTTCAGTGTCCACGAGATTGGGAAGGAAAGACTGGAAACATAAACATGATAGCGTTGGGCAAGGTGTTCAAGGTTTGTATCGTTGGTTACTACTCTTTGCCCCGCCCTACCCTACCGTTAGTCAATCCCTTGCAACCCAACCCCAACCAGCTCTTCATACACGACCAGGCGGCCGCGGCGGCGGCCGCGGCGGCGGCAGGGTCGGAGGAATGTGCCAGCCCGCAGGACGTGTATACGTGGTTCGAGGTAGGGACTGTCAGAAGGGTGCCACGAGTCGGTGCACTGACCGTATTAAAGAGCGTTCCTACTTTTGATGGCCAAAAAAGGCACGAGGAAGAGCGGGAAGAAGCAGCCTGTCTAGGAGGCTTACGTGCAACAGATGAGCTCCTCCCCAACAGCCTTTGCGGGATCGTGGGACCTGCTCATGAACCGCTCAAATGCCAACAATGCAGGATAACGTGGAGTTGCTGTCGGCACGGTGTGGCCATAACCCCTACATCCTTGAAGCAGGGAACCCCAAGAGGACTGTCAACCTGATGGTGAGGCAGCAGGGCTGCGGAAAAAGGGTTGCATGCCGCGTGCATACCGGAACTGCTGGCAGGTTCTCCGATAGATGCGGGTGCACGCCAACAAACCTCGTTACCTTCTGCCCCTCCACGGCCCCCGGCCACACACTACCTCACTTGTCTGCTTCCCATGCCGAAATTTGGCACCACGTCACACCCGCAAGCACCGGCTGTTAATATATAGTCCATGTAGTCAACACTAGCACTTACAATGATCCAACGACCCATGGGTCACTGACGAACTCCTCCTCGCACCCGCAGGTCAGCCTCATGGCGCACCCCGCACAGCGGCCGCCGCTCCCCTCCCCGCCCCCGGACCTCGCAGCCTTGCCACCCCAGCCTACCGCCGCAGCCACCACCGCTAGCAGCACCCTAGTACCTCCCCCGGCAGCCGCACCCCTCTCACCCCTCTCCACCGCCGCAGCTACCTCACCGCCAAGGCACCCTGCCGGCGCCACACAATCATCGTTGCTGTACGTACCGTTGGGAATAACCGCCCCACTCGGACCGGCGACAGCGTCATCCTCAACGTCGGCGTCGTCCACGGCGGCGGCTGCTGCTTGGCCAGGTCGCGGTGGCGGCGGCGGGAGCTCAGCGCCACCTGCATGGCATGAAGGGTTGCCGGCAGCCGCGGCGGCACCACTGCCGGGGGCATCACTGCCACTCTCTTACGATACACAGCCTGGCATTGTTGGCGGCTTCCCTGCTTCCGGCGGTGCAGCACTGACGACGACCGTACCGGCTCAAGGTGTGACCCGTGGGTCGGTAGCTACGAGACCGCCGCCGGATCTCATGGATCTTCCGCTTCCACAACCGCACCCCCTGTCACCGCCCCCGTCACAGCCGCCGCTGCCGTACCGGCCGTTAGGTACTCCGCTGCAGCCGGCGGCAGCGCCGCCTCTGTTTGCGGCGGCGCCATCCAGCGGGTCACCCGCGCTACCCCACATGGCGGTGACCCACCAGCAGCAGTCATACCAGCAGCATCCGTACCATCAGCAACAGCCGTACGGCCAGCAGCAGCAGCCGATGTTGCCGTCATCGTCGACGGCCACGACAGCACCAACGTCAGCAGCTGGCTTGGCTGGGGGTACGGCAACGGGCTTCGGGAATGCATGGCGATCCGAGTGCTGGTCGGCGCAGCCGCTCCAACCGCCGCCAACCGCTGGCGGCGGCGACGGAATGCTTCCGCACTTCTACACATCATCGTCACAACGACACCATCATCAGCAGCAGCTGCTGCCTCAAATGCAGGGGCAGCAGCAGGGGCCACAGGCATCATCACAGCCGCCGGGGTACCCGGAGCACCACCTCCGCCAGCAGCAACACCACGGTTACCATCAGGAGCTCTAGGGGTAGGCAAGATTTCTTTGTTAGCTATGTATGAACGTGTGGAGGCTTTCTAGGTCCCAAGCTTGTTGGCTTCCTCCCTGTGGCTGTGGTAGATCCTCACGGGCAGGCAGCGGCGAGGGTTTGGGAGCAGTCCACGATTCCTGACACTGGCATTGCGTGGCTTGGCAGTTGGCACTCAAACCACGAAGCTGCAGAGTCAGGCCTTGCAGATTGGGGGGCTGTCACACGTGTCAAGACAACCCTCTTGATGGCAGAACTGATGGTGTGGGTCACAATGATGCTCGTGGGTACATGTTGCTTTGTAAGGCGTGGGCGTTGTGCTAAAGATGGAATGTACGTCAAAAGGAACGCTGAGGAACAGCGCAAGGTTGGCGGACTTGTTAGTGAGTGGAGGTGCAGGCAGTGCGGTCGGTAGTGCAAGAGGTAAGCAGGGGGCATAAAAACATTCACGACAACTCTCCATCATTTTCCGTGGACGTGAGAGGACACATATAGACGCAAACGAGTTATGACGACGTGCCGTCAAGGACCACGTGTATATGTTATTCTCTTGGCATGCAAATACTCCTCGAATATACGCCGTCGGTCCTTCCAAACTGTCTGGTGCACTGGCTCCTCTGGCGGGCCCTCGTCCGCGTGCAAGAGTCTCAGCGCGGGCTTTCCTTCCGATGCAGAGCTTCCAAAGCCGATGCCATGACTGTGAAGATGGCTTCCACCTCTTACAGCACCGATGTTATATTGCAAGCCAGGAGCCACGCGTTCAGCGTAAGGGCTGAAGTACACATGTACGGTAGATGACTGAGGCACAGTTTCTTCCAATGTTTCGACTTCAATGACTTCATTGCTCTAACATATGTGGTCAACAGAAAGCCCATAGTCTCAAAACAGCAACAAGATGCCCTTATCTTAGCCATACTAAGGGAAGTAACCATTTCCTTACACGCCAACTGACGACACTGTTTCGGACTTGAAAGGCACTAGGCGACTTTTGATGGTTGCGGGGCTGTCCGCACAGTTGCAGTGCAGCGGTAGGACAGTGAAGCCGGCGCCGTGGCCCCTCTTCTGCGGCGCTCCCGACATAACAAGGGCTTGGAGTACGCTTTTTAAGCCGAAGACAGTTCTTGGGGGATAAAATTCAGTACCGTGGGTGAAATGCGCGGATGCTTTTCACGGTTAGCAACTTGTTTCTCAGCCTCTCAAGATGTCAATGAGCACATAACACCATCAGTTCCAGTTGTGACTGAAAAGAAAGTCTCAAACTCCGCCGGAGGCAAGGATGCTGCTGCTGCGCAAACTGTTCAGGAGCTGTCACAGGTGCGGGCTGTGCAAGCTTTGGAATTGTTGTGCACACGAAGCTTATTATATGTCATATATCTCTGCTTCTCGAGGTCCACGTGGATGATGACCCTTTGGTGTTTGGTCGGTCCTTCCGGTTATCATAGCCTAACCTACCGCATGACCATCCTGGCTCATTTTGTTGCCTTCTGAACAGTTGGTAGGCCCCTGGTAATCATCAAGCCGTGCTTTCCCTCAAGACTCTCGCTTACTTGCTTGCATGCCCATTCTCCCCTTGACACAGCTCGGCGATGTCCTGCGAGCCTGCACGGGCATCCCCGGCAGCAGCTATCACCAGCTCGGTCGCTGGTGCGCCATAATTGCAGAACACTTCAACGTGTCCTATGTCAGGTTGGTACGATGGCTTTCACAACACGGGCTCATCAACCGAAGTAGGAACGGATCACATCTCACAGTATCTCTCGTGTCCTCAGTGCCCCATCAGTACGACCCTCCTTCTCCTCTGCTGCCCTTCCCCTCTCTCCCCTCCTCCCCCTCCTTCTGCCGTACAGCGCCTCCGTGCTGTCCATGACGGGCATCACTTGTCTGCCGGTGGTTGCGGGCGGGCGGCTGGCGAAGCTGTGTCCGCTGGGCATGCCGCAGTTCCTGGACGCCTCGCAGGCCAGCTCCTACTACCAGGTGGCAGGGCAGCAGGTGGGTGGGGGGCGGCGGGGGGCGAGGGCGGGGCGGGGTCGGATTACACCTACACTACAAGGTGTCATAGCAGCAGGGCAGCAGGGCGGCCGACGGGCGGGGTGGCGGGTGGCGGGCGGGATGATGGGTAGGCGGGGAACATGTTGAAGCATAGTCCGTGATGATATGCGGGGTAGGGCGGAGATCGGCAGCTGGAAAGGACCACAGCGCAGCTCCGAGTGCAGGGCTTGAGAGGCTCGCGTGTGCTTGGCGGTGGTGGCGGTGTTGTCGCTGGCAAGGGGTGTGCCGGCTGTTGGAGTGGCAGTGCGCTGGGGCAGGCTGGGCGCGCATGGAAGGCACGTGGAAGGCGCTGGCCTGCACCTGAAAAGGCGTTGACAGGGAGCCGAGCCGGGGCAACTGGACGCGGGCGATTGGCGCCATCAGCCTACACTGGAGGACTACGCACTCACGCACGCTACCCGTGCACGTGCAAACCGCCACCTCTTTCCACCCCAAAGCACCCTTTCCTTCCCGAACCGCGTAGTCTTTATCGCTTCCTTCCCGCCTCCTCCTCTCCTCCTCCTCTCCTCCTCCTCCCCAGCGCTTCCTGCGGCGGCGTGTGCCGGGTGAGGAGCTGCCGCCCGACTGGGAGGCGCTGCGCGAGGCGGGCGGACTGGCTGCATTCCTGGCGGCCGCCATCACAGTGGGCTCCGAAACCGTTGCCGTACTGACGCTGGCGGATGAGGACCCCAACAAGTTCGAGGCGCCCATGTGGGGTCGGGGCGGGGACTGGGTGCCGGGGGCTGGGTGCCGGGATGCTGGGCGCGTACCTGCATGCACTTGTGTTGTGTTGCTTGGTGTATGGTGCTATGTGAATGTATGTGTACCGACGATGTGCGCACCGCACGCGTGTACCTAAGTGTAGTGCATCGCCGTACACTGCCCGTCCCCTCCCCGCTCCCAACCTGTGGTTTCGCGTACCTTTTGACCTCCCCCCAGGTGGCAGACCTCCCTGGAGCTGGTGGGCGCCTTCATGGGGCAGCTCTTCCGCGACCGGCAGCTGGTGGGGTACTGCGCGGTGGTGGAGGAGCTGATGGTGGTGGACTCGCTGGACGAGCTGATCCGTACACTCAGCAAGTGTGTCGTACGGGTGCAGTCGGGTGAGTGAGGGGGCAGCGGGGGAAGCTGGGTGTGGGAATGGGGTGCTGGTTGTTGGGGTGAGTAGGTGGCAGGATGTTGGGTTCGATTGGGCGCTGGGCCGGCGGTAAAGGCTTTGACGTATGGAATTGCAGGGGTGCGACGTACGGGGGTTGCTGCGGGGTGTTTGCGTAACCAACAACGAATGGGCTTGGGTGGGTATATGGCAGACCGTGAAGAGGCTTCAGCACAACAGCACTGGGTTTGAAATAAAGACATTCACTCACCTGTCCTCACATGCCCCTTCTTGGACTAACTGACACATGTACCTCGATGCACTTCTCTCTCCGGACACCCCCCCCAAAACACGCAGAGAAACTCCACCAAATTCGGCTCACCTGCCGCATCGCTTGCATCGCTTCCGACTCCTCCTCCGCCATCATCTTTGACGAAACGCTGCCCTGCGCCTCCGTGCCGGCATCCGCGGTGGCGGAGGAGGGCAACGCCGCCGCTGCGCCCTCGGTGTCCGCCATGGCTGCTCAGGTGCTGGGGCGGCAGCCGCAGGGGCTGCCGGCGCCGCGGGTGCTCTCCTCGCCGCTGATGCATGTCGGCAGCGCGGGGCATGCGGGCGGAGGGGGCGGTGGAGGTGGAAATGGTGCCGGTACGGAGCCGCTTGTGGGACCCACGGTTCAGCAAAACTCGCTGGTGGGATCGCAGACGCCCCGTGGCAGGTGAGCGAGGGAAGGGGGAGGGGAAGGGAGCAGGTGCCCTGCCGACCCCCGCAGGCGTGAGGCGTACGGTCTAGGGCGCCAGCATCAGCCGGTCCGCCCCTCACCACTGCTTCCCCTCTGCTTCACACACCCCCCGCCCGCCTGCTCCTGCCTCCGTGCATGGACGAGTTGGGCTCGCTCCTCCTCCACCCTTCCCCTCGCACCCATGTCCCCTCGCACCCCACCATACCCCCTATCCACCCACTCCACAGGCTGGCTCGCACCTCCTACATGCTCCCCGGCACACACGCCGACCCCTACGCCGCCCTCATGACCCACTACCAGCTGCAAACAGCAAATCTGGTTCCAGACCCCGTGGAGTCAGGCCCCGGCCCGCCGCTGGCATCCCCACAGCGGCAGCAGCACCCGCAGCACCAAGCATTGGCGCTAGCTACCGCAAACCTGTCAACCCAGCCGCAGCTAACGTCCAGCAGGTTGCAGAGCGTGGCAGGCGGGTTGTGGGGCATCGGCGGCGGCAGCGGAGCGGGCGGCAGCTCGTGTCTGGGGCCGCCGCCGGTGGGGCGCTTCGTGGGGGGCAGCAGCATCTCCCAAGCTGGGCTGTGCGGGCCGGGCAGCCTGACGGGGGATGCTGCGCGGGAGGCGGGGCTGTGGAGCGGCATGGATCCGTCGGGCCTAGCTTCGAACTACAGCCACCAGCACTTGCAGGTGGGCGGTGTGGGGGGGGCGGCAGCGTCTCTGATGCATGATGTTTGTTTGGGAGTGGCCCCTAAGGGTGTTGCGCCGCTCCTCCTCCGTGTGACATGACCTGCATGTTGTATGCATCCGCTGCCGGCCTTCCCGCTCTCCTGACACCTCGCTGCCTCGCCTGCCCCGCCCCCTGGCCCCTGCCCCCGCCCCCCAAGCAGCCCCAAGTGGAGGGGCAGACCTACCTGGTGGAGAACACGCTGCTCTCCGAAGCCATCGTCAACCGCGCGGGCGTGTGGATCGGCGACTGCCTGGCCTTCATGCAGAACTCCTCCAACCCCAACGCCGACGTCTTCCTGGCCGCCACCGCGCACCACACCACCGCCATGCTGCTGGCGGTCATGTGGGAGCGCAGCGGGGCAGTGGCGGCCGCCATGACCTCCACCACCGGCAACACCAACGCCGGCAGCACCACGCGGCGTACGGCATCCGGCGGGCGGCCTCAGAAGCAGCTGTCCGGCCGCATGGGCGCGGGCGGGGTGGGCAGCGGCGGCGCGGGGCTGTCAGCGCACCAGGTGCAGCTGAGGATGCCCTCCACGGCGGCGATGTCGCCCTTTGACACGGCGCCGGCTACCGTTCTGGCTGCGTTTGGGTCCACCTTTCCGGAGAAGAGCCTGGACAAGGCGTCCATGTCGCCTCCCAATCCAGCAGCGGCGGCAGCAGCGGCGGCAGCTGCGGCAGCTGCAGCAGCAGCAAATGGCGGAGGTGGTGGTGGTGGTGGTCACAACACCCCGCCCTCGGCGTTGCTGACGACGGAGTTGTTCAGCGGAACCAATGCCTGCAACCCGCCGTCGGGGGGAGCCCTGGAGTCCATGGGCGGGCCTGCAGCTGGCAACAGCTTCAAGGTACGGCAGCCCGGCAGCCTGCCGCTGCTGGCGTTCTACCTGCTGACGTCGGGGACGGCGGCGCCGTCGGTGCTGCAGGTGCGGGGCGCGGGGCGGGGGCTAGCTGGGGAGCGAGCTGGGATAGCGGGGTCGGGTCGGGTTTGGATTCGGTTTGGCGATCAACGTGGCGTTGCAACGGGGTGGACACAACCATGCGTAAGAACGGCACAACGGTGCTGGGAAGCGGCAGCACAGGAGCCAAGCCTCGCCTTGGCGCACGCTTCAGCGGAAATGGGTGCCCGCTGCCCACCGGTAACCACAGGAACTTGTAATTGAAACCACGCTCTCCTGATTCTTGTTCCCTACCCCCTCCAGGAGCTGCTGGTGGGGCTGCGGGAGTTGTTGGTGGTTCTGGAGCCCATGGTTTCCAGCAAGCTGTCGGAGGACCTGTACGCGGAGTGGTTCCACCTGCAGCGGGAGGTGCTGGACAAGAGCAAGATCCTGAAGCAGCCCAAGGACCGGACCATCGTGCTGCGGAACACGGCTGCTCAGCTGGGTGGGTGGCTGGGTGGGTGGGGGTTAGGAAGGTACGTGCCGCTTGTAGTGCGTACATGTCACCTTTGACAACATTAGTACATTATGTTCACCTGGGCTCTCCTGACCTCCACCTGCCTTGATCTCTTCCCCCTTCCTCCCAGGCGGCGTGTTCAACAGCCACGGCAGTGCCGACGACGGCGCCAGTGTGGTCAGCGAGCAGCTGCGCCCCTGCTCCGCGCGCATGCCGCAACTCTCACGCTACACCACAGGCGGCGCAGCAGGCGGCGCAGCGGCCGGCAAGGCCGGAGACATCAATAACACGGAAGGCAGCCTGAGGGGCGCAGCTGAGGCCCTTCGCTCGGTGTCGGAACGCGCATTGGCTTTGGGCTCAGTGACGACGACGGGCAGCCCAGGCGCCGCCGCATTGGGGCCCGCAGCTGCCGGCAGCGCGATCGTCGGATCGCCGGCGACGCGCGGCCGTACTCCGTCATTCATCATGTCGCGCTCCTTCACCGGGAAGCGCATGAGCGCGCTGATCAGCGGCGTACAGGACCGGGTGCAGCAGGCGCAGCGCATGTCGGTGTCGTACAACACCATGTTCAGTCGGCCTGACGACCTGCGCTCGATCACGATGCTGGAGAAGATTGGGAGCGGCGGGTTTGGCACTGTGTACTTGGGCATGTACCAGAGCACGGAGGTGGCGGTTAAGGTAAGGAGGGAGAGAGGAGGTAGCCAGCGTCCACACGAGTGTCGGATTGGAAAGCTATCATTTCCATTCTGCTAGCTGTTGTTCCGTTCGTGTGTGTTTTTGTTACAGGGTACCACTCGCTGTGTTATCAGGCCTACCCATGCAACAAGCACGCACACAGTTGAACGCATGTCTACTTGGTCCTTGGGTCGTAACCGTACGCACATTTGCTGCCCCCCAACCGACCCGTGGGTCAGGTCATCTTGGAGCGAGACAACGAGGGCACGGAGGTGCTCCGCAACGCGGTGGAGCTCGCCGTACTGTCCACTCTGTCGCACCCCAACATTGTGCAGGTGGGTGGGGGTGCAGGTGGCCATTGCCGGGCGCCGCAAACCCCGTGGGACACAACCCCCGGAAGTTTCCGGAGACCCTATAAGCCCCGGAGAGACGTCGGTGGTGTTTGGTGCTACCGGCATGCCATGCCAGGGCTGCCGTGTCATGTGACACACTCGCATCATTCTCAACGCCATTGGCCTGGCATGTCGGCCGCTGCTACGGTGTTCCCTGTGAACCCTGTCCCTACCTGCGGGATCTTAGCTCCCCCTGGCCGCACCGCGCCGATTCCTGCCCCACGCCCCAACCATCCTGCGCAGGTACTCACCTTCTTCACAGACGTGACGGTTCAGATTCCGCCCGTTCAGCTGCGGCTGTCCGGCGCTGCGCCGCCCATCTACCTGCTGCCGCACGAGCCCTCCAGCGTGCAGCTGGACCTGGGCCAGGCAGCCGTGGAGCCCGGCAGCAGTCCCGGCGGCGCTGCTGCTGCTGCGGGTGGGGAGGCGAATGGGGGCTCGCGGTCCTCGTCGGAGCATGGCATGGTCGCAGCGGCACCGGGGAGGGCCGCAGGGAGAGCTGCTGGCAATGGCGGCGGCGGCGTGGGCGCTAGCGATATCGCGGCGGCCATGGGTTTGGGGCTGGGAGGAGTGGCAGCGGGCGACATGGGGACTGGGGCGTTTGGTGTGGGCATTGGGCCGATTGCGGCGGCGGCGGGTGCGGGAGCACTGCGGCAGAAGCAGCCGCAGGTAGGGTGGGGAGAGGCGAGTGGGGTGGCGGGGTGCGGGAGGAAAGTGCCACAGGGAAAGAGCGTCACACATAGCCGGCCCAAGAATGCGAAGGTTACAAGGGGAACCAAGCCGCCGCTAGGAATCCAGGGTTCTGCACGGCATCGCACACGCCTTTTATTCCCCCATCCTCCTCTCCACCTCCCATCCTGCCCCTCCCTTCCTGCCCCCTCCCCCCAGCCTCCCCCCCTGCAGTGCCAGCCGCCCAAGAAGGCGCTCGTCATCCTGATGGAGTTCTGCGACGCGGGCTGCCTGGCGGACGCAATACGCAACGGAGTCTTCCGGGAGAAAATCAAGGGTGCGTTCCCGCCGGCATGATGAACAGGCATAGCCCACGTGACCCGCACATGCGGCCTCATGTTGTCCCCCGCTTTTGATGCGTCCCCTCCGCATGCATCCACTCCCGTCACCCACCCACCCGCCCCCGCTCCCATCACCCATCCTCCCCCCATCTGCTTCACCCTAACCCATCCCAGCCAATGGCTGTACAGCCATACAATGGGCCGGCATGGGTTGTACGGGCCATTGTAGGTGTACGGCCATTGGCCGGCCGGCCCATGCCAACCAAGGTTTCTTGGTGTACTGAAGGATTACCTTTGTCCCCCCTCCCCCCTCCCCCCGCTCCCCCCAGGCGGCTACGGCGCCCAGCAGCCCGCCTGGTCCGCCATCTACCTGACGCTGCTGGAGGTGGCGCTGGCGCTGCGCTACCTGCACTCCATCAACCTGGTGCACCGGGACGTGAAGCCGCAGAACGTGCTGCTCAAGGTGTGGGAAGGCGGGAGGGGGTTGGGAGGGGTAACTAGGGGTTTGTGTGATGTCTGATCTGCACTGAGCTGGAAACGGGTTGGTGAAGTACGGCAACAGGGCAGGGGGTGGCTTGATAAGACACTCTCTGTCCTGCTGCCGTATTGGTGTCCTCCCCTCAAGCGTCATACCATTCCCCCTTTCTACAAATTGGTGTGTTGATTGTGTTGTTGTGTTTTTTGCAGAGCTCGCCCTCCGACGTGCGCGGCTTCACCGCCAAGCTCTCTGACTTCGGGCTGGTGAAGCTGCTGACGGAGGCGGACAGGGTGGCGGCGGCGGCGGGCCCGGCGGCGCCGCCGGTACGGCGGAGGCGGCGCTACAGCGGCACCATCTCTCATGTGGCGCCGGAGGCGATGCGGCCGGGTGAGGACCGTGCCAGAGTTTGGAGGGGGAGGGGGGATGGGGCTGCGTGAGGTAGTGCGCGGGATGCTGGATGTGGGTGTGGCGTTTGTTGCGTTTGATGGGTAGTGTGCAGCCTTACTTTGTTGGCTGGGTCGCTGTCCTTGGCTACGTTTCTTGGACCCATGCAGGGTTGGGCCGTCCCGCTCTGCCAGGGTGCCCCCTTACCCTGCCCGTGTGCCCTTGTGTTGCTGCTGCTGCCCCCGCAGATGCCGGCAATGCCGCAGCTAACGGTATCACGGTGGACATGGCAGCCGACATCTACGCCTTTGGTATCGTCATGTGGTGGGTCGTCGGTATCACAAGAGATGGCTACGACAGCAGCTGCTGCTGCGACTCTTTCTCCCGTTCGCGTTGGGTAGCAGCTGGGAAAGGCGGGGGGCCGCACACGAGGCCGCGAAAGGCAGCTTCCTGGTCGTGGCACGCACGGGCCGCGGGGCCCGCTGTTAGCTGGCTGCACGTGCCGCTGTTCATGATGTTTGTTGCTCGACTGTTGTCACTCCTTCCTGGAATTACACATGCATGCGTGGATGCGTAGTTAGCACGCTCCACACAGCCGTGCGGCACCAATGCATGTCAATCCCTGGCCTCGGACTGCCTTAGTCGATCAACAAAGGCTGGAATTGGACCTAAGTGATGCATGGCTCCTGCCCCACTGCCCTACCGTGCCCGCCTGCCTGCCTGCTGTTTACTTGACCCCTCCCTCCCTCCCTCCCCCTGGCAGGGAGATCCTGACGGGTCAGCCCGTGTACCTGGGCCTCAACTCCGACCAGATCATCACCCGCGTGCAGAACGAGGGCCTCAGGTGCGGGGGCGGGGTCACCACATGAGGACCGGGGTCAGGGCACCGCCCGGTGCGCGCGTGTCTGGTAACTGGGAACACGCGCAGGCGGCGTGGTGATGCATGCGTGTGCTTGGACGTTGCACGTCAGTCGTTTTGTAGCCATTCTTTGGCTCCTTCTTTGCTGCTATTGCTGCTTGTGAGGCTGCAAGCCAGGTCAACGCACTCCTCACAGCTGCGTCGCTGCAGCCGCCACCGTTGCGTTACATGCAGTCAGTCCACCCCCTCTTTCCCTCCCTCGCTACCCAACAACGACTTGCACAGGCCCACTTTCCCACCTGACACCCCATCCGAGTACTCTTCCCTCGCCAACCGGTAAGTCGATGACGACGGGGTGTGTTGCTGCACACAACCGCCCACCGACTGACCTCACGCTCCTCCCTGTCAAGCCCATCTTGACGGCACACGTGTAGGGTGTTACGGTAGTTCCAGGCATCCTAGCTTTTCATGCCAAGTCTGCATGCTAATCGCTTTCAGCTCGTTGCCTACAACACCCACCCTGCAGCTCTTCGCCCTGCTTCCTCCTCATAGTCTAAACCATAACCGCCAACAACTAGTCTCACCCGACCCCGCCTAACCACCTTCCTAACCGCCTGCACCAAACCACCCGCCCACCCAACCGCTCAGCTGCTGGGACGCCGACCCCCGGCGGCGGCCCACCTCGGAGGAGCTGGTGCAGCAGATGAGCGCCCTCAGCTCCGCCACCCGCTGCTCCAAGGTGGTGGCGGCGCGGCGGCGGCTGTCCACCCTCTCAAACAAGGAGCTGCTGCGCAACGTAGCCAACGCCAACCTGGCGGCAGCGAACGCGGCGGCGGCGGCGGCGGGGAACGGGTTCCTGGGGCGGCGGTCCACTCGGCACAACGAGGACGATTTCCCGGTGCATATACTGTGAGGAGGTCCGTGTTGTATAGGGGTGGGGGGTTGGAAGGCAGGGAGGAAGGACGGGTGTAGGGAAGGAGGGAGAGCGGGCGTGAGCGCGTGATGTGCATGCGGGCGCTGGGGTGATGGAGGGTGTGAAGAGGAGGAGGAGGGGGGCGTGTGTGTTGGGTGTTGGGGAGGAGGGCCGGGTGATGTCCCGTGCTGCTGGCCGGGAGGGTTCGGGGTCCTTATTGCCGCTGTGGTGGTTGTATTCATCGGCGGCGCTGGTGGTGTGGGCAATGGCGGCGTTGTCGGTGCGGATCTGGGGGTGCGTGGGTGCTTCCTTTCCCTTGTGTTGGAAGGAACGTTCCCCTGAATTCCTGGAATGCTCGTGTCCCTGCTGTCATCATCTTCCTGCATGTTGGGGTTACCTTCTGCTCTCTCCCCACATGGTACCCATGCTATGTTTCCTCCTACTAGCTTTTCAAGATCTGTGGGAGATGCAAGATGCGAGATGTACTTTTATCTGTTTCGCCGGGTTGCAGGTCGTAGGGTCGGGTCGTGTGAGGAGCTTGATTCTAGAGGCGGGTGGTTATCTGTGGAGAGGGCAGGAAGAGGGCTTGCGTATGACTCGGATGTCGAAGGAACAGCATTGGTGGTGTCGCTGGTCTCACATGGCCGTGAGAAGTGCCTTGCGCCGTGTTGCTACGGCGTGTACAGTCTGCCTCATGTGAACACACGCCTGTATCACGTACCTTGTCAGGGGAGACTTGTGAAAGGGGAAGGTGGTGTAATTGGGGGTCTGGTTGGTTGCTTTATTGCCGCTGGTGCAAGAAGAAAGATGGAGGTGCTCGAGCAATAAGGTGTGGCCAGGGTGCCACACGTGGTTTCTTTGCTGTAGGTTTTCCGGGTTACTCAGCAGACGTTTGGGTGTAGGTGGTGACGTAGACGTTGGGGTCGGTGCAGTAGAGAGGGTTGTCGTTGCTATGGCTGTAATGTCCGTGGCGGGGTTTAGTCGTGCTTTGTGTCATGTCAGTGTAGCTGGTTCGAAATACATGTTCCTTACAATGTTGCGCTCCCGATTTATACTCGCGAGTGGTGTAGATTGCGGTTGATTATTGCACGTAGTACAGCCTAGTACACGCATGGCCCCGTGCATGGTGCGTTGTGAAGATGTGAACGGGACTGCCCTGATCCTGTGATTCTGTGACGTGAGAAGTACCATTTATCTACTTAAAAGGTGCGCTGTTCGTCGACTGTGCGAATGTGAACCGTACGGTGCGAATGGAACACGCAATGGTGGTTGTCGCGTTGAGTCCGGGCGGTAGCGGTTATGGTTGGCGCTTTTGGTTGAAGGTTCAGGACGACACGCAGTCGTTTTGGGGGGGTTAACGGTATAGGATATTGGTAAATTGGTATGTAGGCTGGGGCTCGTGTTTGCTTGCGCACTTACGTCTTTCATAACGGTGTTGTTACTGCTATTGCTATGGTGACTACTAACTATTACCGCTGTTGCTGCTGCTGGCACAGCCGGTACTGCTGCCGCTGCGGCTGCCGGCTTCCGCAGACGTTTTGCATCGCATAGCTGTGGCTGCAGCCGTTAGGAGCCTCGTAGCTGTTCTCGGTCATATCTTTACTGACCCGCATCGTGAGCCTTCGCGCCCTCACGCGCGGATGCCTTTCCGCGGCGGTAGACGGCGTTTCACCTCTCCTCTCCTCCTCGCTCTTGCGAGGATAGCGAAAATAAGGACCCGTGGTCGCGGGGCGAATCGGTTTGCGACGTCCTGGCGTCGCCGCCGCTTTGCGACGGGTTCCCAGGGAGTGCGGGCATGATGTGCTCAGGGCCAGCCGGCCTCTTTTTCCACGTACATAAGGCCTTGACGCGTGTCTCCCGTTTGCCCTTGGTACCATATTCCTTCCTAAACGTAAAGCATGCATGGGCGAGAGCGAGCGATGGTTGTGGGTGCGCATGGCAAGCGTGGAGGGTACGCCATGCGCAGAGAGAGAGAGCAGTGCTGCTGGTTAATACTCGTGAAGGGGTAGTTGCTTTGGGTCGGGTGCATGTTGTGTCTTGGAAAGGAAGGGTCTAATTGGGCGTAATGAGCACGACAAGGTTTGCACGGATGTACGGCAAGGTATGATGCTAATGCGGCCGTTTGCGGTGCACGATTAGCGTATCCCGGTGGACGCATTGACAGCTGCGGGACTGGGATGAATCTGATTTCAGGCAACGCAGTCAATGCCTTTAATTGGGTGGCACTTGCTGCTGCTGACGCCTCGCCTGCTTGGCTGTAGCATGGGGACTTGTTGGGGCATAAGTAACCTGTGTTGGGGCATTAGCAATTTAGCATCCTGGATTGTGCACTTGTCATTGCTATGTGTGGGACTGAAACCACCCTACAAGGAGACGTTGGTAGGATGTTTACCGGGCGCCTCGGCCTTCGGGGTTAAATTGGATATAATGGTGCCCCGTACTGGCCTTTTATTGTGTGCGTTTTGCCAAATGAGCGATGGGCATGTTGGGTTGCGTGTACGGGTTCGTGTACCGTTACGTTCCGCTCGTTAAGGAGAGAGGGGGGCGTGTGCTGAAGCGTACGCGCATTGGCGGCACCCTCATTGCGTCCTTATTGAAGAGGGGGCTGTGTGGTGTAGTGCTGCGTCGCTCTCTGGTGCTTGCAGGTTCATGCGGGGGCTTCTGGTGAGAGAGCTGGCTTATTGTGTGTGTATGCGTGCAGATGCCGGCGGAACCGAAGCGACGTGTCCTGTATGTGATGGGGCTTGTCCCCCATTACTGGGGAACCCCTTGATGGGATGCATCGGCAGCACACATTGTAGGTTCCCATTGACCTCGCAGCGCCTCAAGTAATGTTTGGCTCATCCACATTCTATGTTTTGAATAAAGCGCAGGGGCACCTAAGGCAGGCGCCACGCGGGTTATTTGCCGTACGGAATGCAACCGCGCCGACGCCTGCTGATGTATTGTTCGCGCTAGCATACACCGTATACCTCTGCAGCTGCGGCTGCGGCTGCGGCTGCTGACGTGTGCTGGCAAACCCACAGGAGGGGTAGGGCCGGTCCGCCTGTTGACGGCTATTTTAACTTCATACTAGGCGTCTAGCAGCGTCTTCAATACCAGTGTGTTTGTCAATGGGAGAGCAGAATGAGTGAGCGAGCGAGCGAGTGAGAACAGCCCGGACAACATGAATGAAGATGCGTTGACTTACCTCGAGCGTGTGCCGATGGGGGAATAACCTTTCTCGTCGGGCCTTGGTCTGTGACAGCCCTCGCAGGGCCAACCATGTAACACCATCATCATTATCGTCAGCGTGGGTGCGATTCCCTGGTGTTTTGTTGACGAGGTTGCTTGCCTTTGACGCTTTAGGGTGGTGGAGGAGTGTTCTGTGGAAATGCCCAACTGCCCCGTACGCTACGCTCCGTTGTAGCTGCGACGAGGTTATCGTGCCAATACCGGTGTCCCCTTCCCCGCCACCAAGGGCTAGCTTGCTGCAAAGCCACCTCCCATGTACTGGAGTTGTGATTGGGTCCCGCATGAGTAAGCATTGTGAGAGCCCGCAGGCGAGATGCCGTGACTAGGGCGCCGGCAGCTCTAGATGGAAGGCATGCTTAGGGCGCACGGCAGGTGTTCACATGGCCACCGCCGGTGTGGCGAGGGTGTTACATGCACTGCGTAAGAAGGCCCTGAGTTGATGTCGGTACGATTCCTCGAATAGTCTGCTGGATTGCAGGTTTCGGCTCGTTGGTTCCGCCATGGTACTGCACTTTCAACGGCAGCTCGGTGTGTCTGGCCTAAACCGCGCAACGTGAATGCAGTATTCGCTGCGCTGCACGAGTGTCAGGGAGGGGGGCCAGGATCAGCGACTTCTAGGTTCCATTGTTAACATAGGGCAGCGTAGGGGCGAACCCATAAACTGGCCGTACGACATCTCAACCCCCGCGTTGCAGATAACAACTACCATACAACGGCCCGAACCGATGTGGGTTGACGCACAGCACAGGTGGCTGGTAGCAGCCATGTACCTAAGCTGGGGCTCCTGGGCTGTGTATCGAGAGAGCTCTTGCCGTCAGGGAAGCCTCCTGGTCAGGAAAACAATCAAAGCGTACGTGTTGTAGGAGAAACGCGCATCGCCCCACACCCCTGCACGTGTACAAAAGTACAAACCCATGCGTACAGCGGAGGCGGAAGTGACTATTGGTTAATTCTCTTGGAATGGGACCCACGGGAAGGCAACTCACAGCCTGCAGTGCATGCATCGTACATATGCTGTGTGGTGGTCAGATGTTAGGAGGTTGTGCATGAGTTGCAGGGGGTGGCACCTTGCCGGCATGTGCAGGAGGGCGCACGGTGTTCGTTGGGGTACTCCTACCTGCTTGGTTGCATGGACCTGGGATAGGAGGGGGTTGACGTCAGGCGAACGTGGGAACAAAGGAATTCAAGTACCGACAGGAGTCCTGGGGGGCGTTTGCGTGGCCAGTGTGCGTAGGGGAACCAATTGTTATGTACGCAGCAGCGTTAATTACCATGCAGGCGCTCTGGCTGCAGTGTTTAGCACTGCACATGCATTATGCATTAGACGAAAGGGTTTGTGTGGCAGCCCTGCCCTCGGGTACGTCGGGGGGTTGGAGGAGGGCCCTGGGAAGCGGGAGGAAAGAAAGCTTCGGTGCAACAAACCGAGTAACAGCGGGACACGTGTCGCATATCCGATGTTGCAAAGATTGTTGCATTTACAACTGTAACGCTGCATGCTATAATGATATTGATAATTGTAGATGGGCACAGGAGATACAGACCCATGCGTGTGCTGAGACAAAGGGGCAATTTGGCGGGCATCCCGTACAAAATAGCGGAGCCTGCGCCAGCAGCGCTAGACCGAGGAGACGGCACCTGGGATACAATTAGGGGCATCTAATCTACCAACTTTCGGCCTGGCCCGGGCCAGAAGCCTTACAGCCTAAAACTTTTCATCTAATGATGGCCAGCCTTTCCTGGGACCGAGCTTTTGAGGACGATATTTGACCTTTATAAAGAAGACGATACACAACATACTTAACAGGTAGTCAGCGCGGAACTCGACAGTAGAGACAAGTCCTGAACTTTCAACGATACAACTTTTGACGTCCGCAAAGATTTCCCCATAGCGGCCACCTTTTAACAGCAATTTAAACGCCTCATATTGGATGCTATAATAAGGGGCGGCTGCCGTGGTTTGCATGGCGTGACTAGCCGCCCCATCAGCTTCAGCGCTGACCTTTCTAAAGCGTCATGGCGTCTCCTGTGGACCAAAAGCAGAAAGAGGATGCATTGCTTGAGAAGGCAGCCGCTCTCAAGGTACGTACAAAACGACAGCTCTGACCCACGGTCTGCACGCCTTGCCCTGTGCGACAGCTGAACCGAAGAGTGCACGCATCCTGCCATGAGAGCAACCAGGTATTAACTATCATCCAATAACACAACAGGCACAATGGAAGTTCCTGGCGACGGCCTTCAATTTTCCTTGCGAGGAGCCAAAGAGGTCAGCGACCCACTGGGACTACTTGCTGCGAGAAGGCCAGTGGCTCGCCGAGGACTTCATGCAGGTCCGACGGCTGGTAGAGGGGTTATACCTTGTGTGCTGCTGTCTCTTAGCAAGCGCTCCTGGTAGCACAGTGTATGGTCCCCGTGCAGGTGTTTGCTGTGGAGTAGACCCAGCTGTGGCGTTCAGGCCCTGCTCTCGTCCCAACGCCCAGCGCAATCGCATTGGTCGCGTCGCGATAAGCAGTTAGCCGTGCTTGTGCTAAGTGACCGTGACCCTAGCCCAAAGAGCACACCCTGTTAACGTAGCCGACACCCCACTTGCGTGTCCTCCCCACCAGGAGCGGCTGTGGAGACTTGCGGCTGCTATGCGGATTGCGCACGACGCGGCGAAGTTTGATCGCTCAAAGCTAAGGGTACGGCCAGCAAAGGCATGAAAGATGTTAGCCTCAGTACACGCTTAAGCACACATGCTCCATACGATCTGTGCCAGTCCTGCGGCCCAGATGGTTAACAACATCGTGCCGCATCGTAGCCACCGCTTTGGGGCGCTGCCTGCCTTGTCCCTCCCGGGAGCATCCTCATGCACCGGCCTGGATGCGGCCTCCACTTCATCCGCACACATGCTGCTTGGTTTGCCGCCCCAACTGTACTTGCAGCATGTCCAAACAAAGGTCACCCTGGAATGCGCGCCCGAGGAGCTCGGCCGGGTCAAGGGGGGCATGCCGGATACGGGCGACTGGGGCAAGGCACTGGCGAACGGAGGGCCAGATTCCGGTATGTTGTGTCTGTGCGTCCGTTGCGCTCGGTGTGTGTTCCCCGCGTCGAAGCCTCTCATGTCCCACGGCGGTGACTAACCGCTGCCTTGTCTTGATGGGTGTTATGCCTGCGTTATGGCGGCCCCTCATTCCGCATCTCCGCCCTGACCCAGCAAGCCGCTCAGCCCTCTCACCCTGAGGGCTCCACACGCACCGGACCCCGCCACTGATGCGACACCCTCACCGAGCCCGCATGCGCTTGCGCCGCCCTCCCCCCCTCAGGCCCCACCGCTCCCGCCACGCCTGACCGCGAGGCCGAGCTGCCCCTCGCGGAGCACCTCACGTTCACGGTGCTCACCAGTCCGGAGGAGCTCATGGAGGAGGTGGTGCGGCAGCTTGAGGTGGGTACGGCATGGGTTGGTTGGTGTGCCTCTGTGCTGGGGCAGGGAGGAGGCAGCGTGTAAGTGGTTTGGGGGGGGGGTGCTGGGAAGGAACGGCGTGCCTGGCAGAGGCATGCGAGCAAAGACGGAATGGTCTTGCGCTGCGGCATGTGTGGTCTGGTCAGAATGTGGCACAATATGCAGTCTACAGATTGGTGCATACCGGCATATGGTGAAGGACTCCTTCCTCGACTAGTAGCATCTCTTTGCGTTGATACGTATGACCCCAACCTCCCGGGCAACACTGCATGCAACCCCAGGAGGAGGATGTGGCACGTCTGGCGTCCCACTCGGAGCTGATGGCGGACTACGAGGCAGCATACGAGGCAGCGGCTTACGCGCGGTCAGCCAACGAGGTGGGTCGGTGATCCCTGGGTCCACTGCTGCATGCAGTCGGGGTGGATGCGGGGGCCCGGTGCGGCAGTAGCAGCTGCCGCTGGAGATGCGCTGACCGTGGAAGGGCTGGGATGCGAGCAGAGCTGTGAGTAGTGACGAAAGAGGGGTCAGTGAAAAGGCCAATAGGGCATTCATTCCCGCTAGACCTCTCGGCTGCCGTGCGCACTGCGCGCTACTTCGGCCTCCTGTCCTCCAGGTACTAAGCGAGCAAGTTAGCAATGAGGTCAAAGCGATTCTCTGCCTGGCATGGCACCGCATTAGTGCCAGCTCGCCTCCTGACGTGCTGCTTGTTGCCTTGCCCTTTCCCAGCCGCTACTGGACGGGGCCAACGGGGATGACCTGCAGGTCAGCCGCAAGCCGCTGGGCTTCCGCAAAGCCCCGGGCGCCCGTCCTCGCTCGGTGCTGCTGTCGCATGACGACACGGACTCCCTGGGAGAGCCCAGTCCGGCGCCGGGACACCACTTGCGGCCGGGAGCAGCGGCAGCTGCAGCGCGGCGGGCTGGGAGTGCGGGTGAGTGCTGGGTGCGAGATGTGGCATGAGAGGGAACGAGGGTAGCAGGAGGAGGGTGCTAGCTGTTGGGGCTTCACCGTAGCTCGACCATGTGCGCTGTATGATGGTCGCTGCACGGTGATAGCGCAGCCAGAAAACACAGGAGCAACGGAATTTGGCCATGGTGCCCAGCCCAGTGTTGGCGCGGTGTCTTAATGCGGTATGTCGGGGCGGCACTAATGTGCAACCCTAGTATCCATTCGGGTTGTTGCTGCACTCGCTGAAACGTGCCTCGCTGTGAACCCTCCTGCCTCGTCCCCACCATGCAGCTGCACACCGGCCGGCAGTTGATGCCGGCGACGACGGACTGCCGGGCAAGCGCAAGAGGAAGCCGCGGGACATGGAGGATGAGGACGCGCCGGTCATGGGCCCGGGCACAAAGGCAAGTGAAGGGGCTACGTCATGTTGGCGCCTGGGAGGCACTGAGGTGTGCACTGCAGTGGTATCCGACATCAGCTGGACGCAGCGCGACGGATAACAATGCTGTGGGCCTGGTCTCTCCTTTGCATGCATGGACCCACGGTTCAATATCTTCCCGGGTACCATCATCTCAACAAGCCTTCGTAATGCTCGCTGCACTGATCTCGCCCGCGTTACCGCCCTCGTACCCTCCCTCAGAATCTCAAGCTCAAGACGGCTGCTGGTATCAAGGACGACAAGGTTGGTGCCGGGCGGCGGCGTTGGTGTGAATGCGGGTGGTGCTGCCTTCGTCCAGCACATCAACATACCCATTTGCTCAGTGCATAGCACGCCCTACTGCTGCAGCATCCACTGTCGCGTTTTATACCACCCTCTTCCCATCAATAGCCATGTCCTGGCTTGGTATATCTTATACTCCCTACCCAAATGCTCCCCTGCCCCACTGCTCCCGCCTTTCTCGCCCACGCCTCTCTTCCCACAGAGCAAGAAGCTCAAGAGCCCCACCAAGCCCCCCAGCGGCGCGCACCCCGGCGGCCCCCACCCGGGAGCTCCGGGCGCACTGCCGGGGCTGCCCAAGGGCGCCCCCCTGGGCGGCCCCCGGCAGCACCCCTTCATCCGGGACCCCAGGAACATCCAGGAGGGCGGCATGCGGGGACTGCCCTGGTCCGGCAGCGACGACCAGGTGAGGTTGGGGGGGGGGCACGGCGGGGGAGTTGGAAAGAAGGGGGTCCTGAGGTGTCAACATGTGGATGTGGGTTGGCCTCCATGCTGCCGAACACCTGCTAGCCTACAGGGATGCGCTGCACTTACTGAGCAATATCCTGCTGGCAGCCCTAAAGAAGAATCCTGGTTTCAGCTGCGCTTGCCTACAAGATGGTCTTCGTACTATGTGTGCTGTTGCTTTAACCACCTAACTGAATGACATGGCGTCTGTATGCAGGTGCTGGCCGCTATCGTCACGGAGTTCACTCAGAACTGGCTGCTGGTGGCGGACGTGATGCGGTCAGCGAACAGCATGCAGGTGCGTGTGTCTAGGTCCACGTGTGTCTAAGACTCGAAGGGGCGGGATGGGTGGCAAGTGTAGCGGAGAACTTATGGTCGTGTAACGAGGGCTGTGAACGGATGCAACGCCCCGACGCCGGCCTCTCCTCCCTTACCTCTCTGGCACCGCTGCTGCTCCATGCAGGGCGTGTACCGGCGGCCTGAGACGTGCAAGTACCGGTACGCCATGCTGGTGAAGGCGTGGCAGGCGGAGAACGACGAGATTACGGTGGAGCAGATACCCATGGTGCCGCAGGCAATCATGCCCAAACAGCAGGTATGGACGGAGACCAGCTGCGACTCTTCCTTTCATGCACCACGCAATATCCGTTTATGCCTTCATACCCCATACTGTCATTACTCATTTGCCCAGAAGAGTATACCTTATCGTCTCTTTACCGTCTATACGTCAAACTGGTAACCCCGTGGCGCTCCCGTCGCTTTACCCCTTCTCGCTTCCCCACTGCCCCTTCCTCCCCCTCATTCCACTGCCCCTTCCTCCGCTCCGTTCAGGCCAAGGAGGTCCTGTACCAGGTGCTTCCCGTGTCGGAGACCACCCTCCGGCGGCACCAGGAGTCGGTTGCGGCGCTGCACATCCGCTACCGCACCAAGCGCTACACGGAGCGGCAGCAGCAGCGCGAGATGTACAAGGTCCGCCACGAGCAGCACCAGAGCCACATGATGGTGGCCAGCAACGTGCTGCAGGTGCGCATGGGGGCTGCTGGGCGGGGGAAAGGCGGGTGTTGTGGGGCGGTACGGTTGCCTGGGATGAGGAGCTTTAGGCGATAGTTGTAAGGGACCACTGCTGCAGCTTTTGTGTGGAAAGCGCTACGATACGTTGGAAGGCGGACCGGTGTTAGTATTATGTCCTTAAGAACCCCTACCGCAGCTGCTGTCCTGCTTAAGACGGTGGCACCTGATATCACCTTGCCCCGGCGCCGAGCTCGGTCCCGCTTTGTTTGCATGCGTGCAGATGAACGGCGGCCGCATGCTCAACCCGCTCGAGCTAGGCCTGGAGATGCCCATGTTGCAGAGCATGCAGGGCGGTGCGAGCATGGCCAACACTGCCAGCATGGGTCCGCAGCAGCCGCAACTGCAACAGCCGCCCCTGCAGCCGCCGCAACCTCAGCAGCAGCCCCAGCACCTTCCAGGCCAGCCGCCACAGCAGCTGCAGCCTGCTGCTCCCGGAATGCTTGCGCCGCCGCAACAGCCGCAGCAGCAGCTGCAGCCTCCTAGCTTGCCGGATGGCATGCAAGGCGGTGCAGCTATGGCGGGCATGCAGCCCCAGCCGGGCATGTCGGGCATGTCGTCGGGGGTGTTGCCGCCCGGCATGGGGCAGGCAGCGCCCGGGATGCCGGGCATGCAGCCGCTTGCGCCGCCGGGGCAACAGCCGCAGCAGTTGCAGCCCGGTGCCATGCACCCATCGCAACTGGCCGCTATGCAGCAGCAGCCAGGCATGGCGCAGAACGCCGCCTTGGCCCAGCAGAACGCGCGGATGCAGAGCGCTATGATGCAGCAACAGCAGCAACAGGCGTTCCAGCAACAGCAGCAGCAGCAACAACAGCAGGCCTTACAGCAGCAGCAACAAGCTTTGCAGCAGCAACAGGCCATGCAACAGCAGCATCAGCAACAAGCAATGCAGCAACAGCAGGCCATGCAGCAACAACAGCAACAGGCCATGCAACAGCAGCAGCAACAAGCTATGCAGCAGCAACAGCAAGCCCTACACCAGCAGCAGCAGCAACAACAGGCCCTACAGCAACAACAACAACAACAGCAGGTTGCTGGCACATCATCACAGGGGCACCCGCCGAACCTTAGCATGGCCCCAGGGGCACCTCCGGCCTCTCAAGGCCAGCAACAGCAACCCAACTCTGCACAGATGGCTGCAGCACTACAGCAGCAGCAACAACAGCAAGGTCGGGTGCCAACTCCTCCCCTTCAGTCCATGCCGTCGCTGGGCTCGCAACAGATACGCCCGCCAAACCCTGGGATGTTGACAAGCCAGCAGCAGCAAGCGCTGTTGCAGTCACAGATGATGAAGCAAAAGATGCTGCAGCAGCAACAGGCCATGCAGCAGCAGCAGCAACAACAACAGATGCAAGCGCAGCAGCAACAGCAACTCGGCATGGCTCCTGGCGTGCCGGGTGCAGTCGGCGGTCAACCTGGAACACCGCAGCTTGCAGCGGCGGCAGCAGCGGCAGCCGCAGCACAGCAAGCCTTGCAGCAGCAACAGCAAGCGGCAAACGCCATGCAGCAAATGCAGCCAGGTGCACCGCAGCAGCAGCAGCCGCCAGGGTCAGCAGGCGGCCCGGGGGCTCAGCAGCAGCTGCAGCAGCCAGGGCAATTGCAGCCAGGGCAGCAGTTGCAGCTCCCGCAACCGCAGTCCATGCAACCAGGCCCGCCTCCTGGAGGGCAGCAGTCCATGCCTCCTGGAGCTCCCCAGACCCAGCTGCAGCCGGGCATGGCGGGAGTTCCAGGGCAGTTGAACAAGCCATCCACGCCCAACCCGCTGACGATGCCCGGCGCCGCACCGGGCACTGCGCCTCCTGGCGCTGTTCCTCCCTCGGCACCTGGCGTCGCCCTGCAGCGGCCGCCTGCACACCCCTCGCAGCTGCAGATGCAAGCGGCGTTGGCTGCGGGGCGGCTGCCCAACATGCTGGGCCCTATGCCCGGTGGTCTGCCATCCACGGCCGCGATGAACAGCGCGCTTGCGGCTCAGATGCAGAAGGCGGGCCTGCCGCCGGGCATGATGCAGAACGCGGCCAGTCTGCAGGTGGGAATTTGGGCATGTTCTGGCTTCCGCTCTTGATGGGGGCGATGTGCGCTTTTCATCTTTGTTGGCGAAGGGCAAAAACATGCTGTGTGCTCGGTGTCGTGTCTACTAGGCATGCGGTTTTTCCGTTCTGTAGTAAAGAGAAGTGAAGCCGTGACGCCAGCCGTCGCCATTCTCATTGACCCCTTGTGGACTCCCACCTTCTCCTCGCCGCTGTGCTTGCAGGCCCTGCAAAAGATGCAGCAGCAGATGCAAGCGGCAGGTGCCGCGGCGGCGGCTGCAGGCGGCGCGGGGCGGTCGCCCATGATGCCCGGTGGGCTCCCGACACCAAACCCAGGCATGCAACCCGGCATACTTCCCGGCCAGCCCGGGGCCCTTCCGGGGCAGCTGCCTCCCGGGCAGCAGGGCTTGCCCGGGCAGATGTCAGGGCAGCTGTCAGGGCAGATGTCTGGCCAGTTGCCTGGGCAGCCGGGTCTGCCACAGCAGGCTGTGCAGCACGGGCAGCCAGGCGGCATGCCGGGAGCAGGGCAGCTCCCAGGGCTACCCGGGGGCATGGGGGCGCTTCCAGGCACACTGCCGTCTACACTGCAGCAGCAGCAGGCGGCGCTGGCCATGCAGCAAAGCATGGTAGCGCTTCAGCAGCAGCAGCAGGCGGCCGCGGCGGCGGCAGCTGGGCAACAGGCGTCCATGAATGGGCAGGCGGGCAAGTGGCCGACGGGTCTGACACCTCAGGCAAATGCCATGGCTGCAATGCAACAGCAACTGCAGCAGCAACAACAGCAGGGGCATCTCCACCCGCAAGGTCCCCATGCGGTTTCCGGTCAGCCGCAGGCCCCCGGGGCTCCGGGCTCCATGCCGATAGCTGCGCAGCAGCAGCAACAAGCTGCGGTTGCGGCCGCCGCGGCGGCAGCGGCAGCAGCACAGGGGCATCCCAACCCGCAGCACGCGGCCATGGTGGCCCAACATGCCCACCTGCAGCAGCAACAACAGCAACAGCAAGCGGCTGCATTGGCGCAGTTCCAAGCGCAACAGCAAGCGGCTGCCGCAGCAGCGGCGGCAGCTGGTGGCGCCCCAGGCCAACCGGGCGGTACACCTGTCTTACCAGGCCAAGCGCCGCCTTCCGGACTAGCAAATCCAGCTCTGAACCCCAACCTCGCAGCCTACATGGGGCAAAACCCGCTTTTAGGTATGGCGGGCCGACCAGGCATGCCCCAGATGCCGGGTGGGCTACAACAGCAGCTAGGCATGCCGCCTGGGACGCAGCCAGGCGGCCTGCCGCCTAACCTGCAAGCCGCAGCGGCGTTGCAGGCGGCTGCAGCGGCGGCAGCTGCTGCGGCGGCGGCGCAGCAGCACTCGCAGACCGGCAGTGGCTCTTCGGCGCCAAGCGGAGGGATGGCCCCGGGGTTAGCGATGCAGCCTGGAATGGCACCCGGCCCGCAGGCGCAGCAGCCAGGAACGGGAACGCCGCAGACGGGGTGATGAGCTGTGTCAGCGCATGCATGGGTGATGCTTGATGGGTGTAGAGAGTTGGGGGAATGGCCTGGGTCGCGGCTGGTTAAGCGAGGGCGTAGTGATTGGGTGAATGACAGGAGCAGGGGCGGACCGGCTGGGAGGTGTAGTAATGGTTCTGATGGGGGGAGCCAAGCGCGTCATTTGCCAAGCGTGTAGGGGGCTGGCAAGGCGGATAGAGGCTCGCGAGCGGGGTGGTGGCATGAGAGGGACGACGGCTAAGCGGAAGTGCACCCGAGGGCTCTTCTACGGGATGCTTCGAGGACCTACCCTACCGTACACACTCGTGAACGGAGCCTGGCGATGAAATGTGGACGGGCATTGTGCCATTTAACGAACGGACTGACGCACCCTAGGGTGCTTGCAGATGTGCCCGCTTCTGGCTCCCAAGGCTTCAGCCACGTGTGCCTAATCTGTTAGGGCTAGTGGTGGGTCCTCGTTTGGTTTCGCTCACTACAGCCAGCCTGGGTACATAAGGGACGGAGCGGGCCATGCATTACATGGACAGCGTCACTGATGGTGGGCGGGCCATTGGCCCGTAGCATGCACGTTATGCCAGCGTTGCGGAGGCTGCTCCATACACAACGCGAGTGACGGAGTGGGAATTGGGAGGTTGCGCGGATCTCACCAGCACGGAGCTAGTGGCGCCCGCGCCATTGCTGCGGATGGCCTTACCACCCCCGTGTAAGCACATGAAGGAGTGCTGGTATGGAGGGAGGATGCCAGCTTTCCTGTCATGCACCGGTAATACTGGGGGCTCAGGTGCCGTGCCAAGTACGCTGATCGTCTCCTATTACGTTACGGCAAGTCGAGTCAGAGCTGGTAGCTGGAGCCCTGGGATCCCTGTGGACTGCTGGCATGCAGGTCCCGCTGTGTGCGGCACAATGAGCCTCACTGGGCGACAGCACAGGGGCTCACTCACTCCCCACAGGGGTGCAGCGTGCCACACAACAGGCCACCAACATCTTCGTATGCATTCTAGGCACCTTGGCACGTAAACGCTAGACCCCTCCTTCCTGTCCAGCTACACCCAAGCCTCCTCCAGTCCTGGCTCCTGAGGCACCCTGCTGCCTTGCGTTGCTGCTGGCATCACCGCACCGAGCTGAACACAACCCTGGGTACAACACCCTCATCGCCAGCCCAACCGCTCGTTGACCTCGTCGTCGAAGCACACGTGGAAGGACACCTTGCAGCCGGGCGACCCCTCGTCCTCAGAGCCGCAGCAGTCCCAGAACCTGTGGAAGCAATTCAGCGGCGGCAGAAGACTTCGTTGTTGGTGTCATGCTGGGTTGGAGGCCTTGTAGCAGCGTCTCACCGTGAGCGGGTGATGACCTTACCTTAGCAGCCCAGTTCGACCCATCACAGCTGCTAGTTGGTGCTCTGGTGCGTCGCTCTGTCGTACAAATCCAACCGCCTGTGTAACGGTCACCCAGTCAGCAGTTAGGATAGCCATGCTGACCAGAACCGATCAGCAATAGCGTGTATGACTAAAAGGCCCTATCAGCAGGAAGCCGCATGGCGTGAGGGTACGCAAGCAAGTAGACCCACAGGCGCGGACACCGGCGCAATCTACCTGCCAATCCACCCGTTTGCCCAACATTAGGCACCATGTGCTTAGTTAGGCACCATGTGTTGGCCTCCCTGCTTCCCGCCCCCAACCTGCCTTCGCCAGCTCTCCACCCGTCCAGTCCTCGCTGTGGTACCTGCAGGTGTTGGGCCCACCAAGCCACCCAGTGGGTGCTTGCGACCCATGCGCTCTCCATGACTCAGGCGCACTCAGCTTCGGAGCTGGGGCAGCTCATACCAGGAGTCGTACGGGCGGAGACATGCAGGTTACGAGGTGCGGTGCGCTCAGGTGCGCTGGTACTTTAATGCCACATTGTTAAGGACTTTGACGAGCAGACATTGCAGCAGCCCGCTCTCTGTACCACACCATGGACCGCTCTGCCAACCCAGGACACACACGTGCCAGCAAACCCCGGCACAACACGGAGTGCCGAGTGCCGTACCTGCAGGCGCCGCTGTGGTTCTGTTCCGCAGCGAACCTCTGTTTGCAGCGCTGGCATGTCATCCAGGTCAGCGGGGGTGACCCAAGCTCGGCTGACCCAGTTGCACCGCCGTGTCCAAGAGGCTCGCCAGCATCACCACTAGCAGCGGGTGGCACGGAGGGGTCGGGGCTGCCGCTGCTGCTACTGCTGCTAGCGTAGGTCCGACTGCGGGGCTGGGTTTCTAACTTTGACGACCTAGTCACGTGGAACACGGCTGCAGACGGTTGCCGAAGAGGTATTGCGTGGCGAACTGCCACACCCGGTGGCTCCGCTAGGGGCAGGGTTCGTGAACACCCTTGCTTTCCTACACACTGCATGTTATCCTGCGCAACGGTGTAGCAATGTGTGGAACTTCCCGATGCTGAAGGGCTGGTTGAGGCAGGTTGAGACAACAGGGTTTCCGGGTTGACTACTTGATACCGGCCTAGCTACACCCTATATTCTTGCCGACGTGTCCCTGGCATCATACAAACCGTTTACAATCGTCCAGTGTTTGCCTAGGCAAACCTAAGCGGCACCAAAATTGCATCAACAGTACCGGTACGGCGCCTGTGGCCCGAAATCAGCATGTAAGAGCATTCGACAGCTGTGTTTCCTCCGTCTGGGACTGCTAGGATCATCATTTCTGCCGCCCTCACTACAGGCTGACCAGGCTGCTTCACCATCAACTGCCAATCATGGCCGAATGCCCCGTCCCACCACGCCAGCTGTTCATCGGCGGTGCTTGGGTCCCTCCGATTAAGGGGCAGTATATGGATGTAATTAACCCTGCAACGGAGAAGCCGTTTACGAAAATCCCAGCTGGCACGAGTGAGGATGTAGACGCCGCTGTGGCCGCAGCCACCGCGGCTTTCAAGTCTGGTCACTGGAGTCGCACAACGGGAGAGTATCGCGCCAAATTCTTGCGGGCTATCGCGCAAAAGGTGTGACGTTATCCTTTGCATGCCCTTACCTTGCCTCGAGTAAGCTTGCTTCACACGTATATGTTGCTTGCAGATTCGCGATGACAAGCTGGTGCTAGCTAAGACCGAAACCATGGACTGCGGCAAGCCTATCGACGAGGCGGAGTGGGACATGGTGAGTTGCTGTGGCAATTCACTGCCAATAGTTTAGGCCTGCAATTTTTGCTGGCACCTGAAGCATATGACCTGTAGAAGAATCCGTATTGATTTGACCTACACAGAAATATTGCCCTTAATAGCAGAACGACGGTTTCCCTCTTTCCCCACATCCTTGTTTTCCACCTCACCTCTCACCTTCCCATCCCATCCGCCCCCCCCCCCCCCCAACCCCGCAACCCTTCCCCCACCCCACCACACCGCATCCAGGACGACGTGGCTACCTGCTTCGACTACTATGCCGGCCAAGCCGAGGCGCTGGACGCGCGCAACGGCCCCTCCGCCCCCGCCATTGATGTGGGCATGGCCGAGTTCGAAGTGCGCGTGCGGCGGGAGGCGCTGGGCGTGGTGGGCCTCATCACCCCCTGGAACTACCCGCTGCTCATGGCCACGGTAGGGGCGCAGGGCGGGGGGGCTGGGCTGGCGGCGGGGGGCTGGGCTTCCCTCGGGGCCTCGGCAGTGGTCCTCGGGTGGGGCTTTTCGCTACGTCGTTGCGGCTGACGACCAACGTGTGACGGGAGGTTGAAGATGCAGCCTGCGCAGTGTCGCGCCGGGCGTCGCCGGGCGAGAGAGGCGTATCGTGCTTCGTGCCCACCTTCCCCATCCCTCTTGCGTGCCCCCTACACGGACTCCTTCCTTTACTGCCTTCCCACCCTTCCCCCTCCCCCCCCCAACCCCAGTGGAAGGTTGCCCCCGCACTAGCCGCCGGCTGCTGCTGCGTGCTGAAGCCCAGCGAGCTGGCCTCGCTGACCTGCCTGGAGCTGGCGGCGGCGGCGGAGGCGGCGGGGCTGCCCCCCGGGGTGCTCAACGTCGTGACGGGCACCGGGGCGGAGGCGGGGGCGCCGCTGAGGTGGGGTGGGGGTGGGAGGGGGGTGCTAAGAGAACTGGCCGTGAGTAGGAACGTACGTGCAACGTGCGCGTGGTGTGTGGAGAGAGAGGGGGGAGGTGCAGGAGTGGGTAGATGAGGAAACATTCGGGGCATCTGGGTTTGACCGGGGACATGGTGGTCAGGGCTTGCTACATGACCTCCTCCTCCCCACCACACAACTCCCACCCAACTATCCCACCCGCCCCTCCACCCTCCCCCCTGTAACCCTATTTACCCCCCTCCCTCCCCTTCCCTCCTCTCTTCCCCAGCGCCCACCCCGGTCTGGCCAAGGTTGCCTTCACGGGCAGTGCCGCCACGGGTCGGCGGGTGGCGCTGGCGGCCGCCGGCAACCTGCGTCCCGCCTCCCTGGAGCTGGGCGGCAAGAGCTGCCTGATCGTGTTCGATGACGCGGATGTGGAGAAGGCGGTGGAGTGGGCCATGGTGGGTGCGATGGGGGGGGGCTTGGGGAGGGGGAAAGGGTGGCGTCGTAAGGTGGAGCATTGGGGTTTGGAGATTGTTGGGGGTTGCTGGTTTAACTGTGCTTTGGCATGTGGGCCCACCTCCCACCTCTCTTCCCTCCTCTCCCAACCTCTTTCCTTCTCTCCCAACCTCTTCCCTTCCTTCCCCATCCCCCTTACCCGCCCCACCCCACCGAATTCGTCCAATGATATGATCTCAGCACAGCCGCCAGCTTATGGAGCTTTATCACGGTTTGTACTTTGTGTGCTGCTACTAACCCAACGAATTTGACTATGCGTAATCCGAAAATCCAGCTTAATGCGGAATCTTCATCCTTATTAATCCCCACTCCGCCCCCCCCTCCTCCCCCCCCCTCAGTTCGGCGCCTTCTGGACCAACGGGCAGATTTGCTCCGCCACCAGCCGCCTGCTGGTGCAGCGGGGGGTGGCGCCCGCCTTCCTGGAGCAGCTCAAGAAGAGGGCGGAGGCGATCAATGTGAGGGGCGGGGGGCAGGGTTGAAGGGAGGGGAGGGAGACGGGGGGGGGCATGCATGCATGGAGTGGGTGAGCAGGGATGCCACTGTTAGCGGGTGGGTGATGTGCAGTGGCAGCAGGGTGCTGGTGAGGTGTGTGTGGCTGCTGCTGGGTCGGGGTTGGGGAGCAGGGAGTGGGCGTTGCGGCGCTGCAGCGCATTGCATCGGTCTGCTTGTCACCTCAACTTCCTCAACCCACAACTTCATGCCGCCCTCCCGCCCTCCCCCCCAGGTGTGCGACCCGCTCACCCGGGGCTGCCGGCTGGGTCCGCTGGTCAGCGAGGGGCAGTACCGCCGGGTGCTGGACTACATCCAGGTGGGGGGAGGGAGGGGGGGGGGGAGGGAGGGGAGGGAGGGGGGTTAGAGCGGGACATACCGGTATGGGTTGGTGGGGGAGCGGGATGGGGGAGGGGATCAGGGAGGTGCATGGCACGCAGGACCTTACACGTCATGTCCCGCCCGTGTGACGAACAGCCCGAGAGCGATGCATGCCAACTGCCGTACATGGGGTCAAGCGGTTTCGCACCTGCCTCCTCCCCTCCCCCTCTCCTCCCCTCCCCTTCCCGCCCCCCGCCCCCCGCCCCCTCAGTCCGGCAAGTCGGAGGGCGCGCAGCTGCTGACGGGCGGCGGGCGCCCCCCCGCCCCCGCCCTGCCCCCCCGCGGCGGCTACTGGGTGGCTCCCACTGTGTTCACCGGCGTGCAGCCGCACATGCGCATCTGGCGGGAGGAGATCTTCGGTCCGGTGCTGTCGGTGGCGGTGTTTGACAGCGAGGCGGAGGCGGTGCAGCGGGCCAATGACAGCGAGTATGGGCTGGCAGGTGGGGAGGGAGGGGGTTGGGGGAGGTGGTTGGGTTGGGTTGTGTGTGTAACCTTCGCTACCTGCCTCCCTCACCCCTCGTCGGGATCCCGGAGCTTCATGTACCTCCTCATCATGCCCCTCACGCCCCACCACCGTGGACTTGGGGTTTAGTACTGTGTTGTACCCTCTCCGTACAATCCCAATCACGCCCCGGCCCCACCTACCCTCCCCCTCCTCCCCCCCTCCCCCCCAGGTGCCGTCATCAGCGGCTGCCCTGACCGCTGCCGCCGTGTGAGTGAGGCGCTGGAGTGCGGCATCGTGTGGGTCAACTGCTCGCAGCCCTGCTTCTGCTACGTGAGTGCGGGGAGGGGAGGGGGGAGGGTGGTGGGAAGGGAGGGGGAGGGTGGTGGGGGGGGGCTGGATGGCGGAGGAGCAGCAGCATGCGGGGCCGGCTAGGTGGAGGGCAGCAGCGGGTCCCTCGGGTCGGGGCTTTGCGTAGAATCAGATGTCTTCCTGCCCCTCACCCTCTGCCATCCCCCCTTCCCCCCTCCCCTCACCCCCCCCAGGCCCCCTGGGGCGGCATCAAGAACAGCGGGCACGGTCGCGAGCTGGGCGAGTGGGGGCTAGAGAACTTCCTGTCCGTCAAGCAGGTGGGGGGGATGTAGAGGGTGGGGCGGGGTGTAGCAGGAGGAGGATGTGACAAGGGACAAGGGGCCGCGGGGGTCGGGTGCCGACCCTGCGCCCCTGTACCGCGTGGGCTGTTTAACCCGGCGCCCTTCCCCCTCTTTACGGGATTGGGACTCCGTTGCTTCACATTTGACTTGTCCCCCCCTCCCTCCCACCGCCGCCTCCCCCGCAGGTCACCAAGTACGTGTCCAAGGACACGTGGGGCTGGTACAGCCCGCCCTCGCAGCAGGGGGAGCAGCAGGAGGGGCAGGGGCAGGAGGGGCAGTCGCCGTCCAAGCTGTGAGGGAGGAGGGGGGGTCTGACGGGCGCTGGCTGGGTGGCGGGGTGATGCGGTGATGTGGTGGCTGGGGAGAGGCACGCGGTTGGGAGGGGAGGTGGGTCGCAGGTGTGGTGTGTGGGGATCCTGGGGGGTGCTGGTGAGGGGGTGGGTCAACCGGGTGCGGTGCTAAGCCACGCACGCGAGGAGGAGGAGGGGGATGTCAGGGGGCGGTGATGTCATCTTGCCACGGTTGGTCCAGCGGTTGGTGGTGAACTGAGGATGGTGCGACGGGACGACATGTTTTCCCCTGGGAGGTGGGAGCAGGCTGAAAGGGTTTGTGAGCGGGGGGGATTGTGCTCCCCTCCGTTAGCGGGTAGGGGGGCTCGAAGGCACTGTGGGTGGCTGTCTACTTGTGCTTCACTGTTCGGAGCTGCGGAGCTCCTACCTCGAGAACTGCTTTATGTATGAGAAGGACAAACTGAGCTGGGGTATTTGACTCTGGGCTGGCCCATGGGTCGCAGGGAGGGTTATGGTGTACTGTCAGTGTATGTGGTGTGTCGCATTACGGCAGCCGTGTTACAGGATGCATGAATCGCCTATTCAGAGATTTTAGACGCAGAACAGGTCTGAGCTTGCGAGAAGGCATGGGATTTTCACTTTTGCATTGCGGCTGCGGCTGGAGCCTTGCACCGCTTAGCACCGCAAGGGAGGGAGCCCGCAGCAAGACATGGAGCCAGGTTAATCGGTATAATGCGATAATTCTCCAGCCCATTGCCTCCTGCCCACTTAACGACGCCCCTGCGAGGGGATCTGAGCCCCTCACGTAACCTCGAACCACTCGCCGCTCGCCGCTCCCCACGCACGCCTCCATGCATCGCATGCATGGTTGCACCTTCCCGCACGTCAGGAGATCCCCTGATGCCAACCTCAAAACACTTCTACGCTAATGTACACGCACCACCCATCCCCACCCTCGCCACACACACATTTGTTGCAGCCGGGCAGCGCTTGGACGCCGCCGGAGTCGCTATCTAGCATCACCAGGAATCACAGTGTACAATGCATGCAGCAGGTGTGCCGCACAACATGTTGGTGCACATGATAGCACAGGAATACCCAAACACCCAAACATCCAGCCATGCAGGCCATGCACGTAAGACCTAACCTAACGGCACCCCTCACCCCGCCGAAGCATGGTGCTGCTTCTACTACCAAAACCAAACACGCTGGTTGCTGAGCCCCCCTAGGGGGGGAGCCTGTACGGCGCTCGCACGACAGGAAGCTTTACAGCCGCTCGCCCTACCCCAGCTTGACCAGCTCAAGCCCCATAAATCCTCAATCAATCCCAAAACATCTACATCTAGGACGCACGCCCCACAGTTCATGTATGCAATGCTTTGCAGAGCCCCAACTTGAAGTCTAGCTGCAACATCCTCTTGAAGACAATCGCGCGGCTGCAAGCCCTCCTGGAGGGATACATAATGCAGTCGCACATACGTTATTGTCACCGCCTCTCCCGTTTACCCGTATAGCCTTATCCCGTCTCATCTCCCTCGCTTGCCCTTGCGGCATCAAGAGGCCTCCATTCAGTTACCGCCCGGCGGCGGAGGTGGCTTCTTCTTCTTTGGGGGAGGTGACGGCGGCGGCTTCTTCTTCTTTGGTGGCGGAGGGGCATCTGGCGGCGGCGGTGGCGGCGGAGGTGGTGGTGGGGGAGACGGGATAGGAGGTGGTGGGCTGGGGGGTGGCGGCGGCGGCGACTTTGGCTTCGGAGGAGGTGGGGTGGGTGGCGGAGACTTTGCCGGCGGTGGCGGCGGCGGCCACTTCATGGGCGGCGGCGGCGGGAAGGATTTCCAGTTGGGCGGCGGCGACCTCACTGGCGGCGGGCGGGGTAGCGGCGGAGGCGGCGGCGAGTTGACCTTGACCCCGTCCCGCTGGCAGTCGGGGTCGTCCTCGCCGAACAACCCGTCGCTGTTGCGCGAGTGGGGGAATGGCGGGGAAGGGAGGAAGGGAGGAGGGAGGTGGGTCGGCACTTACTAAGGCCAAATGTATGTGTAGTACGGGTCTAGCGGCAGGCAAGCTCCGGTGCACGGATGCAGCTAGGAGGCATGATATGACCCATGGGTCTGTTGTGCTCAATCGCCCTCACAGCTATACACAATCACCCTGAGCTTGGACCCGTTTCTACGGCTGCTGCAAACAGGTAAGACGCTTGGATCCCTTCTCCTTCAAATCGCAAATCTCAGCTCTTCATTGCTTGCAGACCCCCCTCACCAGTCTCGGTCGCTACCGTCTTGGCACTCCTCACTTCCGGGTGATCCCTCCGTCTTCGCCAGCATACGGCACAAATCCACATCAACCGATGTCGTACCAACCCGCAGTACACGAATCCGTAACCCGCCTCCGAGCCCCGTACTTGCATCGTACGGCACGAAGGGTCCCGTCCACACTGTACCATCTGCGAACGCCGGATCCGCATTTCCGAACTTGGGACCGGAATCGATGAACATGGAACGGTTGTAATCGCGCTCCGCTTGCGTTCCGTTGAACACGTGGATCAGGAGTTTCTGGTTGTACGGCACCCATGCGTCGTAACCGCCGTACGTCGCATTCTTTACTCTGTAGCTTAGGAAGTATTTGGGATAGGCAACGCGAGGCGCCCCGGCTTCCTTGTTTAGGCTACCCAAGTCGATCACGACCATGCTATCATCCGCAGTTCCCGCTGCTGGGATGGTCAACTGAAGGTGGTTGGTGGTGGATGTGAAGTTCTCGGCGGTTAGGTTGCCGTACTCGCCGTTACCGACGCCCGGCACTTCATTGATGGGCCGACTCCAGCCCAGGCGGTACAAGTACGGCGCGTTGTGACACAGGGGCCGGCTTCCCGCCTTGTCGAAGGTTCCCATGGGGTCGCTGGAGTCTCCGTACTCGTCCAAGCCCCTGAACCGTTCATGTGGTGACGTAGCAAACACGGCATGGGGTTAAGTACGTTTTGGTTAGTTAAAGACCAAGAGTACTCGGCATGGGACCATGCCTTTAGGTGCCGCACTCTCGGCCATCTCATGCTTGCCCGCTCCTCCGCCTCCAGGACCCGCAGAAGGGGAACTCAATGCATGGCGCGCAGCCGCAAGCCCCCCCCACCCCCTGGCGGCAGCCCTCCCCCCTCCCCGCCCAGGTTGCGCCCGCTCTCACTACCCACTTGGCCGCATGGTTGAGCCCCATGTTGTGTTGCAGCTCGTGGAACAGCACGTGCACATCTTGGGTGGCGGAGCTCTGTGGGGTGTGCGGGTGCGGGTGTGCGGGTGCGGGTGCGTGCGGAGGTCAGTGACTGGGTTAGTGGGTGCGTGCACAGGCGATGCGGTGAGCAACATGGGTGGTGAAAAATTATAGAAGTGAAACAACATGGGTGGTGGTGGTGTCCAGATAGGCAGCCTGCTTGTCACAAGGCAGGCACCAGCCTAATACCTAAACATTCCTGTAAGATCCCTACCAGCGCCCCCCCCCAGCCCCCCTACCTTGATGTATGTACGGCAAGTGGCCCCGGCGCACGACACGTCCGCCAGCCCCGCCCAGGGGCACTTGACCTGGGGTGGCAGGATGGCCATGATGCGGCGGTGACTGGGCCAGGACAGCACGGAGGCGAGGGCGGGGTCGGAGGCCGCCATCTGGGGGGGGGGGTGTGGGTGTGGGTGTGGGTGTGGTGAGGATGTGGGGTGAGGGAGGGGGATCAGCGGGGTATGGGCTTCAGTTGAGGCGCGGTGCACTGATGAAGCAGCGAACGTGAAGTGAGCGAATACTGTAAATGTGACGCCCAACACTGCTTCTCCTTCCACGCCCCCCCTCCTCACCCTGCCGTCTTCTAACCCCACTGTCGTGCCCTCGCTTGTGGCTTGGTTACCGGTGTTCTCTAACCTGCGCCCCTCCCCCCGCTCACTTGTGGTTTCCTATGGTTGGGTATTGTCTTTGACCCCCCGGCTCACCTTGCGTGCAATGTCCTCCGCCGCCGAAGTCCAGTACACCTGCTCCGCCGCACCGCACTTGGTGCTGGCGTCGAAGGGGGATGTGAAGAAGCCGCGCTCCAGGGTGCCGCTGCAGTTGAGCGCGATGGGGCCCACCACCGCGACGTTGTCGGGGGTGAAGAGGGTCTTGTTGAAAGAGCAGGTGCGGTAGTAGTTCTGGAGGGGGGGGGTGCGAGGGGGTTGCGAGGGGCGTGCGAGGGGGTGTGTGTAATGGGGAAGCCGTACCGACACGGGTGGCTGGATCTTTTGTGAAGGGCTTTCGTGGGGCCGGGTGGGGGTACCGTAAGTTCGGTGGCGCCTGTCACCCACCACACCAAAGGCCCGAAAGCGGCCATGGGTTCATGGGCACGTTGTGCTGCCGTACATGCCAACCAAGCCAAGCCGGCACCCGCTGCTACACACACCCACCCATCGACCCCCCTCCCCACCCGCAAACCCCACGCCCCACCTGCAGGTTGTCCTCCACAGCGCCCGGACCGTCGAAGAGGTACTTCTTGAAGTCCTACAGCAGCAACAGCAACAGCAACAGCAACAGCAGCGGCAGCAGCAGCACCGGGCCGTGAGCGGTGGACAGCGGGAGGGGTGACGCACACGCGACACGCGACCGGCCTACAGAGCCATTGTGGAAGGGACTGGGCGGAAAGGAATGCCCCACGAATGGGCCCCTCCTCGATCTACTCCAACACCCTTCCCACCCCCTCTCCCTGCTGCCCCACCCCCCATCTCCCTCTCAACCCTTTCCCTTCCTAATCACCCTTCCTCCCGATCACTCCCCACTCCCCCCATCAATCCCCCCTCCCCCGGCCCCCCCCCCGCCTGCCCCCACCTCCGCCGAGCGCCAGGGGCTACTCCAGCCGCACATGTCCAGCAGGTAGACCACCATGCGGGGCTCGATGGGGGTGCCCGTGTAACACTGGGGGGGGCGGGAGGGCGGGAATGGGCCGGGGAGGGGATCAGGGAGAGGTTGGTCGGATGCGGGGTCGCTGTCATCGGAGTCCGCACTCCCTCTCGCTTCTAAGGAACCCGCCAGGCCCCTCCTAGCTACCTCCTTCTGCGCGCCCTTCTTGATGACGCGCAGGGAGCGCTTTCGGAACTTGGCGCTGGCTGCGAGCAAGCGCCGACGGGAGCTGCCGGGGTCGGCGGTGGTGGTGGCGCTGCTGACGTCTGCAGTTACATCTACTGTGATCTGTACGGCAGCGGAGAGAAACGGGTACTTATACTCGGGAGATAACGCAGTAGTCGTTGGATAGCTTGGAAAGTGGCTGGCTTTTCTGTAAGAGCCCAAGGTATCAGGTAGTTGGGTAGTTAGGAAGGCGCTCACGCATACCTTAATTGAATCGCCGCTTAAGAGCCGGTTGTCCTCTTTTAAGGCAACCGCGTCTTCGCCGCGCGCAAGCCGTTTGAACGGCAGGTTGCAGGTGGGGTCAGGCATGGAAAAGCCGGTCGCCGAATCAAACACCTCCGGACATCGCAGTTCGACGATGTCTATGCCCGAATGCAACGGTGTGTCAGATGTGCCTAGGTCGCTGTTGTCAAGGCCATCATCCTCAGGTGGTGTTGACGCTCCGCGCAATAGCCGAATGCCAGCCATAATACCAATGTCTCCAGTCACTGAGGTTCCAAAAATGGTAAGGAAAGGCGGTTAACTGGCAGCGTGGCATGTATTGGAAGAACCCATCCGAACATGTAGTGGGACGGAGCCGAAGCTTTTCAGTATACAAATATAAAGCAATGACAACCAAGACTCATAAAGAGGTCGCCTTAAGGCAACGGCGTAAGGCCGCAGACGTGTTGGCATGTCGATACAACTTCCTAAGTCACACGCAGCAATCACAAAGTCTGGTGTGCAAGCAACCCCACATCGCGTTGTCTATACTACCCACAGATGGCAGCCCTTGCTTATGCGGTTCTAGGCGGAATATTGGCGAGCAACAGCCACAACGAACGACGAAATGATGAAGTGTACTTACAATCCATTGTCTCCTTTGAATATGCTCCATATGACGCCAGGTATTGCGCACAAAGAATTGCGAAAAGGGCATATACACTATTGCGTCGCCTCGTCGCCCGGGCCATGGCTCCTCGTTACTGCAACAACCTAATTATACATGAAATAGCCTATGATTATTAATAAGTGGTGTGATGGCTAAGGACTAAGAGTCAGTGACGCGAGCAGCGATTTTCCTTCTCGACGCCGTTGCAGCCGTTGCTGTAGTTGGAGCAAAGCAGCTTGTCAGTAACACGTTTCTATAAGTTATGTCAAACACGCCCGGCTTATATAGGTTAACAACGCCAAAGTTCAATACATGCTGAGGGCCCAGCGGCTCCTCACCTGCTACCGCCGTACGTCCACTGAACCGTCATTTATAACCTTCAGCCCCATCCACGAATAATACTGCCTACATGGCAGGTAGATATATTACGGATCTACGAACATGCGTCATCCCTCCAGCGCAGCAGCCACCTTGCACATCGTGGCCAAGTGGATGTATGGCCACCTCACTCCACTCCCTCTTGGCAGCCAACGCGCAGCAACTTCAAGTTATGTGCCTCTCACTGCTTGTATGAATGTGCAATAAATTGCTACTTTTGGCCAATGCTCAGCGCACTGCAGCAAGACAACCGTTGGAGGCACCATGAGATGTACCTGCTGCTGTTTACGCTACGCTTGGGAGAGAAAACCTGGCGCCTGCACTTTCTCTCTCCGTAACTCCGCGGGTTTGTTTCCTCTGTCGTTTCTGTCTACGACGCATCATTGATAACACTCACGCTTTCCCGCTGCCTAGCCCTCCCACAGCCGCGTGAGCCCTCCTGTGCATGCGCTCCCGGCCCCTACTCGGTGGCATCTCCGCATACCGCTATGAAGGCCGCATACCCGTACCCCCGCCATAGCCGGGTCGTATTCAATAACAGCTCGTCGCCTAATTGCAAGCCCCGACGATGCAAGCATTGCAGCACGCAAGTACACGCTGTGACAGGTGTACTGTCAACAGCTCACTCACACACTGAAAGCACCGCTCTCCTCCTGCTGCTCCTCCTTCTCCTCCTCGCTTACAGCGTGCTCCTCCCAGCCCTCCCCGCTGCTTCCCGTCCGTACCTCGTACGGCGTATGCCATACACACGCAGCCCGGCTGTCCAAACACGTGCTACCCCTCTACGGCCCAGCTTCTCATGAGCCTTGCTCCACGGCCTCCATTATTTGGCACTCTGGGTAACCTTTACTGAGCTACAGCCTCGCTACACAGCTAGCTCGTTGCACAACCCGTTAATCTCTTGCGACGTTGTGTTGGCCTGCGAGATCGCTCGTGTGGATGTGCTTGCGAATGCCTACTGCCGACAGCTGTGCCCCGAACGACCCGCGGGACATCTCGTATCCCTTTCGGGGATTGCGACAGGATTGCGGCATTTTAGCTTTAATTTGCCATCGTTTATACGAAGCACGCGTGTGTATTTGTTGTTACTAAGGAAAGGGGTTGTTAGCGGCCATCCTCATAATGCAGGAGGATTAAGCAATTTGGCGGGCAGCCGCGAACGGAAATCCCGCTCATGTGGGCGGCGGAAATGCCCCTTTGTCACATAATTCCTTGCCTTGATCTAAATGAGCTAGGCAGTGCTACACACAAGGGTTTCCTGCGCTCTTTCCTGGCGCAGCAAATTGAAGCCGGGATGTTGGCAGGCAACAGGCCGTTCTATCCCTACGCATCGCTAGACGACATCGTTAGTCCCAACGGATCTGGGAGGTTCTTTACTCTACCGCCACATGATGGGCAAGCCTCGGGAGGAACGAGCAACCACAAAGCCAGCCAGAGCGATGCCATCGCAGCTGCCCAGGGCTGGCTTAGGGCAACGTCCGCTCTGAAGTCAGCTCAAAAACGTGCGCCTTCGCTGCTGGGCTCAAAAGCTTGCGACCTGCCTGCTTGCGCGGCTCGGCTCCGCGCCTTTCCAGTTGCAGCCGTGCACCAGCTTTGGTGTGCGGTTCGCGCCAGCCCTGGCGAATTTAAGCTTGTCATCTTGATATCTGAGCTGCTAAGCCAGCTTCGTGCTCTGCTTTCTGCTTCATATCATGGCCAACAACGGGAAGGGCATACCACACCAGGAGGCTCCGGTAACCAAGTATCAGATGCGCAACGCAACCTGTTGGATCAAGTGGATGATGTTATTGATGTTGATGCTTCCTCTGGGGCAAGCAGCAGCAGCAGCAGCAGCGGAGTGGATAGCGATGCCAGCGAAGATGTGGACGGATTTCGCGCCAAGAGCGGTCGACGCGGCCAACGTAATAACCCTGACAGGTCGGCTGCTGCTGCGGCAGGCGGCCCAGCAGGCAGCAGCGGAAGCAGCAGCACCTGCTGCCAGGAGACAGCCAAGCTCGCTTGCTTCTTTGCGGCTCAGCTGCTGATTCTGGTGGGTGTCCCCGCCTTGGGCCTTGGGCACAGGCGATGTGCAGTTCTGTTTGTGGGGTACCGCTGCGTGCGGTGCGGTTCTACGGTGCATTCGAGCGCATGTACGGCACCTTCCCATCGCCTCTTCCGCTAGCCTTGCAAGGCGCATGTTCTTCCCTTCCCAGCTGCCCCTCCTTCCCTCCTTCCTTCCTCCTTTTATCCACCGCACCACAGGCCGGCACTTCTTCGGGGAGCACTACCACCGCCACTGCCTCAGCCACCGAAGACCACCCAGCTGCCATCACCACCGCCCCCGCCGGTCGCGGACGCGGCGGCGGCAGAGGCCGCAGCAGCAGAGTAACCGCCGCCAGCTCGGCTGGCCGCGGTCGGGGCGCCGCGGCCGCCGCTGCGGCTGCTGCAGCGACTGCGGTCCAGCGACCCGTGGGTCCGGGCACTGACGAGGCATGGGCGGGGGCGCTGAGGGAGGCTGCGGGCTGCCTGGACGATGTGGGCCGCCTGGTGTGGGGAGCGGCCCCAGCGGCGGCAGGGGCGGCGGCTGGAGGAGGGTTTGTGCGGCCGCTGAGGTTTGGGACGGCGGTGGAGGCGCGAGCAATTACGCAGGTGGGGCGGTGCAGGGACGGGCTGCTGTTGCTCCTACCATAAACCCGTAACGTTAGGATTAGAAGTGAGAGCGAAGGGCGGTTGTCACGCGTCCGCTAGCATGCGCGTCTCTCTATGTCTCCCTCCTGCCTGCGCACCGACCGACCCACGGTCACTTCCCTCCTCGCCCCCTCCTCGCCCCCCCCCCAGCTGTTAGTCAACTCTCTGCTGCTGTGGGCTCCCCGGCTGGCCGCCAAGCCGCCCGCCGCACAGCGAGCAGCGCATGCGGCCGTACGGGAGCACCTGGCGGGTGGGGCGCATGGGCGGGGGGAGGGTGGGGCGCATGGGCGGGGGGAGGGTGGGGCGCATGGGCGGGGGGAGGGTGGGGCGCATGGACGGGGGAAGGGTGGGGCGCATGGACGGGGGAGGGTGGGGCGCATGGGAGGGGGGAGGGTGGGGCGCATGGGAGGGGGGAGGGTGGGGCGCATGGACGGGGGGAGGGTGGGGCGCATGGACGGGGGGAGGGTGGGGCGCATGGGAGGGGGGAGGGGGGGGCGCATGGGCGGGGGTAGGGTGGGGCGCATGGGCGGGGGAGCCGGGTGCAGGACTTGCAGGGGGCTTCTTAGGATGGGGATTATTACCGGACGGAGGAGGGCGGGCTGGAGGAGGTTGGTAAACGGATGAACAGCTTATGGAAGGATTACTAGGAAGGGAATTGAGGGAGTGATACGTACCTTCTTGTGCTGCCTTTCCTTGACACTGCTGCAGGCCTGCTATGCAGTGCGGCGCTACAGGGAAGCTTCCCCACTGCGGCGGCGGCGGCGCCCTCTTCCGCTGACGGCGGCGGCAGCAACAGAGACGGCGGCGGCGGCGGCACGCCCTGCCGTACTAGCTACCCGAAGCTACTGCTTCAGCTCACCGCCGCCGCCACTGCTGCTAGCGGCGGCGGCAAGGCTTCAACAGCAGCTGCCGTCGGACAGCAGAGCGGCGGCGGCGGCGGCGCTGTTGCCGCTGCCGCCAACCTAATTGCCGTACTGTCGGAGGCGTTACATCTTACCTTTGACCGGGATCCAAATGGCGGCGCCGTCGGTGTACGACAGCTCTTACGACACGCGATGATTGCTGCTGACGCGATTTCTGGCGGCGGCGGCGGCGGCGAGGGAGCCCACGGCCGCGACGGTGCTGCTGCTGCTGCTGCCGCTGGCGGCGGCGGCGGCGTCAGCAACCGCGGTACCAAGCGGCCCCGCGGCGGCGGCGGCGGCACCGCTGCGGACGCCGCTCAACGCCAGCAGCAGCAGCAGCTGGGTCGGCAGCTCGGGGAGTTGCTGGTGCAGGCGGTGTGCGGATGCGCCGTACATCTGGAGGCTCCTGTCGTGGCGGCGACAGCACTAAAGGTGAATGGGGAGGTGTGGGCACAGGTACAGTGGTAGTAAGACAAGAGCCGCAGGGACTCCTGGGGGTCAGGCCTTGTACTGGCGCGCTGGGATTGGAATGACATGCACTGCGGATGAATGGCCAAGGCATGCATGCACGAGGAAGGGGCCCCTAGGGGGCACGGGTGACTCACGGGTGGCACAGCCGAGACCAACCCCAGAGCAGCGCGCTTGTTCCTGACTTGCTGGAATGCTAATG